CAAAACTAATATCAACTAATGAAAACAGGAATAGTGGCTGAATTTACGTTCTATTGCCAAATCACATATCAAATGGATGCTTGGTAATAAACCAAAATGAAGCTATTGATTTGCAAAACAGATAAATAAGTTTAACCAAACAAACGAACAATATATAGCAGTTACGACAATCACAACAACCAATACCAATCATGAACATCACATTTGAACCATACACTTACAGATTTAGCAATACAATCTTTGAAATGGTAATGGCAACCGAAGACACTTCACCTATAAATAAATAAAAATTCATGTCTTCTTCTTTCTCGTGAACTCTTATTTTTTCTTACCGAACATACCAAAATTTAAATTTATCAAATGAACGCAACATACTCAAAGAACGAAACCTTAATTGTTACTAGATTGTTAATGGGTAAATAACTCAATGACATAGCATTCGAGTCAAACATTTCTTTAAACATCACACTATCGCTAATTGCATACAGGGGGTCAAAAATTGCATAAACTGTATGCAATTGCACAAAAACTATATGCAATTGCATATAAGAAATAATATAGCAAAACAATGTGTTGGATGTTAATACTGGTATTAAAATTCTATAGCTAGGAAAGCACCTGCTCTGACAAATGTGTCTTGCAAAAGTTAACCATCAACCACTTGGATTGAAGAAACCAAAACCAGTTATGAGGTTTCTCAGTTAAAGAACTCATCTTTCTCTTTTGATGCCAACCTCAATTCTCCAACTAACAAACCCAAAAACTCCAATTGGATTCATCATGACCAGAGTTCTAATGAGATATATAAAAACAGAAATGTAAAAAAAAAAAAAAAAAAAAAAAAAAAAAAAAGAAGAAAATTCAAGAATCCAAGACTTTAAAGAAAATCAACAACCTGATTGTTCAAAATCTTATTTTGAAACACAAATCCATAACCTCATACATGGAAGAAAACAAATCCTCCATAAAATGAAAATTACATGGGTTTGATGGAGAAAGGATCACAGTGGGTCTGATGCTGTGATGAAATTAAAAGAAAATATTAAAATATTAATAATTATTAAAAGAGGGAAAAGAAAAAATCACCCAGATTCAGTCCAAGGCGTTGAATTTTTTCTCCCATCAAAGGCTCTGCAACACAGACATCCTCACTCCATATTCAACACTAAGTCGTTGAATTTCTACTCAAATAAAGGCCTTCCACACCACCCCCGTCGAACTCGACTGAATCACCCCACTCAATCTCCTCTCTGATGGTTCTTGCATCACGGTGTCGGCAGAGAGGAGATGCTCAGATTCCGACTTGGGGACAAAGATGAGGATTGGATTTGAGAGAGAGAGAGAGATATTGCAAAGATGAAGCAGCTCCAGTGCACGTGACTTTAATAAGAAAGGAGTGAACAAGTCATCAGGTCATTCAATCTCAACCCTTGATTTTTAAAATGAAATATGAACCCTTAGATGAGTGGCTGTACCGGTACAGCCGATGCACCACAGAATTTTCGTAAACGAAAATGTCCATGTTCTGATGATATTTGACCGGAGCTTGGATGTGACTGAATATTCCAAAATGATTTGATTGACCTGAGAAGTCTTTCTGTGATCAAATGATGCCAAGGCGCGGCTCTCAAACCCAAACCCAAGCCTCCTTCAGAGCATTTCCAGCAAGGGGACCAAGGGGAAGGCTGTTGGGGTTTGGCCCAAAAACCTGTTTCCAGCAACAAAACAAGGCCCCGGCGCAAGCTGGGACCCATCAAACCAAGTTGGCCCGAGGGCAAGGCTTCCTGAGCGTTGGCCCGAGTTTTCCATTGATGTCAGCCTTGGCATCCAACGGCTCCGCTACAGTGCCTCCAACGGCTCTCTTCCACATGTCGCACTCTAGGCTCTCCGATCAAATTTTTTCTTCCAATCCAATAGCAGCCAATTTTTGTGCAATAAAAAAAATTAAAAAAAAACTAAAAAAGTACTGATTTTTTTTTCTTCTATAAATACCAACCAATACTCTTCACTTTTAACACCAAATCCTCATACATTTTCTTCTCATTCTACTATTATTCACTTTCTACTCAATATTTTTTCACTTTTATACCTCCCACACCAGATCTTCTATACATTTTCATTTCTCATATTTTAGATTTCATTCTCCATTCTCAAATGGTAGACATGCAAGAGGTTTTGGAGAAGAAAAAAGCAAGAAACTAGAGAAAAAAGGCAGTGAAAGGCAACAAAGGTGAATGAAGATAAGTGAAGATGTTTTTTTAATTTATTATGTTTATGTTGTATTTTTAGTTATGCTTTGTTTTTTTAATGCTTTGGTTGTGGTTTGTTTATTTTTTATGCTTTGGTTGTGATTTGCTTTTATGTATGGAATGTTTTGAATAAAAATGTATTTTATTGAATGTTTTCTTTATTCACTAAAAGAAAATCAATACAACTAATAAAATAAAATCTTATCCGAAAATATTATCCAAATTAATTGTTTAAGTAAAAAAAGTTGTGAAAAAAAACAAAAAAAGAATAGTATTTGCCATGACAAAGGGCAACTGCTGGAAACACACATTAGTTTTTGCAAGGGTAACCACCATTCATGTGAATAGTAACTGCCCTACCCCCAACCCCCAACCCCCCACCCCCCCCTTGCCATGACAATGGGCAAACTGCTAGAAGTGCTCTCAGCGCTGCAACAAAGGGGAAGGTGGTTCCTCATCTCTTCTCCTTTTCCCCCTTCAACCTCTTCTTTTATCCTCTTTCCTTTCAACCTTTCTCTCTTATCTAGTGCTTGGGTTGGCTTTGTTTGAGTGTGAGTTGTTTGGTGTTGAATAAGTGCATCAACCCTGTCGAGTTTGATAAGGAGTTGATTCTTGTTTGTGGTCTTTTGCAAGAGAGTTTGTGTTTGTGGTTTTCATTATGGGTGTTATACTTGGTTTTTCAAGACAGGCATTTATACCGGATTGTCTTTGGGCCTGTATGACTTTGAGTGGAGATAAACCATATGAGTTTGATGTTACCGTTGGATTCCTCCATATTGGTTGTAACCCCTCTGTGGATAGTTATGGTGACTTTTGTGGTTATTGTATTTGTATTACCATCGTGGCGTAATTTATGAACGCAATCTCCCCATCATTTGGGGGTTTGTTGCATGATATTTCCTGATTGCTTAACAGAAGCAGTAAAACAAAGGATAATAATCTGGTTTACATGATGCAAGTAGCTAATAGAAAGTAAGCTTAAAAAGCTCATGAGCTGCCCTGTGGGCCTATGCCCAAATTTGTCCATTTCAGGCCATATTACCATACACAGATACAGGCATGAGGAAAATCATACCATTGAACTGAAAATGAATCATGAAGATCTATGTATTTATTTTTTTTCCTAAATTGAGGTTAGGCATGATGTACTATTAACATTCTTGGAGAGGGTTTTGTTTGCCATTGGGTGACCTTACCATTCTTGACGAAGTTGTTGTAGTTCAAATAAAAATATCTAAGCAGACCTTACCCTGCCACAATTTTTTAAAGAGCTCCATAACATGCCATGTTTCTTCTCTGTATATTTAAATTCAAAACCAAAAAGTTCATGGATATTCATGTGATCAACATTCCTGAAATTAAGGAACCATCAATTTCTCATTAAATTTCTTTTTGCCCTGTGATTCTGACAATACAAATTATATAATTCTGTGAATGTTGTGTCTCTTTGACTGAGTATAAATATTTGTTTCAAACCTGGTGATTAAGAAAGTAAAACCGCGTGGAATCCATTAGTAAAGTAATGGAAATTAAAAAAAAAGAAAAGAATTGGGGCATTTTGCAAGTGATGATGTAAGAGAGGGAAACGTGTTGACTTGACCACCTGCCACCTGTTTGTGGGTGGAACAGAGAGGTTCATCTGGGAGTGCCACGTATTCCACCATGGTCTAAGCCGAGTCAGCACTGGGGCCCCAGCAACAACGAATGACATTGTCGTTTAACGGAATTTAAAGCGACACCGGACCAATCAAAACCAGAATTTGATCACCACACTCAAACTCAAACACAACGCTCACACTCCACTCCACCACCCCCTCTCTTCTCCCTACTTTCTCATTAAATATATTTGTGTTCTTACCATCACACCGCCGCTTCAATTTTATATAGTTTTCTTGAGTATTTTTATAATCATCATCATATGATCATATGATATTGATATAATCTTCTTTCTTTAATAATAGTAATGGATTTTGGCTGGTAATATTTTACCTACTTAATAAAACCCTCTTCCCTCTTTATATGAACAAGTCTTTAAAACACAATAATTGATCCTAACAAGTTAAAGTGATCCTATTGTCGTTATGCAAGCCTTCACAAAATTATGGTCCTAACATTTGCGAAAGGCCATAGAAGCATGCTCCATATTTTGGCAAACCGAGTCATGGCTTGCATTTTGTGTAACATGTGTGTATAAGTTTTTCTTTTTGTATTTTTGATAAATTATTTTTGCATGTATCAAATTATAATTCGCAGAAAGACGGAGTATCTCTTTATAAGAAATGAGAGGGATAGTATACATATTACATTGTTTACAATGTATTTGATTTTTTAAATCCAACCATCACTTTCAGTTTACAATCAGGACAAGCACACAGAAAAATTGGGGGTTGAAAATCTAAAGCCACAGATTTCCCAAGTGGTAAGTTAATAACCACCTTCCGACCGAAAAACATAAGAAGAAGAAAGCAATAACCACCACCACCCCCCCAAAAAAGATATTTTTCCCTCTTGCGAAAGTGGAGTTGGTTCGCCAAGAGAGTGCCACATGGCTCGAGAATCTCCATGATTGGTGGACATTTCAATCCTTCGAGGGTGTGGCTCCCAATCATCTATATCTGACTCCCCCCATATTTTCCTACTCCTCAATCCTCAAACTCAGTCTCTTTCTTTCCACAGAGGAAAGCCAAAAGCTTTCATTTTTATTTCTTTTTCAGTTTCTTTTTCCTTTGCTTCTCAGCTAGAGCACAAACAATGGCTTCTACTCTGTTTTACAACTCAATGAACCTCTCAGCAGCAGTTTTCTCAAGAACCCACTTCCCAATCCCCATCAACAAGGACTTCCCACTTGAATTTTCACCTTGTATTCACACTGACTACCATTTGAGAAGCAGAACAAGAAGTGGGCAGAAGAAGTGTTTGACAGAGGTGAGAGCTACTGTGGCCTCACCCACAGAGGTCCCCAGTGCACCCGCATCGACTCAACCAAAGAAGCTTCGAATTCTGGTTGCTGGGGGAGGAATTGGAGGACTGGTTTTTGCTTTGGCAGCAAAGAAGAAGGGGTTTGATGTGGTGGTGTTTGAGAAGGATTTGAGTGCTGTAAGAGGAGAAGGACAGTATAGAGGTCCTATTCAGATACAGAGTAATGCATTGGCTGCTTTGGAAGCCATTGATATGGATGTTGCTGAGGAGGTTATGAGAGTTGGTTGTGTTACTGGTGACAGGATCAATGGCCTGGTTGATGGGGTTTCTGGTACTTGGTATGTTTTTCTGGACTTTTGGTTTATATGGGTTTCTGTCTTCTGTGTTTTAAGCGATCAGGTATACGGTGCATGCCAAATTTGTTTCCTTTGATTGTTTTTAAGCAAGGAAACTAACAGAGGTTGGGTTAATAGCGCGAAAATAATTGGGAATATGTTAATTCAGAAAGTACTGAAGAGCAATCGATTTAAGCTGTGCAAATAACAGAAGTGTTAGTCAGGCTTAGAGAGGCCAATTCAGGCTGATGTCTTTAATGGAAATAATGATTTTTCTTCTGAAATGTTGCTGTAATAAATTAGTAAAAGGAATGAAATTACCATACACCTGAACGAGAAGAAAAAGAAGTACAAGAAATTTTGCTTTTCTTGTAAATTGATGCAAAGAGAAGTAACAGATGAAAATAAACAGGATCAGTGTTTGAATGTTTCAGTTACACAGAATCAAGTCTTTTATCATAAAAGTGAAATTTGTTCATTTGAACACAATTTTCATGTTTCCTATAAGTATTATTGTAATAACCTTTGATCTGGAAAAAAAAAGTATCAGTATTGAATTGTGTGCAGCCAGCCATATATATTGATGATTAGTTGGTTATCAGGTATGTCAAGTTTGACACATTCACTCCTGCAGTGGAACGAGGGCTTCCAGTTACAAGAGTTATAAGCCGAATAGCCTTGCAACAAATCCTTGCTCGTGCTGTTGGAGAAGAAATTATTATAAACGATAGTAATGTTGTTAATTTTGAGGATCTTGGAGATAAGGTAAAAATGTGGTATTACCTTTTTGTTAGTTACATATCTTTGTTGTCATCTTGCTGAGAAATGTGACATTAGAACTTGTTTTCCTACTTCTTTTGTTTTCTTTCTTCTTATAACATGCAGCTTCTTAGTGCTAATTTGATGTCCTTCAACTACTTTGGATTCATCTGATTTGGTATTTTGTTCTTATGCCTCTCTCCATTTTGTAGGTGAATGTGATACTTGAGAATGGACAGCGTTATGAAGGTGATATGCTGGTTGGAGCGGATGGTATATGGTCAAAGGTAGTACTATACTCTGAGTTCACATGGTTAAAATGTGTTATATTACAGTATGTTATGGATTAGGGTCCATAGTTCACAATATTAAAATATGTATGTTTTTTTCTCCTTCAGTAGCTTTTAAAGTCCTGATATTACATCACTAACTAGTCCCTATGCAGAAATCTATATTGTGAGGCTCAAAATTCTGGGCACACATATGGAATATTTTCTACTGGTAGACCATCTTTAGGTCAAAATCTGCAGAGTATATTTACTTTGGAAATTACAAGAACTTAAATTACTTGTTTCTTGTGAATAGGTGAGGAAGAACTTGTTTGGATTGAACGAAGCTGTTTACTCTGGTTATACTTGTTATACTGGTATAGCAGATTTTGTGCCTGCTGACATTAATTCCGTAGGGTATGTTTGATCTTTTATTTTTTCAAATATGGCTTTTTTAGTGGAATTTGTACAATTGTATTATCTTCTTATATGTCAGGTTGTATCATGCGTCAAGACTTAAATTTAAACTTATCTTTTGAAGGTACCGAGTATTTTTGGGGCACAAACAATACTTCGTTTCTTCAGATGTGGGCAGAGGCAAAATGCAATGGTATGCATTTCACAAGGAATCACCTGGTGGTGTTGATAGCCCTAACGGTATTGATTAAGATGCTCAGCCTTTTTTTATTGATACATGCACACCGTGCCTGTACTCACACACTCTCATTAGGACAAACAAATCAACCTAGAAACTTCTAAATGGGTATAATAAACTACCTGAAGGAAAAGTTATGTTCTGATATCATGTGAGCAGACCATTTTCATGTTATAAAAGTTCACTGTACCTTTCCATTGAAAAAAAAAGGTTAATTCTAGGATCCATAAAATTAATTAGTAAACAATTTTGTTTTATCAGCTAAGAGTTCATGCTTCTGAACCCAAATTTCTTATTGTTTGGTGAGAGGTAATATCATTTTTCTAGCCCTTTTGTCATACTTTGCATACTGTGCAGAATTTTATATTAGGATCCAATTGTAATAGCGTAAGTGGTAAGCCATAGGATTATACTTCAAGATGTGTACTTCATCTTAAATGCCTCACAATTAATATGGGGTTCAATGCCACATTTTTTTACAGAGGATTTAGCCATTTTATAATTGACAGAGTCAGGAAAGATTAATAAGCCATCCTTGTATAGTAGAAAAAGTCAGATGGTGATATATGTGTGGCCATTCACTCTTTATGATGATAAAAACATACAATTCATTTGTTATTGTCCATTGCTTGGCAGGTAAAAAGGAAAGGCTGCTTAAAATATTTGAGGGCTGGTGTGATAATGTGATTGATTTGTTACTTGCCACAGAGGAAGATGCAATTCTGCGACGTGACATATATGATAGGACACCCATTTTAACTTGGGGAAAGGGTCATGTGACCTTGCTTGGGGATTCTGTTCATGCTATGCAGCCAAATATGGGTCAAGGTGGATGCATGGCCATTGAGGTATGCATTGCATTATATTTGGTTTAGCATCAAACATTATTCATCATCCAGATTTTTATTTTTGTTTTTTGTTTTTTTTGTTCCTGAATATTTGCTCCAGTGAAATTTAGTCCATCGTATCTCCCTTCAAATCTCTGTTGAGTTTTTGCTAAATTCATTACTCTTATGAACTAACACTAGGTTATTGACCAAGAAATAATCACTTCAAGAGTTAAATCCTCTTTGACCCTATCATGACAGGATGGTTATCAACTTGCATTGGAGCTTGATAAAGCATGGAAGAAAAGTAGTGAAACGGGAACTCCTGTTGATGTTGCTTCTTCTTTAAGAAGGTAACCCCATGCTGTTTCTTGCCATATAATCTAAAAGAATATAGAAAAAAGCGGATGAAGTTGCCTATGCATCTGAAATCATAGTGTTTTTTAAAATGAAAAGGATATATACAAGATATATATGGATGAAACATATGTAATTGTTGTGAAGACTTACGTGAGTTGAGGAAGTACTCTTTGATGACTCCTTACATTCTTTTGTTCTTTATCCTTCAGCTATGAGAATTCTAGAAGACTGCGGGTTGCCATTATTCATGGAATGGCCAGGATGGCTGCATTAATGGCTTCAACTTACAAGGCTTATCTGGGTGTGGGACTCGGTCCTTTGTCGGTAAGACGTTTTATTAAGTGAAGTACATACTGAAAAGCAATGAAACTAATTGATGATGGAATGGAAGTCTTGCATGCATACTGATTTTAGCTTAAACCCTTGTAGTTTTTGACGAAGTTCCGGATACCGCATCCAGGAAGAGTTGGTGGGAGAGTTTTCATTGATAAGGCAATGCCGTTGATGCTAAGTTGGGTCTTAGGTGGTAACAGGTAAGATTTTGATTGACAACTTTTGTAACTTTCTGTATGTTTTGTTTATTTCTTCATTATTATTATTTTTTAATTATAAAATCTTATTACAACTTTGACCTGTCAAAGCTTAGATCATAGATCTTCATGCGTTTTTCACAACATACAAAGGTTCTTGTATGTACTCATTCCTCTTTTAGAGTATCGCACTTTAATGCTGTGCAACATGAATTTCAGGAAACTAAGGCAATTCACTGCTTGAATCACTATACGTTGTTGTAAACATTGGAAGAATCTTCATTCTTGAGATTCCTTATTATTAATTTTCGATTGAAGGGAAATATTGACAAATAACTCCCAGAACTAGTACTATTGCATTTATCTTTTTCAATTCTTTTGACAAACCCAATATTGAATTTTCTTTGCAGCTCAAAACTTGAAGGAAGGTCACCCAGTTGCAGGCTCTCAGATAAAGTATGTTGTTCAAAGTATCATCAATCAGCAGTGTGTTTGTCACTAGATACACAAACTGTTGTTTCATTTCTTAGTTTTAAGATCGACCTATTAGATTGCATTGTTATTTAGCAGCTAATATGTGGCCAACTTATATGAAGGCAAGTGACCAGTTACGAACATGGTTTGAGGATGATGATGCACTGGAGCGTGCTATCGATGGAGAGTAAGTCTTTGATCCTAGTGTCTGTCACTGTCATCCCTGGAATATTTTCAGTTAATTTGGTATTCCATGGTAGTTTTGACATTCGCTATGGTCTTGTAGGTGGTATCTTATACCATGTGGACAAGACAATGATGCTTCGCAACTTATTTGTTTGAACAGAGATGAGAAAAACCCCTGCATAATCGGGTATGCCTATTATCCGTTTTTCCCCTCCCCTAAAACACACACATGTCCATGTAATACTATATGGTTGCATGGAACTGAACCATCAAAACCTTAGATTCTGAAATTTATGTTTTTAAAAAGATATTATTACTATTTTATGGGTTCATTATGATGTTTTATTCTTACTGTAGGAGTGCACCACATGGGGATGTTTCAGGAATATCAATAGCAATACCGAAGCCCCAGGTGATTTGGCTGGTTTTGTTCACTTTACAATTATCTCCAGAAACGAACCTATTTCTTACTTTTATGATTTTCTAGATTGAGTAGCGAGGTATTTTTTATCTCAGGTTTCGGGGATGCATGCTCGTATCAGCTACAAGGATGGTGCCTTCTACCTGACTGATTTGCGGAGCGAACATGGTACCTGGATTGCCGAGTAAGTAGGGATGTTTTTTTCTTTCTTTTTGGTGGCTAAATTAGTTGAAACAAAGTGTGATTGCTGACCCTCTTTTCTGCGGGTAACTCAACTTGTAATTGCCTCCCTCCTTTCCCCTTATAATTTTATGTCTGAATGTGTAGTATTGAGGGGAAGCGATACCGGGTACCTCCAAATTTTCCTGCTCGTTTTCGTCCATCAGATGCTATTGAGATTGGTTCTCAGAAGGTAGTAGATAATTCTTACCCTAGAATTTGCTGCACAACTCACACTGAAAATATGTCAGACTATTGTTAAATTTTTGTGTGCATTGTGCATGTTGTCTGACTGGCATTCACTAAACAAGTAAGTTGTAAAAACGCTAACAAAGTCTCTTTGCAGTGAATAGAAAAAAAATCTCCAAATAATATGAATATAACTTTAATAGTAGCATTCATCTTACCCCCATACTGAAATGGTTTGCTTAAATCTGCTCAGTCTAAAAATCTGCTTAAATCTGTTCAGGCAACTTCCTACAGGAATTGTAAAAGAAATGAAATGTTTTTGTATATCTAACAAATTGTGTTTCAAACTTTTAGTTGGCTTTTCTCGTCTTTTGTTCAGTGTCTAAAACTATAGAGAGTAAGAGCTTGTATAGTTTGCTAGTTTATTTGTACTTTCAACATGCTCTGTAGTGTTCAATCATGCAATTCCTGAATCAGTTTTGAATCTGTGATGTGCATACAGAGAGTAATATGCTTGATGGAATTTCTTTTTCTTTTCTCTTTCTTCCTTCGGTTACAAAATATACTTGCTCTTTGCTGGTTCTTAGCATCCAAGTAATGTGCAGGTCGCATTTAGGGTTAAAGTGATGAAATCTTCTCCAGGGAGTGTTGAGAAGGAAGGTATTCTTCAGGCAGCCTGACAATTCGCTACGACGCCGTAACTTTACAACATGAAATTGTACAGCATTATTCAGAGCAGTGGAAATGCGAATGTGAATATGCTGCGTTCTGCAGAGTAGATACAGCATTACACAAAATCACTCTACCCACCCAAAAAAAAAAACATGTAGAACTTTCTATACATCAATGTGAATATATCAATTTTGACTAGTCTCATTGACTTTCTACGTATACATAAATGTATTCCAGACGCTGGAAATTTTACACTTGTTTGTTATACGCATTGCAAAATCAATATGAATATTCTCTTTCATTTTAAGCTCCGGGATCAAAAGCTTTTGTAACGCATTTTCCCATCAAAGAATGTGATAAACGTACAACGCAAGGATGAATTTTCCTTCTGGTTGGAATTGTTAGATTCTTTATATGCATGTTCTGGATCTTACACACAATCTGTAATACGTACAAAAACATGAAGACATACCTGGAGTCATCTTCCTTGAATACACAGCTTCTGAATTCATCCAATCCGTTGCAGCAGCAATCCTAGCAAAGAAAGGAACAGCTCAAGACTTCTGCTCTCTCTCAGAATCTGTTTCAGCTCTCTCCTTTTGATGAGAATAGGTTTAGAGAACATGTCTGATGAGAGCAGGGCCTTTAGCTTATATAGGGCTAGGTCAAGTCGTCTCTACTCATCATCAAGGGCGGACTTGACTTATCTTCCAAACCCACTTAATCGGTTCACACAAATAGGAAATAAAATAGGACTCCTTAATTAGACTCCAAAACCCTTCCTTATTTCACAAGGTTTTGGGCCTCAAGACATAACTTAATTAAACTCTTATCAAACCTGATATGACTTAGTATCTAGTATACCGATCTAAAATAGGAAAACATAACAAGAATCACCTACACCCAAAAATTAGATCTCGAACCAAACGCCTTGCCTTGTATCAGCTGTCGGGGTTGTGTGGCTCCATATAAGCCATGGAGGATGGAGGAGGACTTGCATGTCACGGGGATAGCACTATTTTTCTATTCCCATCTAATCACGCTCCGTCATGTGGAACCTTTATCACTCGTAGTGGAATGTAATTGATTGGAAATAACAAAACAGTGATATCCCTGTGACATATAACTTTCTCTCTTGAGGAATGAGCATAATTTCATAGTGGAAAAGTACAATAATAATCGAGTTGAAACTCTACATCTAAAATATTGGACTTTAAGGCCTCGTTGTTTAGGGAGGACTAGACTAGCAAAATGCCTATATTTTATGTGCAATCAAGGCATAATATGGATATTGTTGTCTAACTTGGAGGGTGAATGAGGACTATTCATAAGAGGTTGATGACTTATCCCTCATAATCCCACCAATTTCAAGGGGATTAGAGGGATAAGTGTTAGTCATCAACCTCTTATAGATAGTCCTTATTCTTCCTCCAAGTTAGGCAATATATCCATATTATGTCTTCGATGCACATGAAATGTAGGCATTTTTCTAGTCTAGTCTAGTCCTCCTTACTAAACAAGCCTAAGTGATGAAGTTGCGGATAATATCTATACAATTTTAAACGTAACAGTGGGCCCCACTGATCTGTTACACAGGATCAGCTGAAGCATCAATGATCAAATTTGTTTCCCAGATAAACATCTTTCATGATACTTGCTGATGCCCCCTCCTGAAAACCCTACAACTGATGTAATGTAAGCAAGCATAGTAGGAACCAAGGTGTACGAGCCATGCTAGTAGCTTGGCATCTTTTTTCAAATTTATCTAGATCACCCCACGGCAAACCCAGTGTTGGGCTGTCTTAGCCCACATCCTAGCCTATTCTCAATCCCATCCCATCTCCTGATTTTACTTTTTGAATGAGTTTCTGTCTCAAAAACAACAACCCAATAATTTTTTTGTCACACAAAGACATGTCACGGCGCATAACCAAACAAATTAGTAAATAATTTCTGTATCAGAAACAGCAAACAAATGAGTTTATGTTTCAAAAGCAACAACCCAATAATGTTCTTGTTTTAATTGCTAGTGATCAGGATCAAGAGAAAAGGCTTGGTAATCACTTTACACACACACACACACGTACATTCATTTTCAGTACTATTGATATCATCATCAACATCAATCAAGGGCCTTGAAGATTGCAATTGCACATGCTCGACCAAAAGACCATGCACACATGGAGCCATTGAAAATGTGCCTTCTAAGTTTTTGTTAGTTTTCATGTGACCCCTACCCACAATAATGCAGCATACAAATAAACACGACTAATATGGCAGCAACAGTCCAAGACATCCTTCTCTTCCTCCATGCCTACATGACGCTGCATGTGGCGAGCCATCTCAAGTTTTATTTGCACTGTCTTGAGTCTTGACCTAATTCAGCCTTCAATGATCAATTTTGTTCACATTTAATGCCAAACCAAGTGGCGTTGTCTCCATTTTCATGCACAGAACCAAGACACTAAGACCACCACCACACCCCTTTGAAACAGGCATGCATGTAACCAGTCCTTCATTCATCACTATCCATAGATTTTAGGTTTAGGCCTCAGTTTCTGACCTACTCTTCTTATATATGTTTATGTTAGTTAGATTCATTGTTCACTTGTCGTGGTCTGATTGAGACTTGCTCTGTAGACAAACGAAGCTCGATCGGCCCATGCCCTTATTATTAAGTCCAATAGGGCCCATCCCATGATCCCACATTTAAAATATAATAATGTTATTAGTAGAGTTATCTCAGTCATCCTTGCACCCGTAGACAAGTCATAATTATTGATACATAAGAGATCTACAATGCATCAATACATAGGAGATGTACAATACATTGCCCAAACATATCATATCAAAAGAGTTGTAGAAAGAGATCTCGGTCACCTATTTCATTTGACATTTCAAAATGGAGGATCATTCGAATTGATCGACTTTTGAATTAAGAATGTAAGATTATCTGCTTTGATTAGGCCATCTACGATTATGATGTTACTCACAAACGCATAGACGACTGAGATGATAGCATTATTCCATATATTAATATGATGGGGCCAGCTGGGTAGGCATTACACAATACAAGGGTATAAGATAGAACTTGTTATATCATTATGATATACGGTAGATTCATGGTTGTGTGAGGGGAAGGTTCTTACACGAGAGAGAGAGAGAGAGAGAGGAGAGAGAGAGAGAGAGAGAGAGAGAGAGAGAGCGGAGAGTGGCATGTGAAGAGGGTCAATGAGGCGGTGGGGAAAGGAAGGCACGTGATGCAGCAACGGTCGGTTCAGGTGGTGGTGGCAGTGACCGTTGGAACATTTATTGAGTGGACACATGTACTTTCAACCTCTTTCATCGACTTGGCTTGCCTTTGCACATTCGCATCATTTTAGAAATTAGGCCTTTCCATACATGGCGGATCCGATTCATACCAACTTTATTAATGCACTTGTGGGCTCTTTTTTTTATTCCTCTTTAGTTTTTATAATTGGGTGTTTTTGTCACCTCTAATTTATTTTTATGGAAAAATTACATGTGAAAAAGACAATAATTAGAAGTAAGTTGAAGTACGATTAGCACTGTAAGTCACATTTGTAAATGATTGTCAGTCATCGATGTGTTATGAGATTCATATAAATTTATCCGTACATCAATAATTGGTTTGGTAATTGTCTATACACACGCAGGCGACTCTACCTAACATCCCTGAGTCTCGTTGCATCAACCCCCCTCGCCTCTCAATTGCTCAAAGGACAGTTAATGATTTTAGAAAACTTGTTCATCCGCTTCATCGATGGGAAGATGCAAAAAACAAAAGCTAACATTCGTATGAAAAGATGTGGTGGTGGGTCAACCAAGTAGTGTTTCCTCATCATAATTTGTAATTGCATATTGTCCGACATGCATGAAGATTGGGGCTACAAGTTTTAAAGCTCAAGTACTCAACTAAATGGAAAGGTTTTTGGCTCTTTAATGAGCAATCAATTGCTTTTGGTGCCAAGTTCTTGTCCACTAGCTAAGATATAAAGATTACTGACCAACTTATTTTGAAAGCAAAAGCCAAAAAGCCGTATACAAATCATATGTAGTATGTTATGCTATATATACATAAGATGAAGGAGTAATCCATATTATTGGTATTGGATGTTCGTCCAAACACTAATTTCAAAATTTGAATATCTGATGGTCCAAAACAGTCCTATCCGTACCTTCACACCACGCTCCACCACATGGACGCGCATTACATGTTCCCCAAGTACTTACAAGATCAACATGTTGACAAAACCAAGCAAAGTATATTATTATGCCAAGCCAAACTAAATAAAAACAAAACAAAACCAGTATCCAAACCCAGTAACCTTGTGAGAAATCTACTACAAGCTCGGAAAAAGTTTAGGGGAAAATATGTGTGAAAGCTCCACTTCTCTCAGTTTCTCTCCTCCTAAAGTCCTAATCATCCCATCTCAAGTAGGACCCCACATCACATGGCCCCCTTCCCAGCATATGACCTTCCACTCCAATTTTATTTTTTTTAATATTCGAACTCGAACACAGGATCTCAAATGCATGAGCAGCTGCTCTTAACCACTTTGATTAACATGAATGCGAGTTTGATATCTGGTTCGGGTCGACCCTATCCTAACCGATGGGTTATTGCGTTGCAAATACTAATTCTTTTTCTTAGTAAACTTTGACAGATCCTATGATTACTTACTATAAAAAATTCTTTAAATACACAAGATTATATTAGAATATACTTAATATGCCAATTACCTAGGTAAGTAAGTAAATTGCATATCTAAAAAGCACCACACACCTTGTAGTTGTGTCTCTTAAAAGCTTAACAGTGAGAAGGTTTCTGTGTCAGGATTCATTCTCCTTCAAACACCAATTATCTCTCTTTTTCTTTTTCTTCCCATTTTTATCTCTCCAATCTAAAAACGAGTTTCTCAAAAGAAGTAAAAATATTTCCCAGACATTTCTTTTCACACCTGCCAGTCAGTCACTCCCAGACTCCCAGTTTTCTCGCAATCAAATCAAACCCACTTTCTCACCAAAAAATTTTCCCGGAAAAAGCCATTATTCTGCCGACCCCAAGATACGGTGTCGTTTAGGCACTGCTCACTGCCGCCTGGAATGATATGCGAAGAGATGAATCATATCATGCTGTCGCACAACATTTTGGCCAAGCCTCTGATTGGAGAGCTCAACTTCCAAAAATTAAAAAGAGAGCACACGTGCACTGCCCAGACCCAATTTCACCCCAGAAATTCTTAATAATTACCATTATGAGCTGTAACCACATGATTAAGCCAACAACATAATTACAGAAATCATAATATTGTCTTCAAAAATATATATATATTATATATTAGCAATTAATTATTTATATAATCTATATTATTTCCTTGTAGTTTGAGCTCTTTCATCTTGTTTTTCCTTATACGCTTTGTTTCATAGTACAACGCGTCCCCCTATGTATTCGATTTTCTTTAACCCGATGGGGAAACCCGAAACCCGAAACCCGAGGCCCAGAGGCTCTCAATTTTCCCAGAAAAAAAAAATGAATTAAAAAAATAGACAAAAGTTACCGGGAAACGGATTCAGCCAGTTTCCCTATTCTTTCCACGAGCTCCGGAGACAGCTTCTTAGCCGGTTTCTTCTCCTTCTCGGGTCGAAAATTAAACCCCAAAGCATCCGACACTTCCTCGGAGCTCCACCCGGCTTTTCGGAGCGAATCCGAGAACCGATCCGCTTTGAGGAGCAGAGCGTCGAGTACCGCTTGGTTGTCCAGCATCACCATCTCTCCCTCGAAAAACCCAGACGCCGATACCGAGACCATGTCCGATATATCGGAGTCGCTCCATCCGCCGCGTCGCAAAGCGGACCCGATTTGATCAATGTACTCGTCCACCCATTTCGGAATTTCGGACCTCGATGGCATATCAAAGAACCGCTCCGGCGACGAGGACGACGATGACGACGAGTTTGAGTTCCTCCGGCGACGATCCACGGCGGCGTCGCTCCAGAACTCGACCCATCTCGGTGTTTTACCTCCGGACCCGAAACCCGTATCCAGGCTCCTTCGCGAGAAATTAGTCGACGACCCGGCCGATTTTTCGCTCACCGACCTTTGCTTCTTGAGAATATACGGGTCGGAGTCCGATTTTCGAAACAAAGACTCGCGCTCGAAGAAATCGGATAGATCCAACCCGCAACAGAAGATCCGGTTCTCATCGACGAAAAATATGGGGTTCCCAGCCAAACAAGGGTTGCAAGGAATGTAGCAATGGTTGAAGATGGGTATCAGAAGCGGAGCCCTCTTCAAAGCGGTTCGCGCGACCCGCAAAGCCTTTTCGGGGTCGGACGGTCTCGGGCCCCAAGACTTGGACCAGAGGGTGTTCCGAGCGATTTGGAACGAAATCGCCGCGATCGGAAGGTCAAGCGAAGCCTTGAGATGGAGACGAGCACCGGCGGCACGCCAGTCCGGGAAGCCCGGGCCCACCGGCAACCCAGCCGAGAGAATGGCTTTGAGGTCTGGCGGGAATGCGAACCCGAACTCCGCTTCGGCTCGGGCGAACTCGGATTCAGATAGACCCGGCTGGACCTGGATACCGGAGCTTTTGAGGTGGGACGTCACGTTCTCGGCCAAAGAAGAGAACGAGAGAAGGCCGTTTCGTATAGGAAGGGTTGTTGCGGTGGCTGTTGAGGAGGGGGTTGGTGGTCCCGCGGCGGCTCGGGCGGAGAGACGGCGGAGGCCGGCTATGTGAGCCGGGTTCAGACCGGTCATCCTCCGGTCGACGTCAACCATTTTGGTTCGAAGATTGACGAGTTTAAATCAAATCGATTTGCTCTCTGCAGATTGAATGTGGCGTGTTTGGGAGATTGATTGTCTGAGAGTGAAGTGAAAATAGGAAAAGTGTGTGTGAGAGTCTGAGTGGGAGAGCTTTTTCGTGGGAGAGAAGAGAACAAGGACTTCGTTGTGAAAAGCAAGCTTTGGATTATTTATAGCCGCTCTAGCGTCGGCCCCACTCAGATTTTGGTCTTCTTTTTTATTTTATTTTCGGGTTTTCATTTTTTTAGTTACTAAAGCAAGCAACTAGCCTAGACTAGTGGATACTAAATTTACTAGTTAATTGCCCTTAGATTTTCTGATAATGACCAACTCTAAAACAAATGTATCAATTTATTCGATCATTTGCAAGGGACTTCTAGTTTAAATGGTTACGATACAGGTTATTATCTTTGCTTTCGAGGTCCTGTTTTTACTTTCTCATCTCTCAACATTGCTTGTATTAAAAAAGAAATTAATTGCGTATCTAAAATGTCATAATGACATACAAAAATGCTCTCGAACGTAAAATTAGGAGATATTTTCTTGTTAAAGTATCAGTCTAAAATGTTGGTCGAATTATAAAAGAAAATTATGTGTTTTGAGAAATAATCATTTTACTATCTTTTTGAGCAACGGTGAAAAGCCAAAAAAAGTGTGGCATTAGGGGGGCTTTGATTGTGGTGTGCTGGGAGGTTAATCACTTCTCTAACGGGATTTTGGTGCCAACAAATTGCTTGACCTAATTATTAATCAAAGCTTTTTGTGCTAATTGCTGTTTTTACCAATAAAAAGAAAGATAAAAAGAACGAGTTGATGCCTTCTTGGTTCTGCTAAGAAAGAATGATGAAAATGTGGCCCATAAAGAATGATGCATTTGGTTTGACAGAAGAGATAAAGGAGAAGCAAAACCATCATCATACCACATTTGCTGTACACTAGACGTTGAATTGCTTTTCAAGTATTTAATTTAGGAAAACAAAGCAATTTTTTACTGCACCAAAATATGTTAATCAGCTAATCATTGGTCATCAGAATAATAAGACCACCAAGGAGATAAGATGTTCCTCAAGGTGAGGGCATGGTTAATTTTTGCTCTTTCGTTGCCATGATCAGTCACCCCCAATAAATGTCTCCCTTTATTCATCTTCACACTTTCCAGAATATCATTTACATGAAAAAATTTCATGACAAGGGATGACATATACATTTTTCCGGTAGTGCTGAGTAATAAAACAATTTAATTATTTTATAAAATAAAAAAAATTAAAGTGCCGTGAATATAAGAAAGTTACAAGTTAATCAAATTCGGATATATGCGTTCTTTGAACTAAACGATTCTGCCACGTGATATTCGACTGACATTTTCTCAATTACGGGTGTAATATGCACGATGGTTGCATAACTAGCTAGTCTCTACAAACAGAATATCAGAGTGCAATTCACCAAAAAACAGAATCAAATTGCAGTTCCTTCACATGGATTTACATTGAGAAAGTCAGCATAAAATGGGAAAGTCAGGAACAGGGGACAGGATTCCTGGCAAGCAAGCAGGCCAAGGCCTGCCATTTCACATTCGAAAATCATCTTCTTTTAACATTGGATTTACATTAGTTTGAATTTCTCGCCTACCAGTAAGGAAATGTAAGTCATGTTTGAGTTCAATGCTTGATTCAAATTGAACTCTAAGAAGAGTAGTGACAAAAAAAGAGTTCGTACCCTTTTCAAGGAATTATAAGAATAGGACAGATATTGGGATGAATTTTCTCTAATCTATTTATTTAATTTAGTTTAGTTTTGACCAGATTATGTCCCTAGCTAATTATACTTATCTGTCGGCTATTAGCTCTAATACTAAAGCATTTTACTCTCACGTTAACGGCAAAGTTTGAATCTTACTTTGTTTATTTTGTGAATTAAAAACAAAAACCATACTTAATTATATCATTAACCTAACTTAAACATGGATTGACATGACAAAGGATCCACTAGTATAGTGCTTATTTTAGGAAAAATCTTGAATTCAAGTCATAATATTCGTGTAATGTGTATAAATTTAGTATTCTATATCACCCTTCTTAATTGGAAATATCCTTTAAAAAAAATACATGGATTATATGAACGGCTACTTTCTCAAGTTGAGCACGTGATAGAAACACTGATATTTCCCCTAGACAACAAAAACAAAAAGCAATTTTAAATATAATTATTAAATTATTGATATGAACGGCTACTTTTCTCAGGAGAAGGAGAAAAACAAGGCTAGGGTTAGTTTCCTGGTCAGGTTAATTAATTCACCTGACCATCAGAACATGTGAGGTTGGCCCTAAATTTCGCTTTTTTCGATAAAGAAATTTTTTATTTTCGAATTCGGTTATTAATTTATTTAGTAGGTGGGTCAACGGTGTGATGGTGAAGTAGACTTTTTATGGACGATTTTACACTGTTTGATCCTATTATATTTATTTATATTTTATAATAATATTGGCACTGTAAAAAAATCATGCAGCAGGTACGTAAACGGTAAACCCAATAGAAAGAAATTGAAGAAGATTAAGCAAATATCAAGTTGCAGCATCTTAGTCTGGAAGTAACTTCGACCCCACTCATATGTGAGACTCTTGACTTATTGGACGTGTTTTATAATTCTGCTTTTGCATGGGGCCACATGCCATGCCAACTTACTATACTAAGCAAAATCAGTCTCCATTTTAATCCACAGATTTTAAAAAAAATTATATATAACCCCTATTAGAAAAAGGGGAATCGAATCTAGGACCTCAGATGCAAAAGTAAATATTCTAAACTATTTGAACTACAAGCTCGTTACATCCACTTATACGCACTAATTAACTCTTTATGTTTAGTGGTCGTTATATTTCTTATTGAAAGAGATTCTAAATTTGAATGTCCTAATAGGTGAAGGTGGTTCACAATTTGTAGGTCAAATCAAAGCCATGTTTGCACAAAGAGTTGTAAATCAGAATCCATTCCGTCGGCTAAAAGGGATCGATTTTACTTTTAACTTTTTTTTATTAAAAAAAAAAAGATCTTAATAGATCTTTAATTTCAGAATCAGAACTAAAAGTCTTTCAAGCCATACCGAATAGGTCAGATTGGACTCTAAATTTGGGTGGCATGCTGAAGAGTTGAACTACATAAATAATATATATACCAACTTTTCATTATGGATGTTATTGGAAATGATTTAAGCCATTCAAATTTTAAGTCACTTTCAAGAATCACGTATCCAGGCATAAAAGTCAGCTAAAGATGCGAAGCCCTTCATATATATAACAAATTTTAATATTGGACATTCAAATGTTGAAATTTGTGGATGCTATCGGAAATGATTCGAGACATTCAAATTTTAAGTCACTTTCAAGAATCACGTATCCACGTACAAAAGTCAGCTAAAAATTAAAAACCCTATAATAACGATAAATTTGAAACAGTGAACTCATCTAAAAATTCGATCACAATTGAATGACTAAATAGTTTCTGATATTCCAATCTAGAGAATTTGTTGTAATATACATACATGCACATATAAAAATCCTTGACCAACTAAGGATCTTAGATAGAGAGAGAGGCAGGACGCTATTGGCTCAAGATTGGTGGTGGGGGTTGGGATGGACCATGAAGCATTGTCTCTTAATGTACATAAAATTAATACAAAAGCTGAATTAGATTCGTAGGGTTTTAGAGAGGGGACCTGCATGGACCAACAAATAGCCTGGTCACCATCCACATGAGAAATTACAGAGATATGTGTAGAAAACTTGTCTTCAATGGAAAAGTAATGTCGATAAAAGATGCCATTTTGCAAACAAGCCATTGGATAATGCCATTGTCATTGTACGTAGAAAAGAAGACATTGTGAGGGTCCATACAGAAGAACCCTAGAATTTCTAATCACCAAACGAACGGGTGGACTTTGTGGGCAACCATTTGCTTGTTTGTCTTCCTCAATCCCACATTATGTTCCCTTAAACACTGATTAGTCAGGCTATCAATTCTCTTAATTTCTTCGTCTAATATCTGTTCGGTTTTTTGAAAGATATAGATGGCCGTATTTGATATGAAATGTTTGTTTTCACTTTAAATACAGATTAATAAAGAAGGCAGACGAAAGATACATTTGATTGACATGTGCTGATAACGTTACAAATAATAACGACGGCTTCTCTATCTTACTAATTAATGCATCACTCTCTATCATCAACAGGGACTGATCGAGACTAATGGAATAAAAAAATTTGGTTTATAATTTTAATCCAGGCTAATTTGTCAAAGAAGTTTAGCTCGATGAAAAATGGTATATTGATTTGCAAATTAATAGTCTCAAGTTCGAACTTTCATGGCACTGTTATAGTGCATATGTGTCAGAAACCCTATTCTTATGTAGTTTAGATTATCACTTGTACTAAAAAAATTCAGACTAATTTAAATGAAAACCCTTTTTCGGTTGATGGTTTAAAGGATAATTAAAGATATTTGTGCCTCAAGGGTAAGGATCTAGCCTCTGGGTGGGGGTCACTTCTGAAAGTAAGACTTCAAAAACTTATTGAGGGGTAGGTCCCTATAAATATTTTCCTAATTCTAGTTAATTACATGGTCGTTTTCTAGTTTTTGGTGGACGAACATGCATAGCATTCATGCTTAATAAACAGGTTAAATTTTGTGTAAGTAATAAAATTAAGATGAGTGGAAATTACATGAAACGCCAAAAGTGTCAATGTCAAAATTTTGCATAAGGTTAATTACCCAATCAATTAAAGTAAACTTGTTTTGTCTTCACTCTGCTGGCTGCTTAGCTTGATCCGGTCTCGCAATCATCCTCATGTTAAGTCAAGTTTATGTATCTGACACGCACTCACACACATCTAAATCCATTAATTAATCTATTAATTTACTAACTAATCTATTAAACATGAAGATCAGTGATGTCACCATGATGCTAAAGATGCAGGAGAGGCCGGGGAGGGGAGACGAAGAAGATTTGATTTGCAGTGGTTCATGGTGGCGATTAGGATGATAATATAATATCAAGGCGATTAAAAGATGGTTATGCATGCTTAGAAGAATAAAATCATTTGGTAGGGCAGGCTCTAGCCTCGTAATAATATTATTCTACACACTCTTCGATTGAAGATTATTCAAATTAATTTATAGTTAATCCGAGAGAGAGAGAGAGATACACCATCCCATGTGCTTCACTTTCCTTCAAACATATTTTATAAAGAAATTGATTTTGGAAAAATTTAGCAATAATTTTGTAGGAAGAATGGGACATACAGGTGGGATTAAGAGGCCAAAAAGAAATAACATGGGATTCATTTCTTCAGTTTAGGTACAAAGTGGAAAAGGCTCGAGCATATAATAATGAATAAATAAAGAAGGCTAAAAAGAGACCATCGATTGATGTCGGTTCTTTTATTAAAAGTTGTACTAGCTAGAGGATTGTAGTTTCGGATAAATGAGGATATATATATATATATATATATATATATAAATATAATATGTTGAGGGGCAATCTTCCCTATTAAAAATTTATATTGTTAAAATTTGCATTACTAATATTTAGGACTAATTGCTCGATTGATCACAAATTTAAATCAAATTCACCTTATTAATAATTCTATTCGTGGATTGGCAACATAACATGCTAAACTGTCTTGTAAAAAATTATTTTTCATGCTTACAAAGTGCATGTTTTGTAAAGCATCTTTCGGCCAAGTATTTTTAAAATGAGACAAGGCTACCCGAACACATTCCTAATTATATTATTATATTTCCTAAACCATCACCATTAACCAAATTGCAAACCTAGCTACATCGCTAAGACGTGAGTGGTGGGGTTTTGAAATGAAATTACTTTCACATCGAATTATAACATTCCATTACAAAGTTTAAAGGGAGTTTATGATTAGATTAGAGGCTCCCTCGTGTGGTGGTAACAATTTCTTCAATTTTTATATGACAACTTTCTCTCCTAAAATCAAGTAGTAGCTAGGCAGGTATACAAGTAAAGGTAGTGTTTGATAGAAAATAAAAAGAAAAAAAATGGTTAAAGGCGGTGTGAATATGTGAGGTTGGAGAGATATATAGGCCTAGGCATCACTTTCAGAGAGAGATGGGATCAGATCATATACGTTCGTGTGATATGGATGGAATAAAGGCAGAGAGGTTTTAAATCTAAGCTTTTGGATGGCTACGCTTTAACAGAAGCCTCCCGTGTGCCTCACGGGATGCAAAAGATCAAAGGCCCCCTTAAAGGAAGATGCTGGATGCATCTATCATCTATTGCATGCAACTTCAACTTTGCCTTTATCTTCATCCATCTTTACAATCTTCCTTTTGTTCCCATCACACCATTCAAATCTCCATATTCATCAAACCCCTCTCACCCAAGGGTTAATAAATCGGTTCGCATTATATAAACACATGTATGTTATATCAAAAAGTAATTTAAAAAACGCAATACGAAACAAGCTGTAAACTCAAATGTCCTAGATTTGAACAAGTAGATATACATATTTAGGGTTTACTATGAAACCCGTACCCGATAAGGAAAGTTGAGTTGTGGAGTTTTTCTCTTTTCCAATAAGAAAAAAACAAGAGATTTGATTATAAGAGATGCTATTTTTGGCTTAGTTGCTTGTCCAACAATCATGCTTTAGGATGGCATGATGGGGATACGTGACCTAAAGCCCATCGTTGTAAAGTCGGGCAATGATATTCAACAAAACACCAGGCTGGACTAGTTTGGACTGGTCACAGCTTTGGTGGAATTGAGATTTCTTATCAGAACCAAAACTTACTTTGTTTGTAAAGAACCAAAAAGAGAAAACAATCATAATAGAGCTCATAATTTTGTTAGTTGCAAAAGGCTTCAACATCTTAAGATCTTGTCCTGTCGTTAAGTAGTTGACGATGTTAATTCCCATGTACAAGACACAAGAATTAAGTTTGCCTTCACCAACTAAAAGAGATTCATCCATTCTCCCTCAAATTCAATGCTTTTCACCACCACTAACAACCAAGAACTTTTTTTTTTTTTTTTTTTTTTTTTTTTTTTTTTTTGTTTGGGTCCAAAACCCATTTTGTCCCAAAAAGCCCCCAAGGACAACAAACACTATGGAGACATGGCACCGTTTCAAATAAATTGGCTCAAAAGACAATTCAACGATTGTCCACTTCTTGTCCTGAGTTTTAGTCATCCCTTTCACACCTATGCTAATCAGATGCCAAGACAACGGCTAATACAACTGCGACTGCATTTCCATACTTCATCCCCTTCCTTCTGTGATACCATGTGAGAGAACTCTCAAACAATCTATAAACCGGTTCAATACAAGACGCGTTTTCTGTTCAGTTCGTACGAGTGATGAGCTGAACTCAAACCAAATATTAAATTAATTATAAACATATATAAAAAAACAAAGTCGAGCTCGAGTTTTATCATATTCAACTCATAAAGCTCACAAACAGTTCGTTTGATTTTTATTTAGACACGTCTAGCCCAGTTTAAGCTCAGCTTGTTCGTTGAAACTTCCAAATGTACTCGAACTATTTCCACAAACAAAGCCAGCTCAAGCAGCAATCGAGGCTGAAGCTTGAGCTTGAAAGCTATCATTCTCTACGTATAATAAGCAGGCAGTAAATACTCCTTTAAAACATGCACATCATCAAGCGTATAAGCCCATCCAATGGTTCCATTATAGCAACGACTAAAGTCATTTGTCCCCTCAGAAGAGTCGCTAGTCTTACAGAAACAAACATAAATCATAGTATCCATTTATTATACACTCATATACAACAAGGTTTGCATAACTCGGAATGAAACCTATGAATTTCAATAGCGACCAGTGCTCTACCTTTCTAAAAGTACAAAAATACTCCAATCCAAGTATTTGAAGTACTCTGATCACCTTGCGTCAATTCAATATCCATCAATGTCTTGTTCGGCTTCGTACCCTGTAACGTCAGCTCTCTGAATCAATCTCCGGGAGTATGAACATGCCACATGACGAGTGTCAGGCAACAAAAAAAGGAAAGGGAAACACAGTAGGGTCACCTTGGTGAGCGGGAGTACGTGCGTGAACGATTACGGGTTCGGGAGCGGGAGCGGGAACGAGACCGAGATCGAGAATAATGTCTTCGGGAACTCTTGCTTCTACTCCGACTTCTACTATCTCGGTATCTTCTGCAGTAAATGCATTTCACAATCATGGCCAAGATAATATAATCACAGAATAGTGGTACCCACATACTTCCGACCACATGATTAAAAAATGGACCTAATCCTTGGGGATTATCGGCCTTAAATTCATAGTTGGAGCCTGCACCTATCATGTATAAAAATAAAATAAAAAAATCAATCAACTACCGTGGAGGAGAGCGGCTATAGCTCCTGCTACGACTACGACGCCTAGATCTACTTAATCGGCTTGTTTCTGCAAGTTTTTCCAACCTCTGGCGCTCCTGCTCTCTCTTTTTAGCAATTTCAGCAGCAGTATCTTTCTTAACTGAAAAGGCAAATAATTTCATAATCAGATTATATGAAGATCCAACACAAAGTACCACAATAGCCTTCTCTACCATCACCCACATACTTTGTTTGTTCAGCTGCCTGCTCATAATCCTTTTAAGTCGTTCTTGAGGAGTTTCTTTCTTCTCCACTGGTTGCTGTTTCAATGGCCCACCAGAAGTACTTCCCTTAGTTAACTTTGCTAACGCTGAGGATGTGCTGTGAGAAAAAGAAATAAATCAACTTTAAAAAGTTGTACATATATAGTTACAAGGATATAGAAGAAATCAGGTGACAAAAGCAGGATGAAAGAAAATAAGCATAATGCTTAATAAAGCCTCCAATAGGCACAATAACTATATTAATTTTTGGAAAGTTAATGCATGAAGAAAGAAAAATAATCTTCTGATCTAGGCTCCATGAGATACCTTGCTGGTGGTTTCACCACTTTAGTGCCCTTATCCTTCTCAAGGGATGCACCGGATGCTGGATCAATGTGCAGAGCCTCGAGTATGAGACCAGTTGAAGGCCTACAAGAAAGAAGAAGCATTAGGGATATCAGTTCAGGGAACAAAATGAGCTTCAGAAAGGAAGCCTCCTTCCTTCTTCCTCTTGGCAGTTAGGCTGATAACCCTAAGCCTGATATATTCTAAACGACAAAATTTTTCCTCAGGTAACAAAATGGGTGAAAAGCTGCAGCAGAGTAAAGACTGTCCAATGAATCTTTGCAAGAATAAAAGGTCGAGTGCTCCGACCGGTTTAACACATCGGCCTGTGAGGGAGGAGATGACGGTGGAGAAAATCCTGCACGCTTTGATTCATCCTTATCTCCGGAGCCCCCAAATTCAGTAATATATTCTATTTTAGAAGTTGCTGGTTTGCTTCGATGAGCTTCATCAGAATGTCGTCCACGAGGATATCTCCGTGAGTATGATGGTGAGTATGATCGCGATCTTGACCTGCACACACAAGTAACAAGAAGTATGTACCAAGTTCCTTTTTGTGGTAAAATACGAACATACACAGCAATGGCATAGATTTTACCTTCTTGAGCGAGGATAAGCTTCATATGTTGGACTTCGTCTAGATTCACTGCAGATATAAATAGGTGCAATCTTGTATAAGAGCTATGGAATGCAAAATTCCACCACTTGGAAACAGGAGCAAAAGTCAAATAAAAAGAAAATTTGCAGCTTTTACCGGTACGGATCATGGTGGAGCACCTGAGTTCCAGTTACCCGTGCAGCTTCTCTTTCCCTCTCCCTTTCTATCTGAGAAGCCTTCCTTCTTTCCTTGCGACTCATCTTCCTCTACAGATTTTAGTAAATGCAAATCATGCATTGATCACTACTACAACAAGATTGGTCATTTAACCCAAAGTTGTGAGAACTTACAATTGCAGGATCGCCTTTGATCACTTCCTTTTGTCTTTTCTCCTCCTCCTTAGCTTTCTTATCCATGTATACAAGCCAACCATATCTTTTTATTCCAAATTCTTTTGCTATTTTATCCATTCCTTCATCACTGCTATCATCACTGTTGAAATCATCCTCATCCTCATCTTCTTCATCATCTTCATCATTATCCTCAGGGTCTGAAAACTGAGCCTCCTCTTTTCCATCCCCTTCATAAGAGAACCCCACCTGTGAATAAGAACCTTTAACGGCAGAAGGTTGTTGCATCTGAGACCTGCCACATATGCATCAAAATATAATACATGATCCCACACGCAGTTAAAGTATCAGTCATAACATCATTCATCATATCACTCACCAACAAATTTATTTAGTGCAGGAAAAGAAATAGCCACATTAGAACACCACACCCGCAAAAATGTAAAAGAAAAAAATCAAACCTCTCAGGAGCAAATGGAGCAGTAACCCTTGTCTCTATTTCTTCATTCACATGTTGCAAACCCTCTTCATCTGTAACTGTTGACGTAAAAAGCTTAAACTGTGACAATCTTAAACTAAACTCCGTAGCTTATGAAATGTTTTTGAACACCAAAGATTGATAATTTTAGTCTTTCATTGATAGCATCTAGCATTACTCTACTCTTAACAGATAGAGATAAATATTTCACACAGAAAAACAATAAAAAATCTACAAACTTAAGATGGTGATATAACTATTTTACATAAAACTAGTCTGTAATCTACATTTAATTGAAGACATTATGATTAAAAATCAACATAAAGTACCGACATCCTCTACGACGATGCTTAATTAAATCCCGATAACGCTCAAAATTAACAAACTCTTCTAATTCTTCCTCTTCTTCCGATTTTTCTTGAGCACGTAAGTGCCGGGACTCTCGAATAAAATCGAGAAGAGCACGCCCATCAAATCTGCATTTCAGATACATACACAAAAATCAAGGTACAATTGACCCCCAAAAACAAAATTAAAGCTACAACTTTTGCAAAAAAGGATGAAAGCATTGCAATTTGTACCTATCAATCAAAACGTCCTGTTTCCCATTCCAAGGAATCCTGAAAGAAAGAAAATTCGAACGAAACGACGTCGTGTTCAAACAAACATATGTCATATCTCCATTTGCGACTAATTTAGGAGCAAAATTCAAGCTCAATCAAGAAGAAAGAGTTAGGGAAGAGAGGCATTACAGGCCTTGCTGGTCCTCGGAGGCTTGGTAGAGGCCGTCGTCGCGGTACAAACGGCAGCGGGAGCCGACGACCTGGATCGATTGCTGCGGGTCGCCGCGGCGCTTGGCCAGGAAAACGGCACGTCGTTGAGCTCGCTTTCGAGCGGCGTCCATCATGTCGTGGACCTTCCGCTCCGACCTCCTTGCTTCGTGCCACATCTTCGACCGGTTTCGGTTTGATTCGATTCGGATTCCGATTCGGGTCGACTGGTTGAGTTGCGCACCTAACAGAAGAACAGAGAGCCCTAACCCTTTCTCAGTTCCCACTTGTTGCCTCCACCACCGACTTATGTCGTGAGAAGGACGAGACCGGATTGACCGATAATAGAATACAAGCTACTTGGTATTTTGGGTTTGGTCCAATGCAAAATTTTTTGGCATTTTGGGTTGTGGGCCCACATTTTTTCAAGCCCAATTTTGATCCATATTTTGCTTGCGCATATATTCCCCGAGTGCAATAAGGCATTGAAAATTTGTCATTAACTAAAGTCATTTAGAGCATCTACAGTGGATGTTGTATGATGGGGTGTATGTTAAATATACACCCTTTGTGATCGAAATCATCGGCAATGGAAATGTGTAAACAAATTTGCATCACCACCATATATGCAAATTTAGATGTACATATACATCTTTTTTTACATCTCTTGCAGGTGGAATTCAGCTGAAAAATGTGAGATAAAGTGGAGAAAAGCTAGCAAAAAAGTTGTTAGACCAAAATTCATATGTGGGCCCATTTTTTGGTTGTCATCTCTCCCCCTCCAACGGCTACATTGTTGGACCAATAGCTTTAATTTTAAAAAACAGCCCGCTTTAATTGTTTTTTTTGATGAAATTATATCTTCTCAGAATTTAAATATTTTTAAGTCTATTTGTTTGAAAAAATAAAATTAACCTAATACACAAAAAATTAATTTTATAAAGTTAACACAAAAATAAATTAAGACAAAAAAATCAATTATACATCTTTAGATTTACATCTTTCCTATTTGAGCAAAAACTACATTTACAACTCCCGAATGTATAAAGGGAATGTAAAAGTGGCTTTACACCCCCCAAAATACACCCCCAAGTGTGAATCCTCTTAGGTTGTTAAATTATTCTATATGAGTTGTTCTATAATAAGGTCCATGTATATGTAACGTAAAAGGTGATAAAAACCGTATTGAATCCTTACGTTTTTTCTTCTTTTCTCTCATGGTCTACTTTCTAAATGGCTTATTAATATCGAAACCCACCCATCTCATTATGAAAATTCTTGGTTTGAAGCGCATGACGGAAACAGAGACACAACCAGTCCTTGTCCTTGTATTAATAAGAACAAAGTAAAAAAATTGAAACCATAGGATAACATAGGATGATAACAAAATGCAATCTCTAACCTGCTTTAATTGTACAACATGTTCTTTTCATCACTCAAACTTTATTGTTTAAGTTGGTTACTTTCATTTCCTCTATATCTGTCGGTGGATCCACTAAGGGACAAGTGCAGGCAGTTTCCCTCACTCAGTATGGGATCCGCCCATGAAGTTGCCCAGCTTCCTTGTTGTTTTCTTGGAGCCTAGGGGCAAAGTCTACAAACTGTTTGATAAAATGCCTCAAAGAAGGCTAAGGCAGGTCAAGGGGCCAAAGGAATGGCTGAGACTTGGGCAACATTAGGTCAGACTTTATGGAGGCAGGGCGAGGTGCCAAAGGAATGGCTGAGACTTGGGCTGCATTAGGCTAGACTTTACATAGGCAAGGTAAGGGGTCAAAGGAATGACTAAGACTTCGGATGCATTAGACTAGACTTTAAATAGGCAAGGTAAGGGGTCAAGGGAATGACTAGGACTTGGGCTGCATTAGGCTACACTTTACGTAGGCAAGGTAAGGGGTCAAAGAAATGACTAAGACTTGGGCTGAGTTAGGCCAGACTTTACAGGTTCTTGCTCCCAGGAAGGAAAATTCATGGATCCGCCTTGTAGTTTGAATTTGATTCTTGTCTTGTAAACCCAAAAGTCCAGCTTTGCTACTACACATTCTGGCTAGCTTTGTTTGTAAGTTCCATGTTTTGGTTCTATAACTTGATCTCATAGCAATCCACCAATGTACCATAAAGCACTCTGTCATGATTGAGAGAAGGGCTTGGTTCTTGAAAAAAGCCGGAACCTGTTAGCTAGGAATGATGGGTCTCCTTCCAGATACCCCAGCTAATAAGTTTGATGAAGGAATCATCTTCTTCTATATGGTCCTTGTTTGTTTACTACTCAAAAGAAAAGTATCAAAAAGCAATTCCACCGATAGCTTTGGCTTCTTAAAAGAATTCAGGCGACGCTTGCTGCGTGGATCATTATAAGAAACCCCACGACGTACGGCCTTGAAACTCAATGATGTATGTTAACTTTAATTTGAATTATTTTGTTCAACAAATACAAAACAAATGCATCGAAAGGAATTTTCAACTTTCAAATGTGCTGGCCAAGTTTTTCCGCTGCTATGGTGGTCTTGCGCTGACTAAACAAGTAGAATGGAATTAGTGCTTGTGCCTTTGCATTAAATTCAAAAAGACATGGGACAGCTGACATGATGAACACCACACGTCGCCCATCATTTTTAGGGTTTGGCATGGGAACGAAGGGCTACAAGTCAACAAAGCTCAAAAACACACAGTCAGAGTTGCCAGTTAAAAAATAATCATCATGATTTAGAAGAAAATTGGTTTAGGAGAAAAAGAAAACCACCTTCCATTCTGCTTGTTGGTCAAGAATAAAATTTTAAATAAAAAAAAACAAGCATGGCATCCACTCCTCTTATATGATGTCGTTTTGCCCATGCTTTCTGGGTCAATATACAAACCTAAATATCAAGCACATATGTCATGCATTATTATTATTAATAATTTTGTACCTAGCTCGGTTGCATGTGTCACATTATGTATATAATATATAGATTAAAAAGTTAGGAATTGTGACATAAAATTAATTTAACAATTAATCTATTGTTTATCTGGAACTTAAGCCGCCTGGGCCTGACAGACAGCAACCTCTTGCAGGCTGCTGGACGTGAAGTAATTGACGTTTTATAGATTAAGTTTGATTATATATATAGTTACTAGTATATTAATGTGAAGATTAAGCTAACTCAAGCTTAACTTGTGAGATATTTGCCCGTTTTCTTATCGATGGATACTCTTGAGTATGCAAGTGGGGAAACAAACGTAAGCATAAATTGTGAATTAATTATTATGGCGTGCTTTGTCTGTCAACCAAACTATACAAGTCAGCTCCCCTCCTCCTCATGTATTATCATAATCATAATTAACCATCATCTCATAAATTGACCGAGTTCATCTTCGATCAAGTAGAAAGTTTCGGAGAAAAATATGTATAGCATTCTTAAAACTAAAAGGCAAAAATAAAATAAAAAAGGATGATGGTTTTAAATTTGTGTGAGCAACCTTGCTACCCACTCCTATCATGAAAGTGAAATAAAACTAATGCAATATATGAACATTAAAATGAAACTATACTAAACTGATTCATATGTTACTTTTAATGTCATAAACTAATGCACCAATTTAAGCATCCCCTTTCCGTCGTGTGCGCCAAGTCATCCAAATTGTGCATCCAACCCCACCCTCAAGCTAAAGCCACCCAGCTTGCAATCACACAATATATTGTGAGAAAGTTAAAATATATTGTGAGAAAGTTAAAAGTGCATATATATATATATATGGTAGTGCGTGATTGACTTAAGATGTGACTTGCTCGCATTCTTTCAGTTTTAGTCGTGAGGCTATTAGAATTATAGTTGCCAGCACAACGAGTCAACACAAAAGACCGTTTGTGTTAGGGATTGGGGATTACGTTCATATCCTCTAAGCATAACCATTTAGCTTCTTGTCTTGGCTCCATCACAAACATAAATTGGTTTTTGCAATGTCTTCCCTTTAGTAACGTCAGAACATTTTCCCGCGAAGCAAACAGAAAAATCACCGAAACTCTATAATTTTTTAAATAAATAAAAAAGAAGAAAACGAGTGAAAAAGGGAAGGAACAGGTCATGATGACGCGGACCAACCAAAGCAAAGTCTCTAGTACTACTGGGTCCCACCTCACCTCACCTTCCCTTCATTCCTTCCTTCCCATATAAACCCTCCTCCTCATCAAATTAACCAAAAACGCCAAACAAGCGCATAAGCGCTCCCCCAAAGCCCCAGCGCGCGAGGTCCCTCTGACCCCACCACGCGTGGGGTGGTGGCTGAGCCCATGTCTGAACCGCACGCGCCGCGTCCTCCGCCGCTCTACAAGCAGCACTCCTGGTCCCCTGACGCCTACCGAGACGAGGCATGGCACCGCCGCAAGAAGATCAATGGCAGATCGAAGCTCCAGCGTAGCAAGAGCGTCACTGACGAAGACCTCGACGAGTTGAAAGCCTGCATCGAACTCGGGTTCGGGTTTAACTCTCCCGAGTCGGATCAGCGGCTCGCCGACACCCTGCCCGCTTTGGGACTTTACTACGCGGTTAACAAGAGTTATTACGACTCGGTATCTCACAAGTCTACGACGACCCCAACGTCGTCGTTTTCGCCAACCCCGTCCGAGTGCGACTCGGTGTCCTCCCCCGTGGGCAGCCCGCATACAATCTTCGGACCCGGTATGTGTATTTTCATGCGATTCCAAAAACTGGGTTGTGTTTATTTTTTGATTTTCCATCTGATTTTGGATCAAGTTCAGTTCTTTACTTTAATTTTTTTGGGGTTTATGAATCTGATTTTCTGTTTGTTTCCCGGGAAAATGGAAATGGGGTTGAAGGAGATACGCCGCAGACGGTGAAGGCGCGGTTGAGGCAGTGGGCCCAGGTGGTTGCTTGCACGGTGAGGCAGAGTTCTTGAGCTGATTGATTAATATATGTAACCAAACCAAACCGGAGTTATGAATGTAACCAAACATCAACGTCAAAAACTTGGTCTGTGATTATTGACTGCGATCTTCCAATTTCCCACCGACTTTGATGGATTAATAATAATAATTAGGAGGGATTAATTCTTTTTTCTTTTTCAAACAGTAGTTGTAATGTGAACCAACTTCTTGTACTGGGATGGATTGACCTTTTGCTTTTGGTTTTTTTAATTGGTAATTTCGCTATGTTCTATTCCATTTGTCTGCTCTCTGTTTTTTTCTTGGGTTTCTTATTTAGTATTTAGTACAAGACTTGTGTTGTGTCTGAACCCAGATGTAAAAAAGGTCAAATTAGACGCTTTGTTTGAATGTTTGTGTCTTGTACTTTGATCGAATAGGTTCTGTAATTTCCTTTTGACAAATTATATAATACACACTACACTCCTAATAAAACATGTCTTTTATAATGCAATGAACAATATTCTTGTTTGAATTAGCGTTTGTTCAAGATATCACGAGACATGTTGAGGTGGTGTATCGAATTTAGTAAATAGTATCTCATTCTCATCCCTACCCTTCTTAAGATTAGAAGGTTCAAGGGGTTGTTAAAGAATGATAAATTTGTCTTTTCACTTTTTCGAGATTTAACTAAGGAAACTGAACAAGAAAGTTCCTATCTGTCATACTTTTAATGGATACAGCTCGGCTCATATTATTTCTTGAAGGGGAAGGCAATGAAGTGGAACCGCTGAAGAAGATTCTCTCCGTATGTTAAACTTTCATGTTAATCCATTAAAGTTTAAGATATCTTAAAACAATATTTTAATTGGGATGATAGAGTTTAGTGTTAAATCAAAATGCAAGTTACCTTAAAAAGCTATTCATTCACTTTAACTTTTGTGTTTTGTTTTTATGTTTTCCATCCGACAATTGAGGTTAGGGTAATACAAACTTGAGATCTTTTTTAATATTAAAAAGAGAAATATGACTAGAATAAGAGTTGGTCGGTCGGGTAATACGGATAAGAATTAGTCGGTACTTAAATATTTAACATTAAAAAGAAACATATGACTAGAATAAGAGCTAGTCGATACTTCAACATGTACAACTAAAATAAAAGATAATCTGCACTTAAAAAAAATAATAAAAGAAAAAAGGATTAGCACTAATAGAGCTTGTCGATGTCAATCTGATTTGGTAACATGTGCAACAGATAGCTGGCTCCAACAAGCACCACCAAAAGCACTAAGCCTGGTCCTTATCATGCCAAAAGAGTATCAAAAACATGCACAATTCAATTGCCCTTTATGCATAAATCATACTGTGACTGACTGAAAATGGGATCTCCAATTCAAAACATGAAAAATGTTATTTTTTTAAAAAAAATTTCATCTCGTAAACAAGAGAGAGAAATCGAATTTAAGACTTTTTATAATAAGAAAAAAAACACACTATTATAATAAAATTACTTTCAAATTTATAATTTAACAACATAACATCTCGAACTCCCGTTTAACAAAATGAAAAGGCCTTGAATATTGATACGAGCAATCAAGTGTTGTCAACCGTAAGTGGCCCATTCATCAAGATTTCCAACTAATATTTGCCCGTTGTGGGCCAACCATGTGGACCTGTATAATCATAAAACTCAAGAACAATAGGCTGTCATATTTGTTCCTCCCCAATTCTACAGCACAATAACGTTGTACACTAGCTAACACACCTGCACTGCACAGCATGTTGTCGAGTTCAAGTGAGCACATGCGTTTGATTATTAGGTTGCCCATGGCCATACGATCTAAGTTCTTTCTCAGGTGACAGAGGGAGGGGAATCAGGGATGGTTCTTACTTTCCTAGCTAGGTCTTTAAGTTTTAACTTTTTGGGAAGCAAATTATGATCCCACTTTTTCTATTATATGCTATGTTACTATGTTCTTTTTTCTCTGTCCATGCAGCTGTTTAATTTCCTACATAAGTGTTCCATAAGGTTTATTGGGCTACATAACCCGGCAGCATCTCTCATATATTTACAATTGACGACAACTCTCTGACCAGTGATATCAATTACTAAGAGGTATATATAACCCAATTGTTTTAAAGTTTGCCTTCGAAATGTCATGAGTGGAAAGAAAAGTACTCCTTGCTTTCCTTGTCCAAATCCGAATCAAAATGCATATCCAGAGCATGTGCATTTGAGAAACACACTTGTTCTTTTTGGGTTTTGATAAGGGACACAAAGTTACAATAGACCCAAGCAAACCAAAAGCATTGAAATATATTTCAGTTTCTTGCTAGGGCCCAAAAACGAAGAGACCAGTCGTGCGTCTATGTCGTGTGGCAGTTTATCTTTCTGCCCTTTAAGGTCCATTCTTGATAGTTGACTAAAATTATTGTTCTGTTAAATCAGTGTTGGTATAAAATAAATAAATAAACTCTTGCTAAATGAATTAGTGGGAGTGGACTCCCAACAATCCTAACTCCCTCTCTTCCAAAAAAAATATTATAGAGCCTTTTTTATTTTAATGGGGGAGGACGCCATTGTTCTTCCTCCCGTCTCCCCTTCTCCCTTCCTCCATTATCATCTCTTCTCCTATTTTTAAAGACAGAAAGTTTTCTTTATTTATCTTTGTTTTGTTATGATTTTCCTCAACTCATCACAAGCGGATGTTTCTCGACGTCGGATCTCCACCACCTGTGTTTTGGTGTTGGATCTCTACCATCATCTTTTTTTAAGGTTCTTCATGTTTGGAATAACTCGCAGAGACCCTTGGGTTTTTTTATGTAGTTTTCCTTTTGTGAGAGTTTTTCATATCTCCTTTGTGAGACATATTTCTAAATCAAAATTCATTGCGGATACTCTTATCTTGTTATATTGTTTGTCAAAATTATACATTAAGACATATTTCTGAATGTCAATAGTTTTAATTGACAATTTGACAATCCAGGATGTGTGACTATCTACCAATGGAACTTTCCTATTGATTTGACACTGATATTTTTTTTTCTTTGCAATAAACGGCACAGATTCAAAGTTAAGCAAACATAATATATATATAAATTGCTCAAGTTGCTAATAAATAAAGCCAAATTGCTAATTGTAAAGGGCTTAAATCCTTTTCTCAAGCTTTCAAAGTTGGTGTGAGTTGACATTCGCTCCTTGTTTATTCCTTTGGAACCATGCATAGCACCAAAAAATCTACTCAAACAAACTTCCAAATGGCTGACAATATATATATATATATATATATATATTATATTTTCTTCTAGTTTACAATTTCAGAAAAATAATCTATAAAAAGTTGAATTTCTTGTCGCGGGAATATGATAAGTTGGATAGATCTTTGAACTTTCGTCCCAATTTTTTGTCTTCGTATAGACATGGATTGATAGGTTGCCTCTTTTCTAGACTCTCAATGAGTATTAACTAGAAGATGATGATCGAATTGTATAAAATCAAGCTTCCCGTATGTTAGTTCAACTTCGCCAGTTAAAAACGTGAAACTTACAAGATGGTCGTGATGAAGGCTATTTGCTGTTCAAAGACGCGTCTGAAAAATGTTTTGAAATTCCATTACATGCTTACAATTACAGCTAGCTACTACGATTCATTCAAATGACTAATTAAATTTGACAAATTCATCTATTCTGTGACATAAAGAAACGCTCCATATTTTATTTTTACACTTAAACTATATATATATATATATATATATATATATAAACAATCGAAATAGACCATGTATGTACCTCAAGGCACGTCAGTCTAAAACATGACTGTTTCAATGGTCAAAATCTGCTCCCCTAAATATATATATATATATATATATATATATATATAGAAACTCCCTTATGTGGACGTCCAAATAACATTCGGACATCCAAAACTTAATGATATTTGTGTGTATTTATTTAAAGTGGTCGTCTCCTTGACTGCTTGAGTATGAAATTTCAATGCTTCTTGCAAGTTCTGGACGCCTACAAAACAGAAGCCCTAGCCAGCAGCAGGCTTAGGAAGGAAGAAAAAATAATTTAATTATGCGCCTTTATGGTGTCAACAAAACCCTACGATCGATGGCTGGCCCTGCCCCATTCGACAAGCGCATGCAAATGTTGGGTCTATGAAAATGACTTCCATTTAAATTATATACTTGGTGTTTCAACAGATTGATTGAGTGATGCGAGAGGCCACTTTCCTTGAATTGGGAGGACCAAGTTCATCTCCACGTACGTTTGAGTGTACAATACCACATGCGTACGTTCCTTAAATTATGAAAGTTGTTGAAATTGACCAAATCGTTTACTCTCTCGCTTCTTTTACCTCCCAACCCCAAAATAATTCTTCTATCCCAACCCTAACTTGTTATGAATCTATGCGAGACTTGTCTTATGGAACGCAGCCATCAACAACTTTAACTCCCTTTTTTTTTTCTCTACGTATTTGGCATCTGATTCTTATTAGTTATTTTAGGTTTAACTTTCAATACTCAAAATTCGAGAATTAAAACCTAAAATTTGAGCTCAAACAACAATTGTACCATAACATATAGTCAATCATGTCGCCAGGATTGAGGGAACTTTAGTACTATCTAAAAAAGAGTAAATAAAAACCGGTTGTCTACCAAAACACCGTGTTTTTAACCGTTGAAATAATAACATGTCAATCAATCAACCTCGTCTTTTAATCCGTCAACGTATTCATTCTCATAAAAATAAACATTATGTTCATTTCTTAGAAAATATAGTATCTCTGGCATAAAGAATTTTTTGATACCCAATACATAAATCGCCAGTTTTATTTTCATAATACTAATCCTATTAATTTTTTTTCTTTGTGCTTTTAAATTTCTGAAAGTATTGACTCAAACCCCCAAACAAAAAAAAAAAAAAAAAAAAAAAAAAAAAACCACCATTAAAACGCACCAAAGAAATAAAGTGTCAACACTAGGAAAAACAAACACGCTTTTGACAACCAATGTCATTGTTAAGAAAAAGAGACCGATCGAGAGGAAAAAAGATATGGAAGAAATTTGAGACAGGTAGATGAACAATGAGAGAAGTGAAGAAGAAGAAAAAAAAATCAGAGCGAATAAATCTCTTGAAAATTCCATAGGGTCATTCAAGTCAAATGGAAGGGCAGAGAGATGCAGGCAGTCAATATTTTCTGTGACAAAATTCCAAAGTTTGTCGTAGCATGAAATGAAAACATGAATATGTGAGGCTTCGTCTACTTCACGCAATATATTAGACTACCATTGATTTATCAAAGATTATTCAGCTCCTGGAAAACGAAGGCTGGGCTGCTTCTTCAATTCTAACCTGTGACAGCTACAGAATTGTTTTTGTGCCACATGATTTTTATCACCTACAGCTACAAGGCGGTCGTTTTCATCAACCTTCTCCTTGACAAATTCTAATTGTAGTTATACTTTTCGTTGAAGAAAACTTCTCCAGTATGATCTTTGTTGTTCATGATTGGTACGGGAAAGAAATTTTGATGTTGAAAATTTGTTCTTAGAAGTTGTGTACTTCACAATTTTTGTTCTTATTCTACCATATCCCAGTCGGTAAACACGTAAAAAAAAGAGAGAGTATAAAACAACCCCCTCCAGCGCTAAGATCGTAAATTGAAAAAATATTTATTTATTATACATTGGAGTTGTTTAGAATATCGTTTTATCAATAATAAAAAAATTACAAAGATAATTTTCCCAATAAAATTTAATATGTATAACATCGTATATAAATATATATATATATATATATCCATAATTCATTTTTGGTTTCTTACAGGTTTTAAGATCATCCACAAAAGATCCATTGCAATCTAACTTCGACATGAAGTTACTTAGGCTATTGATAAGGTTGTTTGCATTAATTCACAAAAACACTCAATGTATTCATTTAGACAGATGAACCTGATAAAGATAAGTATCTAATCATTGATTCGTGACATGTCGGCAGCTTAACTTACGAAAGAAGACCTCTCTCACTAAACCCTAATACCCATGGTTTAATGGGTCAAAGGTGTTTGGTAATCTATTTTACATTAGGATATTGTTTGCCTCTTTACGGTAAGGAGATACTCCTCCTTCATACGAATCACAATTTGACACATATGCAAAAATAATTTATTAAAAATACATAAAGAAATTTTTTTGCACGCATGTCACACTGTTATTGGCAGGAATGTAAGAACTTCTACTTACTAGTAATTAGGGAAGTATTTTCCTTTACATTATGCTATTGAGGTAATTGACTTTCTAAGTCGGGCCCACAGAGCAAAGCATTTTCTCCTGTTATTTTCCTCTTTGATTAAATGGATCCTTTTATTTGTTAGGTAAAAGATAACCAAGTAGTTACAATAATATATATATATATATATATATATATATTTGAAGTATATAATTGGAACATCAAACTATGCAGTAGCTAGATGTCGTTAGGCTGTTTGTTGTTAATTGGAAAGATAAGATATTAAAATATAGATGTGAAATCTCCCTCTCTCCAAATACTTATATCTTCCTTTAAAAATCCATCGAGGCACCAAAATATATTAAGTTTTAAAAGAAAGAGGAAAGAGGTGTCTTATGACTAACAATATATCATTATACATCTTAAAAAATCATTTTACGCTCCTCAAATTTTGATTTTGCTTTTAAAAATCCCTTATATATGTTTTTTTTTGTGGTGTGTGAGCTTTTGTTTTCATTTAGTTTAATAAAACTATACAATATGAATCAAATGAGATTTTTTCTTTTGGCAAATAATTCAGATTGGATATTAAGGTTAACTTTTTGCTTTTATTCTTTAAAGTTTCAACAACAACTATTTGTTTGGACGGTCATGAGAAGAAAAACTTTCTTATAATAGGGATAACATTATTTTGCTATTTCTGACCAATAATGCAATAATATGTGAAAAAGTTATCTCTCGTGTTATTGCGCTATTGGTCGGGAATAGCAAAAAATAATATCCGTGTGCATGAAAGTCTCTCTCGGTCACGGGGTCTATAGTTGTTTGTCAATTTTTTTAAAAAATTTTAAAAAAGGGTAACGAAGAAAGGAAGAAATTAATCAAAGTTTGAAGGAGTTAGGTGAGGAAAGAAAAAGGCTCTTGATCGACTTGTTGGCCAATATAATTCTATACTTAAACCTGTTATTCTTGTCCCGCTCAAGCAAAATGCTTCTGTCTTCTTCTTCTTCTAAAGTCTCTTTACACATTGTTTAAAGTTAAAAAAACGGTGAATGCCACGTGGACGGAGATGATTAATGCAAGTGAGAGATCGACGACCATCCTCTAATCTTAAGAAATGGAGTAGAAGCTTCCCCCTCAAAGAAGAAAGAAGTGATCAAAGAACTCCCACCTATATTCCCATTAGAGATATATATTAAAATGGATCCACCTCTCTCATCATTTTCTTCAAGAAAGAAAAAGCGTGTTGTTGGTCCCTTTGTCCTAAGCCAAGCACTTTTAATTATCTCATCTTTGAAACACGACTAAAGTGGGGTTCGTGTGGTGGGGTTTCTTTAATATATATATCAAATCTATCACAAAATGTAGGAAGGTAAAATTTTTATGATGTTATCTTATGAATCTAAAATCCTTGATTAAATTTAGATTGCTTTTTCATAAAAAGTTATGGTTCGAGTTTTAGTATCCGTGTAGTGTGTGTAAATTTAGTATGATATTGCTTATCTTAATAAAAAAAGGTCTTAAAATAAAATAAAAAATCCTCAATTAAATTGATTCTTATTTAGATATATAATTAACACGGACATTGTAAACAGTCATGTGTTGGTTAGGTTTGCGTGATGTGAAAATTAGCTCAATTCGAAAAAGACATGTTAAATTGACAGGTAAAAAAAATTTAAATACAAAAATGACCGGCATAATAACAAGTACTACGTTTCACCCATTTATAAATTTAATTATATTAAATATTGAATGAATATTCAACTCATTAGATCAACTAAATTCGTTAGCTATCCGTTATTAAAAAGATTATCCTTTTTAAAAAGAAAAAAACTCAAATAAAATGCATTTACATCTTAATTTTATTATCAAAACATTATATATGAAACATTTGAATAAAATGTCTAAATTATATGCATTTCGACGAGTCACTCCTGCGTTCTATTCAGACACTTCACTTTTTTATGTGCATTTATATCATGTTATTAGTCAATAATATTGTACCACCACGTCAACTAACTAATAGTACTTCCCTAAATGTGCTCGCTTTCTTAATTTTTATTTTCTTAATCCATGGGCCATTGGGTTGGGTGGCTGTGTGAGTTGGTTTCCGGCGGCTTCTTTGAGTTCTTTCTTTTTTAAAATTAAAAAATATATATTTTAAAGTTAAAAACAAAGTATTTCATCCAGCAGTAAAAAAAATTATTATTTATTTTTAAAAATGACATGATATATTTTCAATGAAAACATAGTAATACAGTACTAATCTATAATTTCTTCGGAGTCTTGACGAGATAAGTATTAGATTCAAACATAAATCTAACAAAAAAAAGAAAAAGATTAATTACCGTACCATTTTATATTATATTTATAAGAAAGATAGTGTTGGTTTCTAAAAATTTCTAGAACCCGCGTCACTTTCTTTAATTTTGTTGTGGCCTCTTCGTCCTTTATAAGAGACACACACGTACACGAATGCGGTAGATAAGAGTTTGCATTTGCTTAGCTTTTGTTTGTGCCTTGAGAAAGAAACTGAAACAAGAGTTATGGTCTTGGTTTTGCTTCCACCCCAAAACCGCCATCGCCATGGAAGCTGGTAGAGGCAAAGCTCGAACCAACACCGTCCTGTCTCGCTTCTTCCTCTCTGGGTTTTACTGCTGGGGCTGGGAGTTCCTCACTGCCCTTCTCCTTTTTAGTTGTCCTAATCCCTCCTCCTCATCCTAAATTCCTAACCAAACTAACCCATTAGTTCAATCAATCCCCAAAACCAAAAGCGGTTGTGGGTTTTGCTAGCTCAATTACATTTGTAACCAAAGTTTTTTTTTCACTTTTTGCGTCTTTATTATTATATCTTTTTTTCTTTCTGCATCCATCGGTTGAAGATGGCGCAAAGGTCCGTTCCGGCGCCGTTTTTGACCAAGACGTATCAGTTGGTGGACGATCCGAGCTGGGACGATGTCATCTCGTGGAACGAAAGCGGGACAACGTTTGTTGTTTGGAAGACTGTGGATTTTGCCAGGGATATGTTGCCTAAATATTTCAAGCACAACAATTTCTCAAGCTTCGTCCGCCAGCTTAACACCTATGTGAGTAATTAATTTCCGTTATTTACCTTTTTTTTTGCAAGTATAAAATCAAACTATGTCTTAGAGGATTAGGCGAGTAGTCTACACCAAAGAAACTTAGTGTTATTTACCTTCTTAAATTACATTGGTTTGGTATTTTATTTTATTTTTAAATTTACTGTTTTTACATTTGCGCCAATATATGTTCAATATTACATATTAGTTCCAAAGATGAGATCAAAACTAGAAATTGAAAATTTTCCTTAGAGATTCTTGTTATCTTTTATTATTATTATTAATTTTTTTTAAATAGTTGGTGAAGCTTTCTTGGCAATTTAAAAAGAAAAAGAAAAAGAAAAACGTTGAAAATAATTGCCAATGGTCAATACAATTGTTTATTTGCAACTGGGTATTGGTTGAGCCTTTCCATTTTTTGTTGGTGTTGAAATTGTGACCAGGAATAAAATACAAATAATTATCAATCCATTAACGGGAAAACTGCGATTAAGTATTTTTTTAGATAAGAAAAAAAAATTATGGTTGATTTTTGTATAAAAAACATTTATATTAATCAAAGATGACATCAATTATGCAAAATTATTTTATGTAAATTGTAAGATATGGATCTAGAAGAAAGAAAAAAAATAAATCATGTCGTCTATATAGCCATATTATTGTAGTATTCTATAATTTCTCTAAATTATCGGTTGTGCAACTCAATAATATAAAAAATTGCAAACGTGGCCCATCTGCCTCCATTTTTCCAAATACGACGGCGGAAAATCGAAGTTTCCAAATTAATCAAATATTCCGTTAACGTATTAAATTTTAATTATCAATTAACTAAGCGTGCGTTTTGCTTCAATTACAGGGCTTTCGAAAGACGGTGCCGGACCAATGGGAGTTCGCGAACGATAACTTCCGGCGAGGGCAGAAGGAGCTCCTCTCCGAAATCCGTCGCCGGAAATCGGTGACGGCAGGGCCGGGGAAGGCTACGGCCAGCGAGAAATCCGGAGGGCCATCGACTCCATCGAACTCGGGGGAGGAGATGGCGTCGACTTCGACGTCGTCGCCGGACTCGAAGAACCCGGGGTCGGTGGAGATGGCGGCAATGGGTCAAGCGTCTGATTTGTCGGGCGAGAACGAGAAACTGAAGAAGGAGAACGAGAATTTGAGCTCGGAGCTGGCGCAGACGAAGAAGCAGTGCGACGAGCTCGTGGGGTTCCTGATGGATTACCTGAAAGTGGGGCCCGATCAGATCAATCGCATCATGCGGCAAGGAAGCTATGTGTCCACCCGTGATGAAGATGATGATGACGATGATGATGCTGATGATGATGATGACGACGACGGAAAACAAAAAGAGGGTTTGAAGCTGTTTGGGGTTTGGGTGAAAGGGGACGAGAAGAAGAAGAGTAAGAGAACGGAGCGAGATGAGAAATTTGGGGTTGGTGTTGGTGGGACCTACGCGAAGAAGATGAAGAGCGCGGAATTCGGCGCGCCGATGTTGAAGAGGGGGAAGGTGTGCAACTGAGCTAGCTGAGCAAGCCGAGCTAAGCGGAGCTAGCTGAAAAGGGGGGCTGGCCTGTGCGCCTGCCCGGATGATGTTGAAAGACTTTGTTACTGTAGAAGAAAGAAAAGCTTTTAAAGTTTTAATTTTACATATTTATATATGGAAACACCAAACGGTTAAGGTAGTTCCGTAAAGAAGCAATAGACAGAAAAGTTATTGGTTGTGTAATATTGTAGTTGAAATAAGGATGAATGGTTTTTGAATTGGAAGTTTGCTTTGCTGTACGAATGCTGCTACTTGGGCTGTGGAGATCAAAGGGTCTCTGTCTCTCTGCCCTCCATCATTTGAAATTTCATAATCATTTTCCACTTTTCTTGTAAATTAATTCGGATTGATGATTCTAGATTTTGTTTGATCTCAAATTGAGGCAATGAAGGGAAGTGTCTTCATTCTTTGAACTAAGACTCTTAAATTCTTTCCTCTTTTCTTTTCTTTTTTTCCTACAAAATGTGAGTAACTAAAGAGGGCATTATTGCCAACGAGGGTTTGTTAAGTTGGTAAAGGTCGTTATCTTCCCTATCAAGGTCTAGGTTCAAGTTACACTGCCGACAATTCCTCTTGATGAGTAATTTGTAAAAACCAAAAAATGAGTTAAGACCCCCTCTGTAAGTCCTCAAAGAAGCTTTGGTATGCTCCTGACCTTGGGATGGTGTAGCCTCCCCTCCCCCTAAACATTTTATAATCCAAAGAGGGCATTCTTGAAACTCCAGTTCCAAATGCATATGCAGTATCTTCAAAGACGCGGAGTTAGATTAGCTTCAACTAAGCTCTACACAAGTACTCGGCAAAGTAGAGTTGAATTTTCTATACCTAAAAACAAAAAGGCAACAGAGACCAATACAGTTCAAACTCTCTTTTTTTATTTTGAGAGAAAACAAACTATATTAAGAAAGAACCCAAATTACAACAAAAAGTAGCCAAAGTTCAAACTCTCTTTTTCAATTCTATTTTCGCGACAGCTTTCTCAACAACAAAACAAGAAGTAAAGATTGGAAACGAAGAATACCAGAACAGAGAACTCCGAAAATGAAGCAATTCAGCGCAATATCCAAACCTGGGGTCGCAAATGTAAACTAAAATTCCATTGTATTAAAAAAAATATATATTAAAATAAAAACAAGATCACCGATTATTAAGGCAATAAAGTATTGAATCTGAAACAAAAAACGGTGTCGTCTTAGAGAGGTCGTTGAACTGTGTACAAACGAAAGTGAATTGAACAGGAGATCGGTGGCGGGAAAATAATGGAATAAATATTGGAATTCCAATAAGTTTTGTATTTAAAGAGTATAGCCGAGCGGCTATAAGTTTAAAATATATTAATATTAAAAGATTATAGCCGCACGGCTCTACTATTTAAATATGAATATATTTTTAAAAGTATATTTTCGGCCACATAAATATCACACGAAACTCATAGATATCACAAAAGTCAATCACTGCTGTGCTGACCACCACTGAACACTGAATGAATGGCTGCTATCTTCCGCCACATTTTACAGACTCCACCACTGCCCTCCTCCTCTTTCCCTCGCCCTGCTTCTTCTTCACCTTCATCTACACTTCTCTCAAGGCCCTCCTGCATCCGCGCCGCATCATCTCCCATGGACCTTAACAATCAAGCGAGCAAAATAAAGTTCACAGACTTCCCCTACGTGTCGGCCCCACACAGGAACCTCATGGTTGATCTTGTATCGACATTAGAGACGCGACTTGGCTCGCAGCTCCTCCCTTGTACCCTCCCTCCCGACGTACAATACTATCAGAACGAGACTGGCACCAACCATGCATGCCTCCACATCAGATCCGGCCTCGCCTCCTCCCCTGTAATTTTTCTCAAACCCTCTGTTTCTTCTTGTTCTTTTTTTTTTTTTTTTTTTTCACAAACAAAATCATGGGTGATGCATATAATTAATTACCTATGCTACTTAACAATGTGTGGTTATTTGGTGCTAACTTGGACACTTCATTGCAAATTGGGTTTAAAAATGAGTGATTAGCTTTTGACATAAAAGGGATTGTTGGGGTTTTATGAGAGTAAATTGGGTTGGTTTCTTTCATTTATGGATCATTTTTTTGGGGGGGGCTGAAGTTGGACATCCCTTAAATTTTTAATTGTAAAATGTAATATAACAAGTGTAGTACGTAGAATCTACATCGTCATAAGGCTTGTAGCTCAAGTGATTATGATAATTATTCTGCATCCAAAGTCTTGTGTTCAAATCCACCTCCCTCAATAGGCTTGTAGCTCAAGTGATTATGATAATTATTCTGCATCCGAAGTCTTGTGTTCGAATCCACCTCCCTCAATATCAGTTGCATACTGCATATTAATAGCCGGTACGAAACAATCTTTTGCCTAACTCCATATGCCAAAAATATAAAATAAAACTTAGTACATATACCTTAGACTTTGATCTTGGATAAACTTTTTGATTCTTACATGTACACGATCTGGGGATGAATAATTTTATAACTGTTAATTGACATTTCTGTTTCAGGTTGATTTCATATTAGGAAGTTGGCTGCACTGTGAGCTACCAACAGGTGGAGCATTGAACATTACAAGCCTCTCATCCTATCTGAACCAAACCACAGATGCACCAAATTTCCTACTTGAGCTCATCCAGAGCAGCCCAACCTCCCTGGTCCTCATCCTTGACTTGCCTCCCCGAAAAGACCTTGTCCTCCACCCTGACTACCTGCAAACATTTTATCAAGACACCCAACTGGACACACCCAGGCAAAGGCTTGACAAACTTGCTGAGGTTAAACCCTACTTCTCTTCATCGCTATACATCCGCAGTGTTGTGTCACCAACAGCCATTTTGGTTCGGATTGAAGCAGAGGCTGATGGGCAGGGACAAAGCCTGGAGGAGATCATAGAGAACCATGTGGGTCCCATTGCAAAGGAGGTGCTGGGAGTTTGGCTGGATCAATGTGCTTGTGGGAAGAGAGAAGTGGAAGAGGATGAGAGGGCTTACCTAAAGAAGAGGGATGATTTGATCAAGAGGAAGACTATTGAGATTGATTTGGGGTCCAATTTTCCTAGATTGTTTGGGCCTGATGCTGCAGATCGAGTATTGGGTGCCATTAAAGAAGTTTATAGGGTATGATCAGATCAAGGATGGGATTAATGTGCCTGATTTGATCAGTGTGGAAGATAACAAATACCAGTGATATGATATTAATAGGAAGGATTTGGCAAGTCTGATTTGTTTACCTGAGTTTGAAGAAGAAAAAAAAAACAATGAGAATTGTATAAATATTAGGTTGAAATCATCTTCTTTTGGATTGGGCTATGAATACTTGTACAAATATCCACATTTGTTGCCTTTAAAAGGGAAATATGGTGCTACAAATATTTTCACTCTTGCCTAAACCATTCCAAGTTCTAATAGTAACTAACCTCATATCATATCACATAAAATCACCCAACACAACTCCAAAGAAATGACATAACTCGTAAGCTTTGTGGTTTGAGCTTCCTCCAAGAGGGCAGCCTAAGAAATTTTTTGGAGATTATTTTGGATCCAATTGAAGTCACAGTGTTTCATTTGTTTATATGTGAGAGAGACCAAACATTAAGGTCCCCCGCATCAAAATTTCAAGATTAATTTTGAATCGGACTGAAAATGGTGGTGTTTCATTTCTTTCCACGCGATTTACTTACCATCTCTTTTTTTTCCTTCTTCATTTGTTATAACTTATGTCATTTTTCATGAAAATTTGACTAATTTTATGTGGTTTTGGCTTGGTTTGGTTGAATCTCTCCCCACAAAGTGATAGAATCCAGTGTGTTTTGAACCACAAGGCCCAAAGCCAAGGGCCTGGGTCACGTAGGTTCTAGACTCTCTGGTCCCAACTCTCTCATTTAGCATCTTTTGACCTTTTACATCGGGCGCCATTCATGTACAGTAAAATCAGATGACAGCCACCTAACGTCCTAACCGTTGAGATTGACATCTCGAGCTTTTCAGAAATATATCAAGGACCGTCCAGCTGGAGTGGATCCCATTCTAGTACTTTCCATGTCCGCACCACCGACTTAAGTCCCCACGTGGTTCGGCAGATGTCATGCCCGCCGTCCGATGAGTTTTGTCGAAGACCTTGTCCATCCGCAACGCTAACCGCCTTGGACAATGAAATTGATACTGGCATTTTAGTAATTGACTTCGCCAGAAAAAAAAAACAAAACAAAACAAAAGAAGAGAACATCGTATTTGATTTGATCCGATTAAAAACCTAGAGGTTTCGATGTTTGTTATGTATATAGTTCCATAAGCAATTAATGACCCCTAAACAAGTTTGATATGCAAGTGTAGCTATATAAACCAAACCAAACATCAAGCGCAAATCTAATGTCCATGTAATTTTTTCAGAGTGGTAACACTAAAAAAGAAGAAACTAGGAAAATGTTTAGTGCCATAACCCACCTCACCCTCGACGCCAATAACCACCGTAATAGTGCCCAGTCTATTTGGAACTTATTTTATTTGTGGTTCATTCTTGAGAACTAACCTAACTCATATTTACAAGCAAGTTTGAATTTAAATAAATAAAACATATTGCATCATTTAATCACCAAACTTTGGTTAAAAAAATTGGACTTGTAGTATTTAGACCCATCCAATTTGCCTAAGTAGCAGGCAAGCAAGTAGTGTCCACTGAAACTGGATGGCTGAGAATAACTCACATAATCATATTGTCACTATCTGCCTTCTACTCACCCTATATAATTAAGCAGAACCCATCCCTTAGGCCACACTTTTACTCACTGCCTTTTCCTAGCTATCTCAGTCAGAGAGAGTGTCTTCAGATATGAACACTTTTCTTCTCTACTATCCTTTTCTTTTTGCTCTACTCTCATTCATCTTCTTACTTGCAAAACAATTGAGATCAAGAAAACCCAAACCCAATCTACCTCCAGGCTCTATGGGTTGGCCCTATCTAGGTGAAACCCTGCAACTCTACTCTCAAAACCCAAATGTCTTCTTTGCCGCTAGGCAAAACAGGTAATTAATCAAATTCACTACTACTTTCAAGACTGAATTATGATCTTAATAATTCAATTAATTTATATGGTGTATATATTTATATATACGTATAGGTATGGAGAAGTTTTCAAGACTCACATCCTTGGAAGTCCTTGTGTAATGCTATCTAGCCCAGAGGCAGTGAGGTTTGTGTTGGTGACTCAGGCACACTTGTTTAAACCCACTTACCCTCAAAGTAAAGAAAAATTAATTGGTCCTTCAGCACTTTTCTTTCACCAAAACGACTACCATGCACAAATAAGAAGATTGGTTCAAGCTTCATTGTCCTTGGATGTTACCCGGAACTTGGTCCCAGATATTGAAGCCATTGCCATTTCTGTCTTGGATTCATGGTCTGGAAAAGTTGTTAACACCTTTTATGAATTAAAGAAGGTTGGGCAAAGTTTCTTTCTTTCTTTCTTTCTTTCTTTTTTGATAAGTTAGCAAAAGTTAACTATTCGGATAATCTACTTATATTTTCAGCGTTGATATTGTACTTGTGTTACTTTCGAAGCTTGAGGTTTTCGTTTACATTGGAAAGTTTAAAATGACATAAACATAGGGTTTACACTCAAACTAAATATTAAGTAAAATGCACATGTACATTTAGTGTTTTTTTTTTCACTTTTAAACAATTCCATTTTTGGTAAACCTAATTTTTTTGCCTCCAACTAATAATTTTTTTTTTAAAGCCTAATATAATTAACTTGTTATGTTCTTAAACTCAAGGGGTTTTGAATCAATATGCTGCTTTAACTAATGAATTCTTCAATATCTACGGGTGTTTACTCTGCATGATGGCAGTTCACGTTTGATGTTGCTGTCTTGTTTATCTTTGGTCACTTGAACAATCACCACCACAAAGAACTGCTCAAGGAAAACTACTACACACTAGACAAGGGTTACAATTCTTTCCCCACAAACCTACCTGGCTCTTCGTACAATAAATCGGTCTTGGTAAGCATAACAATGCCATGATCATGGATTAAGTTTAATTGTATCTTAATCTCTTCAGGAGGTAAACTAATCAAACTAAGTTACTCTCTTTTCTTTTAATGTTTAATATTCTCTTGCTCAATATCTTTTGTGGGGGATTGGGAATCTAAATTCATTTGTAAAGGCAAGGAGAAGACTAAGCTTAATTGTCAGTGAGATAATAAAGGAGAGAGAGGAAAAGAGTTTGGTGCAGAGAGATCTATTGGGCAGCCTACTGAACTTCAAGGATGAGAAGGGACAAATATTAACGCACAATCAAATCGTGGACAACATCATCGGGGTAATGTTTGCCGCTCAGGACACCACAGCCAGTCTCCTAACTTGGATGATCAAATACATTCACGATGACTCAAACACTCGAGAAGCTATCCAGGTCAGAATTTATAGCATGCATGGCCCTATTTTTGTGACAAAACTTAATTAGTACCAATGCCATGGAACGTTAATGGGAAATTAGCGTTAATATAGATTGAGCAGAAGGCCATTTTTGAGTCAAATGATGGAGGAAACCATATGCTGAGTTGGGCTCAGACTAGAAATATGCCCCTTACCAGCAGGGTAAGTAGAATTTGACAAATTCATGTGCGTACTTTTCGAGAAAATCTTGGCTTCTTATTCGTTTTTACTGACAAATTACAGTTTGACAAGTGCATGATAAACTTTTCTTTTTGTGTTTATAAAGAGATTTTCTATATATATATATATATATTGATTTGCATGTATTAAGGTCACTTTAAATGAGAAGCTTTGTATGATCTCAGGCTATAAAGGAGAGCTTGAGGATGGCAAGCATCATCTCTTTCACCTTTAGAGAAGCAGTCGAAGATGTTAAATATAAAGGTAGGCTTAGAATAATCTCATTCTTTATCCAACGGAAATCATATGAGAATCTGGTAAACTTTTATGAATTTCTGAGGGTATTTGCCTGTACCTATAAAGCTGAAGAAAAAAGAAAAAACTGGCAAGAGTTTAATTGCCATGCACGTACACGAATCATTGAAGCTTCGAAAACGACAGTAAAAGTGCTTAACACTGTTGGTGACTGACAGTACATATATAGATGACATTGCCTGGAAAGGGAAAGATTCCAACTCAATTATTCAGGAAAATTAAGTATAGAAACAAAATTAAAACATGGCACACGAGCCCCACTCTAATAAAGTCCTTTTCCAACCCTGTAAGTATATGGGCACATTATTTCTCATGCATGGCATGCTAAAACTCTGGAGTAGTGAAATTAATTTTAATGAAAAAAACTTTACCTTACAGAAAAAGAAAAAAAGAAACAAAAAAGATGAAAAACCCTATAAAATAGTACGTACGTTAACTTAGTTGAGTTTGCCGTGTACAACAGGATACTTAATCCCAAAGGGATGGAAAGTACTGCCTTTGTTCCGTAACATTCATCACAATCCTGATTTTTTTGTTGATCCGCATAAATTCAATCCATCAAGATTTGAGGTATGAAAGACTTGAGAGATATAACCTAATTGCCATTTAATCCCTAGCTTTATCTCTTCTGTTCTCTTTCATAATTTCCTGTTTGAATGTAAGAGAAAAACTAATTCATGAGCTTCTATTTGATTGCATGAAGCTTGGAATAAAACCCAACACATTCATGCCATTTGGCAATGGACTTCATACGTGCCCAGGAAATGAAGTTGCCAAGCTACAAATGCTCATTTTTATCCACCATCTTGTTAACAAGTTCAGGTAACGTAAATCAAATCATGAATTAAGAAGAGAACTGCACATTTGTTCTTGGTTTAATTAATTAATAAAAAATTAATGCCGCATATTAATTAATATTATATATTGACAAGAGATGGTATTGATCTGGTGCAGGTGGGAAGTAGTAGGGTCCGGTGGGGTTCATTATGACCCATTTCCAATACCTCAGCGAGGACTTCCTGCCAAGTTTTGGAAAGAAACCTGCACCCAAGGAAGGACATCAAAAGCGGGAGGAAAGCAAGCTGAAGTAGCCTTATAAAGGGCCAATGTTTTAGCACTTTCAAAATCTTCACCAAATTGTCTATGAAATATAAACTTGTGAATTTCTACTTCATATTCTTCCCTCTATAAAATGGCACCCCTTTATCCACATATGTAGTGGTGAAAACTGGTCACCATCTTGTTACATAAGTGAAAATTGTTATATATCCTGTAATATATATATATATATATGCCCATATGTTCTAGCTAGATTGTTATATATATATATATATATATATATATATATCAAGTAAATGTTTCTTTTCTTTGTTTTTATACCACTTTAGTTGTACGATGTTACCATCACACTGAAAATTACGTATTCTTCCTAAGCACTTTATAAATGAGTACTTAAGTTGACACCCAACACGAAGGTTAAAAATCTCATTTTGATGCTTAAAAATTAAGAAAATAAATAAATAAAAATAAATTCTTCAAACCAAAAAATAAAAACTTATTGGACCTCCATGTCATCGAGGGGACAGCCATACCCTCCTTCCTAACAGTCCACACTCCCACCCCTTTCCCTGCCTTAACTAACCATATTGTGCATATTACTAGTGTGGCTATAACACCGCATAATCGCTTTTCAATAACTAAAAGTACTTTCAACGAAATAAAACTAGTTATTGTAATATTTGGTTGAAATTGACGGAAAGGGTGTAACACAAAAAAAATAAATTTATAACTCAAGTAATAAAAATTATCGAGTTTCAATGTTTGCTTCCCTACATTTATGGTGTGTTTACTAATCAGCTTTTGAAATTTAAATCAGGAATTGAATTCCAATTATGGAGGATTCCTATGTTTACTTCACATCAAGGAATTAAAAAAGTAAGTGAAACTCACATAAAATTAGGAATTGAATTCCTGATTTTGGAGAAATTGAATTCCTGATTTTGGAGGAATAGAATTCTTAGGTGGGAGGTGATATTCTAATTCCTGGAGAACTAACCCATTAGGAATTCTTTTTTTTGTTTCTACCCATTATATCCTTACACAATTTTAAAATTTTAAAATTTTCCATCTACTTTAACCCAATACAAGGACATTTTATTAATTATTACCATATCTACCTCAATTCCATATGGTTTAGTAAAACTTCAATTGGAATCTGGAATCTAACTCTCCTCAATCTATATAGTTTAGTAAACAACTTCAATAAGAATCCAGAATATAATTCTCCTCAATTCAACCTGTCATTAATTCAATTTCTCCTAGTTTGACTACGGATTAGTTGACCATGAAACTGGGCCTTATTTGACATTAACTAATCAAGCCCAATCTGACTCAGTATAAAAACCCCTAAAACATTCATGTCCTTTCCCAAATTTGATTTACAAAACAAACAGAGAGCTTCTGAGCTTGTGGGGAAAGGAAGATCAAATTCATCCAGAGAAACTTTCTTCGACTTTCTTACTTAACGCGTCGATAAATGGTAAGCTTCTCAATGCAATTTCCAGCTGAAAATTTTCAATCTTTATTATTTTTCATGCAATATGTGTTCAATCTTATTTTGGGAATTGCATACTTAACGATGTGAATGAGTGTCTTGAGAGATTGATGCGAATTCGAAAAGAAAGATCTGGGAATTTGAAGTTAAGAAATTTTGGGTCTTGGGTATGACTTTAACTGGCTTAGTCCTTTGAATTTTGGTATTGGGTGAAATAGGCAAGCCTTTACAGAGGGGCCTCTCGGAAAGAAAAACCCAGAGGGAGACATCATGGGTTAACTACACAAAAGAGACAAGAGATCAAGGAAGCGTTCGAGTTATTCGACACCGATGGCTCAGGTAATGCAAATTTGGGATTTTGATGAAGGTTCTAAGGTTATTATACTGTTCAACTTTTGGTTTTTGGTTTTGACCATGTTGTTGTGTTGTGTTGTTTAGGCACCATTGATGCCAAGGAGCTCAATGTTGCCATGAGGTATGAATTCTTGTCTTTTTCACAGTGGATTAATTGTCTAAATGCTTACAACTGATTTTATATTTTGTTTATGACACAGGGCTCTCGGTTTCGAGATGACAGAAGAGGTAACTTAGATTATCCACCCATGTAAACTCACTTGTTAAACTTGTTCGTGTGTGTTGTGTTTTGGAATGTGAGTGTGTTTGAGAAACCACTCCCATAATATTTAGATATAATTCAGATGTGTGGTTTTGCCAAAATTCGACCTAGATATCTTTTGCCATTTGTTTTGCTTGGACTCTGTCTTCTTGTCTTCCTGATTATTTGTTGATTTCAGCACTTTAATCTTTCCATTCTTGTTTATGCTCTCTAGAACTTCATCCTTAAATTTTTATTGCAAGTTCTTAAGTGAACATCGTCAGCACTTGAATTTCTTGAACTTGTGTATTTGGTACATTGACTGAATTGCTAACATGTCGATCTGTTGTTTCATTGCAGCAAATCACTCAAATGATTGCAGATGTTGACAAGGATGGCAGTGGTGCTATTGACTTTGATGAATTTGTGCACATGATGACAGCCAAAATTGGGGAACGGGACACAAAGGAGGAGCTCATGAAAGCCTTCCATCTCATCGACCAAGATAACAATTGTATTGGTTTGCTTTCTAAATATTACATTTCTTTCAGTTTATAGTTCTTTGAATATTGGATTTGTTTCAATCTGTCAATATCTAATTCCTGGTTTTTTTTCATTTGAATTTTAGGGAAAGATATCTGCTGCAGACATTAAAAATATTGCAAAGGATCTGGGGGAGAACTTCAATGACAGAGAGATCCAAGAGATGATTGAGGAAGCAGACCGAGATCGTGCGTGCTTAAATATAACCTTTATTTTTTTTAATGCCTCAAAATTTATCATTTTGCTAACCCTAAGGTTATGACTTGAAATGTACAGGTGATGGAGAAGTTAATGCTGAGGAGTTCATCAGGATGATGACGAGAACAGCATATGGGTTTTAGAACTGGAAAGGTTTTAGCCTTCTGCAGGATGTTGAGAGTCTGATCCGATGCAGAATTATTATGTATTTTATAGCTATAAGCAAACACCTTTCTTTGTTTCACTTTGACATGCTTCTGTAGAATGATAATCTTAGACATGACATGGTGCCTAGTGTAGTGTGGTGATGGTACATGTCTGTAAAATTTTAAATATTCGAAAGTATGAAAAATACCATCATGGTTGATGGTATCGTTATTATTACTTCTTTTGTGACAAATGGAAAAGATTTCAAATCCTTGGCTCGTAATCCTAACTCGTTTTTCAGTTCTCTTTCACCACTTCGGCTAACCTCAAGTTTTAAGTTAATAATAATTTCTCGGACTTGTTGGCACTCTAATAAAGTCATCATGCAATTCTCTCTTATAAAAATATATCCCTTAAAAACGAAATGGAGAAATTGCATTTGCAGGTTTCAAATAATACATGGCTTCAACATTACTAGGCCACCAAAATTGTTAGTGCTAACAATTGCCAATATCCACGTTTGTGCAACGTTTGTTACACCTGCAAGCTTGGACTGGCTTCGCTAAAGTTTTATTCCGTGTTTGTTTCACTCGGTTCTAATTTTAAGTGGGATTAACTAATATACAAAATTATAAATAAACTCAATCCTAGACATGTATTTATAAAAAAATCCAAGCACTATTTAAACATAGAAACACACCCAAAATCAACCTCAAAGTCAACTTTTTGGGTGTGTTTATAAATGGGTTTTGAGTGTGTGTAATGATGGGTTTTGGGTGTGTTTATAAAGTGTTTTGGGTGTTGGATTTTTTTATAATTTCAACCTCCATTTTGGGTGTTTTAGTGAAACTCCCGACACTACCACCTGCCACAGCCACGAGCCACAGCCACCCAAGAAGGAGAAGACAGAATAGAAGAGGAAGAGGAGAGAACATAAATTTTTCGAAAAACAAAACAAAGAAGAGGAGAGAAAATGGAGAAGAAGAGATGAGAGAAATTTTTCGAAAAAAAATAGAGAAGAAGAAAGAAAAATTTAGAAAAAAAACAGAGAAGATGAGAGAAATTTTTTTTTATTTTAAAGAAAAGAAAAGAAAAGTAGACAGAAGAAGAGGAGAGAAAATGGAGAAGAAGAAGATGAAAGAGATGTAGAGGGGAAGAAGAAGAAAGAGATGCAGAGAGGTTCGTCCAAAAAAGAAAAAAAGAGATGCAGAGAAGAAGAAAGAGATGGAGAGGGAAGAAAAGCAAAAAAATCTTACTTTTCAAAAAAAATAAAAATTAGTCCTAGTCCAATCAAACATACACCAAACGCTGTATAAGTGTTATTCAACTTATGCCAGGCCAGGCCAATCCAAGATAGTATCAATATTTAATCCAATCCATGACAGTCCCCATCCCAAACGACGTCTCCAAAACAAAAGGAAATGAAAAATTGGCGGCAAACCCAGAGGACAAAATGTAGGCATCAACCGTTAGCTACGTTTTCAAATCCTACATGCATAATGCATTGTGTCTCTAGTCTCAGAGCTTTCATGGAATAATGGGTTTCTTCTTCCGAGTCTTAAACACTCTTTCTTCTTCGTCGCCGTCAATACTCTCTTTTGTCAGACACAAACATTATTCAATCACTGCCAAAACCACCCACTTCCTTCGTCTGCTAAACCTCTGCAAAACCACCAAGGACTTGAAGCCTCTCAAGTCCTTTCTCATAGTTCATGGACTTGTTAACGACGTGTTTCCAATAGAGCAATTTGTTAGGTCCTGTTTTCATCTGGGTGCTTCACATTTAGCTCTCTCTTTGTTCCAACAAATCCAAAGGCCAAGCCTTGGCTTGCAGAACCTGATAATCAGGTGCCTTTGCAATGATGGCTTATACCAAGACCTCTTATATGTCTATCTAAATTCCAGGGCTTTAGGCTGCCCTTCTGATGATTTCACGTTTCCATTTGTAATTAAAGCGTGTGCAGCTCTGGGTGCTGTTAAGATTGGAAAACAGGTTCATGGTGTTGTGTTCAGAGCTGGGTTTGAGCAAAACCTTTTTATACAAACAGCTTTGACTGATTTCTATGCCAGAACTGGTTGTATGGAGATGGCACATGCACTGATTGATAGAATTCCCCAACCAGATTTGGTTCCTTGGAATGCATTGATTGCTGGTTATTCGTCGAATGGGTTTAATTGGGAAGCCTTTGATGTTTTCAGAGAGATTATTTTTATGGATTTGAAGCCAAATTTAAGAACTCTGGCGAGCATTATTCCGGTTTGCACTCGTTTGGGGTGTATTCATACTGGTAAATCCCTCCATTGCTTTGCTGTAAAATCTGGATACTTGTTCAATGATTTTCTTGTTCCCGCTTTAATTTCGATGTACGCTGGGGATGAAGATTTATGTGGTGCTAGAAACTTGTTTGATTCCGTAATGGAAAAGAATGTTGTTGTTTGGAATGCTATGATTTCTGCCTACACACAAAGGCAGAAGGCCATGTCAGCTTTCAAGATGTTCCGATGTATGCTTCGAGTTGGCACACAGCCTAATTTGATCACTTTCGTGTCCATTATTCCCTCCTGTGAGAATTCCAGCAGCCTCGCTTTTGGTGAATCATTTCATGCTGGTGTAATTAAGCATGGGTCAGAAAATCAACTTCCAATACTAACAGCCCTTGTATCAATGTATGCCAAGCTTGGTAATATTAATTCATCCAGGTATCTTTTTGAGCAGACGCCCAGTAAAAACCTTCTTATGTGGAATTCAATGATTTCTGGGTACGTGTACAACGGGCTATGGGATTTAAGTCTCGATGTATTTCGGAAAATGCAGTTTTCAGGATTTGATTCAGATGCTGTCTCCGTAGTTAGTATTCTTTCTGCATGCTCCAAACTTGAGGCTGATTTGCCGGGGAGGTCTGCACATGCATTTAGCATTAGAAAGGGTAGCCACTCAAACCTCAATCTGTCAAATGCACTGTTGGCATTTTACTCTGGTTGTCATCACCTCTCCTATGCAGTTACTTTGTTTCATAAAATGCCTATACGAAATGCCATAACATGGAATACGTTAATATCAAGTTGTGTGCACCGTGGAGAAATGGAAAAGGCGGTTCCCATTTACCATCAGATGCAGAAGGAGGGCTTCAAGTTGGACTTGGTCACCCTGATAAGCATACTCCCTAGTTTCAGCGAGAAGGAAAACTTAGGGCAAGGAATTGCTATCCATGGTTACGCTATAAAAGACGGGTTCTCTTCTGATATTTCTATGGTCAATTCACTCATTAGCATGTATTGTAACTGTGGAGACCTTGATGCTGGTAGGTTACTTTTTGAAGTCATGCCAAAAAGGAGTTTGGTGTCTTGGAATGCTCTGATGACTGGCTTCCGATACCACAATTTACAGAAAAAGGTTTTGGTCTTGTTGGGTGAAATGATGAAGAGTGGTGAGAGACCAAACTCTGTAACTTTGCTAAATTTATTGGCTGCATGCTACACACAATTACAAGGTAAGTCTATCCACTCTGTGGCCGTTATTTCAGGAATTGTACAAGAAACCCCTCTCCTTACATCACTTATGCTCATGTATGCTAGATTTGACAACACAAATTCATGTCTCTTACTCTTCCAAATGGGAAATGTGGGGGATATTTCTTTGTGGAATGCCATTATTTCTGTGCACATACGAACAAAAAATAGCAAAATTGCAGTTGCCTCGTTCTCTGATTTACTTCAGATGGGATTCGAACCTGACAATGTAACAGTTCTGAGTTTAATTTCTGCATGTGTTCAATTAAGTAGCCTCAGCCTTGCTCATTCTGTAATGGCTTACATCATAAGAAAGGGCTTTGACAAAGATCTGCTCATCAGTAACGCCCTAATCGATTTGCATGCAAAATGTGGCAACATATTGGTTGCAAGAAAGCTGTTCGATGGTTTGGTTGAAAAAGATGAAGTGTCTTGGAATGTGATGATCAATGGATATGGCTTGCAGGGGGATGGTGAAGATGCCATTGATCTTTTCTTGCAGATGAAACTGTCAGGAACAAAACCTAATGGCATCACTTATTCAAGTATTTTATCAGCCTGCAGCCACTCTGGCTTGGTTGAGCAAGGCCGCATGATATACAATTCCATGGCAGAACATGGGATATCACCCAAAATGGAGCACTATGCTTGCATGGTGGACCTTCTCGGAAGAACAGGCACTTGACTGAAGCTTATGGCATTGTTAAAAAACTTCCCTGTAAACCTTCATCAAGTATACTTGAGTCTTTGCTGGGTGCTTGTAGAATCCATGGAAATGTTGAACTTGGAGAAAAAATTAGTGAGATGCTATCTGAATTGGACCCAGAAAATTCAAGATCACATGTGATGCTTCACAATATCTATGCAGCAACTGGGAGGTGGGCAGACGCTGAAAGGGTGAGATCTGAGATGGAAGATAGACAACTGAGGAAAGTACCTGGATTTAGTCTTCTCTCATAAGAAAAATTAAGATTTTTTTATATATAAGAATTGTGATCCTCTGTTCTTTTCATTGGTGGGTTCCATTTGACTTGTTTGAAACCAGTAAGTAGTTGACTTTTGCATGACTTGAAAAATCACTCTTAGGGGCACATTGAGGACCAACCGAGCAAGACAGAGTCATGTCATTGCCGTAAGAACATGAATCCAGCTGTACTGTAATAGGAAAACAGTTATTTGTGGTTGTTTGTTTTTGTTGCACCAGAAATAGAGAGAATTTATGTGGTACAGTGCAGTGCAGCCCCACATCACATGCACAGTTGTTTTTTTTTTTTTTTTTTTTTTTTTTTTTTTTTTTTTTTAAAAAAAAAAAAGAAAAAAACCGGCTGTTTTGGGTAACAGATTAAAAGAAGGTTAAAAAACAAAGAAGACTTACTGCTTCAGAATGTACATCGTTTTTGGTCCTAAAGTGTACAATTATGTTGTTCTTCAATGTTTTTAAAGGCTATTACTAAATTTATCTTTTATGTACGCGTTTTGGGTAAGTACGGAAGAAAGAGCCAACTGCATCAATGCTATAAAAAGTCGATGATTTGACCCACTGTGCAACATATAAAAGCCTGAAAACCCCTGAGAAAGTTGCGCTGTGTCAGCCCCGCATCATGCCAGGAGGTGACGAAAGCGATAAGCTCAGCAGGTCGTCAAGACCTTCAAAGCTCAGACCCAAAAAGAAAAAGGTCGGCAGGTCTACGTGGAAGTATAAACTCTAGCTGGATAAACGCGGGCCCCACCTTCAATATGGAACTCCTCTCTCATTGGTGCAGAGCCACAAGCGTGTGAGAACGGTGTGTACGGATGGCAGCCAACTGGAATTCTGGGGTGTCCCGCCCTGTCACTCTCCCCGCCTATATCAAAACCCAACCTCTCGGCCTCCGATTGTTCTCGATGTCCTTCTACAAACTTGGCACTGATCCTCAGTTTTTTTGTTTTCCTTTGTTCAGAGAATAACCCCGAAGAAAGAACAATTGGATAAAAATGCCCTCGCACGCCAATCGCATACAGCAGGAGCAGGAGCACTGCATCATGGTCTCCGCCCTCAAGCATGTAATCTCCGGCGGCATCAATGCCGGTGGTAGTGGACCCACTTCGCAGCAGCAGCAGCAGCAGCTAATGGGAGCCGTCCATTCTGCCACGTCGTCAGTCTCCTCGACGAGGGACGGGACCCAATCAGCAACGGACCAAGTACACATGCTGTCGTTTTCAGCAGAGGGCGATACGTGTCGGGTGTGCGGGATCGAGGGGTGTCTTGGGTGCAACTATTTCCCGTCAACAACATTGCCAGACAGAAGCAAGCAACTGAATTTGGGGAGCGGGGCGAATGCGGGGACGAGGAAGGGGAAGAACAAGTACAGGGGAGTGAGGCAGAGGCCGTGGGGGAAGTGGGCAGCGGAGATTCGGGACCCGCGGCGGGCGGCGAGGGTTTGGCTGGGGACGTTCGAGACGGCGGAGGAAGCAGCCAGGGCTTACGACAAAGCTGCCATTGAGTTCCGTGGGGACAAAGCAAAGCTCAATTTCTCATTAACCTCCTCCGATCAGCATAACAATATCACTAATAGCAACATCACTTCTAGTAGCAGAACTAGGACTAGCTCACAATTAATTAGGAGCATGGAAGAGGCTGATCAGGACAAAGTCAATCCAATTACCGTGAAACAATCAGAGAAGATGGAAATATATGAGAGCAGTGCCCCGCAGGAAGAGAATGACCAGTTTCTCAGGGACATGCTTCAAGATGGAGATGATGACGATGAGTTGAAAGCATGGACGTCAGCCAACTAAAATACCTCGTGCTCTGCTTTGATGAAGCCAAGTTTTGTTAGGGGGCTTTCATTAGAGACTCATTTCAAATTAGGATTTAATTAGTTCAAAAATAAGAAAATTTATCGTACGCGATTACCTCGTAGTAATAACACGTCGATGAGTGGCTTTGTCGTTCTCGTTCGTTTCCTTCTGTTGGAAATGAAATTAAAAGTTAATAAGGACATTCTATATCTTGTCTGTTGACGTGGACCACTTTAGTGGACACGTACCGGTTTGGGTAGGAACGTTAGCAAAACCGATCTCGTATTATTACTAAATCACGCTCCAAATTGTTTCAAAGTTCTTCCAACTACAAAATACATTTCATTTAAAAAATAAATACAAATACAGAACAGGGTGAAGAAAGAAAGAAAGAAAGAAAGAAGGAAGAAATCCCCCCCTCGAAGGCCACATTTTATCATTTGCTAAAGTTGAAAAAAGAATGCTACCTGGACACAACATTTTAGTACATCAAATCCCCAATAAATTGAGAGTTCGGTTTGCAGACCAACAAAGACTTCAAACCCACAAACCCCCATGGATGATGCACCACAACTGAAAACAATATCATAGTTGACTTGTCAATACAACTATTACGGCTCCGAGCTAATCGTCATTTTTCTTCTAATCGAGCAACCACCAGGCAGGCCCAAAATTTCTGCAACCTTCATTGGGAAAACCAGCATACCTATCTATTGATATATCTCAAAAAAATCTCAATCTCAATACTAGACACGCACCTACCAGTGCAATGGACGCTGCAAAAAAACAAAAGCAACCAAAACTCTTTATTCCTGAACATCTCCTTCAACCTGCAGGCTCTCCTTTTTTTTTTCCTTCTCAAATCCAAGCAGCTCATTTTGTAGCTCCTCACGGCGCTGTTGAACTCCCACTTGAGGTCTGTTTAGCCACATATACTTGCTTCATCTTAGAAGGTGGAAAGCCCTTTTCCGCACCCACAGACTGATTCCTTCCATGGAACCCCATTCTTCGATGCGGCCAGTCACCACCTGAACTATTTTTCTGAGAACCCCCACCTCTCTGATAATAAGATGAATGGCCATACTGCTGGTTAGAGGTGTTATTCTTGTGCATAGATGACTGAGACTTGGCATTAGAACTCGCGCTATGTCCACTAACACTGGTACTGAGCTTCTGATCAACATCAGTCTTGGCAGTATCTACGGTGGTACTTACAGATGAGCTCTTAGTGACAGCATTCTGTGTTGAAGCCCCAGTGCTGGAGGAGCTTGCAGGGTCTACTAATCCCAGTTCATCTGGGAATCGGGTGACAGTAGCATCAGTTGCTACAGGAAAATTACGACTGTTATCAAAGGCTGTAGAAGTCCGGGAGTCAGGGAACCTGTTGGCCGGCAATGATTGGTCAGCAGGACCATGGCTAAATTTAGAAGGAAGTATACCATCTGCCTGTTGCTGCAATGGCATTGATATAGGAACAGACTGAAGAGGTGATGCAGGAACATGTGGCCATCGGGCTTGAATTGACATGTCAGGAGAGGACTGGGCAAAACAATATTACCCCATCGTTAGTTATAGTTATGCCAGAAAGAAAGAGTATGGTGAATGTTCACCAACCAAATAGAAACAAATTAAAAATTAACAATTCTATCATCTTCATGCACCCATTTCAAATTCCTGTATCTATGACAAATTCGAAAAGGCATCATATCCACACCTCAAAGCATCCCCCTTCCCACTCTTTTCAGAGAGAACTCTTCCCAAAATCCACTATGCTTCAAAACCTAAAAACCCAGGGATGGGGGGATATTTTAGGTCAATAGATTGAATTTTTACCTGGAAGGGAGAAACATCGAACATGGCCAAAGGTGAAGCCATAGGAAGCAGTGGTGACCCAGGGGCCAAATGCTGGATCGGAGCAGGCATGTTGGTAGGGTTGCGCTGTGCAGAAACCATATTTATATTGTTCATCTCCCCCTCACCAACAGCCATGGCGGAAGATGCAGGGTTGTGCTTCCAATCTGGCTGCTTTCCTGATGGGATATAGGCAGTACCCATGAAACTCAAGCCAACTTGTCCAAATTGTCCAACAGGTGCAAAGTGGTTATAGACAACCATGTGTGGTGGACCTTGAACACCTGGTATGCCTCCAGCTGGACTGATAAAAGGACCAGTAAAACCTGCAGGAGGACCGTAGAATGAATCTACCCCAGAATGACACTGCTGCCAGGTCCCAAGTGGCGCTGAAGCTGGTGCACTACTCTTTTGGGATTGTGGTTGGGTAGTAGATGCAGATTCATCATGTGGTCCAAATGCAAAAACGGGACCCCCCAACATGGGATTCATTTCATAAAAGGGAAAATGGGAAGGCGGGCCACCAGGAAAATGCGGAAGCATTTGGCTTGAAGAATTCTGAGGACTTGGTAACGGTGGCCATAGCGAAATTGGTGGTGTCTCAACAGACAGATCTGCTGGAAGGGAAACACTGAGAGACTCTTCGGCCCGTGATTGACTGGCTAATTGCTGATCACCTGCTCCACCAACCAAAGATTTTAATATGATAATAATCATTAAAGGGGTAAAAAAAAAGAAAAAAAAAAGAGGACTCATTACTAAACAGAAAATCTATCACACCTGCTGTCCTCCCATCAATATCAGCACCTTCAACACTCTTGGGAAGGGCAGCCACTATGAAATTGGTTATAAGGAAATTATTCTGACCTGGTAATGGTGGCCTTAATGAATGGGTCTCAACAGATAGATCTGCTGGAAGGGAAACACTGAGAGACTGTTTGGCCCTTGATTGACTGGCTAATTGCTGATCACCGGCTTTATCTACCAGAGATTTAAAATCATTCTAATAAGACAACAACCATTAAAAGGAGAAAAGCAAGGTTCATTTCTAAACCAGAAAAATTATTCGCACCTTCTGCTACCCCATCAATATCGGCACCTCCAAAACTTTTGGTATCTGGAACCGAGACAGAGCAAGCACCCAAACCATTCCCAACAATTTCGTCACTGCTAATGGCTGCAACAGCAACAGCTGAAGCCGCTGCTTCAGCTTCAGCTTCACAATCTTCCAAATGAACACATGATTCAGTGGTGTGTTTGTCTTTTTCAAAGAGAAGATTCTCACTTGCAGAAAGATTGTGGGAGAGTTGCATGTCTGACCGAGATGGTCCTGGTGGGCCGATTCCATGTGATACAGCACGGCTGCTAGGAGGGAGTATTGTTGGAGACCCGTATACGCACATGATATATAGGGATAGGATTCACAATCCATCAGCCAAAAGAAAAAAGGCAATCAAACATTAGCAAGTCTATTGCAATTTGATTTCTTAACTATGCTCACCACCAATTGGATTTTCTCGCCAGCAAGAAGGGAATTGATTGGATTTGCAGCAGAAGAGAATGGCTTCTCCTTTGTCATGATGGATGACGATGGCATGCTGGACTCACAAACTGAGCTATTAATTTCTCCAACAGAACCATGAGAACCAAATTGCCCAGGCTTCATAGCCTCATCAAGTTGGGTCTGCGTCAAGGCCATAACCTGGCAGTGTAGTCAATCAGTTGCAGACTCTTATACAGAAAAACAGATATCTAGGAAATACAGAAGAGGATGCAAGCATGCTAAACTGAAAGGAAACTGATCTATATAGAATGAAATACATCATCTTGATCTCTATGTTTTTCCAGTCCAAGGAAGCTTAGCTGGTCTGGTCAAATTTTCTCCCACCACCCCCGTCAACCACCAAACACACACAACAAAACCAAAAAAAAAAAAAAAAAAAGGATCGCTTCACCTCCCACCACTCTGGTCTCAAGGACAATTGCAGAGAACCCAGCACACCCCACTAGAAATCACTATATGTTGCTTCATCAGTATAATAAATGTCAAAAAAGTACAACAAATCTAAAAAATTCCTTCATTCTGGATTTCACTTATGAAGCAAATGCTCGATAGGTAGAATGGAATGCAATTAAGAATTCATTTACAAGCATGGTACACATTAATTTTCCCAGAGAATCTGAAAATGAATTTATTTTTTTGGGCAAATGGAAGCACCCATTATGAGTCATGAAAGCAACACAGTGAAGAAACCAACAAAAAAGGAACACCGGAACCTGAACTTGTTTCTAACAGAAACTCTATTTAGCTTTAAAATGAAAAACCTAGGATCCAATAAAAATTTGCGATCGAAAACATAATTGTTTTGCACACCTGTTGATTACCCCATGAGCTCAAAGATGCTTGAACATTATCCAGGACCTTATTGTTGTTCTCGATAATCGAGCCTCGCCCAATATTTTTTACACTACCTGATACTACAGGAAGGGAGCTTGTGTTGAGTGACCTGTTAAGAAGAAAAAGAAAACCATCAGAAATCAATGTGTGCACATTATAGGTGTTGTATATTTCTCCAAAGAGAGCAATACCTGATTGTTTGAGATCTAATATCAGCCTGGACATCACTTTTCACAGCAGGAGTGCCAATTGGAGCCAACGGTTGAGACACTACATTAGTGTTAAATCCAGCTGATACTTCAATATTTGCCAATCCACGTCCTTCAGAGGCAACAAAATCAGAGTGAATGCTGTTTCCTGCTTCTCCATTTGTTGCTGCAGAACTTTTACCTGAGTTGGCAGAGGCAGTACTACCTTTTGAAGTAGAACGAGGTTTCCGTGGCACCTGAATGAGCAAATAAATGCAATTAAGCAACTCTATTTAAATCAACGCAAAGCAGACGACAAACTGAATAATTACATGCATTACAACCTTTGAGGCGCGAGACTTCGCCTTGATTTCTCTTTCTCTCTGTTCACGCCGATCATTCAGCATTTGCCTCTTTGACCTCACTTCAATGAAATCATCTTCATCACTAGGAGCCTCTATGCCAGGTTGCTCAAAAACACGCACAATACCACTTTGCAGAGGAGCATAAACATCCTCTTCAGAATGAATATTTCTTTTAAGGTTTCCCTCTCCAGATTTCGGGATATTCTGACTCTTTGTCGAGGCATCTTTTCCAGCTCCCTTGTCAGCCCTGTTTCCAGACTCTATTTCTTGTGAATTATTTCGACCAGGGCTCAAGCCCTCTGAATCTAACATCTGTTTTGAAGGTTTATTTGACATGACAACCCTCCTAGGCCCACCTCTTACAGAAGGCCCAAAACCCCTTCCAGAGACAAATTTCTCTTCCAGTCCGACATGGTTGGAAGATACAGAACCTGTAGATTGCCTCTTATCAGCACTTGCTCGAACTCGAAACTCAGTACGCTGCATATTGCGTCGATGCCTTCTCTGAAACCCACTAGATTCTACGTGGGTTGGCTCAGTATCTGGAAATGATCTTGCGCCAGAATTTTTAACCGTAAATACAAATTTTTTTCCCCTGCCACCAGATGCTGGGCCATGAGCCTTTGGCCCACTAAAGTCTTTTTCTTTGATAACCGACTGAGATGGCGCCGCTCCAGTTTGAGCCTGACCTTCAGATTCCCTTGTACCAAAGAAAGCACTGAAGTTTTTCCCAACCGAATTATGGTGTCTCTGATCTGCTTGAAACACTGTCTCAGACCTTGAATTGCTATCACCAATACGGGATACCGCTGGTCCCCGTTGCACCATAACAGAAGTTTCAGCCTTTTCTCCTGCTGGCATTGAATTTATCTTCTCTGGTACATTCTCTTGAGATACATCCAAGTGCCTTGAAGTAAGTCCTGGTTGATTATCCACCGAAAGTAACATAACATCATTTTTTATATTTTGAGAAGTTCCTTGACCAGTCTGAATAGGCAGAGGACCTCCTGGAGTCTGGTTCAAAGAAAAACTGGATGGGAGATTGGGCTGAACAAAAGACATTGATTGAGGAGCCATTGGCAGTAGTCCCTGGGATATTGGAGATGTATACCTTAGCTGGCCAAACTGGAAGAGAGGAGGCTGTGACGGGTGCAAGTGGGCGAGAGAAGGACCAACCTGAGGATGCAGAGGAAGAGGCATCTGTATAGAACCAATTTGTATAGCTGGGACCGGAGATGGTATCAGAGATGGACCTGAAAACAGCCCAAACTGAAGCTTAACAGGTCCTTCTGTCTGATTTGGAACAGCAGATACTGTAGGCATGACAGCCTGACCAGACAACAAATGGGAGTTATGGCTAACTGAAGATGCAACTGGATGCTGAGAAGATGGCCGAGAACTACTAGCAGCATCCACATGATCCACACGGTCAGTTGTAGCAGACATATGGGAGGCATTATTAGGCTGAATAACTAAATTCTGCATTGCCTTCTCAGTTTCCTGGAATATTCTAGAAGAACTACCTACATTCACTAGTGAGGAACCATCCATATGTTGAAGGGTCTGTTCATCAGTACGAATTCCATCAAATGACCCGTGCTCTTCAACAGTGCCAGACAAAACCTGAGGTACCATGAATGCACCTTCTTCATTCCTTGAACTTCTCTCAAACTCATCATTTGGCATTCCAACTTCAACACCTTCATTGAAGCCCAGGACCAAGTTGTCCATCATGTCAGGGGACCCCTTTTCCTCTAAATGCATGTCTTCAAACTCATGGGTTAGGTCAATATTCTCATCATCTCCTTCATGCACTTCATCTTCCTCATCGTATCCATCTTCATCTTCATCATATTCTTCTTGCTCCTGAAGATGCTCATTGCTCTCAACAGCCCATTCTTCATCATCACCGGTTGAGACAGAACTAGAAGCATTCACCACATTCTCTTTTCCAGAATTGGTAGGTAATGCAAGTGGTTCGTTCTCCTGCCCAGACAGGGGAACATCTTTGCTATCCCCAGGGGCAGATAACACTGAAGAATCTCTGGATTCATCCAAGTCATCATGAGAAAGATGAGTTGGAGAACTAGGGGGACTAGACACAGAAAGAGAAGATTGTGAGTCACACCTGGGGGTGGTGTTACCGTCCAGTTTCTTTTTCTCATTACCAGTGTTTTCTTCTTTGACATCAATTATTTCAGGTTGTCTGATATTCTCCGCGCGATTAGTATCAAACCCTGTCTGCAGGGTAGGTTCACTTCTAGCTGCATGATTGTACTCCATCTCATTTTCAGGAAAAGCTGAGGGGCCAGGATGATCAATTTCCCCCCTGTAGGAGGTTTTGTGCATGGAAGCTAGTGATGGCGGTGGAAGAACACGAGGCTGTCTCATGGAATACCGTGACCTACCGAAAGAATAAGACCCATCTGCATCAGAATTTGGATACAGTTGGTCAGGGTAAGGAGAATACGGATTGCCATGGACACGGCCCTGCCCCCATCCAACATCATTAAACTTTTCAACAAGGTTATCCTGGAATTCAGACTCAATCTCCATATTTCTGCTATAATGATCCCCATCCCCAGAAAGGTTCCACCTCTGCCCCCTTAAATGAGTGATATCATCCATGTGAGGTTCAGTAATCCCTCCTTTATGGTAAGTCCTAGAAGACATGAATCCACCGCCTCCATAGAACTCTTTCCTTAAATGACCTCTCCCACCAACAGATAAATCTCGTCTGGGACTATGATGGCCATTGTCCTGGTCTTGTATAAGTAAGGTTGAGCTGTTCCCATTCTCATATACATCTCTTCTCCATGAATTAACAGGTTTTCCTCTATCCACAAAAGCAGAAGTATCTCTAGAATAATGAGACCTAGAACCCATCTCAAAGGACCTGTTCAAACTTGAATCAGAAGATGCTGAGGCTGTGATCCTCTCCACCATTCTTTCACCATCCTCCCAGTCACCCATGTCAGCTGCCCTGGACACATCTTTTTCTTTCTCCATCCTTGACATTTTCTCATCTGCATCAGCCAAAAAATTACCACCAGCCTTTCCAGTTTCCGCCTTCCTCTTGGCAATCCTTTCCTCCAATTCCAAAAGCTTCTGCTTAGCAGCATGCTTCCTCCTTTCTTCCTCCATAAACAACCTCCGTCTCTCCTCTTCCCTGGCTACTCTCTGCTCTTCAGCTCTTCGCATGGCTTCTAGTTGTTCTTGTTCAGCTCTCCACGCTGCTTCCCTAGCTTCTTCTTCCAACCTTCTCTGCCTCTCTACTTGTTCCCTAGCCAGCCGCATTCTCTCCTCTTCTTCTCTTCGAGCTAGCTCTAAAGCTCTTTCTTGTTCCTCAACGATCCGCTGTCGCTCCTGTTCTTGCATTTTCTGAACTCTCTCAAGTTCGGCCTCAAAAGATTCCCTAACAGGATCATGGAAATCAGTTTGTTTAATCACATCTTTCTTCTTCTTAACCACTCCAAGAAGACCTCCAGAGAAGGGATCCCGGCTGTCAAAACCAGTACCTCCAAAGTCTTTCATGAAAGGATCCTCTACATAAGGTTTTTCACTATTTGAGAATGAGCGCTTCTCCCTACCAAAATTGAGCAGGGGATCATTGACAGGAAGTCCTTTACCACCTAGCGAGTACGAGGGTTTGGACACTGAACTATTCTGTAAAGCATCACCTCTGTATCTATTGTGTTGTTCACTGCCATATCGGTCTCGTTTATTCCATTCAGCCCCTCTGCTTGCATATGAATCCGTATAATTGTTCCAGGGCTGTCTCCCTCCATGTCTATACCCTACATCCCTCCTTACAAAATCATCTTGAACATTTTCTTGAACGGTTGTCAGACTATACTTGTTCTCCTTACTTGTTTCTCTGTTTACACTCGATGGCCTTGCACCAAAACCATTTCTTTCATTTCCAACTTGACCACTAATTCCATCTTTTGGAAGATTGGTATTTCTCCACGAGTTCCCTTCCCTTCCTTCTCTGCTAGGTGTTCTTGCATCTCTGCTGTATGGGTCCACCTTAGGGACTTCACTGGAAGAATTCTTTCCAGCTTCATTGTCATGCAGACCCCGCCTATCAGAAGGATTATGAACTGGCTTGTGTGGTAGAACACTTATTCTGGGCATATCAAAATCTCTATCCCAATAAGCTTCAGTCTTTGAGAACCCATGATCTCTGCCCCGGTCTGTGAAACCATGACTTGTATCACGCTCATCATCCGCCCAATCTGATCTTGGGTTCAACCGAACTAGTGGTAATGGACCTGGAAAATACTCGTCCTGCTTCCTTACTTGCTCTGATGCTCGATTACCACCCAAACCCTTACTTTCACTGCCACTCTCATTCAGTCCATTGCCTATACCACGACGAGACGGCTGCACTTGAGGGCGCATGTCAACAAGCAAAGTTGAATGAGAACTATCCCTCTGCTCATTCAACAATTCATCACGGACAACTTGCCTCTGTTTCTGATTCAAACCATCCTTTTGCTTTTGTGAAGGCCCTGATGAAGAAGGCAAAGCAGCCTGCAATGAAGGAAAATCCTCACCCCTCAAGAGCAGTGCTTTCTCTGTCGGTTGATGAGATAGAGCAGAAGCAGTAGGGAGAGGTCCCACTGAGCCAGACCGGGCTGAAGGTGGCATATAAACACTGGTCCCCGAACCGTTCCCCCTACTCACCCCATCAACACCATGCAAAGTCTGGTCAACTCCATCAGCTCCTACATGATCACCAGCCCCTTCTTTCTCTTGCAAAGCAACCGCGGTGGGCTTCGTCCACCCCACACCGGATGAAGAAGGCCTTGACCCACTACCTGACGCTCCTCCACCGGCAGCTCCACCACCTGAACCCAACGAATCAAAGCGCTCATGCTCTTTGCGCAGTGAAGGCAGATTCAAGGGGGGTGGAACAGATAGCTTCGACCCAGCCTTGTTAGCACTGCGAGGCCTTGAAAGGACCACCATTCCTCCACTGCCATGACTACCGGGCCGGCCCCTGTTCGACCCGTAAGAGCTAGGATGCGGTGGATGGTGAGAAGGCTGCCCATACGATTTGTTCAGATTCACGGATACAAACTTGGTCCCGACTCCGGGATTAGCCATGTCACGCGCCTGACCCACACTACGATCCAATTAGCGGGCTCTGATGTCCGCCAACGCATCAAAAACCCTAACCCTAACTTTCTGCTCCCGCCCGCCCAGATATTGAATCACACACTGTTCCCCTTTCACGGATCTCACAGTAAATGATAAAAGAATCGAAACCAAACCCTAGAGAGTCTCCCTCTAACCCTGATCAATCAAAACATTAATTATCAGATAATAGATCTCGTAGCTCGATTAATTTAACTAATTAACTTATAATGCTTGCTAACAATATCAGATTAAAGTGCGATTAGGGTCTGATTAGGGTTTCAGTGCGAGCGACTTAATGAGATCAAATGGAAAATGAAAAATGGAAAAGGGAGGAAGTAGGATAACGAGCTTACCTCCGGGAGCGTAAGATAGAGAACGGCGGGGTTACCGTGCGCCGCGGAGAAACAACAGTGCGAAAGCGTAAGATAGAAGAAGCCCTACTGTCACCGGAAAGAAAAAAAAAGCAGGAGAGGGAGAGGAGAGGAGAGCAGAGAGGAGAGAGAAAAAAAACCGAAAAATGAGCTAAGCAAGAGAGGAGAGGAAACTAAGGAATGGGTTTTTTGGTCTTCTTGTTTATTCCCCTTCATTTTGTGATATTTGTATTTATACCCCCATATACTTTTGTGATTTTGATTAATCGCCTACTTCTACCTGAAGGCTAAAAGCAAATATCTTTTCACTTGTACGGACACCGTTGAAATTAAACGGGCGAGTGGGATAGATTTGGACCCCCCCTTGTTTTTGTGAGAAGTTGGGAAACAAGTACTGAAACAGTCGGTACCTTTTGTGTTTCTGTATTTAAAGGCAAAAACAAGAGTAGCTTTGTCTTTGACTTTCTGACTTCTTCATTTACCATTTTTATTAGCTTCATTGTTTTGTTGTATGTATGGAAGTCAGCTCTAAGCTTGAATCATGTTATGTGGATGAGTCATACCAAAGTAGTACTCCTGCCCATTTGGGTTAAAAACCGGATTGGGTTCGGGCGGATTTGTGTGGGTTGACCTAACCCGAGTTGCCTTGTACTTGCAACTATCCAAAACTATATGGTAAATTGGATAGGTTATATCTATAGTCATTGGGGCCTCCTAAAAAGATCTACTAAATTCACTGAGTTGTTCCAAAGGATCAAAACGGCCAATTATTAATGGAATTCCTTGTCGGCTTTCTATAAAATACTTGTTTGGAGGAGGGCTTCCAAATACATTGTAAGCTAAACCTGTGCTAACGAATAACCAACCTGCAATAAATAAGGAAGGTATAGTAATGCTATGAATGACCCAGTATCGAATACTGGTAGTAAATAACATCAATCTCCTTTAGTCTTTGGTCTTGCGAAATTTCCTCTCAATGTTAGAAAATGTCATTATGTGCTTTCCTCTCAATTTTATGAAGTTAATCAATGGCTTAACCACTATAGAATTCTTAGTGAGCACCATATTAGAATCTCATTAGTCTCACAATAGTATGTTCTTGTTTGTTTTTACAAAGTCATCATCATCAAACTTTTATATAGTTCATTGTACCTTATTGTGTAGTTATGCACTTAGATGGGAATGACAAATTCACATGAAACAATTGTCACCATATAGTTTTGGAAATGAGCATTTTGATTTCCCCAAATTAATGGAATGAACATTTCCAAACCTAGAGGTGATTTATCAATTTCATTCATACAATTCACTTGTGCTCATAGCTTTAGACTCTAAGTTCTAAACCTTGAACTAGGCTGGACCTAGTTAAGTTTCACTTTCACCAAAACTTCTTCTTCTTCCTGAAACTTCTTCTTCTTTTCCTTCAACCCAAAACCTTTTCTAAAGCTATTGCAAACTCTTTTGATTCTAGGGGTTTCGCATGGAATCATCTCCTTTCGGCTAATTAACCGGGCCTCTCTCCCCCGTCATGTTGTGGAGAGTTTTCCCTTTAGTTTTTTGCTAACCTATTGCTCCCTTGCCTATTTGGCAAGCTTTGTCTTCCCCCTAGGCTTTTAAGGAATACTACTCAACCTTTTGGGCTAATTTTGCTTGATATTGGTAGATCTCCACCTTTACCCTTTGTTTGTACTATTGAAATTTAAGGGTTTGGTGGTAGCTATTCTAAGATCTTTCTATGGAGGTGGAGTTGGTGGATATGGTATAATTTACTATCCTTCGATGTTGTGGGATCGTGAGTGGTGCTGGAGATACTGTGACTTCTTATGAAAGTCAAGGTGGAATTTGAGTGGTAAGTGCTCTTTCATTTTTTGGTGTTTCCAGTCCTAAAGATGCTTCAGAGTTGGTTATCCACACGATCTCTGTTCAGCACTGATTCCTGAGTTCTTATGGACCCTCTCATCTTTAACTATAAGTGAGTTGGGGTTTAAATACATATGGAGTTTGCTCATTGTTCTTGCACTGGTTGTATTTTATTATTTATATTTACACTTTCTTGTTTGCAATAACCCCTCTCTAAGGCAGTGTTCTTCATGTGTAATCTTGTAATTACCTCTCATATTAACGCATCTATTCTATTCTCAAAAGAAAGGAAAAACAAAAAACAAAAACTAGGCTGGACCTAAGTAGTAAGAACTATGCTCTAAAACCAAACATGATACCAATCCCAACTTCAATCACCTTGAGCCTTAAACTCTAATGTTGGACTTTGAGCCTCGAAACTCAAGCCCAATTCTAACATTTTGGGCCTTTGACCCAAGCCTCAACACTAGGCCCAAACAATTTTTGTTTCTTCCTATCCCTTACAGAAAGTTTTCATTGATGGGCTAGCATCCATACTGGGCCAGTATAATGTATGACCCATAGTTTATAGCATCACTGTATGTTTCTGAAAAATAACCGAGAATATACCAAGCGGATTTTCCATTGAAACCGAAGGGGAAAAGTGAGAGAGTTTGGTCGAACTTCGACGCAATGGCGGTGGATGCCATTGAAACCCCCTCTCCTCCCTTTCACCCCCCTTCTTCCCATTTCAGGTTTCATTCATTTTCCTTTTCATTTTATTAATTTATAATTTCTCTTGATGCTTAATTTTCTTGTACAATCTTCCATTTTTGCTCACAAGACCAAGTTTTGGTTGCAGTCAACAACGCCACTTCTATCTCGCCGTTGACAGGCTCCAGTTCAAGATGGTCTCTTTCTTCACTTCCCCTTATAAATAATTGTGTTTATAATTAAAGAAAGTGAAATTGTAAATTGAATTGGGCAGGAGACATTGATGGACCTGTTGGGCGTGGCGGGTAGGCGTCCCTGCCTACCTATAGTGGTCTGCTGCAGCTCACGTGATGAGCTCGACGCGGTCAGCTCCGCCGTCGCCAACGTCCCCTATATCTCTTTAGCTTCTCTGGTACACACTTACTGGCCATTCATAATTTTTATGGATTTAACTTTGTTCCATGGGTTATTAAGAATGCTTTCTAGTATCGTTAACTCATAACTATTTGCAATTTTTCTTACCATTAGATTGTTAAATACACAAAAGGGCATAAGTTTTGGAGCATTTGCTTCACAAAGATTGGAAAAATTAGGAGCACTTGAACTAGATTTTCAACTACATACTTGGGTTGTTGCTGACCTTGGATGGGGTAAAGAATTAAACTTGTTTAAAGTTGCAAACTTGTTTCTAACAATTAAAAGGATTTTGTGCCTTTCAAGGCATGATATTTTGTTTATTTTAAGGCAGTTTCTTTAGTTATGTCATGAACATGCCCAGCGCCATTACCCATGTTTGGAGACATTGAAACTTGGAACTCCCCTATACTGTTAACGTTTCCTAATTGGTCTGCGTGTGATATCTTGTATCCCAGTACACTGACCTTGCTGAAGCAGACCGTTCTTTGATATTAGAGCGCTTTCGGGAAGCAACAATGAGGTGGAACCCAGAAGCCAGTGCTCAACCAGCGGATGACAATGAGCCTGTGAAAGATGAACAAAAATCTCATATGATAGTTGCAACAGATGCATGCCTTCCACTTCTTGCTTCCGGGGAGTCACCCATTTCTGCTCACGTTCTTATAAATTATGAGTTGCCTACAAAGAAGGTGCACTTCTCATTCTTCCTATTGGACTTATAATGTTCTGCAACTCTTGTGCATTTGACTCTTATTATGGTAACTGTTAGATATTCCTATTTCATTTTAGATGTAGACTGCACATTATTGACATGTGATCTTGCTTCACTGTTTTCAAATTGTTTGATTACAAGATGCTTGTGAGGTTAGTGCATTGAGAAGACTAAGACCATAACCAAACAACTGAAAACTTTAGATAAGTTTTTCTAGTTGTGTTGTGCTTAAATTTCAGATTGCAAGGGTTGCACTCTTTCGCCAGTTCATTGGATAGTTCTTATAAACTTTGCTTCATTCCTTGGATCTTAAGCATTTTAAGAATGCTTCCTTATGTTCTTTATCTGCATCTAGGAGATTCCAAGCTTCCATAAGAAGGGAAGCATGTTTTTGTCATTCTCAAGTTTGATTTCTTATTGTTTGTACTTCTTTAATTGGCTGTTTTTGTACCTTGCATTGTGGTACTTTTAGAGTTACTGGTTATATGCCATCCTCATTCCTCAAGGTCGCTGATCATTGCCAATTTTATATTCTGACAGTAGTTATCACCTGTGTGCATGTGTTTGCTTTGCTACCGTAATGAATGTTTGTTTTTGTTTCTTTCCTGACAATATTTTCTGCAGGAAACATATATGAGGCGGTTGACGACTTGTTTGGCTGCAGGTTCTTCCTAGCTGTACTGCTTTGTTGGTTGCATAGTATGGGATTCCCCGGTCTTGCAATAACTTCATATAATATGTGCAGATGGGATTGTAATCAATATGGTTGTTGGGGGTGAGGTAGTTACTCTCAAAAGCATTGAAGAAAGTAGCAACCTGGTCATAGCTGAGATGCCCATAAATGTAAGTTCACCCCCTTCTCAATGTTTCCTCATTTCATTTTGTCATCCTGTTTGATACATAGACACTCAGTTTCCTCATCCCCTATAAATAAATAAAAAACAAAAACAAAGATAAAAAGACAGATAGATGGACACTCAGTTTGATATGATATATGATTCATGGTATTGCAGATTTCTGAGATTTTATGAAGGCATATGATCTGCTATGCCGGCGGACATGTTAAAGGACCAGATGAGATCCCCTGTACTCACTCTGGTATTTGGTTGAAGCATTTGAACGTGATCTGGGTGCGTTTTGAGGAAGTTTCAATCATATCAAATTTATACTGATCTTGTTCATAAATTTTAAAAAAATAGATAAAAATTTGTACTGCTCAAACCCCCATGACCCTCGACATGGTCTTTTTCTGTGTATTTATGGAGTTACTTGAGGTTGGGCCAGTAGGATTCCATCTTGTCTAGCCCAATTAAAGAATTTTCCATCTTTCCCAAGCTTTCAATTTGAAAGGGTTTCTATCACAATGCGCTTGAGTTCACGAAACTCTCAGTTTTAGTGCACATCAATTTTTTTCAATGTTGTTGGATTCCGTCAAACAATCTGTTAGTTTGCAGCCCCTTAAATCTCATCTAATAATTTTCTAACAAGAAAATGACATAAATCTCGATTCTTTTCCCAAGGTTTCACATGAGTGGGCGGGAGATATTATGGGACTCATGTAGAGCTCACCCAATAAACCACACAATTGAAGCTTTTCAATTCATGGCAGAAAGTTCTATTTTTTGTGTGGCTTTTTTTAACACGAAATTGAAAGTCATATATGAAATGCAGATGGTGTCCGTTGGATTGTGCGTGGTGCCATCTGGCTACAGTGCTCCAAAAAGAAAGAGATGAGATCATAGAAAGAACATTGGTTTTAGGCTCGCCCATGGTAGAAATTGATGACAATTCTTATCTGTTTTGCTGCTAGTTTTTATTCTCAAACAGGAGAGAAAAAGAATAAAGAGATATATAATTAAAGAGGACATTGTTGTTCAGGTTGTACGCATTTGTCTCGTTCTTTATGTTCATCATTACACACCAAAACAATAGGCGCTTGGAGCAGCTTTTCCCTGAAACAATATGCTCATTTAACTACGGATACTTCTTGCCTACTTACCTTGTAAGGAGATACTTCTCATTACTACGAATCACAGTTTGATATATATGCAAAAATAGTTCATAAAAAACACAAAAATAAAAACTTATGTACACATCACATTGCTATTGGCAGAAATGTAGGAGCTCCTACTTACATGATAAGGAGAGAAGTATTTTTATTAATATAAGATTAATGTGAAATAGAATACAAGTTCCTGGTGAACCTATTTAACTATACATACTAAAACATAATGAATTACTTGTTCTATTTCTTATAAATATATTTTCAAATTAATGAATACTTAAGAATAAAGTAGATAGACTTTTCTATGTCTCATGGTCAAGAAAAACTTAAATGTAAACCGGGATGTTAACGTGGTGGTATCCCAAGTATATTACGTATTGTCATATCGGAAAGTTAAAATACATATCAATGCATGGTTTGGGAACCGAGCGTACGTGAGAATAAAGTAGATAAACTTCCTTTATCTCTGCTTATATATAAAAGTGACATGATTTTTCCATTCCTCTTTTCTCCTTAACTTAACTATGTATATTAGCAGCCCTCTAATTAAATAGTAATTTGATAACCAATAAATCTCTGTAAACAAATCTAACAATGGTCTCTTAAAGAAAGAAAAAAGAGGACATGTAAATGGGCTATATATAGCAAAGGTTAGCAGGGAAAAAAAAAACTAAGTTCGAGGGTTCGGCTCAGTCTTGGAGAAGAAAAGTAATCTCCTATGTTGATGTGGCACATTCTTTTTAGTGGATTTAGGATATTTTTGGCTTGAAACAAAAAAAAAAAAAAAAAAAAAAAAAAAAAAACCATATATGGTGATGACCCAAATTTGACCAAACTATTGGCGACGGACACAACGTGTCGTTGAAAGCTCACTTCGTCGCAAATTTGTCGCCAAAAGTCTTTTTCTTGTAGTGATGATCATAGCTCTTATCCTCCTTGGTTGAGGATGATTAACCCTTCTAATTGAAGGCGTGGCAAGATTGCTGCAGGTTACTCTAAATACTCCTCTAGAGGTACTCGTGATTACTTAGTTTTTCAATAACAGGTAAATTTTGAAAAATATATAATAATAATAATAAAACAAAAAGATAAATGGAACATTATCACTTGAGCAGGTGCAGACGTTTGCGCGTGGGCGGACACTCGGTTGTAAGAGTAATATTGCCACGTTCACCATGTTAACTACGAGTTGTGTTGACCACATCTCTCTGTGTCAGGCGATATTAATTATTTCAACCCTGTTTTTTGCAATCAGAATGAGATTCGCTCATTGTTTTAAGTTTAACTATGTATCGATTCTTGCTGTATATTTTGTCGTGACTTGAGAAAGTTAAGTGTATTGATAAAACTCATGATGACTTCTTATCACAACAACAAACCGGAACTCGTGAACACTTAAATATGAATTTTGAAAAGAAATTACAATTATAATTTGCAAAATATTTTTCAAATTTGAGTGAGAAAATATTATGTTTTTCTTGTTGAGAGGAAAGTAATAACACATTAATTAATTAGTTGCATTTTACATATACTTGAATCTCAACTATTTGGTTACCAAATAATGTTAAACAATAAAAGGATTTTGAAATTTGAATTAAGGCATTGATATGGAAACATTCTATATCTACCATATGTAGATTATCCTCCTATAATATTACGATTCCAAAATCTTTACCCATTAATTAGCCCAAACAAAAAATCTTTACACAGAAGGAAAAAATGTTGCAGATCTTTTCCTTATTATCTTTATTTGTTAATCTTGATCCAAGCAGTTAACTCAACTCATAACATCTTAGTCCAAATTAGAAGATGTTAATTTGTCCCTTAATTTCTAATTAGCATCCTCATCTTAGTCATCACATTCATTCATGTTGAGTCGATTCAAGCATTTCATGCTTTGGCATTTGGATGCATTGCCAGTTTGCCACCAACTTTATTAGAGTGGTGCAATCTGATTTGAAGCTAGACATTTCAGTCCTTTGAGAAATCCAGAGAGGAGAAAACGACGAATTCGAACCACCCTCATGGCCACCTCTTCCCCATTTTCATCTTCCTCACACTCGTCCATTTCTCACCACCAAACCCTAACTAACCCCTCAGCACAAAGACAAAGCCTGTAGAAATTCTAGAGCACAGAAGAAAAAAAATTTACCAGGCACTTACAGATGGTGAAAACCTTGTTTATATATCTGCGTGTCTAGTCTTCCTGGTTTTGCAACATATTTATTTTGAGAGGAAGAAAATAAGGAAGGTTGTTTCTCTGATTACATTACCAATTCCTGAGAAGCTACAAAGATCAACCCTTTTCTTCTGCTCTCCCCATTTCATCAATCTGCTCATTGAGATCTCCAAAAACACTGAAAATCCAATTCTTGCTTTGTCAATTCAACGACATGTCGTACAACAATGCTAATGCTGCTTCGTGGTTATATATTCCAATTTTATCAAACTTGTTCTACACCACCGTCAAGGATGATGAAGAAGGTGGACAAGATTCTCAGCACCGCCAACCCACGGCTGTTTCTGTGGTCAGTCCTATATGACGCCAACACTTTGTTTTTTTTCTCATACAACCTTTGCATGTACGCCTTGTATTTTTGTGTATCTCTAAATTAATTATTTTATTTAATAATTTCGTCACCAGGTTGTTCAAGAGATCAAGCAGCTATACACCATAGCCCTGCCAATGATCCTGGCGGGCCTTCTGGTGTACGCGAAAGCGGCGATTTCGATGTTCTTCTTGGGCGGATTAGGTAAGGGGGCATTAGCAGGAGGCAGCCTAGCAATCAGTGTGGCCAACATCAGCGGCTACTCCGTCCTCTCCGGCCTCGCTTCTGGCATGGAAGGCATCTCCTCCCAAGCCTTTGGAGCCCAACAATGGCCTCTCATGTCACACACCCTCCAGCGCACAGTCACCATCCTCATCCTCATCTCCATCCCCATCTCCATCATGTGGCTCAACTGTGAGTCCTTCCTTCTCTTCTCAGGCCAAAACCCAACAATCTCCTCCACAGCCACAACCTACCTCACCTTCACAATCCCAACTCTCTTCTTCCAGTCCCTCATAAATCCCCTTAAAATCCACCTCAGAACCCAACAGGTCACCCTCCCTTTAATGCTCAGCGCCGCCCTGGCCCTCGCCATTCACGCGCCCGCCAACTACCTCCTGGCCTGTTATTTCCACCTCGGCATTCGCGGTGTCGCGCTTGCCGGGGTCTTGACAGACCTCATCATCCTCCTCTACCTTATTCTCTACTTACGCGGTTCGGGCATTTACACAAACACATGGCAAGGCTGGTCACTCCATTTCTGCTTCAAAGACTGGAAGCCCATTATTTGCCAAGCCATCCCCAGCTGCTTCTCTGTGTGCTTGGAGTGGTGGTGGTACGAGATCATGATCATTCTCTCAGGCCTTCTCAGCAATGCAGCTGAGGCCGTGTCCACCATGGGAATTTTGATCCAGGCCACCGCATTCGCCTACCAGTTCCCCTTCGCGCTGAGTCAAGCCGTGTCGACTAGGGTGGGGAACGAGTTAGGCGCCAACCGCCCCAAGCAAGCTAAAAAGTCATCATTTGTTGCATTGTCATGTGCTGTTCTCACAGGACTTTTATCAACCACGTTCATGGTAACAATGCGCAACACTTGGGGCCCGATCTTCACCGCCGATCGCGCCATTATATCGCTGACGGCTTCGGCGCTGCCGATCGTGGGGCTGTGTGAGCTCGGGAACTGCCCGCAGACCACCGTTTGTGGTGTGCTGAGAGGCAGTGCAAGGCCGACATTGGGTGCGGCTATCAATTTGGGTTCTTTTTATGTTGTTGGGTTGCCTGTGTCGCTTTTCATGGCGTTTGTGATGGATTTGGGCTTGCTGGGCCTGTGGTTGGGCCTTCTGGCTGCCCAGTTGGTTTGCTTTGCTCTGATGGTGATTGTGTTGATCAAGACAGATTGGACGGCTCAGGCGGAGAGATCCAAAGAGCTCACCAGTGCTAATGTGGAGGAGTATGTAGAGGATGAGGCCAATGAGGGATTAATATCTGCAATTATGCTAATTAATTAGGCAAATGATGGAGTTTGTACACAGTCTTTTCTCCCCTGGTCAGGGGTTTTTTTATTTGTAATTTATTTTAAATAGTTAAATTTTGTTTTTCTAGGTTTTGTTTCTGTCCCAAAAAAAAAAAAAAGAAAAAGAGAGAGAAAAAAAAAAGGCTTTGTTTATTAAATAAAGAAAACTGATTATACGGTATTATTCACTTGCATAACATTCTCGGATATTATCTTACTAAAATGTCAATTATGTTAATTTTGTTTTACATGTGTGTGATGTTAACTTAAACTCACGGTGTTATGTCACATATTTAACAACATAACATTGCCATCGATTTAATGTTTTGCATCTTTCTATGATTTATGATTTTAGAAAACTAGTTGTTGAAGTAATTCAATTATATTTGTCAGAAAGGAATATTTCTATTATGTCATAATATTGTTTTCATTTCTTAGGAAAAAATAATTTTACTATAGTGAGACATTGTCGTTACGTGTTTAAAGAATGTCTTTGAAGGCGGTCCTGCACCACTTGAGTGATAAGCAATATCTTTATTAAGCACCACTTGAGTTATTATCAAGGTGTGACATAGGATGTGAAAATATTAGAAAATGGATACAAATCTTCATATCATACTTTTACGCAGTTCCAATTTGTTTAATTGTTAATGTGTATTGTTGGACTTTTACATTCATGATATTAAGTCTTTGTTAAATCTTAACATGTGCGGGTGGTTGATATTTTAACTACTACGAGTTTACAATAGTACCCATATACTTTTATTTTGTTTCAGTATTTATTTTCTGCATGATATGTGTATTTATATATGATTGTTGCATGTGTTTATGCAACTTTATTTTATTTTATTTAGTACAAATTGTTGTCTAAATTAAAGGAGTAGAGGGGTTTCTCACATACACACACTATTACGATGTCATGGGAGTTCGAGCCTGAGATCACTAATATGCAAGTCAATACCATTTTCCATTAAGCTAAACCCCATTTATGCAAATTTTTATTATTCAAGTGTTTATAAAGCTATTTTTGGGTTGAAAGTACTCTTCTTAACGTTTGTAGTAACACTAATTGTATCATGTCAGTTATTAGTGTTATTGATTATGCAACTTCGTATTCAAATTTAAACTTATTCAAGTTTTTACTCAAGTGTTTATGTGACTCCATTATGTGTTTTTTTTCTTCCCTCGAAATGATGATAAGAAACTCTGTTATGTGTTTATTTACGTGTTTCTACAACTTCATTATTCAAGTTTCAAGATGTTTAAAAATAAAGAATTTTTGAACTGCTAAAAAACCCTAAACTCTCTACACTCCCCCCCCCCCCCCCCTCCCCTCCTCCCTCATTCTTCCACTATGGCTATAGTATGGTGTTGTCGATCCAGTTTTTTTCTTTGGTTTTCGTTGTGTTTTTGAAGCAACTACTGCAATCCACCGTAGACGCCATGATTTTGTTGCAGCTTTTGGTCCACTTACAAGGATTTTGCTCCAATTCAGTGTTTGGAGTTGGAAAAGTGATTGTTGCATGTTTGTGTGGGATCGGGTTTTGCCTGTGCAAAATAAGAGGTTTAACCATGTTGGTGCTACGAGTCTCTTTGGTTTGCTGGAGAGGATGTGGTGCAGTGTCCTTGTTTTTGTGTTTTTTTTAAGTCTAATAATTCTCATAAACTTAATAGAAGTTTGTTGATGTTTGTATTTAGTGTTCGACTTTTCGGTGCGGATTTGCCGTTACTACTGTTGCGCGATGGATCTATATTGTAGGTCTGAGTACAGGTGCTTTTGTCTGCCGAACTGGAGGTTTTAGGTTTTTATGGCATGTGTAATTCTCTCTAGATCAAACCAATTTATTTTTGTGTTTGGTCACTGAAGATGTTGTACTCATATTTGGCATTGCGGCTACTCTATACTTTTTTATATTTTATCAATAAAATTACTATTGCTTTTAATAAATAAATAAAAACTATCATTTCTATTTATTTAAAGAAAAATACAATTTAAAAAGAGAAAACCCTTAACGCCCTCTGAGAAAACCCAAAGGAAAAATTCCCACCGCCGCCTCCTTTAGGGGTCGGTGGCCTCCTTCCATACCCACCTCCCTTATCTTCTCCTCTCCTCTCCTTCCCTCCCTCCCCCCTTTTTTCCCCTCATGATTCTTTTTTGTTCTTTTATTTTGGGATGTGGAAGCAGCCGCCGTGAAACACTGTCGTCGCTATGAAATAATCGTTGTCTTTAAGCCTATGTATATTGGCGGACTCAGGAAACTTTTAGAGAAGGGGCAAAATTTGAAAGGCTAAAAGCTAAAAAATAAAATAAAATTACCAACTAATACCATCCAAAATTCCTAGCTACATATACCTGGCCTTCATTTGTACACTTCCACAAGCCTCAGACTCCTAGTTCCTACCAAAATTTTAAAGGCCGATACCCTTTTGGTGGCTTAAGGTCAGGTGTAAGCCTTGAGATATTGAGGCATAAGCTTTTCATAACATGAATTTTTTTTTTCCTAAGAAATACCTTTAATTTTTCATATTAGGCTAGGTAATGTATTATCGAATAAGGAAGATGTTCCAAAAAAATGAATAAAGGTTTAACTACAGACAAAAGGCACCATTGCATTTAAAATAACAAAACCTAATAATATGATTATGAGAGTACTATTGCTCATGATGACATGACTTGAAAGGAAGGGATGGAGAGCATCCATCGTTCCATTCTTTAATTTTTTTAATTCGGTGACTGTTCCACCACTTTTTTATATCCTGAGAATGTTTGAGCAAACGCATCGTTTCATTTTAAATGAAACTCATATACTAAGACGACATCGTTTTAATGAGAAACCCAAAATAAACAGCACACATCTTCTTCCTGGTGCATCTTCTTCCTCGCGCATCTTCTTCCTTGCAGAGCGTTTCTGTGCCAGAAAAAAAGTATGCAATTCTAACTAGACACACATCTGAAGGAGTCTTGTCATAATAGATGCGATTTTTCACTACCAAAACAGGAAAACCTCTTTGAGGCATTTAATCGAACAAATGGTGAGCATCATCAAAGGGGCAAATTACGGCCTCTCCAGGTGATTTTCCGGCTAGGGGAGGTGCAACTGCACCTCCTTGCGCCTTAAGAGATCCGCCATGTATACAAGAAGATGTCATATTTGGTTTTAGCCGGTGCAGTACTATGAGTTTAGCCACTATGGTGCTATGGCTCTTTTTAAGTTCCCTGGGAGATTGTGGAGCGGTGATCCTTCTTAGTTTGAAGGAGACATCAACTGACATTGACGAATCACACATAGTTTGGAGGAGAAAAGCCCACCTTACCAAGTTGCAAATCACAAGTGAGCATTCAACCACTTGGTAAGGTGAGCTTTTCTCTTCTAAGTTACACGCGACGTCAGTTGCTGTCTCATGCGTGTGTCAATCTTTATGAGTCGTAACTCAACTTGTCATCAATTGTGTAAAAAATATATATATATATCATGAGTGTTTCCAAATTCCATATAATTTAAAATGTTGTCAGAGTCCTCCTATGTTTTTTTATTGACAAACGATAGTAGCTAAGTAATGCTCCTCTCCCAATATCTCTTAGAAAAAAAAATTGATTTCAAGTTATAAATATAAGTTAAATTTCTTAATGATGTAAAATAGGAACACTAGGGAATAGAGGCTCCAACCAACTCTAATGTAAAATTCTCACAATATTTCTTTCTTATTCTCTCTATTCATGTAATGTATTCTTTACGAGCAAATTTCCCAATTTAAAATCAAATACAATATCTCCCTTCAGTATATCTCACTCAAGTATTGGACATTACATATAATATATATATATATATATATATATTCTTGAGATAGAATATATGCTTGTACCGATAATAGATCCGCAACCTTTACCAATGTGGTGTTTGTTTCTTCTTCATCATATAGAAGATTCCACGCAAGTAACACAAGAATCTACAACTTTATTAGTGGCGTCATGGCAAACCAAAAATAGGGTTCATATCATATAGGAGAATAGGAATCAACAAGATATGTACAACTTGGTAAGAATATATGTAATGTGTCCATATCTCTGGTTCTTCTTTCTCTCTTCAAATGAACTTGGAAAGTTAATGTGGGTGGAAAAAGAATAAGAAACAAAGACCAATATCAGAGATGTTTGCTCCCTTTTTTTTCCCCTCAACTTTGAATCAGAATTGATGTGAACAATGCGCGTAAAAATCCATCTTTATACTATTCCTTAATGGATCAGACCTCAAACAACACAAATCCAGAGAGCTTATATAAGATACTAGTTAATGCATGTAGCCTCCATCAACATATCAGAATTTGGAACCATTTGGGAAAAAAATTATGTCACGTAGTTTCAGCTTTCTCAGGTTTCAATATGGCTCTCCTAGAAAGCCTCCAAATAAACCAGCTCCCGAGTTGAGTTTCTCCAAAGAGAGGCAAAGGTCTAGCTTGTCAAGGCCTTCATCCCAGCCAAAAGCTGAGGAGATAAGATATGTGTTTGATAAATTTGACACCAACAAAGATGGGAGGATCAGCAGGGAAGAGTACAAGTCAGCCCTGAAGACCCTTGACAAAGAAATAGCAGAAGCTGAGATTGCCAAGACCTTTAAGGCCCTTGACAGTGATGGAGATGGGTTCATAGGGTTCAAGGAGTTTGTGGAGATGTTCAACATGGGAGCTGATCAGGCACGAGAGGCTGACATCGAAAGCGCATTTCGATTGTTCGATCTGGATGGCAATGGGAAGATAAGTGCAGAGGAGTTATCTCTGGTGCTGAAGAAGCTGGGAGAGAATTGCAGTCTTGGGGCTTGCAGGAACATGGTGAAAGGAGTGGATACTAATGGTGATGGTTTAATTGACATGAATGAGTTTTCCAAAATGATGGGGAACTTCAAGAAACCAACTGCTTAAAGAGATCATTTATATAAATTTTAGATCTCATATCCTAGTTATAGCCGTATATTTAGTCTTGCTTATAATAATACCTGTAAGGGTTGTCTGCCCATGTTCTTAAATAAGAATAATATGCTGTCTGCCTTTGCTTTTACCTTTACAAACAGTAAAATAATGACATCCATTATGTTTTGGAGCTAGCACTTGCTAGCGTTCACGTCCAAAATTGGACTGATCAGCTCATGACTAAATCAATCTAAAGGGGATGAATATTGTCGATAGTTTGAGATATATATATATATATATATATATGATAAAATTGATGAGATTAGAAGTAAACATAGACTACATATTGATATAGTGATACTTCTCTTTCCAATGTTGGAAGATGTCCGAAGTTCAAATCCTCCCTCTACAAAGAGTATTTAACGTCATTTAGCCATTACGGCCTAATCCACTGTACAAAGAGTCCAAAAGCTTAGATATATATGCCTAGAATCAGTGTGCTGAGATGGGCCTGATGCAAATAAGCAACTCTGCATTTCCAAAAGAAGGAAGTTCTTTATGCCAACACTTTTAACATACACGGAAATCAAATTGCTTAACTTTTTCAACAAGGTGCTAGGCTGCAGTGAAACATATGATCGATAAATTTTGAAACATAACTGAAATGAAATGAAAGAGTTGAAGTAGACGAGCTGATATTGATAAATATCCAATACAGGATGACAAGATAAGATGCACAATTTGCAGACAAGCATGGATGGCTCTTGAATAAAGATTCTCATCTGTGTGGACAAGATCAAACACTTTTCATTTGAAGTCCAATCTAAAACTAATAATTACAGGATGGGACTGACCCAATAGGCCATGGAGGTTTAATATATAACCCTTTTAAGAAAATTAAACAGCTGTCACATATGCCTAGAATTTTATATAATTACACTTAACATTGTTGTTCCCGTGCCTAATTGGAAGAATAAAGTTATTCATGGCCCTAAAGAAGTATTAGCGATTGTGCTAAAAGATGCCAAAAGAAAGTCCACTAAAGGCAAAATTAATTCGATTCTCCACTAGTAAAATCCACTTTAAGAGTCGTGTGTACTTGTACAGAGAACAGAAGAGAAGCAAACAAAGCTTGCCCATCTAGCTACATTTCCATTTTCTATCCTCTTTGAAGAGATTTTTATCTGCTTCGAGAAAAATTCATTGATGGCCATAATAAGTTGTTTGCAGGTGCAGCCCGACAAGGAGATGACAGTGGATGAGTTCAAAGCGTGGCTTCGCCTGTTTGACAGCGATCACAACGGGAAAATTAGCCGCGAAGAGCTGAAAGAAGCTCTCCACAGCCTGAAGGTTTGGTTTGGATGGTGGAGGGCTCGTCAAGGAATGAAGCAAGCAGATTGCAATAAGAGTGGCCAAATAGACAACCCCAAAGAGTTTGAAAAGCTGGTGACCTATGCACAGCAGCGTTTGGGCATGAAGATTCTTGAAAATAATTGTTGGTGATCATGCATGGTGTGGTCGACCCAAAACACATGTGCCCTGTGCCTGTACAAGTTGAGATCTCTAATCCTTATATATATATATACTGAAAGGAAGAGAGTTCATAATGATTTTCTTTTGTTGTCTTGTAGTATTTCTTTTCTTAAACAACAAAAAGGAGAAGATTATTAATATTAGTTGCTTTTTTGGTACATCATTATAATTATTTGATATTTTTCCAAGTATATGACAACAAGCACGTGAGAAATAGGACAAAAATAGATATGAGGACAGGAGTAAATCTTGGTGGAAACATAAACAACTTTGGTCGCTATGTGATGATTCAATCTAGGAAGAGAACAAAGCAAAAGCTCAAATGGTAGCAAGTTGATGATAGAACCTATAAGCCATGTTTGGTATGCCTCACTAGATTGAATTGGGTTAAATAGAACTCGAAATCCTTGTTTAGTAAGAGACAGAACTAACTTAAATAAAATAGTCCAATAGTGAAAAAAATGTCTCGTTCGCTCGTCTAATACAGTGAGCCTGAAAAGTGGTTCGCTAAATAACACGCTCGCTAAATAGAACACGTGAGTCTGATGCCTCTTTAAAAAAATATCATAATTTTATTTGTTTTCTTTTAATTATTATTTCTTTTTCTTCTTTTTTTGGTATGAAATTATTTTAGATCTTTGAATGGTTTTTTTTTTGCAGCATTTATTTTTTGTAGAAAAAAATCCTTAATTAAATTTAAATATTACAATAATTATTTTGATATTGCATTTGGAAAATCAAACTATAGTAATTTACAAATGTTTGATATTTTTTTTTATATTGAAACAAGTTTAATAATTCATGATGTGATGCTTTCTTTATCGCAATCAATTTTTACCTTGTTAAATTATATTTTTCAGTTTGAAGTCAAAAGTCAAATATATAAAAATTAAACATATATATATAAATTTTTTAATTATTGTTTTACTTGGTTCTTGAAAACCCTAGAATTATATAGAGTGAGCTTAGCTCCTTTAACAATGTTTCGACCAACTAAGATTAATTTTGAGAAGCCAAAAAACAAATATCATAATTTTATTCTTCATTAAAATAAATAAAAAATTATTCGTTTTCTTTTTATTATTGTTTTAAATCTTTATTTTTTGTGTGGCCAGATATTGTTATAAATCTTTGCATTGGGTTTCTTTGTAGCATTTATTTATCTTTTAAGTAAAAACCCCAATTAAAATTTAATTATTATAAGAATTATTTTTTAGTCCGACACAACACTAAACATAGGTCGTCACTATTTTTACAATCCAGCTTCTTAGTCCGACTCAACACCAAATGTAGGTCAGTACTTAATGTAACTTAGGCAAATTTGAGCTAATCCAAGATAGTCTTAGGATTTAGTCCAGTCCATAGCAGTCCGTCGTGTCAAACGACCTCTTAAAGTAAAAGACATAGTCCTCAAGTGAGCTAATAAATTCATACACAAATGCTGAGAAAGTGCCTAGATTATATCACCAAATGTAAGTCAATACTAAGCAATGTAACTAAAGAATCATCACATAAAGAAGGAATAACGTACAATGACGAAACGAGAATTTTATCACACTAGATGTGCAATAATTAAAAGAAGCACCCAACCTCACAATAGCAGCCTGGGGTACCACACAACTTTAGTATTCTCCTTTACTTTTGAACCGCCTAAGACATATTTCATCAAATATCTTATGATTAATGTTGAAGATTGAGGATGATAAGGAGAAAAATAATAATTGCGTTTGTCGAACCCATTGACCCTGCCGTGAACCGGTGGAACCGGCTTCAGCCCAACACTAGACCTAAAGCAAGTTTAGTTAGTATTAGAAGCTCATATGATCCAAGTTCTGGCTAATGCTAAAGTTGCTAGAGCTAACCCAAGTATGGCCTAATGGGCAATGGCCTGGTGGGGGAACCAAACTGATATGGACAGTTACCTCAGGCTCAGGCTCAGCAGAAGGGGCCTTGCACGATCAAACTTCTGTTTTGGGGTTTTTTGTCCACACTCGAACGCACGTGCTTATAGGAACCCACCACGTGTCATATCCCCATTTGAACGACCCATTAGGAAGAAGAAGAAAAGTGTTTTGTTTATTGTCGTGGCACCAGAGGAAAAGGTTAAACCATGTGAGTGACAGCCATGTCCTTAGCCTGCAAGTTGATTTCTCAAAGGCTTCCGTTTCTCCTCTCTTGGCCTCTTTCTTCTTCCCAATAGTTATCCTTCGAATAATTGCATACATACAAATTATGTTCATCTTTATATATATATATATATATTTAAAGGGATTTTCTTTTGTTAGAAAAAAGTGTATTATAGCATATATTTAATTCTTTATATTTATCATAAAATATTACTTTATTTTTCCCTCTAAATCTCTCTTTGTTTCCTTAATTTGGCTAAAAATAAAATACAATAAAGACAAAGTAGAAGGTCTGTATCCTATTTTAAAAGAGTACTATTTGCCTCATTCTTGCAAATCACGGTTTGACACATGTGCATAAATAATTCATCAAAAGCACAAAAGAAAAAACTTCTATACGCATGTCAAATTATCTTTAGTAGGAGTATAGGAGTTCCTAAGTATTTTCCGTTTTAAAATCTATAATCTTCTTACAAAACTTAAGGTTACTTATTATCACATAGAATAATTATATATTGGCTTTGTGCATATACAGGAATTGTAGGCATGCTCATGCTAGACCTACCAATGGCAGGAAAATCATTGACGTGTACGATATCCAAAATGATAAGATCCCTTTGTATTATTCGTTCTTGAAAGCCATTGGAGTGAATGAAATAAAAGTCTAGTTTCTCTTGTTCTGGCTAATTAATTATATAAAAACCTAGTTTGCAACGAGCTTTGCCAACTAATGTGTGAGATTTAATTAGATACCCAGTATCCGTATCTTCCAAATCAAAGATACAAGTTGGTTGATGATCACTCGCATTAGTTATCAAATATTAATAAAACTGAGTCAGCATATCATGTTGAGTTAGACGTTTTCTTAATTAAAGATATCGACAGAGAAGAGAGGTGAATTATATGGCCATGTAAAACTCTCATCAACATACTTGGCTTCACTTGTGTTTGATTCAAAAATGGAGGGAGGAATTAGGGTTCGAAATGAATGACTTGGCTTCACTTGTGATTGATTCACTATTATCTAATTGTTGATTTAAGGGTAAGGTATTAATCTGACCAAATTAATTGATTTGAATCGTAATAGTCGGTTTAGTTTCGTTTTAACCAAGAAAAAAAAAATCAAACGTTTTAAAATCAAATCAAACCGTAATAGTTTGGGTTGATCAAATGTTTTATTTTTTTACCATATTTCAACTAGTTGGCAATGGCATATTGGCAAACCTCTTTAAATAATATGATGCACCAAAACCTCCCTCGCCAAAACCCAAACGTTCTCAAGGAAGAAATGGTGCAACTGTGTCAGTGGCAAACAGCAAAACTAGACCATCACCAGGCACTATCTTAGGAAGGAAATTAGCTCTGCACGTGCTCACGTGATCTCTTCCACTGTACAAGTAACCCTAACGCAAATGGTACTAGGGTTTTGGAAATCAGAAAAAAAAGATACATAAACAAATAACACATGCCTCATACATTACATACTGACCACTCATCTCTTGGGGTGCCCAAATTAGCAAATCCTCCTATTCTTATGCAATTTTCTAATTTTAATTTATTATGTGTAATTTATATGATTTATTTATTTAATGAAAAGGGCAAAGGCAACCCCCTGGTCACGTGGTCCCTTTTGACCAGTCGATATCGCCAGCTCATTCACTGCATACCTCTACTTAGCAGTCAAATCTCGGTCAACCATATGACCCTCTGGAGCCTCTGCTAGCCACTGTGCCTCTCTGTGTCACTGTGACTGTGTGCCCCAAACCTTGCCATTGCTGCATTGCATTTCCTCTGTACATTTAAAGCTTTTTTCTTTAACCTCTTTAATATTTAATTTACCACAAATAAAAGAAGAAAAACCCATCTTTTTTTGTATTTTTAATTTGAAAAACATTGCTGCTGTTGCTTTCTATCCAGCAATGGATCAAATGTAAACAATCCCAGTAACTCTGGCTGGCCCTAAGTTTATAAGTACCCCAAGCATCTATCAATTTGGACATTTATGCCACTGTCCTCCCATCCCATTCCGTTCCTCATCTTTCATGGCCTTTGTTTTTTTTTTTTTTGGTTCTGTTTTTTTTTCACATTTTTGTTTTTTTTTTGGCAAAAACCTGCATGCATGCTTTTCAATATCACTGCTGCATACCCTTCTTGTGAAAACCCCTTATTCTATCAGCCTGAATCAAAGAAAAGATATGCAATTTGATTTTTGTGTTGTTTTGTTTCAGTCTGAAAATTGGTGAATTAAGTAATGATTTTCCTGGATCAAAAAAAGAAGTAATGATTTCCTGAACAAGATGACTCATCATCATTATTAATTTACTATTATAATCTTCTTCTTTATTTCACCAAATCAATGACCTTCAGAGCTTTGTACTATTTGTACATGCTTGGTACATTTGATGTTGTGCAAGCAAGTTTCATATAATAAAATGAGTTATTTTTAAAATGCCTCTTTAACCCAAACAATAATTTCTTAGAATCTTCTTGAAAGTTATATATAAATATATATCCACTCTATTTGATCATAATTAAGAATGCAACTAGGGGTGGATTGGTTAGAGAGCTTCTTCTTTTACCCAACTGGAATAAAAAGGAAGGGAAGAGTGCTTCTTGGCAACTTCACCCAACATCCAAGGAAAGCAGTGAAACATTGGAGACTGTATCTCTCAAAGATTTCATTGGTCACCATTCAATGCCCAATTTATCATGTCATGACAAAAACATCACATCAGGCATGCATGCATAAAAATAAATTTACAAATTACAAATTTATGAGTGCATAAAAGATCACCAGTCTGAGATATAAATACACACGCATACATGGTGGGTATGTGAATTCCTCTGCTCTGCTCATAATATCAATAGGGTCACATTCTTTTTTTCCTTTCAATCTTTTTCCCATGTTGTTTTGAAATCTCATGGCCTGCTTAGACATGTACAACTCAGAGCATAAGGGTCATGGTGGTCATCATCCATTTGCTCCAATGAGCCCAAGAATTTCCTTCTCTAATGATTTTGCAGATGCCCAACATGCCATCAAGCATGAAAGGAGCTCCAGAGAAGCTCCAGTTTCCTCAGATTTTGAGTTCTCAGTGACCAACTATTCCATGATGAGCGCTGATGAGCTCTTCTGTAAGGGAAGGTTGCTGCCTTTCAAGGACAGCTGCACCAGCAGCAGCAGCAGCAAACAGATGCAGAGGAGCACTACCACTCTCAGAGATGAGCTTCTTCATGGGGAGGATCATGATGATGAAGTGTCATCCAGGCCACCAAAGGGGTCATCATCATCAACAAGATGGAAGGGGCTTCTGGGCAGGAAGAGGGCCCACATTGGCTCCAAGAAAGCTCACAAGAATGATGGGTCTGTGGATGGTAGGAGTTCTGGTCTTGTGGTGGTGCATGAGGAACCCCGACATCATGTTAATAATCAGACTTCACAGGTGAGAAAATTAAATTAAATTAAATTAATTCACCCCATTTGAAGTTTCTATGTATGTAGGCATGGATTTGGAGTTTGTATGATGACATGGTGTTTTGGTTGTTTGTTGTTGCAGGAGGTCTTGAATGAAGGAGGGTCAAGTTGAGAGAGATGAGAGAGATATAGAGGCAATATAGGCAGGTTTTGGGGGGGGGGGGGGGGGGGGGGGGGGGGGGGGGGTGGTGAAATTGTAGAGGTGTGGGAAGTACTTTTTCTTTTTTCCTTTGGAGGTTTCAGAAAAAGGAGGATGATTATTATTATTCTTGTATTTTTACTGCTGGTTTTTGGTTAAACATAGAGGTTCTGACTTCTGTTAGTGGCCGGTTAATCAAATTAGTCTCTATATATTTTCTGGTGTATTTTGTTTCAGAGTCTTTCTCTCTGTGGTTCTGATTTATTTTTAGTTTGTGGATCGGAATTTGGTCTTTTGGCTGTCATGTACAAAATGCTTGCAGTTGAAGAACCTGTTGCAATGTCAAGCTCTTATTTTTGGGGTACACCAAACACCTTCTTGAGCATTGATGTGTATCATTAGATCATAATTTTGCTTCCTACCAAAGTTATTAATTATGGGTTTCACTTGGATCTATTCAGCTTCTTAATTTTAATTCAGTTGCATCTACTCTTCATGTTAATTAGCCTTCTTTTGTCCAGAGAGAGAGAGAGAGAGAGAGAAAGAGACTTAAACACCAAGTATTGAAGATATATCAGAACTTGGTCATAGTTGATAAATATCTTAGGCTCTTAGCCAACAAAACTTCCTGTGTCAATCTGATACATTTTACATCAGCAGATTAGCTAATAAAAATGTTGTTATTAAGCATACTAAATAATTAGTGCATGAAATAGGGGTAATCTGTCTGATACAGAACTAGGTTGGACAGCAAGAAGAGAAGTTTTAAGTCTTGGACGAGTGAGGGTTTTGTTTTTTGTTTTTGTTTGTCTGCTACAAGCGATATTAAAGTAAGAGGAAATTAAACTTAAGGCCTCGAGTGCTGGAATAAATGCTCTTCAATCACTTAGCTACAAACTCCTTACAGATGAATGAGGGTTAAGTGCAGTGCATATGGTGCAAGCAGGCGACTATAAATGTGACAGCCAAGACAAGGCTGTTGTTCAAGCTTTTATGAATTGTCTCGCAGACTCAGGCTAGATCTGTGCCACATGCGAAGGCAGGGCCAAAAGAGTGGGCAACATGGAGTTGGTCAAAACAAGAACAGGGTTACAAGATTGATGGTCAAAATCTAAAAGATCCCATCCCACTACAGAGGACTGTGAGTGGAGGCATTAAAGCGTATGCACCTAACCCTCCTTGGCTCTTTCCCTCAATAGCCGTGATTTACTGATTTTCACTGCCACAATTCTGTTCTGCTCGACTCTGATGGAAACAGAATCTCCCTCCACACAACAGCAACAGCCGCAACATTTTTTATTGATTTTTTACTTTTTTCTCAGCTGGTTACTTTCATCACACCAGGCCCAAAGTCATGGCCTCTCTATAATAACATTTGGTCATGGAAATTCATCGAGGTAGGGCAACCTCCTCTTTTGTAACTAGAACTATGAGATGAGCACAAGTCATAAAAAATTCTCTGTGCTGGATGTCCGTCTTTTGTTAAATGAATGACGGAGAAGAACTGTGTAAGTCTTGGCCTCTTTATATTGATTTTACGTAATCTGAATTCATATAGCTCCTGTTCACAACGCCTCTCAACTTACTACTTGCTAATCATTTCAACACCCGCACAATGGTTACAGATTATACACCACAAGTCAGTACTTGAGACACGTTTAAACCAGGGGGGAAAAAGAAAGAAACCATGTTAGGACCAATTTTAGTATATTTCCTGTTACAAAAACATAGAGTAGGTCTTTGAGTGTAACCTACCATTTTTAAGTGACGTTCTGCTATCCTAGATCAGTGTGGCTTAGAGACAATGCCAAGGTATGTTTTGCATCAATGCATTCATATTTGCATATTTGCAAGTTCATCAAAAATGGCTATTAGTTGTATAAGACTGATATATGGTTTCAATCTTACATAATTTAGTGCCAAACATCAGTGAGTTTTTAATGATGGTTTTATACTCTTTAGTTTGGTGTTTATTTAAACAAAATGGTTCTTTTGTCTTTTCAACTGGGTTTTTAGTTAAGTGGCTTTATTTGTTTTAAAGAATCTATATATATAAAGTAAATGTTGAGAATGGTAAAACATTCAAAATACCAAAAATGCCCTTGGTTAATGCAAATATTAAGAATTGAAATTATTAATTAAATAAGGATAATATGGTAAATTCACACTTTTTCATATTAAAAAAATTAAAAATAAAAGAAAAATCAAATAATATATCATATTTTTATGGAACACAACTACCCATTATTATTTTTAATTCTAAAATAAATTTTAAAAAAAATTTAAAAAAAAAAGCCTCTCGCAGGCACAGAAGCGCATGCGGAGAGGCTAGTTTGTTTTAAAGAAATAATTTATTTGTTAAAAAGCCCATTTTTGCTAAAAACCTTTTTTGGTCTCTAACCCTAATTTTAAGCATGTAAAATAAGAAAGGAACTTACCTGTTTTGTTTGCTGCAACGTTGAAAAGAAAAGAACGACAAAATATTCTGTCCGAGAGTTTTTGAGAGTTTATATTGAAAACTCATGTGGCTGTTCCCTGTGAGCCTCCATGAGTGATTAAATCATCATCTTTTCATATATGTGTGAGTTCATGAGCATTATGCATGTGGTGATCAACAATCGTGCCTTGAGGTGTGAGCAACCGAGACCAGCGTTGTGCCATCTCTTGTCAACGAAGGAAGACAAGATCGATGATTGGGTTGAGTAGCAAAGGCGAGTAGGCAAGTCTGCCTTGTGAGCGATAGTCTTGTGAGTTGAGACTTGTAAGACCTTTTTGTATTCCTTCTCATTGATTTGTTCTCCAACATAGTGCCCGCAGTTGTTTTCCTCATCTTGAGGTTTTTTAACTGCGTCAACATATCTTGTGTCCCTTGTGCGATTATTTGAATTTATTGCTGCTGTGTATTCTAGAATTCTGCTTACATGATTGTTACAGTATTTCAATCCTACTGTGGTGTTTGAGTATTAAGAAACAGATCGGTTGGCCATTCTAGGGAATTTCAAACCAAAAACCCAAAAAAGAGAGGATGTTATACTTTTCAGTAACATTGTTACCATGGAGAAGTAACCTCTTCGTGGAACTTGAGCGTATAGACTTCAGCTTTTGATCTCAGACTCTCAATGGCAGCACCAAATTCATCACACACATCCCTCAATTCCTCAAGCTTTACCTCAATATTTCTTATTCCTATGCCTGCTTGTGATCGTTCAATCTTAGCTTCTTTATACATCCTTGCCTCCACAGCAGCTCCTGAGTCGTTGGAAAGGTTTGCAAGCCGGCATAGCCGATCGCGTAAAAATCCAACATTCATCCCCAACAGCTCAAAGGCCTTTAAATATTTGTCCCAAGACACAAAATCATCCCAAGTCGTAGTAAGTTTGCAAGCTTTGATGGCATCAGCAATATTTACGGTTTCAGATATAGCACCTACAACCAATTTATGATTCATGCCCTCGACAACGTTTTCGTGAAGAAATGCATTCTGGCTACAGCAGAGCTTGTAGTACTTTCTTCTTACATCTTCGGGGAGCTCGGAATCTACAAGCAACCCATTTACTAGAATGCTGAAGTTCTCAAAACTTTGGATGTCTTCAAATTGAAGAGCTGTGTCTGGTAATTTGGATTCTTCCAAAACTTCCGAATCAACCTCGTCACTATCATCTTCAGATTGTTCAACCGGCTGCAAGCCAATCTTTTTCTTCTTTTGCGCTTCTGAAGGAGGAGAGTGTGCACGTTTCCTCGTAGCGTCATTACAAGCCTCAGTGCCCGTTTCTGAATTATCTTTATCTGAGTGCAACATCCAAGAAAAATGATAGACACGTCAATAAAAGTACAAATTAAACTACAAATGCATGATACTAGGAAGAAACAGACAGAGACATCAATGAACTTGCCTGCATCCTTTCGTTTTGTATGACTATCCAAATTTAGAAGCCCAAGACCCCCATCAACTTCAGTCAAATCATTTGACCTTATTATGTAAACCTACAAGATGGAGGAAGATACAATTATAGATAGTAAACTTTCAGAAGTGCACAAGAACAAAAGCATACAAAATCTTGATCTATCTGAACCCCTTTTGTGATGCTTCATGCGTATTCTTCCATCACAATTCAACAGAAATAATAAGTAAACAACATGGAAAAAATTGACAAGGGAATGTTGCACCAACTCCATCAGAATTTCACTGACATGGCAAGGCAGGAATACAAACATAGCACTAGTCTTGGTCCTAGTCAATGGTGGCAACTCAATCAGAAGACAGACCATGTTAGTCTCAGTTCTCTAGTTTGTTCGGGAGCAGATGAAGAAGAGTATTTATAGGACTAACACTCCTTAAGGAAAAGAATTTTCATCTTCCAGACAACAGGGTCATATCAAGCTGCACAGGTTAATTGTGAATACATAATGACTAGCTTAAACAGAAGTGAGAAGTTTTGGACCAGGTTACACCTATTGACAATGCACGATTGTTGTAGGGTTTTACTTGTGCCATCGTACAACTGTTCCTACCAAGTACAATGCAGCCTACACTTTTCTTGTGATTTTGGGTATAAAGTTTCAAACCATTACCTTAAATTTGGTAGGTTCAACTAATTGGAAGACAAGAACATCTCCTTCAATCAAGTTGTGCGAAGCAGCAAACTGTCTCCAACCAGCACTCAGTCCTGTCTTGTATGCAATGTATTTCAACTGACACTGTCTACCACTTTCATCTTCCAAAGTCATTGTAATATCTTTATCTGGTAAGTGTGATTTGCAGAACAGCGAAGGAAGCCCCTATTACACAGAATACATAAAAAAAAATATAGGGGGCGCAGAGAGAAGGGGTATTCATTTATATACCACTGCTATTATAAATAATGTTCCCACAGTCATCTATTTTAACAGTACTTACCATCCAAAAACAACTAGCGACGTGTGATCTGACCAGAGATTTCACGAAGCTAGGAAATTGAGGCTCTAGTTTTGATCGAACTTCCTGTGCTTGAATGACAGCAGATGACTTCGCTTGACCTCGTGAGGGTGAACCATCAACTGGAAACTCATACTGCGTATTGCTTTAAAGAAAGCACAGAGACAACATTATCATGAAGCGCATATACAAAAGACAAACAAAGAGGGCCAAAGTACACAAAGGCCATACAAGATGCTTCACTGACCTAAGGGCCGGGGACTTCCCTGCTTGACCCAACATCTGCCGTTCAAACAGTTGTTAAAAAATTTCATCAATTCCCGCAATCCAATCATAAGGAACAGTTCCATTCCATCCATACAAACATTTTCTTTTTACAGAACTAGAGCTTGCAAGTCAAGCCAGTGAAACACACAATAAGAAGTTTGATTAAAAACACAACAAGAAGAAACATATAACCTAAATACATTGCACCCTTTTTGCTAATCCATAACAATGATGGCTTCTAACCAGTACTCCTATGAACTTATCTTACTCAAATAAGAATTTTGATCCATTCAAAGCTTCTATATGTTAAGTACATGGAAGTACCATATGTAAAAAAAAAAAAAAAAAAAAAAAAAAAAAAAAGAAAAAAGAAACGATTTGTGCTACATCACGCATTGATCCACAATTATATGAACACAATGGAAATTGATCCAAATGTTTAATTTAGATTTCAAAAAATGAAAGGGGAGCCATACATTCTTAATTTGGGTATTGGAAAGCTCCTTCATGGGCATGGAATGCTCTACTTCTTTCTCGTTTGGCTTGTTTGGCTTCTTCAGCTTTGCCTATTCCATAATGCACAAAAAACCCACATCAATTACATTGAAAAATAAATAATAAAAAACCATGTAAACATTCTAAGATAACCACAGAGACAGAGACAGAGAGAGGCCAGGAGCAGACCGGATTGAGAGGAGAAGGTTTTGGGTTGGTGTTGGGTTTGGGCCTGGGCCTGGGTTTGGACAATTGAGCCGGAGTCGGGTGTCCCTCCTCCTTAGACGACGGCGTTTGAGGCGGCTTCTCCTCCTTTCCCTGGTGCAATTGGGTCTCTTTCTTCCCAACATTCCGACCCATGATTGAATTGCACGCTTTATGTTTGTGTTAACAAACCACAGGACCACAGGCACAGGTGTCTGTCTGTCTGTCTGTCTTTCTGTTTATGCCCAGCAAAAGAGGGAGAGACAAAGCCAGATATCATAGGACTGGCCTGGCTTCATGCCTCCTTTCCTTGGGGTCTCTCTCTCTCTCTCTCTCTCTTCTCTTTTTTTTCTTCTGATTTTTTTGTGGTTTTTTACATTTTTTTGTTGTTGCTATAGTCTTTTTGCCTAAACACCAAAACGACCGTTTACAACTGTTGAAACAAAGACCATATTAAAGTGACCTCTTTCTTCTTCACCATTCCTTTTTGTTAGGGAGCTAAAGCTTTGGCTTCATGGATTGATTTGTGTCTCTTCTTCTTCTGTTTATATCAAATCAACAGAAAACTGAACCTCTTCCTGACCGACACGTTCCCCCCCATGAGTCCCTTTGCGCGCCGAAGCCCGCGCACTATAATGCCTGACTTTAACGACAACGCTTTGTCAATGGACAATCTTGTGGGGCAGCCATTTGTTTGGGTAAGAATGTTTGAATAGTATTTTGTGTGCCTATGTGATATGACCAAAATAGGTATAAATATTATATGGAGAATCCTATTAATCAAAGCAATCAAAGTAATTTCCATTTCTATTATGAATGTCATCTCTCTATATATAAAGGGTACATACCTGCAAGGAGTTTGTAGTTCAAGTAATTAAAAGCATTTATCCATGTATACGATGTTCTAGGTTCGATTTTCCTCTCTGGAGAAATTTATTTCCTCTACATTGACGATGCACCTACATATCAATCTATTTTAAAGATAATCATCAAGGTATGTACTTTATTGTATTTTCACTTCCAGTCTTATGTTCCAAACTTAGTTATCAATTTTTGTCAAATAAATAGATGAATGAAGTATTCCCTTTTTTTTTAACAGATATTTTATATTGAGAGAGGTGATAATATACTAAACTCACACACACAATACACGAATGCTAGGACTTCATGATCTTTTCTTGGAGAGTAATTGCTCCAAACCACGACACCAATGAGTCCTTTGCTTTTCCTTAAACACTAAGAATTGTGATAATTAATCACAGCCCGTGTGCTAATTATCTCACATCAAATAAAATAAAATAAAAAAGTTTTAGTTCGTTGGTCAACATATGTCATAACAATTTGGTTATTTCTCCCCAAGAAATTGACTGCCTTTTGAAAAGGTTGCCATATATTATTATAGTACAAACGTAATCATCGAATTGATGTTAAACTACTTACCTAGGGAGGGGAAGAAAACAACATCAAATGGCTTTTTGCTTTGTGCTTTGTTCATGTATAAAACATTGTGTACAAACTAAAAAGAAAACATACGCATATATTTAATTATTATTTGTTAATTATTTTTGTATTAAGCAGAAGATGTCATAGATCCTCATAAACCCAGCTACCCAGCAATAATATAAGATTATAAACAAACATAAACCAACATAATAATTATTATGTCAAGGGTAATCTTACTTACTAATTATTAATGTATTGTGTGACATAAAGGATGATGCATTTTGGTAATCCAGTGAGAACTTGGTACAGCATAAGAGCGGTCAGTATCACGTCGATGCTGCACAACAGAAAATCTACGTACATCCAAGGGGATATTTAATTTTGCATGATTGCATATACAAAGAATTGGTTCTTTTTGGTTTTGGGCTTATGCGTTTTGATGGATTCATCAGAGAGTGGCCAGTAAGCCAACAAAACCAAAAACTAGTTGGTTCCATAACTCTCTGTCTCTTTGCATCTTTAATTTGAATAGTTCCCTTTGGTTCCTAACTTTCTGGGGTTATTGATTTTGGTTGGATCTTGGGTTTTCTTTGTACTCTTTGTTCTTATTCTTTGTCATCTTCCTGCAGCACAAATCTCATCTCTCTCTCTCTCTCTCTCTCTCTCTCTCATCTTTTGATTAATAACAATTATAATAAATATATATTCATTCATCCTTTTCTTCATGGATGCCTGCAATAGCTGTCAACCGGGGACTAAATTCATAATCGAATTCGAAAGGTGGTATTCAAATTTCGGTTAAAATCTCTCCAATGGCGCTCTTCCTGGCTCTGTGGTCGTTTTTTAGTACGGATTTTACACAATCTTTCAGCGGTTGTTTGAAGGTTTTCTGTGTGGTATTTGCATTCGGCTCTGCTCTCTGTCTGGGTGCTCTTAAAGGTATGTCCTTTGTTTTGTTTTGTTTTTTTAATAGAAAAAAATGTGTCTTTTTTTTCATTTCTTTTTGGCTGTGATTCATGGACTGTGGGATGGTCTGTTTTCAACTTTTGCATGGTGTCTGCTGAAAATTTAATTGGGATTTTCATTGGATTTTGTTCAATGTTGCAGGACTTCTTGTGGGTCCTATTTCTGCTCTAATACTGATTTTAGGGAATGTGGGGATAATTTTGGGCTTGTTTCCTGCGCATGTTGCCTGGACAATCTACACACTTGTAAAGTTGGTAGCTTTGGAACTACCCTTTTCAAAATTTTCAACAAATATCTCATTTTGCAGAGATTTACTATGTTTTTTTTTCTTTCCAATGTTTGGCAATTGCAGGATTGATAGATTTGACGCACCACTTAAAGTTGCCATTTTGTTTGCTTTGCCTGGCCTATTGGCTATATGGTTGGGTTTGAGCATAGCTGGGAGTGTTCTTGGGGGAGTGGGCTATGGATTCTTCACTCCCTGGGTCGCTACATTTGAGGCCTTTAGGCATGACAATGAGTTCAAGAAATTCAAACATTGTATTGTGGTAAATTCTTAAAGCTGTTCCTTCTTTGAATTATCTGTCTGATTTAGTATCTGATTTGCACTTCTCATTCTGTTTCACTTGTGAACGTTTAGGATGGAACTTGGGGTACTGTTAAAGGAAGCTGTACTGTTGTTAGAGACTTTGCAGACCTATGTTATCACTCATACTCAATCTATTTGAAGGAGTTGCGCGAATCCCCCACTTCACAGGAAGTTCAACCTCTAAGGTAATCGTGTTATAATCCCACACCAAAAAGTTTCCTTTTAGTCATCAAAATTTGTGGCAGAAGATATTGCAATACCTCAAATAACCATTTTATTCTGAACTCATTTCTCTTTTGGAGACATCTTATAGGTTGATTCACATTCCGGCCTGCATTATAGCTGGTGTATTGGGCCTAATGGTGGAGATTCCTGTTTACACTGCAATTGCTGTTGTAAAGAGTCCATATATGCTGTTTAAGGGCTGGTACCGGCTGATTCATGATCTAATTAGCCGAGAAGGTCCATTTCTTGAACTAGCTTGCATCCCTATTGCTGGTTTGACGATCCTTCTGTGGCCAATTGTGGTTGTTGCTAGCATCGTATTGGCAGTTTTCTCAAGCATTTTTATTGGATTGTATGCACCAGTTATCGTATATCAGGTTTGCTCATACCGGATTATAAAAATCTTAGTCTATCTTTATCTCCTTGGCCTTTGATGATCACTGAAATTATATGTCCTTTAACCATTTGTGGATGTAGGAAAGATCTTTCAGGAAAGGTGTGGCCTATGTGATTGCAATGGTGGCTGAATTTGATGAATACACAAATGACTGGCTGTATCTTCGAGAAGGAACTATCTTCCCCAAGTTAATCACTTTCCTGCTTATAAAATTTTGTTCTTGAGCTTATTAAGCAATCTGCAGCTACATTTTGTTCTTTTGCTTGTAACTATTTAGCAGTTGTGTTCTCATTATGCGCAGCCAGGCCCAATTATCGAAAAAGAACTGTCTCTCAATCATCCGAGCTTTCTGTGCGAGGAAATCAGGTGGCTGGAGGCAAATTCAGTCCTGCATCTATGGAAGCACCTGCAATGCTTATGCCAACTATAGCCAATTCAAGATCGGTTAGAGCCGTAATACAAGAAGTGAAAATGGTACAGGTATGCTTTTAGGTTTTGAGGCAGAAGTTTTTTCTTCTCCTTTTTTCACCGAGTACTAACTGTGAGCCTGAACACTTTGATTCAGTATCTTTTCTAGAGTATTGAAACCAATCTCTGACCAAAAGTTCTCTGCAAATGAATTTGTTTTGCTTCATTTTCTTGTAAGAAAATATATCCCCCAACTACCCATGCGATCTTTTAGAGACCATGGTCAATATATGAAATCTATGTGTCATGCACTAAAACTTTTTGGGAGATATGACTGACAAGGCAATCAGTGATTCTGCAAGTACACAAAAACTTAATCTTCCAAAAAGTGTAGTAAAATTTCTATTTTACCCTATAGAGGGGGTGGGGGAGCAGGGCTAGGAAGGGCAGGAAGGCTCTTTCTTTCAGTCTTATATTGACCAAAAGCAAAATATGCCCTGCCTAGAGAACAAACTTGGGTGCCAATAGAGCCACACAAGGCAATAAACTAAAATCGAAAGGAACCACACAAATACTAATATGTTGGGGGGTTAAGAGAGTTAAATTACATGCACATATGCACCGCCCCTTTTTTTGAAAGATTATTGGTTACACAAATTAGTGACTGCCTAGAAATATGAAAAGAAATGTACTCAGATACATAATGTTTTGCTATGTTGACTTTCTTCTGAATTCGTTGTTAATTAACTCTCTCACTTGTTTTGATTCGTGATGAGAAATTTTCTTGTGTTTTACTCTGTATGCAACAGATATGGGAAAATATGATGAGGTCCTGCGAACTGAGGGGTAAGCAACTGTTGGATGCTAATGTAATAACCCCAACCGACCTCGAGGAATGGATGAAGGCAAAGAATAGTAATGATGGATCTATTATCGGTGTCGGTTTGCCTTGTTATTCATGCTTGCAGACTCTTCTCTGCTCCATCAGATCAAATTCATCTGGTTTACTGTTACTGGATGATGTTGAAATTAACCATTTCAATAGACCGCATGATAAATTGTTGGACTGGTTCTTTAATCCTATAATGGTACTGAAGGAACAGATAAAGGTACAATTGGCAGAGGGTGAGGTTAGATTTTTGGAGAAAGTGGTTCTTTTTGGAGGCAATACACAACGCATGGAGGCTTGGGATAATGGAAGTTTAGCACCTCAAGATGCTCTGAGAGCTGCTCAAATCGAGGGCATTAGTAGAAGGTATGATTTTGTCTCTCTAAGTATAAAATGAGGTTTGACTCTTCTTAGCATTAAGTTACTAATTTTGATCAAGAGTTAAAAGCCCTGCAATTATAATTCTCAATATTCATGTTTACACGTGGTGATTATCTTTGTAGGATGATCGGAATGATGAGAAGTGTCTCAAAGTTTCCTACTTACAGAAGGAGATTTCGGCTTGTTGTGAAGGCTTTGATGACACACTCAGTACCGAATGAAGCTTCTCATATATGCGTTTCAGTTAAATCTTATACCTCCAGTGAAGATGTGCTGGATGAACCTTAGTTTATTTCCTCGCTTCCCTTTTGTATTTTTTTTTTCCCCTTCACATTAGACTAATTAATTTCTCAAAGGACATGAATTTGAGCTTGTTGGTCAGATCATTAGTTTATGAGCTTTGCTAAACACTGCCATCTTGAGCTTTTTCCTGCAGTTTATTTATTACTGAAAGAGAAGGGAAAATTCTCAATGGGGGTAAAAAATTCTTGCATGGATCATGGTAAAAATAGCATGAGGTCTTGCTTGCAAAATTTGCAGGCAGAAATACATGGTGGTACTACAGGTTGTAAATGTGGTGCGGAGCAGTGAGAAAAAGACGTAACACAAATGTCCAAGTTGTGAGTAGTCAATTGAGTGCAGAAGTAGCTGAACCAGAGCCATCTTCATCCTCTTGAGGCATCATTTTCACTGAAAAAATTAAATAGGAAATGGCAGATACGCACGTGTTACTTGGGTAACAATGGCAGGGGGGGCTTGGTTATACCAGATTGATGAGGTGGGGTTGCCAATACTTTGTTTTATTTTGCCCCCTTCTTAAGCCATTTGTTGACACAAATTATGTTACATTGGATATCAAGGCAAATGTAACAACAATTTAATGGTAATCTTATGTTATTATTTGCTCGACTCTGCTTAGAGGTTGCTCTCCAATGAGATGTAGCCGTTTAAATCGGCTTGTACATAAGTAAAAATATGCATCTAGTAGCGGATTCATGAATTTTTTTTTATGGGAGCAAGATTAAGAAACTCGAAAATACATTTTCGTTAATTAAAAAAAAACGCATACACTACTCAACTACTAGCTGCTTGCTTGCCCAAACTCTTTGAGGCATAACGAAGACTTTGCCCTTCATACCCACTTGTCCCTTGTCCTAGTCCAGTTGGACAGATCAATGGAGGGTCAATTTGTTGAGTGAAGGCAATAGCACCCTCTCAGCCCTCTTTGGATGTGTATCCTGCTCGGCTGAGAATGGTCTCGCTAGTTGCAACTTGACCCAAAATTCTCATTTAATATGAGAATGGTTTTATAAATATAAAAAAGATAGGCCCTAAAACCTTAGCCCATTATGAAATAAAATCTAAGCTCATGGTCCAATTCACTTGGTTCTTTTTCTTGTTGGTAACCCATGGTCAGTCACAATCAACTGCTAGCCATTCATCCGGGGGCTCTCCATCGTTCATTACTTATTACGAGAAGCATCCCAACCAAAAGGCAGATCTAGAAAAAGAATATTCTACAATGCAAAGCAAGACAAGTTCTTTTTCTTTTAATGGCAATGTAAAAAGTTCGTTGGATATATAACCTTACACTTGAGTTGCGTTTTGCTTTTGTTTTACATATAGAAGAAGCAAATTGCACAAACTTTTACATGTTCCATTTTCTAAGATTTCTATCTACCTTTTACCTTTCCCTTTTTTTGTTGTTACCATTCTACTCTTGTTCCTATACCACTCATAATCAAGAAACATTTTTCTTTTTTAAGATTTGGGTTTAGCCCCGATGGAATAAATTCTCATATTTTTCATTACAAGTGTCGTGCTCTTGTCGGTTTGACGTGTTTCATGTCATTTTAATAGCGTCGGATTCGTACTACATTTATGCTAATTCGGTCATTTTACACTTTTAATTTCTAGTGAGATTTGTGTAATTTGTAAATACTCTTCTTCTTCAACATTGTTGTCTTTTTTTTTATTTGACCTCGTTGGTTTTCTTTTTTATTTATCTTTCATTTCTCTCTTTGATTTAAAAAAATCGCAAAAATACGAATTTTACCGGTAGAACTAGCTAGAAAAATCACAAATTCCCTTTCCAGGAATTACAGGTTGAAGATGCTTGACAATATCAACAAATATTAACAGTTCAAAACCTGGCGAGGTATGCATCTAGGCCAAATATTACTGGAGTCGAGAGAATCCGAAAGAATCTCAACAAACCCTTATTTTGTCTCTCTTCTCTCTCTCCTTGTTGTTTTTAACCCTCCAATATAATCCAAATGCAACAAATTTCCAAGAACCATAAATGAAAACAACAAAAAACCTTTAAAGCAAGCAGCAGATCATACCTCCCTCGCCAAATACTACACCCACCGTATCACAATACTGCATCCTTCTTTGCACAGAAACTTCCTCATTTTGCCTTCTCAGGTATTATTAACTGTTTTCTAGCACATACACAAAAACATTGACCTGACTGATTGACTGACTCACTGACTGACCCAGATGCCGGCATTTCAGAACCCAATGTTTCCACAAACTGTTATTAATTAAATTATTCCCCCAGTTAGGGTTTTTTATTTATTTTTAGTTTAAAAACTCTTTCTTGTAATGGTAAATATTCTTTTCTTGTTTTTACTTGGGATTTGGAAATAAATCGACTTGGTGGTTGTTGACGATGGATTCGATGGGATAAGACACGTGTCAGTAACTTACACGCCATATGGCTTTGCATCAATTTTTTTATATTAAAATATTTAAGGCAATTGACGCCGAAAAATACTGAAAATTATCGACTGCATCGGCACGTAGTGTTGTTGGTACACACAAGGAAAGAAACAGTTGACAGTAGCAGATAGATTGATAGATAGGCCAAATTGAAGAGAGAATGAGACACCAAATGTGAAGAAGAAGAGAGAGTAGAATTCTAGAAGCTTTGTGTTCTTGTTCTCTTCGATACTCTCTCGATCGTACTCGCAGAAACAAAACTCCCCATCTCCTCCATCAGATTCTTCTTCTGCTTCTAAATTAACTAATTTAAGAGCTACAGCTTGCTGTACATGAATTATTAAACAAACAAACAAACAAACAAAAAAAAAAAAAAAAAAAAAAAAAAAAAAAAAAAAACACATAAACAATAATGAAATAATATTATTATTATTATGATTAATTATGAATTATAATCCTTTTTTTTTTTTTTTTTTTTTTTTTTTTTTTTTTCTTTTTTTTTTTCTTTTTTCTTTAATCGAACCCACTCGTACCGTCCTTCCACCGGCTCGTCCTTGGCAATATCATAATTATACCTGCAATTATCAATTCAGAAATTTTCATGACAATTGGACAAGAGCCAACGTAGAAGCTTCAAGTTTTGTACAATTAACAAAAACATTAAAATAACTTGCCTTTCCATAAATTGTTTTTGGATGTTTTTCTCGGCGGCTGCGAAGAATTCTTCAAGCTCTGACTCGATAGGTGGTGCTGATCTTCGTCGAGAGTCGGCGTCCTTCGACCTCACGGTCACTGTGGATTCTACTTCCTCGAATTCTGCTGCGGCTTGAATCCCGCTCGTAGGCGCCGTCATCTCTCTCCTGCAGCAGCAAGATACAGCGAACACAAGGATAGAACAAAGAATTGAGACACGGTATGCGAACTTAAATACATTTGAGTGCGCGAGAGAAAGGTAGAGAAAATTGAAATTTTGAATTTTGAATTCAAGATAAGAGTGCTTGAATTACAGTAGTAAATGTTGGACGAATATATATAATGTATGTATGAAAACCTTTCTCTGCTTGAATTATACTTCCACGACCCAACCTGTTCACTCTCCTTCTGCAACAAAATAATTAATTTAAAAATTCAATCAATAAAGAGACGTGAAAATTGAATGAAAGCTTCAAGCAATAAAAGCGCCACAAAAAAGAACCGAAAATTCCGAAAGTTGTAGGGGATAATTGAATTTATTGCCGAATTTAATTACTTCCATTAAATCGTTCACCTTCAGATCTACGAATTTTATGTCTCCATCATGCACCAGCTCACTCGAGCCGTTACTCGAGCAACAGGAGGTCTCGTCGTGATCCGACGTCGAAACGTCGTCGTCCTCGGCTTCCCGCACACCCTCCGCCGCCGCAATTTTCGACGCGCCACTTACGACGAGTCGTCTCGGCTTCTTCAGCTGCGCATACGAAGACGGCAATTCGACGGATTCTCCGTTCGTGTTGATCTTCCTCTTCTTCTTCGCTGTCGCTGACGTGGCGGCTCGAGCCACCTCCATCGCTGTCGCCTCTATTTTTCTACCGCTAGTCGCTACTTCACTTCCTCATCACCATTTCTCTCTCTCCAGAGCGCTCTTCGCTTTGAGTTTCTGAGAGCGAGAGTTAGAGAGAGAGAGTGAGAGAGTGAGAGAGTGAGCGATGACGATGATAATGATGGTGATGATGATGACGAGGCCGTTGGACGGCTGCGATTGATTTGGTTTATAAGTGCGGGGGGGCAAAGGTCGCGTGGTGGTCCAGACTCCGTTAACAATGACGGGGAATCTGAAAACGGGCGATTTGACGGCGCCGTTACGTAGATCTGGGGTGCACCGAACATTCGTCTAATAAATCCACGCCACGTGCGCGTTGCACGTTGAAGATAACAGGAGGGGGAAATGATTGCCTACGACGGTTCAGGTTCAGAGGCTGTACGGTCGTGGAAGTTAGAACGGGACTCACTGAATTACGGGCAGTTATAAAAATCGTACCTTTTGGTTCGATGAATTCCGTTTGGCTCTGAACGGGTCTTTTAACTCTTGTTAACCGTATGATTATCAACGGTGAGGAACTGGACGTACTTATTTACCCTTGTCTTTACTTCACAACATCGGAAATGCCACCATGATCCATTTGGTTTTTTTCCATAATTGCCAATGAGTTGATGATGATTTGTGCACGTTAAGAAAGCATAATTAGTTTGCAAAAGTGATGGCCAATGGTAATGGCGTGGACTCAGCTTCAAAACAAGATTTACCAATAGTAAGATTAACGTCCTTATGCTTTATATCTGTCGCAAGAGTTCCGCTCTTGACGTTCTAATTCTAAATTAAAATGAAATTTTTTTTACCTGTTCAAGTAAAAGAAAAGGTAAGAATCTACGATGTAAAAAAGGAAATGCATATAAAAATTATCAAAAAAGCAAAATTAATAGGTAGTAAATATCGATCGATAATATCATATGATGAGTTTCTATCAACAATCATTAAATCTTCGCTTCTTCTATGAATGAGGCGCACATCACTATTGAATACCCTAATTAATTTGAGTTTTTGATAGGACCACAAGAACTCTACAAATTGGGCAAAAACAATACTTTTTTTAAATCGGGTAGGATTTATAGGCCTACATAGTAGGTGTAAGAGTATATAGTACAATAACTGCAATCAAAGTACAAGAGTAATGTCTGCTAGCTAATGTAACTCATATGCACGGATTGTGGTCGTTCACTATCACTTCACTATAACAATTTGATTCCGTATTGCACATAGTTTTATCTTTTAACTGAGTTTTTCTTTCAATTTTTAATACAAACGATATTTGGAGAGGAGGATCGAATATATGACTTTAATTAGGTGTAAGAGTAAATATTTTTAATCACGGAACTACAAGCCCTTGCTTTTAACTGAGTTAATTGTGGCTTACTTACCAACCAAATTCACTTTCGCCTTTACTATAATTTGCTCCAACAGCTTTGAATTTTTGACTGATATCACCAAGTCATCAAGGCTAGAAAACAAACTACACGAGCTCTACCTTACTTAATGACTTGGAGCAAGGTCCCCCACCTCTACAAATGTGACAAAGTAGCTGGTAGTTTCTAACCATGCAGTTAAACGTAACCTAAGAGGGCTAGCAAAAATGGGCTTCGGTTAAGTTGCTTCTTCTTTTTTGCCGGTGGTTAAATTGCGCTTTTAGTAACCATCACTTAGCTAGTCATCAAAATGAAAAATAAGAAATTCAACTTCTTAATGCTAGATATACTTTATCTTTTCCACTTTCTTCATTATTCTTCGCATTGTGTAATCTTAAGTATATGATGATTGAAATCGTTCATTTCGTAAGTTATTCTTTCATAACTATTTTTGTAGAAAAAATAAACTAAACTAGATATTTTTAATCACAATTTGATAACTGAATATTTCTTCCATCCATCTAATATTATTTGGATGGTTAAATGATTTTCGATTTTGATTTACTTTTAATATAGATGATCTATAAAGAATGGCGATTATGAATATAAAAAAACACTGCATACTGAGAAGTGAATGAGATAAAATAGAAGAGGAAGATGAGTCAACAGGGTAGCACATTGAATAATGACCTTAACTTGCGGATCAGTGGTATCATATTAGAACTTCCATGGCACATTTAAAGTGTTTGTGTGACAAAAACTCCCTCTCCTTTGTAAATTAGACTATCACTTGAATTATTAAAAAAGAAAAAATTAAAAAGGAAGAGTTGACTGTGAAATCTAGGCACACTCTCTAAGAAAACCCTAACAAAAAACGTCTTAGTCGTCGCCCCCTCTGGGGGTTGGCAGCGTCCTTTCATACCTCATCCCCTCTCCTTTCATCCCTTCTTTTCTCCTTCCCTCCCTTTTCCCTCAAGATTGTTAGTTTATTTTGTGATGTGGAAGCAGTCACTGTGAAACGATGTCGTCACCATGATATAGTCATCGTATTTTGGCCTACTCACACAAGGAGTTGGCTCCCTTCAACATAGTTTGGATCTCTAAAGAGGGGAAGATGTCTGCTTGCATTGAGTTCGGGTTTAGCGAGTATTGGACTATGGGTTTATCTGGTATGACGCTATGATTTTCTTCGGGTTGTCCGGAAGATGTGGAACGGTGGTCCTATTTCTTAGTTTTGTTTTAGACTAATAATTTTCAGAAACTCTTTAAAAGTTTGTTGTGATTTGTTTTATATTTAGGATTTTTATTTCTTTTTGGCTTTTGGCTTTCAATACGTATTTGTCATTTTTGTCGTTGCACTGCAGATTTGTATTGTAGGTTTGAGTACATGTGTTTTTGGTTGCTAAGTCGGGGATTTAGTCATTGTTTGAGTTGTGCGTGATTCTCTCCAAATCAATTCAATATATTGTTGTATTTGATAACTGGATAAGATATACCCATATTTAGCACATATCTGCTTTATACTTTTGTTTGCCCATCAATAATATGCAATCACTTATTTATTTATTTATTTTTATTTAAAAACTTTGAGCCATTGGGTTTGATATGGCAGACATTATCATTTAATTTTGGGCCATAACGGAATAACGGTTAGGTAAGTGTATAAATTAAAATAGAATAAGAATAGTGTGGAAATGTATAACATGGTCTATGCGATGACATACCACATGTTTATCATACATACATGCAAACGGGTATGCCATGTGGATGGACCACAACCATAAAAACTTTTTCTCTAGTAAGATTCATCGAGGCTACCCCTTTGTCCTAGTGCCTACCTTCCCAAATTACAATACGACCATTCAATAATACAAATATTTGGTGGTTGAGTGTATTTTCCCCCCCTTTATTTCTGGCATTGGGTAAATATTCATTCATTTTATTTAAAAATAGTGAGGAACTATTTTTGAGTTTGGTGAGGGTCCAAAATAAGTGTCCTTAAAACATGCATATTTCTTTATTATATATAAATGAGATAATATTATCTTGTATGACAAGTTGTGTATTCTTTTATTAATTAGGATCATGTTATGCATTATATAAAAACTTGAAATCAATCCTCTTTTGTGCTTAAATATGATATATACATTCTTACTGAAAAAATAAATGAATAAATTGTATATGTGACAGTAACACTACGTGACATATTGACGTGGTGTTACCGTCACATATAAAACGAATTCAAAATGAAAATTGGCACCACCCTTGTATGGAAGTCATATTATTTGCCATACAAAAACAAGCGACGATAATTGGTTTTTGTTGCCACATTGATAAGGCATATATGCATACAAACTTTCAGAGGACAACCAATTTTATAATATTAAGAACTTTGGAAGGCAAAGTATATTTGACACTTCATGGGCGTTAGGGCATGCGTTATTATATTAAACCTTCACGACAAAATTTGCCCTTTCATTACAATGAAGACACTCCAGAAAAATCAAAGCACACCACTGTGGAAATCATGGAATTTCAGAGCGTAAATATATATATATATATATGTACAAGTATGGAATGAAACAAGGACTTTTCAATGTTATCCAATAATATGAGAGAGAGAGAGAGAGAGAGAGAGAGAGAGAGAGGTAATAGGCAATAATCTACCCAAAAAAATACTGCTTTACGGAAAGTTTGATGTTTGTTGGTTCAAATTAAAGAAGACGTACCAACAAACAATCGTGACCATTAAATCAAAGAAGGGAAAAACTATATATATATATAAAGTAAGATTCCTCTGAAGCAAGAGAATAAAAAGGGGAAATAGACATTGGACAAGGTCACATGGATCTTTATAGGTGAATTGCGTTGCTGAGCACAGAAAACTAGGACGAGATTTTCCCCCTTCTACAAAAATTTGGTGCCGCAACCCAATCATAGAGAGTGGCTCAGCCCCTCTCTCCTAAGATTTCAACGTTAATTTTGAACTTAAAAGTGCTTTTGTTGTTCCCCCCAATTAAAAAAAAAGTGCTTTTGTTAATTGCCTTGCTTTAGTTGAGCCAGTGCATGCAATTATAAAAAAGGTGATTGAATGAATTAGTAAGGTGACCTCACCATTACCCGCTAATTGAAAAAAAAAAAAAAAGAGAGAGAGAGAGAGAGAGAGAGAGAGAGAAGAAAAAAAAGAAGCTTTTAGTTATATCAAAGGTCTCTTTCGATTAATTTTGTTTTTGCTGCTTTGACAGAAGGGCTTTTGTTATGGTTACTTGTGATGGCAAAGGCATATCAAACAATGACAGAATTAGTTTTACTCACATCCAAATCCACATCATTAAGGCTTTCGATAATCTTTTCTTATTATAATATAGTTAGGTCAATGAGGGCCTCTAATCTTTTCTTTATTGTGGTTCTATTTTTGTCAATGCTGATTACTGTGGCCATCTCTTGCCTAAAACGCATCCAAAAAGGAGACGTGGGATTAAAGGATTGTTATCTTTCCTCGTGAATGGCGTTTGCTTATTTGCTAATTAATGGTTTATTAAGTTAAACAGAACATGAAATAAACACTTGAAGCATGTACCAAAGTCACATGTGTTATACCATCCATAACATTTTGATCCAATTCCGATGGCTTCGTATTTTACGAAGATACTGTAGCTGAATACTCGTCTTGATAATATAGGTCTAATATGTGCATGTTCTTTGACAACATAATATGTTAGATACTTTAGATATATTTTAGGTAATCTATGTATTATGTGTTCGTATTCAAATTTACAGCTCACATCATACTCATCGTTTACCGTTGAAATCACCCACATATGTGGGTGGATTGTAAATTTGATTCTTTAAAAGGAGAGCTTTATAATTATAACCTGAAAAGAAAATTAAGAGAGAGTATGTGCTGCTGTTGGTCTTTGACTTCTGTTCTCCTACTACTGTTGCTTCGCTTTGTTTAATTACATAATAAATACTTATAGCGCCATCATGAATACCAGCATATGATTGATGATAGGGAAGTTTAGGTTTAAAAATAATAATGGATGGTGGATCCGAGGCAGAATTTTTTTTTCTTTATTTGTTCTGCTAGCTAGGGCAGAAAATTTTTCAAAAGAAAAAGTGAGATACAGACTTTAATTGAGACACTGTCCATGGCAGAATAGACCATGGTTACAAGCCAGAAGCCAAAAGTATGACTAAAGAACTCTAGATTTTGTTATCTTTATGATGCTAATGACCAGTTTTGCTAAAAGAAATGGAATAGAGAGAGAGAGAGAGAGAGAGAGAGAGAGAGAGAGAGAGAGAGAGAGAGAGAGAGAGAGAGAGAGGAAAAGGAGAAAAGAAAGAAAGTGAAAAAGCATATCATCATGAGGAATCTCAAGGTGAGTGTGTGTGTAGAGATAAGAGTGAAATGGAAGTAAATGCAGAATTGAAATGAAGGCAATGGAGCTTTCGAAGGGAAATCCATTTCTGTCCACAACATGTCTTCACTGATAGTGCTCAAATGGTCCTTTCATTTTCCAAAAGTGATGAGGACTCGTACAGGAGCTTTCGGACCCCCCACCTTCTGATCAGTCTCACCTTTTAAAAGTGATGAGGACTCGTAGAGGAGCTTTTGCGGCTTGTGTGTCTTTTCATTGATTACCTTCTTTTCAAAATGATGCGAAATTTTGACTTCATGGCCAACAAGGAATATGGTGCATGCCTACATTCCTAATCCTAACACAAGTGTGGGAATTGGAATCCTAGATATATAGTTTTGATCTTTACTTGCTCATTGGGAGTGAACTAAAAAAAACCTTAACAATTGATGAAATTGCCAAAGGGTTGTTGAATTGAGGGCCAAGTATGCTTGGATTTTCTGATCATAAAATGAATTTGATCGAAGGGGGGATTTTAGATAAACTACTAATATACAGTTCACCAGCAAACAAAGGGTTGTTCATTTTTTTTAATTAACGAAAAATGAGAGATTCAAAAACTTGGAACAGTTCTTTTAATATCGGGAAGAGAAACACCACTAAACTAATACACGCTTTTTTTTTTTTTTTTTTTTTTTTTTTTTTTTTTTTTTAAACCTACAAACTTCAACACATATATATGTATATTTATCATGTGTGTGTATATATATGTCTTGAAAAGAAGAGCTTTAATATAGTTGGTAGACCATAAACAAGGGTTTTCCCTCTCAAATTCAAATGACCTTATCAAATTCCGGGCAATGAATACATTGTTGAATTTTATATGCAAGATGTGTGGGAAATGAATAAAAAAATTGAGAGCAATGATTCAAGATCACCCTGTTTTAATAAAAAGAAACGCACACTTTCATCATCCGTTTATATATACAGGATATAGATTGACATTATGATCATCACATGCCAAAACCTAACAGTCTTTTATTTTTATTTTTGTCAAAGTGGTCCATGAAAAGATCCCAAGCTCAAATGCATACATAAATATAAATGGTGCCATTCTTTTAGAACAGTCTTCTTGTTACGTTGTGGACCATTTGGAACTAAGTACTTTGTTGGCGGATTTATGCACTTGTCAGCTCCTTTTTGGGCCACCCAAAAAATATTGCTCAGTCATTTCTCATGAGTGCAAAAATTGTGCGATCGATATGGAGAGATGGCAATGTGCTTCCTTATGTTTTATTTTATTTTATTTTTTTCTTGGTGGAAATGTGATTCTCATGTTTATGCATGTGGCCAAAAAAAACAAAAAAAAAAACCTACATGTATTTTATTTGAAAACTTTTTTTTTTTTTTTTTTTTTTTTTTTTTTTTTTTTTTTTTTCCATCCAATTTTTTTTTGAAGTTGATGCTTGTGAATTGTGGTGTAATAAAATTCAACCATTTGGGACGATATATGGAGCAGGAGAACCTTCTATATGACTTTGATAGCTTTGGTGGTGTCTGCTACACAGAGAGAGAGAGAGAGAGAGAAGGCCACCGAGCCGTCAGTGCTGGGGAAAAAGAGATTACTTTAAAAAGAAGATAAACAAAGAGGCTGCGATCACCATATTTATATAAATGAATATTAATATATGTTTTCTTTATATAATCGATAAAACGAGGAAACACGCAGCTCGAGTCCCAGAATTTCCACATTAAACGCAGCATGGGTTTTGAGTTTGCGGGTTTTGTCTGTGTTATAACGGCGCCTTAAGGTTACCTGTCTCTATTTTACATTAGAGAATTCAATACAATTTTGTGGTCTCTATTTGATCCACAATTAATTTTCAATGCGTATTTTGACAAGTTGGCCAACGAGTTTAGCCCAATAGAAAAAGTCTTGAATTGTATACCTGTGGTCCTAAATTCGAGTACTCATGACATTTTGAAAGTGTGTGTGAGAAAAAAAAAAAGGTGTAGCTATTAGTCCGATAACTTCTCTTCTCAACATTGAAATATGCTTGAAGTTCGAATCTTCCTCGTTACTAATAAATATTTAAAAAAACATAAAATATGCATGTACTCTCTTTTTTTTATTTTAGAGTCCAATATAAACTAATTCTAAATTAAAAAAAAAAAAAAAAAAAAAAAAAAAAAAGCAAAACAAATGTTTATAGTTTTATTATCCACCATACTTTCTCAGCCCCCAACCCTACTTGCCTTGTATTTATTTTATTTTCTTCCCTAAATTTCGGTTTATAAAAATGAGAAAGACCCATAGCCATGTTCAAACGAATTAATACGCAGGACATGTTCTAACATGCCCGTCGCGGTCAATCACTGTCAAATTAGAAACCAAAGCGTGGGGGCTAGAATTCTGAAGAATGCTTTAAGATTCCAACACGTGGTGGTGAGGCGTCTGTGGGCCGTCACGTCGAGTCTCATCATATGTAGGCCTCTAGATATGGCCCAAGCCCATTACCATATTCGACTAACAACGCAAATGCACCATCAAATTCCAAACCTTGTCGTTTTGGGGAGTTGGAAAATGACAACATGTCGTCGTGGCATGGGTCTTTCCTAATGTAGGCCGACTATGGAGGGCTTTGATTACGTACCTCGGAAGCCCTGCAGTACCCAAATGGCCCGCTGTGACTTAATGTTATTCTTCTGTTGTCTTTACAAGTTATAGTATAAATTACAGGAGAGGTGGGTTTCTCTCTCTTTCTCACACACATGCACAACTATGATGTCATGAGGATTCAAATTTGAGACTAAACTAATTTATTTAAATTACAGTGTTTAATCGGAAAGAAAAAAAGAAAGCTTCAATTGAATTTGAATAGTGTGATTTCAAATCCAATGGAGCTTTTAACAAACAATAGAACAGATACAAGGTAGTTTAGTTCATGTTTTATAATGAACAGATGTTTTGATATAATATTCTAACAATACATAAAATAATATTTTTGAAGAAGCATTCTAAAGATCCACTGAGAAGACGGCCCATACAAAACTAGGAGACTTGGATTAAAGCTGAGGACGCTCTTGCTTTCAGATTAGAAGAAAAGTTCAGCAGGCAGATGTGAGCATATACGATGTGGTGAACCTTGTTTTGAAGTTGATGCTTGGAATATACCCTGTCATTTTCTTGGGGGGATTGTCTTATAGACTTGTACAAAAACTTTCCCAAAAAAACAAGGAAAGAAAAGAAAAGAGCTAAAGTTTCATGCATGGTTGAAACACATCCAACCCAAGCCCAGGTCCTTAGGTTTTCATGTACAGAAGTAGTACAACCTTAGGTTTTAGCCCAAACATGAATTGGCAAGCCCAATTATGTTTGAGCCGAACATCAGGAGCAGCTGGCAGTCTCGTTCATGATCTAAACACGTAGAATGCTTAGGGTTAGTCGTGTGTGTATGCATGATTGATTCATAGCCGTTGATGATTTAAACATGTAGAATGCTTAGGGTTAGTCGTCTGTGAACATATGATTGATTCATAGCCATTGATCTATAATTATAGACCTTATTTTAGAAAATAGTTGTATAAAATGCAGGGCGGGTTGTTACATGGCCTTTTATATTCGGATCAAGCCCATCCAAACCTTTCCGTCGTGCTGTATCAAAAGTCGTCCTCCTGCAGGTGAGTGTGCTGTATCAAAAGTCCTCCTCCTGCAGGTGAGTGTGCTGTATCAAAAGTCCTCCTCCTGCAGGTGAGTGATTCTTAACTGTATATGCATGTAAGGTCTATATTTTATAGATCAACAGCTATGAATCAATCAGGTCTAATTTTTTTTCCAAAACTAGTATAGCCGCACTGCTATACTTATTTTGACACGTGGCTTTTTTTTGAGAGTGCCGCTATTTCCACTTACCTGTTTTATTTATCGACCAGCCTTATCTTCCCGCCCATTATATAAATTTGAAAAAAAATACAGTTCTATTTTTCCACCCACCATTATTCATAAAATACCCTTTGATTATAATATTAAGAATCAATTTCATATGTTTGCTTGTTTTTATGTTTAGGGGTAATAAAATATTCATAGAATTTATAAAATTCTTTATATTTTTAAAACAAAAACCCATCCGCCCCAAGCAGCCACCACTTCCCCGACCCCAATCCCTAGCCCCACCCCACTGCCCAGATTCATCCCCAAAAACCCAAGCCTCGACACCACCGCCGCCTCCTCCGCGTCCACCACTGACGAAGAATTGTAAGCTTTGCGAGAAGAGAATAGGCGACTGAGAAACTCGCTGGAGCATAATCTCAAGCTACTCGAAAACCTGTATGGATCTCCTTCTTTGCTGAACGATTGCCTTCCCGATGTAAGCAAATTTTGGGTCGATTCAATTCGATGCCCTTCTGATCAATTTGTGTACAATTTCAAATTTTTATGTAAACTAAAATGGTTTTTTTATGTTTTGGGTTGTCATATTCAATTTTGCTCGTTTAATAGCTTCTGATCAATTTTTTATGTTTTTTTAATTTGTTTTAATGTTTCTCTCTGGCCTGGTGGATTTTTTTATAAATAGTATAGCCGGCCGGCTATACTCGGTTTTTTGATTTTTTTTAAGGCTTAATTATGTACATGCCCCTTATGTTTTTCAACTTATCTCAGATTACCACCTGTTTTTGCAAACGGCTCAAAGTACCCCCCAACGTCTAAAAAACCGTCTCCCGTTACCCTTTCCGTCAGTTTTTTTGAAGTTTCGTTACGAACGTTACTGTTCATCCCCCCCAAAATTCCAGAACAGCAGCGCATCCCCTTTGTTACTGTTCATCGCTTATTTACCCTCCAAAACTCAGAAATTTCTCATAACCAACACAACTAGCAGCAAGAACAACTCGAGAGGTTGAAAAACCATACCTGGATCGAAGCAAATGGTGCTCGGAATTGCCCGAACGAGCGATGGAGATTTTGGGTAAAAATCGGCCAATTTCTTGCTTTTTTCGGCCATCCAAACGGCGGTTGGTAGCGGATGAGATGTGAGGGTGGTAGAGGACAACGTGCTGGTTCTTTTGATACCCATGTCGTCGCTTGGGGTGGCCGGAGGAGGAGATGGCAGCCCAAAAAACCGGTCGGATGAACAGTAACAAAGGGGATGAGTTGCTGTTCTGGAATTTTGGGGGGGATGAACAGTAACGTTCGTAACGGAACTTCAAAAAACTGACGGAAAGGGTAACGGGAGACGGTTTTTTAGATGTTGGGGGTACTTTGAGCCGTTTGCAAACACAGGTGGTAATCTGAGATAAGTTGGAAAACACAGGGGGCATGTACATAATTAAGCCTTTTTAAATATAGTTTAGCCGCGCGGCTCTACTTATTCTGCACGTGGCGTATAAACGAATATTGGAGAAAAAATTTAAAAGAAAAAAAGGATCCCAGTATCTAGTATAGCCGCCCGGCGATACTATTTTTAGACAGCCGTTCGGCTATATGACTTTTTTAAAAAATAAGCAAAAATCGATTATAGCCGTTCGGCTATACAATTTTTTAAAAATTGAAAAAACCGAGTATAGCCTTTATTAAAAAACAAAGGCCCCGAGTAGCGATAAGGTGCCACATGTCAAAATAAGTATAGCCGCCCGGCTAAAGTATTTGAAAAAAATTAGACCTGACTGATTTATAGCGTTTGGATGGGCTTGATCCGAATATAAAAGCCCATGTAACAACCGGGCCGGCATTTTATACAACTTATGATGTTTATAGATTTAACCTTATACGTATACTTGTGGCCATAATCAGGAGCCTAGCTAGGCCCCTCGCAGATCAACGTTGAAGAGGGGAATTAACGGATAAAAAGGGGAGAGAGAGAGAGAGAGAGAGAGCAGAAAGCCAGAACAGAAGCTGAAGAAGCCGAACTGTTGTATAAAAGAGTGAGAGAATGGTAAGCGCAAGCGCAATGCGTGTTGTGCAACCCACAATCCTCTCTACTTTTGTGGGTAACCGCTTGCTTCAGTCAGCGCAGCCTCTTCACCAACTCTTCAGCTACAACCCAGGTCCTTGCTCCTTCACTTTTATTCTTTATTTTATTTTTCAGTCTTGGTTTCTGAAGTTAAAACATTTCTGATTCAGCTTTGGTTTCAATTCTATGTTTTCTATTTGAATGGGCTTATAGTCAAAGGAAGGGTGCAATAGTATGCTTGCTAGTGTTTATACTTGCATGAAATGGGGTGTTATAGCTTGTAGCTAGCATAGCTTATTGGTTTTGTGAGACTGCTTTGTGTTTCTGATTGTATGACTTGAACTGAAAAATTGGTCTTTGGTACCAAGAGAACGAAACTTTAATGCCTAATTGAGCTCTTTTCTTGAAGATACGAACTTTTTTCCCGTTGGATGTCACTAACCTTTCTCTGTCTCCCCAACTAAAGTCCCATTCTTCAGTGGCCAAATCTAAATTCCCGACAAATTCTCTTTTCTCAGTCCCAGTTGCCACTGACCTTGACTACGCTAAAATCCCTAAGGAGTTGAGAGTATGGCGCGCTCATCGAGCAATCTCAATCTTGTCCACAACCAATAGCAAAGCCCCCTCTCCTTCTGAACTCAGTGTTTACCTACAACTATGCAGCAATTCGAAGTCTCTAAATCAAGGAAAGCATGCTCATCAAAAGATAATCCAATGTGGGTTGGATCAAAACCCATTCATAGTCACCAAATTAGTCCAAATGTATGCTGATTGTGATGATTTGGTGTCTTCCCGGAAGTTGTTTGACAACTTGTTAAAACCAAATGTCTTTGCTTGGACCGCAATCCTGGGATTCTATTCGAGGCACGGAATGCATGAAGAATGTGTAGAAGCATATGTTGAAATGATTTTGAATGATGTTTTGCCTGATGGGTATGTGTTTCCTAAGGTCTTAAGGGCATGTGCACAGTTGTCGTGCTTGAAAGTGGGAATTGTGGTTCACAAAGATGTGATTATATGTGGGTTTGAGCTTAATCTTCAAGTTTGCAATTCGTTGATAGATATGTATTCGAAATGTGATAATATTGGGAGTGCTAAAAGGGTTTTTGATGAGATGGCGGGAAGAGATTTGTGGTCATGGAATTCAATGATCTCAGGATACGTATGTAATGGGTTGCTTGGATTGGCAGTAGAACTATTTGATTGTATGAATTTGGGTGGTTGCGAGCCTGATATTGTCACTTTGAATACAGTAATGGATGCTTATTGCCGAATGGGGCACTGTAACAAGGCTAAGAGAATCTTTGAACAGATTAAGGCGCCTAATATAATTTCATGGACCACCTTGATATCAGGATATTCAAGGATTGGGAGTCATGAAGCATCCTTGAGGATTTTCAGGGATATGATAGGAAGCAGCATGGTTGACCCTGATTTGGATTCTCTTTCTACTGTCCTTGTCTCCTGTCGGCATCTGGGGTCTTTGCTAAATGGAAAAGAAATCCACGGTTATGGGATAAAAAGGGAATCTGGCATTACATTTTACCACTCAGCTGGCCCTGCATTGTTGACAATGTACGCCAACTGCCGTAGAATTCATGATGCTACAAATGTTTTTAAATTAATGGACCCAGCCCATGTTGTTTCTTGGAATGCCATGATCCTTGGCTTTATTGATTTAGGACTGGAGGATTTGGCACTTGACAGTTTCAGAAGAATGCAAAGAGCACGCATCAACGTTGACCAAACGACAATATCCACTATCTTGCCAGCGTGCAATTTGAAATTTGGAAAACAAATTCATGCCTTCATTAGGAAAATTAGTTTTGATTTGGTTGTTCCGGTGTGGAATGCACTGATCCACATGTACTCTAAATGTGGATGCATTGGGTCTGCATACTCTGTATTTTCCAACATGATCAATAGGGATTTAGTGTCATGGAACTCAATGATTGGAGGCTTTGGAATGCATGGGCATGGAAGAGCTGCTCTTCACCTTCTCAAAGAGATGAATCATTCAGGGATTTGCCCCAATTCTGTAACTTTTACTTCTGTTTTGTCAGCTTGTAGTCACGCAGGTCTTGTGGATGAGGGCCTTCAAGTCTTTCACAGTATGATGAAGGAGTACGGCGTCATCCCCAGCATGGAACATTATGCTTGCATTGTTGACATGCTGGCACGTGATGGTCAACTTGAAGATGCAGTTAGTTTTATTCATAGGATGCCTTTGGAGCCTGATAAGTGTATTTGGGGAGCTCTGTTAGCTGCCTGCCGAGCCCATCAAAATGTTAATGTTGCAAAGCTTGCTGCTGAACAATTAGTCCAGTTGGAACCGGGAAATGCTGGGCACTATGTCACCCTGTCAAATATATATGCAAGAGCTGGAAGATGGGATGAAGCTGTACAAGTGAGAAAGCAAATGGAAGCCCAAGGATCGGTAAAGCCATCTGGAAATAGTTGGTTTGAATGTGGAAACGGGACAAATGAAATATCTAATGAATAGAAGTATGGATACTTTGTGTTCAAAAGCTTTGGATGAGCCTGGTCCTAATACTTAATCCCATGTGACTGGCCTTCAATTTGTACAACTAATTAATTAGGCAGGATTTTGCGAATTCATTCGGGGCACTTGAGGGCATAATGATACGCCAAGCAAGGCCCATCCCAGGAACCCAAAATGCACAAATAAAAGGAATGTGTGTGTGTGAGAGAGAGAGAGGGGTCAGAAGCCAAACCATGTAAGAGCGAGAGAATGGTAAGTGCAAGCGCAATGTGTGTTGTGCAACCCAAAATCCTCTCCTCTCTTATGGGAAACTGCCTCCGTCAGTCAAAGCAGCCTGTTCACCAACTCTTCCGCTACAACCCTGGTCCTGGTCCTTCACTTTTGTACTTCTTTAATTTTTGGTTATTGATAATAGTATTTCTGATGCAGCTTCTGTTTCACATGTTATGCACAGTTTTTTTCTTTTCATCTGATTTTGGATCCTTTCCCTAAGGTTGAATCAGTTTAGAAGTCAATTGATGAATGCATGTCGTTGTGAGTTATTTATATTTGCATGAAAAGGTGTTATAATTTTTGGTGAACCTAGCTTATTGGTATTTGAGATTGCTGAACTGTGACATACCACATGCAATTACAACCATGCTTTGTTATTTCTGATTATGTGACTTGAATGAAACATAAAAGTTCTTTGATACCAAATGAATGAAACCTTAATGCCTAACTGAGCCCTTTTCTTGGAAATGTAAAAGTTGTCCTGTATAATACCAATAGTTTCTAAGAATCTATAAACCAAAGCCTAGAGTCCTTGACAATTTTATGAAATCAACATTTAATGCACTTGTTTTTCCTATTTTTTAAACATGCGAATATAGTGATGGTCATTGTTATTTTCTTTGTTTCAAATTCTCACACACAGGAAGCAAGCATGTTTCAATGCAGTTATCCAAAAGATTTTCTGGCTTGACCAACCTCTTGTTCAATGGAAGGTATGGCATGCAACATTCTGCGTACTCACATGTGTTATATAGACACAGAGGCACACACAACACGGGCATAATAGTATTATTTCATGCACTTTGGGACGCTGTTAAAAGGTGTATGAATAAATCTACCAATTGGCTCCCATTTTGTATAAGTGTTGTCTGTAGAAGTACAAATGACTACATACGGTATTATAGTATTATTTATTAGCTTCTAGCTTGTTTGATCTATTTCTTGACCTCATCGTGGCTCTATTTTTGGGTTTTTATATGATGATGAGGTTTCTGGACTGGGATTTTGACACACTGCATGATTTTCAATTATGTAATGCACATCATGTAAGATACATATGCAGACACGTCTTTGTAAACTCATAAGTGATGGATATTTTGTTGAAATTAGCAGAAATGCAGATAAAGTTCTAAACACCAAGCGCAAACGTCTAAGGCCTGGAAAAATTTCACCTCATCGCCCTGTTCCAGATCATATACCAAAGCCTCCTTATGTCAAATCTAAAAAACCTCCTGGAATTGCGAGTGGACCTGAAGTGCATGATGAGAAGGGGATAGAATGCATGAGAGCCTCCGGAAGGCTTGCAGCACAGGTTCTAGAATTTGCTGGGACTTTGGTCAAGGTGACTGTTCTGCTTTGGGCTTGTTTATCTATGTTTGCACTTTCTCTGTAGAATGATTTTTTGGGTCAATTTTTTTCCCTTATGTCAGAAGGTTGTGTTTGGTGTTGAAGTAATTTTTATTTGTTTTTGCAGCAAAGTATACATTGAAAATAACAATCGGTTTACGAACCATACAGTAGTAATACACAATAACATTCAAATAGAGCTTTGTAGAAAAGAATTCAAATGGCTGAGACCTATGCTGTCCAAAAAATGTAGTCTATTTACACTAAAGGGTATTAACAACTGCCCCGAGAAAGCGGATCCTTTACCTGCCTAAACCCTGAAAAAGTGGCTGCCTACTTCATACCATTGCAATTCCAGAATAAAAACTCTCTCTCTCTCTCTCTCTCTCTCTCTCTCTCTCTCTTGTGTAGCCTCATATCCTAATGAAATATTGAGGGTTTCTCTGTCGATGCATGTAGAGTAGAAGTACTGATGGTGGAAAGTATTGCAAAGTGTATGATTCTACTGAGAGAAAAGCTGTTAGATCTGAACTCTGTGTGTGTGTGTGTGTGTGAGAGAGAGAGAGAGAGAGAGAGAGAGAGAGGGTAAAGCATGTGGCCAACTACGGCTAGGCTGCTAGCAGTGAAGAACCTGGACTACTCTGGTTAAGTGGTTTTAACATAAATGGAAGGCTGGGGAGACCTTAGGAATTGATGATAAGACTCGTGTAGGCGATTAATGCAGAGAGCGTGTGTGTTGATTGAAGGCTACAACTTTACTTTGTTAAATAATATTCCCTTAGTGTAATCAAAATTACAATATAAAACGATTTGAAAATGCTCAAAAACCCAAGTTCTTGCCCAGAAAAAAAAAAGAAAAAAAGAAAGGTTGGGTTGCCTTTACAGTATGCAGATTCAGCCTGCTTATTTTCCAGAAGCCCCAGGTCCCCCAAAACAAACAAAAAAAAAGAAGAAGAAAGGAAAGGTCTTTCTTCAATTTGCTACTTTCTTAGAGATTCTAGAGTTGGATTTAGCAAAACGTAGATGTTGGAGTGTGAATCTGTATGATATTTACCGAACTGATATTTTTCTTTTTCTTTTGGTCATTGTCGTTGTCAAGCTACTAGGCTAGTGCATGATGCATTCAAGATTTTGCAATCTATCGTTATTTTTCGTTGTTAGCTAATAAGTGATTGGAGATAGATTCTTGACTTTGATTGCATGATGTAAGAGGTGGGTGTCTTGCTCTGTATGAAACTTTTAATTGGTTGCTTCTATTGGCAGCCAGGCATAAAGACAGATGAAATTGACCAAGCTGTTCACCAAATGATAATTGATAATGGTGCCTACCCGTCACCTCTTGGCTATGGTGGTTTTCCAAAGAGTGTCTGCACATCAGTGAACGAATGTATTTGCCATGGAATACCAGATTCCCGAGCACTTGAGGTTTCTTTGATTACAGTTCTTAGCTACAACATCTTGTCCTTCTAAGTAATGAATTGTTTCAAATCAAAATCACATCTATTTTTTTTTTCTTGGCAGGATGGTGATATAATTAACATTGATGTTACGGTCTATTTAAATGTGAGTATGGTTACTTAGAGCATGCGTAGTTTAAACAAAATGAAATGAGATACACAATTCAAGACTTGAGGTTTTGACCGTGTATCCATATTAAATGGTTGACACAACTCAACTTTTACTTCTTTTTAATCGTTACTTCTTTTTAATCGAATTGTTCTTTTAATTGTAAATAATGCTTATATTAGGTTAACTACACGCATTTTTACCTGTTTTATCATTCACAATTGTTTGATTTAATGCATCTTCGGTTACTTGCCAAGTTCAACCTTTAGTATCTATATCCTTCTGACTGGTTTGTAATTTACAGGGATATCATGGTGATACATCAGCAACTTTCTTTTGTGGAGATGTTGATGATGAGGGCAGAAAGTTAGTTCAGGTGGCAGTGTCTTTCTTTTAAAATTTATGGAGTTCCATGGGTTTTCCACGTATTTGGTACTGTAATATGATAAAAGTTCTTCACTGATAAAGATTATTGTTAGAATTCTAGGGTTTTTCTTTGTAGGCATAACACAAAGTTCCCATTAGTTTCACAAGAATTCATTTCACTTGATTAATTCCACCTAAAAGTTTATTAGCCTTATGTAACAGAACTTTTCCTACCCTGTGTACCCATATCTTTTTGAATGCATGCCCAAGAATGCCAAAATAAAAAAAAAATCTTCTTGAATGCCATCATCTCTTTGATACAGGTGTACATCCAAAAGTGTTGTTCACTGGTGGGTTTTCAGAAACTTGAAAAAATGTTTCAGCTACCCCTGTTCTTGTGCTTTTGGATTTTATTTTTTTGTTTTGTGTACCTATAATTCAACTTATTGCATTGGTATAGATGGCCGACTGTGAAATTTCATAAATCTTGGTAAATTATATCTTCCACTAACACTTCTTTAGTTATGGACTTGTAGTGAGGCGAACCTTTCTAGGCTGAAATTAGTTAATTGTATGCCTTTAACTTCTCAAGATGTTCTTCTATGATAGCTATTCTTACAAGATTTATTTTTGAAGTATTGCCTTAGGTAACTAAAGAATGCCTCGACAAGGCAATCTCAATATGTGCCCCTGGCGTGGAGCTTAAGAAAATTGGAAAAACAATCCAGTAAGGCATCTTCTTCCCCCATCCCCCTAATTCTGTAGTTCTGTTTTCTTCCTTATATGCAGGATTCTGTAGTGGCATTGGTGCAATAAAATTTTTCTTTTTGTGTCAATGTGTCTTAAGGCTGACTTGTCATATACATGCATGCATAAGTCACATATGGATGTGAAAATTCAATCTTATTCTAATAATAAATGGTTTTTTGTTTTCCTCAATAAGGGAGCATGCAGATAAATATCGTTATGGTGTTGTTCGACAGTTCGTTGGGCATGGGGTTGGACGTGTCTTTCATGCCGATCCAGTTGTTCTACACTTCAGTAATAATTCTGAGCTTTATGCTGCTCCTGTCTCCAATATTCACTCATTGTTTGAGCAAGTCATGGAAATTATTTATTAAAACTTACGGTCTAGAAATATTCCTTAGACTAATTATATTGACGGCTGAAAGTTTATTACTGATTAGTATAGAAAACATGTGCCATAAGACGTAAAAGTTTGTAATTCAGTAATATAAAGCATTAATCTGCCTTATGTTTCTTTCTTTAAGTATGCAATATATTGCCACTAATATGCATGGAGACACACATGGGACACACAATCTACATCTAGAATATCTGCCAACAGAACATATTCCGGTTGAAGTGATTTTTATTCCTTGTAGGGAACAATGAAACCGGCCGCATGGTGGTAAACCAAACCTTCACAATAGGTAATGCATTTTGATTATTCAAACTTACCTTCTTTTTGGAAAAAGTTGTTGCTTATTTGTGATGTACTTGTTTCATAACTGTGTTCAGAACCGATGCTGACACTAGGCAGCTTTAATCCCGTAATGTGGGACGATAATTGGACAGTAGTCACGGAAGATGGAAGCTTGTCAGCACAGTTTGAACATACCATTTTAATAACCGAAGACGGGGCTGAGATACTAACTCGGTGTTAGTGATGGTGCTAGACCTTATACGATAGAACCTATAGATACCCAAGTTTGGGAATTATACTTGATTGGAGTTGCATCTTCCAAGTTAAAAATTTATGTTGGAGGTGCAATATGTTTTGCTTTTACCATTATTTTAGATGATTCCTTTAACTGCATACATCATGTTATTGTTATTTCTCATAGTTGTTGTATCTTATACAAGGATTTGGATTTTCACATGGTCTTTATGCATTGGATTATTTCTTTCATTAAGCTGCTTTTTTTTTCTTCTTCTCCCTCCTTTCGGTTCGGACACAAATTGGTGAAAATAATTGCACTCATCTATCATATTATTAAGGTGACAATTCTTCGATGTCTTGAACGTGATATTTAACTGATTTATGCTAATCATTACATGCTATGGTTGTGGTGGGAAGGAATTTCTTTCCAACCATTAAGTTGGTGCTGGTATTTTTGGAGTATGGCCAATGGACGTCTCATCGTCGGATGGAGCTTGTTTGCTTTGTCTCTCGTTGGACTGCAACTAGTTCAATAGGCAGAACAAATGCAAATGTTAATTTCATTATTTCAGCTCTAATTTCGTCTTCAGAGTTTTGAAAATTCTGCATGGCACAGATTGTAAGGATAAAGGTAGGGAAGGTAGGGAAGAGTTCACAACTGTTCTTCATGGTGTTCAATTTTGTGGAGTTGTTTGGCCCTACACTATCACCTCCATTAAAACTTTTCTATTTCTGGTAAGAAGGTTGTTTTGGCAACGCAATACTGTTAGACATACGTACGTTTTGAACGCGTAAGCAACTACTCCATTGAAAGTGGGAAATGGTTTGTATTTGATTTGCTGATTTGGGCAATTGAAGTTTTGATATTTACTTGTAGTTTTGGGACCTCAAACTCGGATTCCCACATTTCTGATCATGGTGTTGGATTTATTATTATTATTATTATTCTATCGACATTGTCGTTCGTTCATGAAATTTGAACCCATGACATTCTACAATAAAGTATAGAGTAGACGAGCCACTAGATGAAATAGTCTTAAAGAAAGTTGAATGCAATACGATTGTTTGGTATGTAAGCCCATTGTTAGACCACGTACGCATACTTTAGAAAAACATATGCAGCACTATACGCATCAGGACATACATTTACGATTGTTTGGCATGTCCAAGCCCCATAGTCAAACTCACCTAACTATCCATGTTACTAATTAATATCTGATAAAAGCATGAGCATGGCCCTAACATGACCTTGTTTCTTCATATCTTGATCATGTAGCCAATTTTAGTTTACATGGGTTCAAGTGTAAAATGCAAAACCTTTTTTTTAATATATTAGCACATGGGTTTAGGGTTGAAAGTTTGAGACTTTACCTATTTATACATGAGGAGGTCCATGCATCGTCGTCATGTAACAGATTACTTGCTTAGCAAGCTGAAAATCAAATGATGTCTCTGCGTGAAGAAATCAACCCATCAAGCTATGGTGATAAAATCACTGTTCTAAGCATTGATGGTGGAGGAATTAGAGGCATTATCCCTGCAACCATATTGACTTTCCTTGAATCCAAATTACAAGTATGCAATTATCTATATACTAATTATCATCATCATCCAAATTACAAGGAAAATTTAGACTGATTTTTGTTTTGTTTTTGTTGTGTATGTGTGTGTTTAGGAACTGGATGGAGAAGAAGCCTGAATTGCAGATTACTTCGACGTGATCGCGGAACAAGCACAGGAGGCCTAATAACGGCCATGTTGACAGCACCTGACCAAAACAGACGACCTCTCTATGAGGCCGAAGATATTGTTCCATTCTATCTCAACCATTGCCCCAAAATATTCCCTCAATCCAGGTTCATTAATAATTAATGATCACTAATTATATAATTTCTTTCGCAAGTTTAGTTCTAATTGCATCCCATGATATTAATTAATGGATAATATAGTGGACCACTTATGAGAATGAGAGCCTTAAGGGAACCAAAATATGATGGCAAGTATCTCAGAAAGTTGGTTCGCAAAATACTTGGAACTCGAAGACTGCATGAAACTGTAACTCGAATTGTGGTGCCTACATTTGACATCAAATTGCTACAACCCCATGTCTTCTCAACCTTCGAGGTATCAACTTATAACTTATAATTTCATAAGTTTCACATACAATTTATTATATATCACTGAGAGATTAGGAAAAATATGATGAGATATGAGTAATGTATAGCAGCATGGTTGAAAAATGTTCGCAGGCAGAGATGGATGTTTCTGAGGATGCATTGCTATCAGATGTTTGCATCGGTACTTCGTCTGCTCCAACTTATCTCCCAGCTCATCATTTCAAAACTAAAGATTCAGGAGGAAATGAAAGGGAATTCCACCTTGTTGATGGTGGGGTGGCAGCAAACAATCCTGTAAGTGTCGTATATTTACCGACCACATCTCTCATTCAGGTACGGTGAGATTTGTTTGAGAGATAGGATTAATAAACGTGATACGTGTACAAATAGTTTTATTAGAGTTATAATGATGCTCGATACTAATTAATATGGTACCATGGTCCTTAATTCATCCAACTACTTGTTTATGGAACATGTTTTCTTTGTGCTTCCCTTCTTACCATGATCATTTTTTTTTGTGTGATTTGAATTGGAAAGGCATTGCTGGCAATGAAGCCAACAGGGAAAGTGTTCCCAGGCAGTCCAGATGATCTGGCCTCACCACAAAGTCTACAATATGAGAAATACCTTATGCTCTCACTGGGCACAGGGACTTCAAAGATGGAGGAAAAACACAACGCAAAAATGGCAGCAAAGTGGGGGATTTTGGGCTGGCTTTACAAGGATGGCCATTGCCCTTTAGTTGATGCCTTCACATTTGCTAGCGGAGACATGGTCGACCTTCACATGTCCTTGATTTTCAGGTCCGTCAAATGCGAGCACAACTACCTTCGCATTCAGGTACATATATTTCATCAACCTAAGAAATTAATGCTATAATTTATGCATTCCATATGTACTGATCACATCTCTAATCGAAGCATATTCAACTTGAGGTCATTTCTGTCTCGGTCAAATATGTGATCAATAATGTCATACGAATAAGGTTTTCATGATTTATTACTATGTGAGAACTCCAATCTAGGATGACACATTAAGTGGGAACACATCATCGACAGACAAGGCAACAGAGGAGAAAATGAGGGAGCTAATAAAGACTGGTGAGAGTCTGTTGCAGAAGCCTGCTTCAAGGACGAATCTTGATACAGGGATATTTGAACCAGCTCACAATGGAGCCACCAATCAAGAAGCCCTCACTAGGTATAATGACGTCACATAATGTATTTCATAACCATTAAACTTATATCAAGCTAATATTTAAGCTAATGATTAAGCATTAATACTTGTACTTGTGGCTTGGCAGATTTGCTAAAAAACTATCGGATGAGAGAAAACTGCGAAAGGAACGATTACATCAGTGGACCTCCATTTGATTACAATATATAATAGATTCATTATCTTAATTATAATTGTGTTTAAGTGAATTTATACTTGGTATTAGAATCATGATATTGGCATATTGCTTGACACATCTGGTGCAAGTTTTATTCATTAGTAATAATTGATCTCTCTCTCTCTCTCTCTCTCTCTCTCTCTCTCTCTCATTTGCTCGCCAATTTTTGTTTTTTTTTTCTTTTCAAATGATTGTAATTTTCCAAATTTCGTGAAAATAATATATTGGTGTTCTCCATTAAAGTAAAAAAAGGAGCAAATGAAGATTACAACTTTTCTGTGAGACATCCATTGTGGACCCGTACTATATATACGTTTTTTATAATTATGATACGTTGAACTAAACGAATGTCAGTCGAACTCAAAACCTGATGAGCTTTAGCTGCACTATAAAACCAACAAACGAGACATACAATATTATATGTATGTATATTCCCCTTATACCTAATTTATGCATGATGACAAGACAAAAGGATGTCATAGTTAAATCTAATTTTGTCAATCTCGGCCACAACAAAAAAAATCCTAATTTTGTAAAAAGTTAATGAGCTAATTTAATTTATGTAAGTTTATATGTATGGTGGTACATAAAGAAAACGATTAGTTGTGACTTTAATCATGCGTTCCAATAAATAAAAAAACATGTAATTTAATTTGAACCATAATATTGCCACTGTGTACATAATCTCGTGGTATTCATATATTTGAAATTTCATACCATGCATATTCATACAAGATAAGTTGTTCTAATGAGTTCAAGTATCGAGAAAATATGGAATAATAATAATAGGTTAGGATTATGATATGTGGAGGGTTTGGTAGTCCATACTCGATACCCTCCAATATAATCAAGAAACATAATGCTTTCTTTAATCATTTTTAACATGCATATGGGGCACCACATCAAAAAGGTGGCCCAAACTCTCTCTCTATTTTTTTTTGGGAAAAAAACTTATTTGTAACTGGGATAATACTATTTTACTATTTTCGACTAATAATAAATTACTTGTCATTGTATTATTGGCCGAATTAGCAAAAAGTGATATCCCATCTGTCTATTATTGGCCGAATTAGCAAAAAGTGATATCCCATCTGTCTATTATTGGCCGAATTAACAAAAAATGATATCCTGTTGCATGAGAGTTTATCTCCTCCCCTTCCTGCAATCACAACAAAAAAGAAAATTTAACATATATTATTAGAATGTCTCATTAGATAGAGAAAAAGTTCAACATGCCAAGAAAGTATTGACTCTTATTCTACAAATATTATGTCAGCAGATGAGATCACAGACCTTTCGAGATCCCTAGACCTCGACCCGGTAAGACTACCAAGACCCGCCCTTTCTGTCTTCTAATTTACAGCCACGTGGTGAAACCTATAAAATAACCTCCAATCCATCCACAATTTTCCGCCTCGTGTCCGCTCTCCGTTTCAGAGAAACATTTTCCCTTCCGGCCTGCACCAATTTTCTTTCCATCTCTTTTAAATACAATCATTTTCATTTTCCTTCAAACCAAACACCCCGAAATTTTCCCGAGAAATTCTAAAATGGACACAACGCCGATTAACTGGGAAGCCCTGGACGCTCTCATCATCGATTTCGCCAAATCCGAGAAGCTAGTCGAAGACTCCTCCTTTACGACGTCGTCTTCTCCACCCTCTTCCCCACCTTCTTCTTCTTCTCCCTCCTCTATCTCCTCCTCGTCTTACCACTCGAGATTGATCATTCGCCAGATCAGACGGTTGTTAGAGGCCGGTGACATTGACGCCGCCATCGATCTCCTTCGCTCCCACGCCCCTTTCATTCTCGAAGATCACAGGCTCCTCTTCCGCTTGCAGAAACAGGTACTCTTAGCTGTTTGGCTGCCGAGAAAACGCCCGAAAATATTGTAAATTACAGTTTTTAAGGGTTTTATTTGTTTTTTCATATCAAAATTATTATCTTTGTGCTATTTTCTTAAAGAGATTTATTGAGCTATTGAGGAGAGGAACCACAGAGGATCGTGATTGTGCAATTAATTGCCTGAGAAATGCTCTTGCTCCTTGTGCCCTTGACGCTTATCCGGTACTTAAAAAACTTGATCTTTGTATCAAGCATCGTGAAGTTTCTTTCTTTCAATAATCTTCTAATGGAATTCACCACTAAGAGACTAGAGAGGTTGGCTATAGCTCTATTGTCCGTGTGTCAAAATTGAGCAAATATGAGTATTGGGTTTGTGCCAGTTTACTAAATGTTTGATGCAAGTTGCTTACTCTGTTCAATTATGAGTTCTGATGGATGTTTTTATTGCATTCAAGGAAGCATATGAGGAATTCAAGCATGTACTTCTTGCTTTTATATATGACAAAGAAGATCAAACTTCTCCAGTAGCAAGCGAGGTGGGATATTTTATGTAATGTCAACGCAACTATGACCTATGGTTCATTTCTTTTTTCCCCATACCATACATGTAGACTGACGTAAAGGGCATGTTTGTTTTATGTTTCCCAGTGGTCTGAAAGGAGGAGGTTTGACATTGCTGGATTGATTTCCACTGTCTTAAGAGCCCATTTACATGCTTATGATCCAGTCTTCTCGATGACATTGATATATTTAATAAGGTGTTACCTCGTTGACTTTAATTTAGTTACTTGCAATCAACATTATTCTATTCTTTGGCGTGTGAGTGCCTGTGTGTGGGGATACAGCACAGGCACTAGATTCATTGTAGTTGTCTTTTAAAGTTATCCCTGTCTTATGCAGCATACACAAAGGATTTTGCTTTCGTCAAGGAATTTCGTCACCCATTTCTGATCTAACTCAGAGGCTGCTTCTTGAGGAGCGGGACCCCCCAGCAACATCCCAGGAGAGCCTGTATGAAGCACCTCCTTTTGATGAGGTGAGATTTCTAAAATATGAACATTTTTCTGTAGATGTTACAGAAGGTAAACAAAGAATTATCGTATAGCATGTCTTATATAATTACACTGCTAACCATGTCTTATATAATTTCATGTGTGGTTTGGAAAACCAGGTGGACATACAAGCTCTTGCACATGCTGTGGAGCTTACACGACAAGGAGCAGTAGATAGCTTGAGATTTGCTAAGGGTGATTTATTTCAGGCGTTCCAGGTTATTAATTACCTTTTCAACGTTATTTTCATCACAGTTGCTTTAAGTTTGAATATATGTTATTATATTTCACAATTCATAGGAGTTCAGTCATTGGATGCTTATCCATAACTCTTATTTCTTGCATGTCAGTGGTTCCCTGGAAAAATAAACCTAATGATGCTAATGTAAATCATTTATGAGGTTCTTTGAATTATATATGGTTGGCTCAATATTTTGACTTTACTGATATTAATTATTGTTCTTAATGCTTATCTACTGCAGAATGAATTATGTAGAATGAGGTTTGATGTTACGATGCTTGATGAGCTTGTTCGCGAGTACTGTGTTTACAGGGGAATTGTGGATTCTGGTCTGCCATCTTCTTCAGGTGATAATTCAACTTTTTCATTTCATTATTTTTTTTATGTTTCATAGATGTGTGTGTGTGTGTGTGTGTGTGTTTTTTTTTCCTTCTTCTTAATTTCTGGTTCTCCTACTGATCTACCTCCCAATGACAGCAGCTGGAATACAAAGCCCTTCCAAATCTATGAAAGTTGATCAACCAGGGATTGGGTTTTGTTTGTCAAGAGGCAGTTCCCATGAGGTAGATTCTGGTGCCGGCAAACATTCTGATGGTGAAATTTCCATCAGTACTAATGATAACCTAGGTGGTTCCCCTGGAAAGAATTCTGAATTGACTAGCATGCAAGGAATGGATGTTGAATTACGTTATGCTTGTGAGTCAACAAACAACCATGAAGATTGTAGCACCAGTGGATCACATCAGTCTGATAATCTCAGAATTCCACAAAGAAGCAAAGCCAATGTAACTGCAGAAAGAAGTAAACGCAAGCGATGGAGGGGAAGACAAGATGATATTTGTTTTACTACTGGCGTTTCCTGTAATGAAACGAGTAAAGAGCTTGGCACGACGGCCATGGTTTCCAATATGTGTTCATCAAGGGAACAGCAGGTTTTGTTTTGTTGTAATTACTTATATGTTGTGGTAGTACCAGTGATGTTATTGGTTGTTAGTTGACAAGAGTGTTGTTCTGCAGGCTTCAGAATGTTTAAGTTTAGACGTTAACAATGTGGAGGATAAATATGAGATTGTGCTTGGGATGAAGGAACTAACTAGCAAAGGAATGGCTGCGGAGGTTGTGGAAGAAGTTAATGCTATGGACCCAAATTTTTTTGTACAAAATCCCACTTTGCTGTTCCAACTTAAGCAGGTACTTTGAGCATGTATTGTCAGTAGCTTCATTGAAGTAAATGGTTTTTATTAAGATTTTATGATACAAAACTACTGTCTAATATTTTCACCAACCTGTAGGTTGAATTCCTTAAGCTTGTCACCTCCGGTGATCATTCTAGTGCTCTGAGGGTTGCTTGCTCTCATTTAGGTCCATTAGCTGCTAGTGATCAAGCTTTACTGAAGCCCTTGAAGGAGACTTTGTTAGCACTGCTCCAACCTAATGAAGATGCACTTGGAAAAGGCTTGCCCTTACATGCTCTTGCAACTTCACTACAGGTATCCCATGACTAATTGTCGTAATTCAGTTAATAGGAACTGCTCATGCAATTTATTTCATTAATTGATTCAGTTCTTAGTTTGTACTGCGTTCTTTAAGGTTGCAGTTGGTACTCACTGCACAACTCTTTTCTGCTAGGGTTTTAGGATAACTACCATCAAATCGTTTTGCTATCTGGACACAGTTCTTAAATGTAATATATATTATTTACAATGCACCATGCCATAAGCAAGAATTAATCAATTGCTTCTGTGTTGGATAGGTTGCAATTGGTAGGAGGCTTGGCATTGACGAACCCCAGCTTATGAAAATAATGAGAGCTACCCTTCACACACATAATGAGTGGTTTAAACTTCAAATGTGTAAAGATCACTTTGAAAATCTATTGAAGATTGATTCCTTAAAAGATGTTACTACTCCTTCGCTTGTTGCTGCTGCAACTTCAAAGTCAAATGCAGATAGTTGCTCTAACGGGTCTTCCCAAGTAACAGTATCTTCAAGCACCAGGATGGTGGAAGATGGGAGCAGTCTGACTCAAGTTTCATCTAGAGATGTTGTGTGTGATGAAAATGCAATACTGAAAGTAATGGTAAGTTATGAACTTAAGTTACATCTTTCTGTACATTGCCTTGCCTTTGAGTGGTGGTTTTTGGGTTTTGAGGAACTTTTTAGTTTTACCTCCATAGGCTTACCAAAGATTGGCATCTTCATAGATTATTCCTATCCATTGCGCATCATTTGTCATTCCCATTCCTGGTCTTCCTTGCGACATAAGATTACTTGATTATCAATACATTCCCCAACCAAAAGGGTTCCCCTATTTCAACAAGAAATGTCGATCCAGATCTTTGTATGGTTACCCCATCTTCTAAATTCTAACACATGTTTGTTCCGTACAACTAATTATCCTATTTTGGACGATTGCAGGAGTTTCTAGCCTTGCCCAGGGCTGATGCCATCCATCTTCTTGCACAGTACAATGGAAACGCTGAGACAGTCATTCAGCAAATATTTGCATAGTTTGAATTGTAGCGGTTTTGCAGCTATCCTATGTACGATTATTTTTTCCCTATTATTTGATTCAATTTGTGCATAAGAGTTTCCCATGTAGATAGACTTACACGTAGTTACAAAGAGAGGTACAGTATTATGCCTTGTTAACACTTACACTGGCTGTTCTTGGTATATTATCATGTATGGGGATTCTGTCAGCCATTAATACAACACTGTTGGTTGATAAAAAGAGGAAGAAAGCATTGCTGGATTGGTTTTGTGGTTTTATATTGTTTGTTAGCATTGAGGTAGGTCCAATTTGCCTTTGGGGTGTGGGTTTTTGGAGTTCTCCATTGCCTTGATTCTAAATGAAAATTGCAAAAACCCTTATATGTGAAGCATCAAATAAGTCACTGTTGGGTATGAAAATGGAATTGAGTTTTTTTCTTTTGCCTTTGGGAAAAAGATAATTATTTAAATTGCATTAATAAAAAGAACCAAAATACAATCAAACGTTGTAACCGGGAAAAAGAATAATAATAAAAATATGCAAACAGCGTCCATCCAGCTCCAAGACACAATTAGGAGCCCCATACCCTTTGCTTATGCAGTAGAGGCTGCTGTGGATTATTATGCTAACTTTCCGAATAATTTTCAGAAAATATATTTCCAAATTCAACCACTTGCATTGCCATTGCTAGCTAGAGCCTAGATGGAGATACAAGCAAGCAGCACACTTACAACACAACTCATTACTTTATGTCAGATTTTGGTGATTTGACTCCCGGAGCTTCTTTTCGTCCGAAAGTAATTTTGCAAACCTACAATACAATACAATACGAGCATTTTCTTGGTCAACAAGCATTAACACAATCAATGATGATGTTCAAGAAAAGATGTTGATTCTGCATCTGCAGCATAACCATCTGACAAGGGTTACCTTTGAAGTGCTTGCTGATTGGTGCCACCATTTTCAACTGGTTCGTAGAGACCCGTATCCAAATCCATGGTTGAAATTGGTTTCTGGAGCAATTGATTCCCAACTTCCACTAGATTTTCCAAGTTCTCCTGGGTAGCTATATCAGCTGAAGCTAGATTTCCCTTTAGCGTGTCCTCCTGGTTTCTCAATATTCAATAGAATATATATTTGTAAATTAATGAACATATAAAATATAATACAAATATATTATATTCAAACTCAGTTACCTCAATTCTGAGGTAGTTCTCGTTAGAATGGAGGGCTTGGAAAACCACAGAGTTGTGGTAGTCAACCATACAAGCACTTGCTTCATCAAAGCATTCCAATAAGGGACTTGACCCATCCTCGTATAACCACCCTATAAGACCCCATTTGGAAGCCTTCTTAGCATTGTACTTCAGCTCACTTCTGTCTGAGCCTGTCCCCAGCGAAACCAACAAAAGACGATCGTATAACTCCATGGGTTTAATCTCCATGAAATCTGGATTTTGTTTCGTAGTTTCTTTTATCACTTCACTAATGGCAACCGAAGCCTGCAACCATATTAAATTTAGCAACAGTAAAATTAAGTCAGTCATGCCACACCCTCCAAATTGCATACAAAACACTGCGTCACAGTCTGAGAAATGCTAACTGGACTTGCTTAAAAGAAAGTTCGGCTGTACATGAAACTTTCTTATGAGCAAGTCTCTTTAGCATTTCCCGTCACTCTTACTGTATATGGTATACTAAACTCTAAAACCTATTAAAAAAATTCATGCGTAATTAAGAGCATCACCGGATTATTAGCGGCGACGCCACCATCGATGAGGTTGAACTCTTTTGGTTCCCCTTGTTGATCATTGTTTTCAAAATAGTAGGCAGGGAACAAAGTTGGTGCTGCTGAGGTACCAATGCAAATGTCTGAAAGTTTAGCATTCAACACTGGACGGCTTGTCACCTTGATCATGACAAAAATACTTAGAACTTCGCTTAATTATCAATCAAATTCCACATGAAATTATTGATTTCTCTTAATTGGTAATTAGTAATTAATATATTGATTGAATAAAGAACCTGATAAGAGGAAAATATGACAGGCAGAAGTTTCTTGACATCAAACGTTGGAATAACCACGTTTGTCAAGGTTTGGTCCAATCTTTTGTCCCCTACTATATTTCTTATTAGCTTGTGCAAATACTTTCCATCGTACTTGGGTCCTGTTAGAACTTTAACTAGATCTACAACTGTGGCACACAATCCCCTGTATCATCATGAGTAATCGAAAGAGTGTTAGTTACTAGTTTAGTGGTATTTTTCTTTATGCTGTTTGAAAAGATCCGAGTTCAATTTTTCTTATCCGACATAAATACGACAACATTATATATCCACGCACATGCATTTAATTATAATTTTTGTAATAGAGTTTCAATAATATTACCTTGATTGTGGGAAAATTTTTGGACAGTTGTCAAGGTAAAATGGGACAATATCTTTGGCAGCGTATAATGGTCTATTGTTGTCATTAGGTGCTGCTAGCATGGTCGCAATTAGACCACCTGTGCTTGTCCCAGAAATAACGTCAAAGTAATCTGCAAGCCTTGCATCTTCACCATCTAGTTCCTAATTAGTTAATACCACCTAATTAATAATGTAATTATGTAAAGCTTATTATAAATCGAAAACGAAAAGTGTTACCAAGCGAGCTAGCCCTTACCTGAAGTTGAGATTCAAGGTAAGCGAGAAGAACACCGGGGATGATTCCTCTAATTCCTCCTCCATCTATACTTAGAACTGTTATGAGGTTGCCATATTTTGGAGGCTGAAGGACATTTAGAGATGAGCTTATGTTTTCCATCTGTTGTGACAAGCTTGTGGATGTTGTGATCGATATAATATGTGAACCGATATATTAGGTACACAATCGAAAATGACACTCTGGCTTGGACTTGGAGGCATTATTGGGTTTTGAATGCTTATACCATGCCTTCAATACTCCTTATTTTATAGCCATTTGTTCATACTTCAATATCAATCCAATTTAATAGAACCTAGGCAGTTTTTTTGGTCAAGAATAAAACCTAGAGGTAGTGTTTTCAAGAACATGTGTTGGTTTAACTAAAGGATTATAAGATAAGGACAAGATAAAAATGATTGGACTTAACTGATGGTCTCCCAATATGAAGTGCCTTATTGCTATTCAAATCTTGAAATAGGTTAAATTATAGTCTTACTATTTCACACGAAATTCCCACAAATATACATTTGTTTCCGTGACCAATTAAATCAAAATAAAATAACTTTTGTGGGTTTATTTTATTTATTTTTCCTTGTTTAAAGAATACGAAGACCAAATCCACAAGGAACGCAATTAAATTAACAAATTATTATATTTTGCAAAGATGAAATCCAAGAAACTTTGACATTTGGGTGGCAATGCTGGTGAGCCGGTCCAGCCAGTTCAAGTAATGTGGTACTAATTACTTGCATTCTCTTTCAAAGTTTGCTTGAGAGTGATTTTGAATAGGTTTTGGAGAGATATACTTTTCATGGACTTTTCCATAAAATCACTTAAAATAACTTATAGTGATTATATGGAGGAGTGATTCTCTATATTGCTTTTTGATTTATCTAGAATCACTCTCAAATAAGCTCTTAATCTTTCGTTTATATACAACATGTATAGATGTATGTATGTATAATTAATATAATTTTAAGAACGTCATATCATATCTTTCTCTGTTCAGGTTTGGGGTGCGGTGTTGAGTATATATATATATTCCATACGAAAAGTCTAAGCGCGTGCTTTAAATGTAAATATTTAAGATTATCTGGGTTTGGTTGACCGAGCCATGACTCATTGCTCTTGCAAGATTGTTTAATAAATATTCATCTTTGTGGTTCATAAATATTAAGGTTAATAATTTATAGCAACTAGGTAGCAATAAAAACACGAAATCTGAGGTAGGTAAAGGTAATGAGTTAATTCTACAAGAAATGATAACGGATCCGAGGCTTTATATGTAGATGTTGTGCATTTACTCGTATTTCGTAACATCTAGATCATCTTAATGATATAACAATTTAAGACATGAGTCATGACACACGATACATAAGCAAACTTTATAAATAAATAAAATAAAAATAAAAATCTAATAACTTAATTCAATTACAAAATTTAAAAAAAAATCAAAATTCTAGATTAAAAAGAAGACACCCAACTCGCCCTCCCCACCCTTATCCCCGCCATCCATACCCAACTCAAAGCCGCCCTGGCCACCACCATCTCTCTCTCCCTCTCACACACAGATTGACCCCCACAACCATGAAATAAGCAGGGTGTGAATACAAAATTGTAGAATTTGGGGGATATAGTTTTTGGTCAATTGATATATTGAGAAGGGGCAGTGAGTGGAGAGGTTTATTCAACGGATATACGCAATTCCAATTTGATATTCCGTATAACACTTTTTCATGTACTTTCAAAATCATAATCTGAGTGGATCAATACCCAAGCTCCTTTTCCCTCCCCGACCTGAGCCCAGATTCCCCTTCCCCTCCCCAACTCCTCCCAGCCCCCTTACCCTCAACTTTCGTGGACTTTTTAACTTTATTTTTTTATTTAAACAATAGTATAATTGTTAATTTTAAACAATTTTCTGATGAAAAAACTAATTTTTAATATTTAAGTTGTTGATGTGTCATGTCTTAAACGGTTAGATCATTAAAATTGATACAGATAAATGCACAACGTCTAAATGTAAGGCTCGTGATAATCAATTGACCCTCATGAAACTGATAAAACAACTTCTCTGATTAAGCAAATAAAGAAGAAAAAAAGAAAAGAATGAAAGCTCTACTGGTCAGAAGCCCATTGGACCTCGAATATGAATATGTTAGACTTGTTTTGATACACCTTCCGGCATGGAATGCAATGCATCCGAAATTCATTGAAATTTTAGGTGCCACATTCTAAAGCAGTGAGTGGCAAGTGGGCAATTATGGGCTGTGCCTAGTGTCCTTTCTTTTTCGGGTCAGAGACGCAGTGTCCAGGTTTTGTCTTGAAGCTCAAGCAGCGGTACCACTGGTACTGGGTTTTGAAGCAGCTGTTTTCCATTGTTACAACTTGTGTATCACAAAGATTTGCTACTCACCTACTCACATGTTTTGGCAGTCCTCGCTTTAATTCTCTGTGCCTTTGTCTGCAAACTAAAGCCCCGGCTGTGTCCGGCTGTAGTATAGGACAACACACTTAACACGATAAAATCAATGTGGGATTGAGTGGAATTAAAATACATGAAATTTGATGTGTTATGTGTTTCTAACTTTCCTATGGGTGACCTGTTCCGAAAGTCGGATTCAAAAATTTCTCCGGATAAAGGTGATGATAAGTAAGTTATGATTAATAGTTGTGACATGACAATGTAAAAAGACATATCACAAGTTATATATTATTTTATTGTCACTAATATATGTAAGAATTTTATCAAAAATGTCGAGTTTTAACCGTTGAGACGTGTGCGGATATAGGGTGCATCAAACGGCTGGAACAGTCGACCATCTTTGGATTTCAAATTTCATACTCTTCCTTATTTAGCAATAGAAATGACCTAGTTTCCATATGATACCAGTGCCCTTAACTTATTATGTTGTCCCCATTACAATGATAGAGGGTTGTTTAAAGTGCAAGCAATGAATAGCTCCTGTGGGACAACGAGGTATACTCATAGATTCTTCAACCGTAGTATGATAATAATATATATACTACAAGCAAAGTTATATATATATAATATATAGTATAATACTGAGCAAAGGTGGTTGTCACAAAACTATTTAGAGTGGGCTTCACGTTTTCCTTCATATGATATCCCTGTCTTGTGTGTGTGTGTCTATATACATATTCTTATAAAAAATTATTTTAATCTATGAATGTAACCCATTTCGAAATTTGAAAGAAACTTCAACTTTAAAGAAAAGTTGACACTTGACTCACACACACACACACACAGAATTTGGGTACTTGAAATGAAACACTTGGCAGTTGGGTTCAAGTGGGGCTGGAAAATCATGTGATTGCATTGATGGATTTTCTGAAATGGGATTAATTATAAAGTAGCTGCTGCTTCTTCTTCTTCCCAGCACATCATGAAATGGATTTTCCAAATTAATCGGTCATTAGTTCACAGAAATGCTAGTCTATTTATATATACGACCTTGACGTCTTCTAACTCTGTAATAAAAGATTGAACTGGTAAATGCCTGAAACAGAAGACTTCCTTCCTTGATTACCAAAATCAAAACTCGTGTTTGGAATCGTAATTATAGCTTTTAATATTGGAAGCAATGAACGTTTCTAGACCTAATCATTTTCAAGTTTGACAATGCGAAAAAGTGCTTTAACTGCATTTAACTTTTTTTAGGTAAACAGAAAAAGTCCCCTCTTTTTTTTCAAATATTTAAAGGATGATTTGAAATTCATGATAGCATAGTTTTGTAATCAAGGGAATGCCTAAGATTAGAATGCTACAAATGCAGGTACATCAATTTGATGGCTAGCTATCCTATCTGAGGATTGTACTTTGGTCTGTTGGTGAAAATCAACATCACTCTATCACAATTCACGATTGGAAAATATTTCCATTCTTTTCTTATAAGTAGACGTTTCTACATTCCTGTCAATAACAATGTAACATATGTGCAGTAATAGATAAGTATTTCCTTACCGGAAAGGAGGTAGGCAATACAAAAATTAAAAGGGTTTGAGGGTCATCACTCCATCTCCATCTCGTTTATGCTTGGTTTTTTCTTAATGGGATCTCTCCTTAAAACGCTCCAAAAGTTGTCATGTTCTATTAGCATAGAGTTTGAGTCTTTTTTTTCTTGCGGAAGGGTTTATACTTCCAGCTATTAAGCTATTTGTGGAAGGGGTAAGTTTTCCAACCACCTTTGGTTAATCCAAAAGAGCTATGTAAGTAGGTTTAGAAGTCCTTAACCCACTTTACTATTTCCTAAATTACAAGAAGCATAGTGTTGTAGAAATACATTTGTTAGTAATCCTTATTAGACTTTATTTTTAGCACAAGGTACCAATAAAACGTGGTTGAAGAGTCACAATTAAATTAAACAATAGCCTAATCTCAAATGCTCACCAACTATAGAACTCTAATCATTCAACTTAATATAATTCTCATTTACTCTAAAATAATAATTCAGCCCAATCAATCTGAAATAATAATTCATTCCAATGTAGTGTACGAATCGAAGTCGGTTCAACATTAATATTAAAGATCTTAAGCCACTTAAGAAAAATTAATAATATTACTTAAATAAGTTCCAAAATATCCACACATCTACTTTATATATATATATATATATAAAAGTTGGTAAATAACAACAAATCATAGAATAACAACTTATTTTAGTCGTGTATATATAATATATAGAGAGCTTCAGTTGAGGAATCCTTCAAATAAACTTATTTGAAGGACACCTTTGTAGGGTCCACTTCGCATTGTATTTCATTAATCCAAACCGTCTATATTTTAGATAATCATTCAAAGATCAAAGATCATCTCTACAAAAAATCACTTGAATCCGATATCGTTTGACTACTCAATTGTGTTATTGAAATTTTAGTACTTTTTTGAAGCACTATGTTCATTGATTTTGTAGGATACAATTGAATATCGAAACGGTTTCCGATTTGTCTAATTTTTGCAAGGATGATCTATGAAGGTAGACTTAAAAAATAGATAATTTGGATAGTTGGAAAATAAAATAAAATCGTAGAGTACCCTAAAAGGTATCCCTAAAATAAAATTATTTAAAAAATCCATCAATAGAATGAGACTATATATATATATATATATTCTTGTAATTTATAGATTCTATCGTTATCAAACAAAAGTCAAAGTCTACATATTTCCTTCTCTTTTATTATCTTTTATTAATTTTTTGTTTCTGAGTTTCCTGTTTTTGGTCGGAAACTCTCTTCCCTCTTCAACGCCTCAAGTCTTTTGCTTTTTATTTTTTTTCGGTAAAGAAGTCTTTTGCTTTTGTTGGTATGCAACTTGGACTTTTTAGATTGCGCTAGGTTACGGCATTTGGGGGGCGTATGGCAATTTGATTAGAATTTAGAAAATGCTTATATAAAAATAAAATCTCTTATTACCAATAAACAAACAATCCCTCGGAGACCAACAAGAAGAAGAAGAGTTAGGCTTTGTTGTGCTGTGTGTTGCAGCGTTTCCCACTTGGCCTTTCAATTTTTTTCATGGCCCTGTTTCCCAAAAGACCAAAAAAAAGCTCCAAAACCCAGACGCTTCTTTCTTTGGCTTCCTTTTTCTCTGTAGCTGTCTCTCTTTTCTCTCTTTGAGGAACTAGCTGAGGATACTCGAAGGGTGGTATGAACAGTACTCTCTGAGCTCTGCTTGGTGGTCGGTCTTTGTTTGATTTCTCTCTGCTTCTGGTAAAACAATGGCTGAAGACATCTGTTTCTTCAACAAGGTGCTGCCTTTACTCCCTCCTTTTCGTTATTTTCTGCTTTTAATTCTCAAGTTCACTTTCTGTTTGAAATGAAGTAGTGGGTTATGCTCAAAATGCTGTTTTTATACATAAATTTTGTTTATTCAAAGAAAATATTGGTAAGAGATGTATTCTGGTAGTCTTGAAGAATATGTGGGCGTCTTCTTTTTGTTTTTCCAGTTTCTTTTTCCTTAATCACGTGTAAAAGGTGCTATCTTCAAGGCTGTTCCTTCAGCTTTGTGGGTGAAAGAAAAATGTATATGGATTTGAAGGAGAATGTTTGGTGCTGGCCGCTCCTCTGAATGTTCGATCTGGGTTTTGTGACTTTAATAAAATTTATCTGTAACCAAGTTTATTATGCTGTTAATATTACCGCTTAAAAGGACACTTACATTTGTATTCTTCGATCTGGGTTAGTAGTAGAACTAGTGTTTAGTGGTTCTATGGATTGTTCTACTTGATTATTGTTGTGAGTGTTACTTAGAGAGCATACATTACATTTGTGCATACCCATTACAACTTTTTCATCAACTCTCCTTATCAAAATTTTCATTTAACTCCCCCCTTCTCCATTTTGGTTCACAGGAAACTCTGATCATAAAGCCTCCTAAGAAATCTCCTTTGTTATTGAGGATGACAGTCCTAGTATTTGCAATGGTCTTTGGCGTTTATATCTGCTCAATATGTCTAAAGCAGTTAAGTATCCAAACCATGACTAGATTTCAAAGCATCAAAGTCATTGCAAGGCCTTGCCACGACACCAAACTATTAGAAATTCCTTATAAGCATTACCCAATGCCTGAAACTTTTAGCAGGTAATTGAGAATTTGCACTTTTCAAATTTGAATTTGGGCATTTTCAGCTTTGTTTGTTTTTGTTTCTTTGGATAAGAGCATTTTCAGCTTTGTTAAATCTCTGTTTTGGTCTATTTCTAGGGCTGAATGTGCACGTAATCCTGTAAGATTCTTTGCAATCTTGTCGATGCAGAGATCGGGGAGTGGGTGGTTTGAAAGCCTGTTGAATAGTCATAAAAACGTTAGTTCTAATGGAGAGATATTCTCCGTTAGGTCTAGGAGGGAAAATATATCTTCAATTGTACAGACTCTGGATAAAGTTTACAATTTGGACTGGTTCAGCAGTGCTTCGAAGAATGAGTGCTCTGCAGCAACTGGCTTCAAGTGGATGCTTAATCAGGTATACAATGTCTTTCTACATCAGGCTAATAATGGTTATATATTACAAAGTCTTCTGCTCAGTGATTAGTGGAAAGCTTATCCTTTTAGTGACAACTAGTAGGAAATGTAAAACAATGCGAACCATATTACTGTTTAAGAGGTTGTACTAATAAGGTCTTGGAAACTTAGATCATGGTTGGTCCAAAGCATCAGAACAATCAATAGGGTATTCCCATGCCATGGTCCAGTAAATTGTCAACTTTCTGACAGATTCTGTTTAATTAATTACTTTTTTTATATGAAGTTTTTGACGTGAGGGGTGGTTGGCCATCTAAGATTCTTAAAGGCAATTGTTTTACTGCTAAATCAGCCCAGTTAACTTCTCATTTTACTCGATTTTTGATTTAATATTTGTGTTATGTCTCATGAGTCATGACGAGGAGGTAAACTGTTCCTTGTTTCATGTTGGCCTTATATATGTATCATATAAAGCACCAAATTGACTGAAGAGATACCATATTGGAATCGCAAAGATATTAAAGGTTGCAATCACCAAATTGACTGATCATTCTTGTTTTTCTCCTAGGGGAGATGGTGGAAGAACTAACTTATGGCTTTTGCAGGGTTTAATGGAGCACCACAAAGAAGTTGTGCAATACTTCAATCGCAGGGGCGTCTCTGCAATATTTCTCTTTCGAAGAAACTTGTTGCGTAGAATGGTTTCTGTTCTTGCTAATTCTTATGATCGATACGCTAAGCTATTGAATGGAACCCACAAGTCACATGTACATTCAGAAGAAGAGGTCTCTCTCTCTCTCTCTGATATACCTCTCCCTCCACTCCCCACCACAACCACATTTTCATTATCTTAAATTTTATCTGGTGACTTCTTGTATATGCAGGCTGATACCCTGAAAAAGTACAAGCCTACTATCAATTGCATGAAGTTGATTACTGATCTTAAGGAAATGGAGTTGACAACTTCAAAGGCTTTAGAGTACTTCAATAGCACCAGGCACATCGTTTTGTTCTACGAGGACATTAACCGCACTGTAAGGATCTAAGTAAAACCTTCATGAAATATTTGAGTTATCGTATATTCTTGTAAATATTTTCATTATTCACTTGAAGACTACTACCGTAAGACTTATAATTCTTCTACTATTTTGTGTGTACATTTTCCTGGAATTATGCATCTAAAGTAGTCATTATTTCTTATTCAGAAACTAAAAGAAGTTCAAGAGTTTCTCAGCCTTCCACAGATGGAATTAACCAGCCGTCAGGTAAAGATACACAACGGACCGTTGTCGGACCTTATCAAGAACTGGGATGATGTGAAGAAGACGCTTATAGGAACACCTTATGAAGATTTTCTCCACCCGGACTATTAGGCGTAGTCCTCTGCTAACTCTTTGATACTGGTGTACATACCAACTCAAGTTATTCTTACCCCAGAAGCTGACAGGATACCGCCGGTGGTTTAAAATTTTTTGGCTGCAACAACACAGGCCTGGTGTTTTGATCCTTCTTCATTTTTTATCTCATCAACACTCCGTTGATGTGTCTATACACCTTTTTTCTTTTTGTTAACCAGACAGACATTGTATATGTCAGCTAAGCAATGTGAGTGAATATGCAATTCTTTAATCCTCTATTTTGTTTTCTTGATCACCCTTTAATTTATATTTTGTTTGGTGTTCTGTTTCTGTGTCATGTTATTATTGTCGTTCAATATTATCTGAGGATATACATTGCAATTTGCATGCAGTTTCTTTAATTGTGTTCTCCATCTTCCACAATAACCACTTGGGTATACGAGTTCTTCCATTTTCTCTGTGTTGCATTTCTTGTTGGGGAAAATACTTTTTATGCTTTAGGCTTTAACAGTGTCTGCAGAAAAGTCATAGACAAGACAATCTTTGCTCATTGAGCTTCGTCCCGCAGTATATCTGGTTCAATTCGAAGCCTTATTTAATTATGACAGACCAGTAATCTTTTGCTTCTTATTTGTGCATTTGGTATTCACTCATCAAAATACAGAAAAGAAAAGTATGTGTTACCAAGTAGGCATTTTTCCGACTTAAAGTTGGTATGATTCTTTTATGACAGACTCGAAGACGTGTGCGTTGGGTTAGGTCCAGAAAAATGGAAGTGAGCTGTAATTCGATCAACAAACAGGCATAGTCTATTTGAACACAATTTTCCCTTTCTTTCTTTCTTGAATGCGTAGCCATCCACACACACTCACTATGGAATTTCGCCACCCTATTGACATGTCCTTTTTCTGATATGTCAGACCCTTAATCCAATCCACAACAAATAGCACGTATCTCCTCCTTAGTTCTTGGGCCCTTGGATTCCTAATGAAGTGAGTAATGGACCTCAATTTAATGGGTATTCATAATTTGTGTTTGCCTTTTGATTCAAGTGTCCAAGGTGGATTATAAAATGGCCTGTCGAAATTAGACTCATGAATAACACTCTTCCCAGATTCCTCTCCCTTAGTACCCAAACTTTGCATTTGTTTATATATATATATATATATATATATATGGTGACATTTACGCACCGCATATTGCTGATCACATTTTTCATAATGGTGTGATTTGCGAACGACTCACTAGCATGATGAGTCTCTCACCAGATTAAAAATGTACATTTTTTGAGAAATGCGGTAACAACTTTGTTAGAAATGTGATTAATATATAGGGGAAAATGCTAGGCTTAGAGCATCTCCAACAGTAGTAGTAAATAAAACTCTTCAAATTGAATTTTGTTGACCTACGTGGTAATTTGAAAAGCCTTATTTGTTACTTGAATAATTTTTGCACCAACAAACTCTTCAATTTGATTAAAGCAATATCATGGAAAAGAATGAAAAATATTAAAACATGTGAAAAATGTCTATGTATTTATTATATGAAAAGAAAAAAATGCATGTTTTTAACATTTTCAAGGTAGGTTTTGTTTTTTCTAAAATAAAATTAAATGTTCGAAGAGCCAAAGTCAACTTATCAGTCCTGAAGAGAGAGAAAGAGGTTGCAGCTTTAATGACTGAGGTTGAAGAGGCTATTGGAGAGAGTTTTTATGATGTGACTCACCTATTTTAGAATTCCGAAGCTGTTGAAGAGGCTATTGGAGATGCTTTTACTACATTCTTACCACCCCCCATCCTCCCCAATTATATTGATGGACTCTACCTCTATTAAAGATGTGGTACACAATGTGGTATAAAAATGTGGTAACCCTAGCATTACCCATATACAAGTAGTATTAGGCTACTATTAGCTATATGTACATAGACTCAATATGAGATTGATGCACTCCTGAATCCATCATATAAATAAACAATGAATCCTTACCTTTTTAAGAGATGCACGTAGTTAACAATGTACATAGACTTAATTATGAGTTTGATGCATTGGAAAACCTACATAAACTCACGCAATCTATAATAAAACTAAGCCTGAGAATCTTTCTTAGTCTCATATTTGTTCAATTTCTCCAAGACATTGTAATTCCACAATGGACTCACATTGGAGAGTAACTTATCTTTATTGGAATGTCATTGTGACAGGATTTCAGGACAATCACATATTATCATATGTCTAACTTTTTCACATATCAGTATATGATTGACTTGAAATACTGTCATTAAGTCATAATTAACATTAAAAAAAACACCAGTGAAAATAGCATGCCCGTGGAATATGCTATAGCTAGCTATAAGCCTATAACTCAACTGATCGTATAACACCACTTGTCTTGTCTCTTGTGTGAAAATGAGACATGAGGCACAGCTGTACGGTTTGTGCAGATAGTTCATCATGGTCGGCATGCGAGGCAAGCTATATAGTGGCCTCTTGGAAGCCATGTAGGGGCAACTTTTATATTTTATCAACACATGGGCCGACTGTAAAGCAATACAAACAACCAAAGTAAGAAAAACTTTTGGCAGTTGTGCATGGTTAAAGCTAGCCGATAAAACTTTCACGCCACAAATGCCAAATGGCTCGTGAGATGAATAAAATAGTGGTTTGTGTTCAACAATGTCAGGGTGTTTGGGTTGGAAAGCTGAACTTGTCTGTCTGCCTGAAAGTCTTAACATTTTGTGTGAACAAGAAGAAGAGTTGAAGAACAAATATATAAAACAAGAGCAAAAGATAGGTAAAAAGTTTTTCAAATTGAACATGAATGGTGGAGAATGAGAGCACTGGTCCTCCACAGAACCATGTTGCTTGACGTATATTATATTGCTTCAACTTGTTATAATATGATTTCAGAAGTAATGCTTGCTTGTAGTACCATGATGCTTTCCGGCTCAGATTTCTAACTTTAAATCATCACAAGTTAGAAAAGATTGGTTGGCTGTGAAATGAGATCTCACCAGCGATTTCTATGGTTTTATTGCATTGTATCATACTTTATGATTTCCCATCTCTCCCGTTGATTAAAAAAAAAATCATATACTTTATGGTTAAAGAGAGGTAGAAAGGAGAAGAGTTGCATATTAATGAACGGTTTGCATGGGACATGCAAACTGTTGACAGGCCATCCTACGACCCTAATAGTGTATATTTATGTCAGTTTGTTGTTTCCATGAGTTTCTGGCGAGTATGAATTTTTCTGTAAGGGAGAGGGTTTGAATTTGAGACCTTCTACGATATTATAAGGAGAAGTACCTAAACTAAACGTTAGTTGATGGCGGCTTAGGTGCCTATTACTTTTTCATTTTATTTTGGAGAAAAAGGAGGGTGAAAGTCTAACTATTGTCATGAGTACAAGGCTATGCACCACTAGAGGCAAAGAAAGATTATTCTGTGTGGTGACCTCTTTTCTAAATTGAAAACAATATGAAACTTTTGTTCCTCACATTCTGGAAATCTACATATTGTTGTTTGCTTGATGCTTGATGTATATGCTAAGTTAGCCTGTATTCTAATTATATATATATATATATATATATATCATGGCAGTCTTTAAAATTAATTAACAGACTGCTAACAACATAGTCTAGTCCAGCTAAAAAAAGATATTGACTTGTAGACTAGTGGTCTCAGATTCAAACCCCCATAGCACCTTGATAGTGTGTGTGAGAGAAACATTTTCCCCCTTATATAGTTTAAATTATCGCTTGTACTACCGAAAATAATAATTAGCACAATACTTGTGAGATATATATATATATATATAACCATCTTAATTTTTCTACTAATTTGAACTTAAAAGGTTCTCAGTATCTCATTGGTTGGGAGTGGAGCCTCAGCTAGCAGTGCCCTCCCCTCTATAAGTACAAGCGCAGAGGGAAGTTTCTAAGCAAACTCGTATGCTTACAGTTGACTTGATTCAATTTAAGCTTGCTCGAATTGAACTAGCTAGTCTAGCACTTACTTGCAAGATTAGTTGATTCAAAACTCTACGGGAAACTTCTGTCCTAGTTACATCAATTCCATCATCTTTCTTTCACCTTTAGCTCTCCCTCCATTCAATGGCTTTAAACAAGTTAACCTTCATTTCTTACTCTCTCCTTTCCCTACTGATCATCTTAACTTGGGAAATTCAGTCTATTGATGCAAGGCCTTTGAATTCGAAGAGTAAAAACGAACTCCGAAATTTCCAAACACACACCAAAACCCACCAAAACAAGTTGGAGAACAATGTAGGTCATATTAATGACTTTCATGGTAAGAGCACAACTGAAGCTTCAGCAATTGTTGTGGCATCTCTGCCTCCACCACAAGGTGGTCAGGTTGGTGGTGCAGCACAGCCACGACATCCCACACACGGCGTAGATGACTTCAGGCCCACAGCTCCAGGTCACAGCCCCGGCGTTGGACATTCCATTCAGAACTAGGGCATCTATGATATCTATCCCCCACTATATATCTATATGTGTGTTAAAGATGCCCTAGGCCTATATATATTTATATGTATGTGTTCTTGCATGTCTACTATTTATGATCAGGTACTTGGCCATTCATCTGTATAGCAAAAATAAAGGGCCTCCCTAGTGGAAAATGGCTTTGACTTGCAGATCAGAGTTTCATATTCGAACCCCCATAGTATCTTGGTTGTGTGTGTGAGAAACCCCCCACCCTTCTAGTTTAGACTATCGCTTGTGCTTCAAAAACCAAAGGCCTTCCTGAAGTTTGTACAAAGATTTGTATTCAAATGCAATATTAAGTGCTGGTTTAATGTAATTTGTATTTAATCCTGTTTAGTTCTCAATGAAATTTCTGTTTTAATTTCAAACTTATTCTCTTGTTTATATATATAGTAATCTAATTAATAGTCTAATACAAAGAAAGTAGTAAATTATTTTACAAAGATACCATATTCCCTTTGTTTTTGGCCTGACAAAGATACCATATTCCATACCCAAAGGTTTGGAGATGGCAAGGAACAATTGAGTGTCAGAGTTTATATTACTTCTAAGTAAAAAGCATATTGCGCATGATATATATATATAGTTCCTAGTACTACCGTGGTCCATGCACATGCCTCTCATTCTTTGTATATATATATATAGCTAATAAATCAGGGGCTCAGAGCTTTGCGTTCCAGAAGCACCCTTTATAAAGACTCAGCCACTCAGATATTTGGTCCACGATCAATTGTGGTAGCAACGCTGACCCATGAAAATATACATGTTTCAAGAGGTTCAGCTACATTCAATAATTAGCCCTTTTTCTTTTTCTTTTTTGTGTTTTGACCCTTTTGCAGTCCCGAATGTTTTTTATGCATCTCAAATACTGAACGGGAGTGATTCCAAGTGGTCTTAAGTTCAAACTCATATAGTACATGCATATGAGTTTTCCTCCTCCTCTTTCCTTTCTAATTTGGCCCCAAAAAAAAAAAAAAAAAAAAAAAAAAAAAAAAAGTGAACGGAAGTATATACATTTACACTTTGTTGGTGTTCCCCAATTCCGTTATGAAGAGGTTATTGTTGAGATTGTGAAATTTCACGTAGGTATTCTAAGTCTCATGAGTCACGTCATAATTAATTCAAAAGTCTCGGTCCTCTAATACTCTACCAATTAGTTTAGCATTAGATCAGTACATGTTAGGTTTAATTTGGCTACATGTTTTTAATATCACCTAATATTCATATACGTGTTGAGAATGCAAATTGTCGCATCACTTATACTGAGCCTAACATTCCAATTGTGACAGAATGAGATAGGAGCTCTAATTGGGAAAGGTTTATATTGTGGAGCCGGAAACTTTTTTTAAATGATAGACAGATCTATTAGCCGATTGGAGGGTATGAGAATATATTGTTTCTTTTTATAATTAAACTCATTTTAGTATGATATATTATACAAAAATCCATGTAGAGTCTATTTGAAAAGAAGAACTCAAAATTAGCCGCTTGTCATTTTCTAATTGGTTTCTAGTATGTTAAGATTTTGTAAGAACAAATTAAAAAATGACACCATGAATTATGCTCAAGAGAGGGTTCTCTAAAGGAGCTGATAGATCAGAGAAACATTGTTTCACACGAACATTAGAAAGTTGTTAAGGTTGGCGTCAAACGTGTGACCATTATTATAGGCTTCAAACATAAATTTCTTATCTAATACCATGTTCAAAATTAGAATATCAAACTCAAAATCAATAGGCAATAAAAGTGAAAGAAGTCGAAATTATATATTGTGATATGAAAAACTCAATATTCCCGATTAAATTCCGATTTATTTTGTCAACATGTGGTGATGGCTATGAATGTGGTGGAAGGGAAAGAAAAACAACTTAACACACACCATACGATGCCTCTTTTACTTGCTAAACCCCCGGTTTTCTCATTGTCATGGTGCGTTGGTTTGTTCTTCAATTCGATACACAAACTTTCAAGTTCCATGGCGGATAACCTCCAAGCATATATACTATAGTAAGAACACCTAGAAAAATATATACTTGTTCTTCACTTTTCATATAAGTTAACAAACAATATAATTAATCTCTTTCGTTTCCAGAATTATTCCTTCTAATGTGACCGCATATTCCTTGTAAAGTAATCCAGAGAGGTTGCATGCTTGATGCTTTCAAATGGGCGCCGAAACATTTTGTCTTAGCAAGCAATTAATAAAGTTTTCATTTAATATTTGATTAATTACATGCATGTGATGTGAGGGTTCACTGACCTACTACTTACTAACAAAAGATATCCTTCTCTTAAACAATACATTGTATATAATTAATGAAAAATATTCGTGCAACACAGCTAGGCTAGGACAACAGACATACTCTATATCAATCAAGTGCGGTATGATCTGTGCTATATTTGGTACAATTTAATAATCTTGCTACTTAATATATTTTACTAAATTTTACTAGCTCAGTGGTGGGGGGAGAGAGAGAGAGAGAGAGAGAGAGAGGCTTTCCACAGACCGAGGAACAAATCCCAGCTAAAGCCCCTTTACAACAAGATTCTCCATTTTCATTATTTCCATTCCTAATTCCTAAATGGAGGGGGGGTGGAGGCAATGAGGCATGGCTTTTTGGAGCTCTGCTCTCATCATTTGCTTGATTTTTGACCCTATTATACTAAAAGGCAATTAAAATGAATTGTTTTTGGACAAACTAAAGTGGTCTGGACCCTCCACGGCTTTGGGGTTTAGCATTTAGCTAGTGCTTTTGACTTGACTTTTTTGGATTCTTTCTTTGACCATCTGTCTTCTTTACTTTATTTTCATGCCAACTAATTAGTTTTAAATGGGATTTAAATAAAAACAAATCGACTGCCATCATATAGGTGTCGAATCGATCTTGGAATTTCTGTCCTCAGAAAACCATTGGTTGACGTTAGTGTGTATATTTTGTTTTGGACGGATGCAATCGAAGGACAAAATTCAAAACCAACCCATGAAAGATCATAAAACAACATTCATTCATTAATAGAATCGGAAGGCAACTTTGCCACAAGTTATGCAATTTGAAAAGACGGGATGTATATATGATGCCCCATTTGAACTTTCAAGTTTCAACCATATGTAACCAATTTGGTTTATACTTGCACATAACAAAGGTTGAATTTTGCTCGTGTAATCCAATTGGTTGATTGTTTGTTTAAATTACGTAAAACATTTTATGTACTTAACATGTTCACATTATCACACAAAGTACTGTAATTACATATATTCTGAAGTAGAACGGTCGTATATGCAATCTCTTTCTCTCTCTCACATCTACCTATTACTCATTTGATGGATGAGTATATATATCCTCACTCACCTAGTGATGGGCAATGGGTTCCCACCACTACTTAATAGGTACTCATTTGCACCAATGGTTACCCATTGCCCATCCCCACTACTGCTCCATTATAAAGACTTTCTCAAATAGAAAGTTATACAAGTTTGAATATCTCATTCTTCAACATTGGAATTAATTAATAAAAAGTTGAGCAAAATGTACATGATATAATTTTCAACGCTTAAGTCAAAACCTAATAAGAAATTATCTTAAGTGCCATATGAAATTCCTAAGAAATCATATTCGATTAAAGAAGATAACACCCAATACATGTTAAATACGTTGCAAGGCTTTGAAGGAAATGTGATTTGGGACGAAAAGAACCACTTGAAAAGAATCTGATAATCGACTTAAGCAAACTCCGGGAAGTCAAACTTATATAATAATACCAGTTAAAGTTCCACACAGAATCATTGGCCGCAGTCAAATGGTGCATATAAAAAATGAAAACTCAAAGAGAAAAGTTCGCATCAATGTATGATTAGTTAAGACCATTTCAGTTTGGTCAAATTTCGGCTCTTTTATAAACCATCCATTGCTAACCACAGATAGCTTTTCTGAGTTAGTGCTCGGTTATTATTTGTTTAAATGCACGAGTGCAACAGATTGTAGTGCTTTCAGTCACTATTACGCGCATGGGGTACTATTATTTTTGTGTAATATATATTTAGATTCGCAGCTTGAAATGATTGCTCAAAATTCATGCATGGAAAGAAAAAAAAAAATTTCAACTGCGAAATGATAATCTGAAGACCTGTGCCTGCTGCTGTCGATACTTGTTCTGCTGCTAAGGCTGTGTAATCTTGAAAGGAAAAAAAAAAAACCAAATGAATTTTGATATTGCTTAAATAAAGTAAATTTATTTATGGTTATATATACATGATGATAATATATCTCTCAAAGAATCCATTTGAAAGTTTTCACAAACCATAAACAAAAAATATAAAAACTCAAACCAGATTAGGGTAACGACAGATGTGCTTAATTCAGTTGAATGCCCAACAGAGTTTCTAATGAAGGTTGTACTAGCCATCCACATATATATAATACTATACAGAACAAGTGGATAGTACACAAGAATCTCTATCTCTTGGTGCATTTCGGTGGTGGGGTTCTTGTTTTATTCAACCTAAACTAATCGTTTAGCTGTTCAAGTACCCCCATTAATTTTTTTCTAAACAAACTTTGATTGATCATTAGATAACCGGCCCTGTAATCTTGCTAAAGCAACACTTCAGCATGATGAAAGGTCACTATGCAAATCAAGGGCGACTCTAGTTCATGCTTGAAAAAAAACAAAAGGAGAATGGTTATTATGAAAATAACTTTTAGATCGAGAAACATTTGAATAGGGACTTCCTTATCACGTGGCAGATTAAATGACATACACTATTTAGTTAAAATAATATAACATATTTTATAATTATATTTATAATTTAAATTTCGTAACACATGTTTTAACTGAATAGAATATGCCATTTTTTCTACCCATGTCAAGGAAGTGGATCAAAATCTTTCTCCTCCTTATGCAATGCAAGTCAAATTGGACTTTTCTTTATGATAATAGTATTTTGTGTATCAAGAAAAGAGAGATAATGTAAGAAAAGAAAGAAGTAGCAATGGAGTATCTAATTATGGATCCTAATTAGGAGAGGGCCCCATAAAGATTATGGCATAGAATTAGAAACCGTCCAAATTGAAAGTTCATGCAGTCCACTATTTTGTTTATACAATTATAAGTAGAGGTTAAGATCCTCACTGGGTTTTATATAAATACCCACCTAGATGTGAATTTATTATCATGTGTTTGCTTCTACATCTCTCGTTCCCTTTTCATTTCTCTTGTAATTTGAGCACTTCTTCAAATATACACCAACTTTCTTATAAAACCATCTAGTACATTAATCTCTTTTCCATTAGTTATGGAAGCTAAATGTGCTTTTCTTCTTGCACTAATTGCATGCTTTGAAATTGTGTGCATTGAGGGCAGGCCATTTTGGCCGAAGAACAAAGAATTGATCAGCACAATTGAAGCTAACTCTAAAAGGGAATTGGGAGAGCAAGGCAGCCAACCCACACCCCATCACATTGCTAGTCCCATGGCAACTGATCATGATTCAATTTCAGGTACTCGTGCAGCATATACAGATGATTTTAGACCTACAACACCAGGAAACAGCCCTGGTGTTGGTCATAAATTCACAAACACAAAGCAACCAGGGAAAGCTAGTAAATTTGTTACTGCAGGAACAAGGCCCACAGCACCTGGTCACAGCCCTGGTGTTGGCCATGGTGTTCAACCACAAAATGCCAAACCAAGTCCATAGACACATGGAAAAAGGGTTTGTAGCTCAGTTGGTTAAGAGCATTTACCTTTGCACCCGAGGTCCTAGGTTCGATTCTCCTCTATCCCAATATTATTTGTATAAAAATAAAAATAAAAATCCATAAACACATGTAGGGGCTTGTCAATTATGGGTTTTATGTTATGTAAATTACCATTAATTTAGGCTCTCAGTTAGGCATGTCAAAAATCATTATCATGCTCTTCCTTAATTTCATGTTTCAATAAAAGTAATGTAAAGCTATGTAAGCTTCTTGTCCCAAAAAAAAGGGGCATGTAATTCTTTGTATCTATGTGTCACGTGGTAGTGTCAGGTTCGAACCCCCAGGACATTGTGGTAATGTGTGCGTGAAAAACCTTCCTTCCCCTGTAGTTTAGACTATCGTTTGTGCTTAAAAAAATTGTGTCACATCAAGCTTCTTATGCAAAATAAAAGTGTCATTGTATATTTCTCTGTGTTTTACTACATGTACACTGAATTAATCCGAGTTCAATAAAATGGATAGATATAGTGGATTTCACATGCCAGATTTCTGTACACATGTTAATAGATTATCAATCTAGTATAACACATAAAAGAAATATATATATATATATATATAATATTTTTATACGTCCACATATTGAGCATACATAATCATTGTTTAATAAACTATTATGCTTCTCACATACATATAAGTCGTGTATTTTTTTTAATATATAAAAATAAAAATAAAAAAAACTTAAGAGATAGCAATCTTAGTTGTATTTGGCCCCTTGTAGCTAATGGTTTTTTTAACTGAATTATTAATGCAATTCCAGAATTTCTTAAAAAAGAGATAGTGACACTATGAAAAGTAAAAATAAAAAAGTGCACGGCCAACATTTAAAAAAGTTACTTTTGCAATTGAAATATGAAAGTAAAAAACAAATTTCAATCTTCCCGTATAATAAACAAAGTAAAAGAATTTAATAATAATATAGAGTGCTGCATCTTAACCATCTATACCTAAAATTCACAAATACGTACACTCCACTCCACATGAAGGAAATCTTAAATTTAGAAGAAAATTTGAGATGCAGCTGGGATCTCAGTTTCATGGGGGATCAAGGATGAGACCTTGAGAGGAGAGGAGCTATGGAGGAGATGCGATGCAGGCACGATTTTATGAATAAGATGAGGGTGTCAGTAATTGTTTACAAATTTCAACATAAAATTAGGTTAACAAACGTATCAGTTTTTTAATAAATAAAAAATCAGTTAGAATTTTGCATCATGAAAAGCAGGTCGAGCTATTGATCAACCAAAGAATGATGATAAGGCGGAACATATGACCAAATTTTTCTGCCCTAGAACGAATTTAACAAAAATAAATTCAAATAAATAAAACGAACAAAAAACCAATTTGTCGTTTCAAGTGCTGAGAGAATTCACCTCCTCTGCACTTAGAGATTCTATGTTTGATTTCTATTATCTCCCCGTCTCACTTGTATTAAAAAATAAAATAAAATAATTACAGCCAGAGTGAACAAGTAATTAGAATCATTAAGAAGTTATGTACTCAGTCTGAGATCTCAGAGATTATAAGAAAAAGGAAGTTTCATGTAGGAGACTGGCAAAAGGAGGGTAAGTTTTTGCATATGAATTTCTTTTTCGTTTTTGAAGTTGAGAACTTTTTATAATTAATTAGTTAAGCATGATATGAATTGAAACCGGATACAAGGAGAACAATATGCAAAAAGTTAGGACCACAAGTGAGAGCAAAATGAAAAATAAAAAATAGAAAGTTAGGAGGACCACCAACATATGAAGAGGGTAAAACTATCTATTTCCATATAAGGGAGGGGACAACTAGCCTTAGGTCCTATGGACAGAGATGTAATCACTTTTCTTTTTGTGGAAGCCTAACAACATAAAGCTATTCCTAGTACAACACTTTACACACTGGAGAATAAAGTATCCAACAAGAGCCAATCAACCCCTTTTTCCATATTTACATTATATTGAGAGACAAAAACATTTTTATAAATTTTTTCTAAAAAAAAGAAAAGAAAAGAGAAGCCACATGAAAGCCAACACTTAATGCCCTACTTATTTCGAGATCGAGAGGCTGATAAAATTAACATTGATAATTTGGTCATCTCTATATAGGAATGAAATTTGACAGCATAAAAGTACTTGACAAGCGTTTCTTCAAAAATCACTTTTATAAGACATAAATGTTTCAGTGTTTTTGTCAAACACAGTTAGAAACATTTTTAGTTGTTGAAAACTAGTTTGAGCTCTTCTAGAAGAACTCCAAAACAAATCCAAAGATATATTTGAGTAGGGAATTGTTAACTAACCAATGAACTATCTTGTTCAATATGGTTTATATTAAGTGAGACCTAGCTTTATTTGTTTGTTTTTTTATTTTTTTGGCATAAGGAAAGATAAATGGACATTGCCAAGCACAATACATACCACTTTGAGCCAAATTAAACGATGGATGCATTTTCCTCAAAAGCAGGAGCTCAATTTGTCTAGGAAAGTAATCAAATTGATTGAGCCGCCACATGCATAGCTTAAAAGTTAGGACCCCTTCCCTTTTATTTTCACCTTGAAGAAGCAAAAAAACACATAAAATATAGCCAGCCAGCCAGCCAGCCAGATCACACGTGATTTTGCCTAGAGCCTAAATGAGCGTGACATCTGATGCTAACCCCTTGAAGCCAAGCCCTTGGTTGGCATCTTCAAATTGGGCAGCCGCAAAATGGAAAAGAGTCACTGAATCCTACTAACTACGTGTGTGCGCCCTCTATATATAGCTAGGTATATAGCCTAGATTCTTGAATTATATATCACACGATAACCAAAGAGATTATATATTGTATATTAGCAATTAACCTTTACTTGCAACTTTGGCGATTGTAGACAAAGGGAATCACAAGATATATAGAAAGCTGCATGCAGAGAAATTAAATTAAGAGTCAAAATCGTCTCCATGTGCAAGTCCCCAGCTATATATTAGTCTTTTACAGTTGTGATTGCCATATAGTATAGCTGCCTTTTGTATATTAATTCTACTAAGAATCTTATGGCTAGTGGCAGATGCATAAGGTTTGCCTATAACAACAAAAGTTAAGTTATTGTGATGAGTTTTTTAATTTTGGGCATAGTGGCAGAGGGTAGGCGGAAAGAATCCCTCTTTCCACATTCTTGGGTCAGGGGGGTGTGTGTGTGTGTGATTCAAGTACCAACTTGTTCATCTTCTTTAATTTCTCTCAATAAACAACACTATATTGGGGGGGGGGGGGGGAGAGAGAGAGAGAGAGAGGGAAGTAAAAATGTAAAAAGGTGGTTAAATATATGATGACAGAAGATTTTATTGGTAATTGAGAGGCAATAAAAACCAATTCAGTATCTGCATGTATCTGAATGTTAGAGACTGAGTTAGGAATATACTTAATGTCAATGTCGAGTGCTAATGCTCTGCATAATTCTCATCATAATCAGATGCATTTAACATGCATAATGTTATTGTAGACATTAATTCTTGTCAGCTTAGCGTGACCTGCAAAAGTGATTGTTCTATACTCTTGTTAAGGGTAGAAAACTAACTATATTGTAAACCGCCTCTTTATAATGTGAAAAAGCTAGTCTGAATTAGAACTTATGAGCGAAAAAGATTATTTGAACTTAATATCTACTGCTTAGTTCCCATTCAATATCAATGTCATACGAGTTAGAACTCATGAACGTGCTTATTGTACATCCCACGTGAACTACCCATTATAAATTTGATTATATAATTAGTAAATTGTGAGAGCTTAACGAGAGAGAGAGAGAGAGAGAGAGTACACTTGCAATATTTAATTTCTTTGCTACAGAGCAACTCACGTTGTCCAAGGAATCTTCCTTAATGTTTGGGGGTTGGTTTATCTCTAGGGTTAGTTTCATTTTTCTTGGTTTCTTTAATTCTTGGAGTCCATTGCCTTAGCTGTTCACTCTATAAATACCGTGGAGAGGGAGTGATTATAAGTATCTTTATAAGTCTCTCTCCTCTTCTCTAAGAGCTTGAGTTCATTAGAGTATACCATATACTAAGCCTTTTTATAAAGTCCTAGCATATATACATACTTCTCAGCTCTCACTATGGCCAATGTCAGTTATACCGCTTGCTTATTTTTTCTTCTAATGATTTTCTCTCGTGAACTGATCTGTATTGAAGGAAGGAACTTGCAAGTAAGTAAGGACTTGAAGTGTGTGAAATGCTTGAGCCCGGACCCTAAAACCAGTGCGGGAGAGGCTGATGGAGAACACAATATTGTTGAGGGCCCAAGCCCTGGTCATGTAGAAGCTTTTCGACCCACCACACCAGGTCACAGTCCCGGAGTTGGCCATGCTGTTCACAACTAGAAGCCTCAGCATCATCTTCGTATTTGTGACAGTGTGTGCTTGTACTATATCATTATTATCTAGGGTTTTCAATTCTCAGGCCAAAAATAAAAAAATAAAAAAAAGGTATTTTACGATTGTATTCACTATGGTTGTTTAGCTAAGCTAGGTATTATGGCTTGTGTATGTATGTTCGCTTTTGATTTAATGAATATGCTTGGTTTCTATTGTCTTAAGTTGTTGTCTCTCAAACATTTAGAATGTTCTGGGAACATCTCTTCATGTGTAGTTGTTTGTCTTGACTCTCAACTTTAACCTTTTAGATTCGGATTTCGGTCGGGACTTTATATTGTAATCTCTAAAACAAAAAAAGACTCATTCCTCCTCCTCCTCCTCCTATTGTGGATGAATCCAAAACCACCAGCCTTATTGCATGTGTCTGCATGGTGAGAAAGACATGGACGTAGAACACATGTAATTTTTGGAAAATATATCCCCTTAGAATTAGAGGTAATGGAAATGTTGCTTAATTAGAGGAAAAAAAAGATGGAAAAAATGGAAACGGACCTTTCTAATTTCAACTTTCCAAGCCACACCCTCAAAAAGTCAATGATCAAACATTTGGACCAAATAGGGAATTGCTGGGTTCTCAAGGTTCTCTCTTCTAATTTCTTTTCTACTATAAACTAACAGTTTGTTTGAACGCCATCCTTAATTAAATTGCCTTTTCTTGCAATTTCAGTGTAGATATCAAAACAATGTTGGCGGGTCTATACAAACCATCACATGAGATTATAAGTACAATAACCACTTACTTTTTTTCTTTTGGTCTAGAGAGCATGCATTTTTGTGCTAGCCAAATTAATTCATCTGACTGATAACACCTTCAAGACTAGCCATCATGTAGGGCTTGTTCTCTCTCTCTCTCTCTCTCTCTAATACACAGCTATCTTAGGGAAGGAGGGACTCCAACATATGGCCCTTTCTTTAGATATGAGTGAAACTGGTATTTAGGTGAAAGGGGTAAATCTAAAAATCCATTAGACAGATCTACAAAAAGGAACAAGGTGAACCTAGCAACAATATGAGTACGTAGTCAACAACTAGTGGTAGACTCCCAAACACACAGGTAACAAACAATCCACAATAGATCAATTAATAATAACCTACAAATCTAGAAGATATTTATGTGACAACCTAAGCACTCAAAATGATTTATCAATCTAGGCATCATCAATGCTAGCAATAACTGTGGTGAACAATGTGTGTGCATCCATTCAAAAGTTGCAAGAGTATTAAACATGGATGACTAATCAATCACTAGAAAATGTTCACCAAGAAACCTATTACTGGGAAAAACAAGGGGTCGCCATCCGACCAGGAAATCCACACTAAGCATAAAAGATTCTTACATAGAACACACAAACAAGCTCAAGAATTCCTAGATCTATTTGGGAAGTAGCTCTACCTTTCTGTGCAATCATCATGCTCAACTTAGAAACATTAGCCATCTTTATGGAAATGGCTACGTCAACATCAACTTCAACTCTTCACTCCATGGTACCAAATGATCAGCTCATAGTCAACTTTGGATAATGAAATGTACATTCAAAAATTAAATGGACCGACTCCTTCAAGAAACCATCTTCTTGAAGAGACCAAACAAGAATCAGACCTAGAAATTATATGAATGAGTGAAGTGTTGTGCTAGATTCAGATTTTTCGAAAACATAAAAGCAGATTTCAAAACCAATTTGAAAATCTCATTCGCTTGACCTCGCCAAGAAAAAAAAACACAAAGCTCAAAACCCTCAGTGAAAATGACAGCTGATTCTTACAACAACCGTTTTACCAAAAATATCTTGCCTAAAACCAATGCACCTAGCGGCCAATCATTGGAGCCATAATAGGACAAAAATAGTTAGGACAGAAAGCTTACAGCTGGCAAGGTTAAAGCCCACATGTGTATCAGAGCAGGTTAGCCCATGTGTGAAAGCCCAATGGCCACATGTGCTCCACGTCACCTAATACGTGTTGTTCATGTGCTATGCTTGAAAATTCACCACACGTGCAGAGGCGTGTGAGAATGTGAATGTTAAAGGTCCCATATTGGAAAGTTGAGAAACCTAGCTAAGGCTTATAAGGAGTTGGACTATTCTTCTAATTGCCAATTGATTTTGGGATAGAACCTCAACTTCCTTCATGTTATCATAGTAAGGCTTCACATGTTAGGCCCAACAGCCACACGTGCTCCCACGTCACCCAATATGTGTTGTCCACGTGTTAGGCTTGAAAGTTCACCACACGTGCGGGGGCGTGTTGAGAGTGTTTATCCCACATTGAAATGTTAAGAGACCTAGCTTGAGTTTATAAGGAGCTTGGCTACTCCTCCCCTTGCCAATGGTTTTGGGGTGAAACCTCAACTTCCTTCAGTACTAACTTAGACTAATCTAGATTCTTTGAGCTTGATTGAATACATAAGAACTTTAGTTAAACATAACCTAACAAGAGGAGACTTTAATGAGAGAGTTTGAGAACCAAAATCCATTCCCACAAGGCAATCCATAGTTATGAAAAATGAAGCTTAACTACTCTTAACCACTTAAGCTATAAATCAATTATTGTATATGATAGTTTCCCTCTCTTTATATATGGGTATAAAGAGGATATTTTAATGAGAGAGTTTGAGAACCGAAATCCATTCACACAAGCCAATCCATGGCTAAGAAAAAGGAGGCCTAAATTTTTGTAGATATATACCTTGATTCTTGACCTAGTACAAACAAGATAAATCGTGCTAGGTTATGTAAACGACATGACCTAAGGCGTTTCATACTGTGTCTTGCGCGTGTTTGAAACAAATTTATATCTCTACTCTACTATTATAAAGCTAAACCCTAACCTACGGTGTCACAAGCTTTGAAACCAAAAAAACAAAAGAAAAGAAAAACCAATAGCACCTCACATACAAAACCGAAAGAAAAAACCACCACAATGCGTAAGGATATTAATGTTAAATTGAGCCAAAATAAATAAATAAAACACAATAGAAAAAACCACCACAATGCCAAGAGGTTAGTATTACTTAAATGAATCCGGCCCGTTGAATATGTTTAATATACCTGATCCAACCGTCCAACAAAAAAGAAACTCATTGGACTTCAATCCATGAAAAGCCACTTCAACAACCACAAGAGAGAAGATCTTGAGCATCTTACAAATATATATTCAACAAACCCAACTGTATAGATTATAATAATTAATCACTACTTAATCGTCCTAAAACTGGGTTAGCTACACTAATTAATCGTATTAGTACTAATCGCTCTAGCGGGTTTTCTTTTTCAATATTGCCATGATGAACTTCAAAGTCTGCTGAGGAATCTTTCTAGGTTTTGGTGGCTAATGATGGTGTTAAAAGCTCGCACAACAGATTGGAACCGCAAAAGGTTTATGGGGTCTTTTCATTTCGAAAGTTAGGTTTGTCTGACCAAAAAGAAATCATACCTTCTATATAAATTATAATTACTTTGCTTGAATCTGAACATTTTGTGTATGCCGACGACCCCATAAATATATATCTAACCTTTCTCCAAATAGTGGATCGTAGTTAGTGGGAGGGTTCATATATAGGTGAAATAGTGGGAAGGACACCCTTTCATTTTTTAAAGCCTCAATGCAGCCAGCCCTCTAGGGTAGTTTGACAAATAAAAGTGACATTATAATCAACCCTGTGAAGATCCAGATCTCATGCCAGTATTGTATGTCGAGCACTAGTCTAGCTCATGTAAGTTGAGTTACAAATACTATTAGTTTGGATGCTCATATGACTATTTATTTACTCGATCCTCGCTTTATCAGAAGATGATTGAAGTTTATATTTTATGGGCCGCATTTGATGAATAAATAATAAAAGGTTATAGTATGAGGGGAATTTTGCAGAACAGAGCATTAGGTCAAGGACACAATCAGCTTCAGGCAGGTGGGAATGTTCACCAGAAGTCGGCTGCAAATATCAACATCAATCAATCGACACCCTGTTAATCTCTTAAAAACAGTAATTGAAAAATCTGAAATATAAAGATGGTTCTACAGCCTAGCTAAAGTAATCAATTTTGTCGAAAATAGGTTAGGTTTTTTAAGGAAAAACAAAAAAGAACATGTCGGTAGGGGAGGCCAATCAAATGGTGGCACCGTGTTGACATGCGCAGACATTTGCCCTCTATTTATATATAATTTTTAAAGACAAATTTAAAAAGTAAAAAAGAAATTGAAGGGTTAGTTGATTGCATGGGCGGGCCATGGGGGCAAACAGAATATAGACAACTAGCATGTAGCGGTGGTGCATTAGTTTTTGTAATGAGAGGTAGGGCTTAAACAGTTAATATAAACCGTCCAGAGAACTTTACACTTTAGCTTTGCTTTTTTGGGGGATTTTATATATCTCACAATCTGTGTGGAATCTTCCCGCTCCTATGGACCTGCACATGCCTTGCCTCCTCAACCCGTAGATACTATTACTTGGAGAGAGAGAGAGAGAGAGAGAGAGAGAGGCCGTTTGGCGCCACTCAGCTCTTCAAGCCCATATAAATACCACAGTAGAGCAATAGGTTTCCATACACCACACTTCTTCATCAAAACCCTCCAATACCATATAACACCAAATACTAAATCTCTCTCTCTCTCTCTTCTCTGAACGATCTAAATTTGCTTAAGATGGCCAAGATTTCTAGTCTGATGACCACCACTATCTGTACTTGCCTGCTCTTTTTGATATGTTGCCATGAAGCCTTGCATGTGGAGGGAAGGCATTTGAAGTCCGGGCCGAGCTCAAGGCATAGTGAGAACATGGTGATGAGGACTACCAGTCCATGCACTAATGATGATCACCGTAACGCTAGTGATGGCCATGGTTCGGTGCAAGCTGATCATGATCACCCAAGAAAGGTTGAACATGTTACTGACAATTTTCGACCCACGACACCGGGTCACAGTCCGGGCGTTGGTCACTCTATTAAAAACTGATTTGTTTAGTCAATAGCGTCTAGCCCAATGAAAAAAAGGCATTGACTTGTATACCGGGTTTCAAGTTTAAATCCTCATGACATCAATTGTGCCTCCTCTCTTGTCGGTTAGACTATTGCTTGTACTCAACCAAAAAAAAAAACTTATTTGTTTAAATTTATCCTAGCTACCTATTTCAATCGATCACATGTGTTGTACCATGTATTAATTACTTGGTCTTTCTCAATGTATATAAAGAACATCCAGCTCCTCTCTCCACTAGCATTCAATTGATTTTGAATTAGATGTCTCAATTATGTCCGTTTTATTGTTAATTAACTATAAGGGAATGAAGGTTTCTCACACACAAATTATGTAGGTGTCATGGAGTTTTGAAACTGAAACCACTGCTTTGCAAGTTAATGCCCTTTTTCACTGGACTATACCCCCTTGGCATAAAACTAAAAATAAGTTTAAACAAGTTTAGCAAAAGCTAAAAGTGGGTTTATAGAATTAATTCGAAATTTGGGTGGTTTGCTAACTTTGCTTGGTCCCATGTGCAATTAGAAACAAGTACGGTTCGTTAAGTTAGTTTAAGCACTAGTAAAGCTGACGAATTATGGCTAGCTTGACCCCACTTTGAGGTTGATCTCTTGGATTCTAAGTTTAAGACGAAATTGACCAAAAACAAAATAAAAGTGACAAAGACGCACGAGAGCTTTGGTCCAAAGGACCAAAAGGCTGCTTAAAGTTAAAGTGTCGTTCCAAAGGGCCAAAAGGCTGCTTAAAGTTTCGTTTGGTAGGTTTTCCAAACTGATTGATTAGGGATTTGGTCTCACTAAGAGACAATGGCTCGTGGGTTGCCTTATAAAATTTGCAAGTTGGAGCATGCGCTCTGTACGGCGTTTTGATTCGGTTAGTCTCAAAGAAATGCTTATTTATGTGTTAATGTAAAATAATATCTTTGTACCTTTCTTGTTCTTGTTCTCTCTTCTTTTCTTTTCTTTTTTCTTTTTTTTTGTTTTGTTTTTTTTGTTTTTTGTTTCAAACAATAGATAACTTCAATTAATCAACGGATGAGTTTACATCATGCTCAAGTTGTGGCATGTACTGACCAGTGACCGTTAAGGTGCATGGTCTTGTTAGAACTAAAGCTATATATAGAAGTTGTAGATGGGGATTAGCTTAATTGGTCAGGACAGATAGTGTATCTACCCTTTTATACTTAAATTCAAATGAGTTTTTTATTTAAACCCCGCACTTTTGTTTGTTCACTTCAATACTTAATCATTAAGCTCTTAACTTTTATTATTGTGTAAAAAGACTAAAAATGTCATCCAACTTAATACTTAACCCTAGTACATCTATACACACACCACACCACTCTTCATATTAAGTTTTAGAAAAACACAAACTCTTCTACACCCTATTGCCAGATTACTCCTCTTTCAATCCAAGAAACCTACTATACTCTCATCTTCTCTTCTCAAACCCTAAATACAGTATGCAAATAGTGGCTTGTGAGTCGTCAATTGAAGTACGTAATGTAAGATTATTTCTTGGTTTGGGACTCCTCCCAGAATTATTGAGGAGATTATTTCTTAGTCTGGGACTCCTCCTAGATTATTTCTTGGCTTGGGACTCCTCCCAGAATTAGTCTTCTTGCCCTTCAGGCTTTTTGAATATGATCAGTTCATAGACCAAAGGAAGAAAAAAAAACAAAGACAGAATCAACTGGATGTAGCTTCCTGAAACTTGTGCTGAAGCACTAGGGCAACTCAATCTGAAAGAGCAACACAACACAATCTGTTTTGATTGGTCTGGAATAATCAATGGAGTAAATAGCTCAGTAGAGCAATGATATTAATCAATGGATTATATAGCTCAGTAGAGCAATCATACAACAGAACAAAGTCTATGTGAGTTTACTTGTGATATATATGAAGGACATATGGTTGATGAGTTTTTTATTCATCAATGGTGTGGGGTGGGAGGTCTGATGGAGCTGGGACAAATATAACAAGGAGAGCTAGAGTTACTTTAAGTTGTGAGAGAGGTGGACATTATATTAAGAAGCCTAATGTAGATTCAGATGACGAACATTTGGGTGTGGTGTGTGGTGTGTCGGGTGTGAGGTTGATGAGTTTTTTATTTTTATTTTTTTTGCTGGGTGTATATTTAGGGGTAGTTTTAGAAGATAGAGGAGTTTTCTTAGAAATTGTGAAAATTTGAATTAGAAGTTTAGGTGAACAAAGAGAAGTGTGGGTTTAATTCGAATTCCCCTCCTTGTGAAGTAGAATAATTCATTACGTACGTTAATTTGGTAAGTTGGGTTGATTTTATTAGCAGACTATTTTTTTTTTCTCTTCTTCTTCTTTCGATATAAACCATAAGCATTTAACTATAAACTCTAAATTATATATAAAAGAATGTCATTTTGATCATAAAGACAATATTGATAATACAAAAGACATAAGTATGGGATCCCATTTCTCCATTAATATAGGTAGTAGCTACTGTGACTGTGATGACAGATGAATGAATGAATGTATAGAAGTGTTAACACTATTTTTCCCTTGACCAAGGCCACAGAAGAAACACATTGTTCAAGCATATCTCTGGGAGTACTCTAAGTTGGGAATCTGCTAGTGGTTGTTGAAAGTTATAGTGGCCTAAGCTAATGTATTGTCGCAATAAAATATCAATAGTGATCCCGATCATGAACAAAAGTAATGAGTACGAAAGTGGTATATATAACTAATCATATGTATAATCTCAGATTGAGCAAAGTAATCTCACCTAACCTTATCAAATCTCTAAGTTGATGATGATCGATCCTAGCTATACCTTCTTATTCTAGAATATGATGATATCAAAATGCACCATTTTGATTTTGGTTGCATCATCGCAATCAAATATGTCCATTACATAGAAATGTATAATTTTTTAAGTTTTATTTTGATTATATCTGGGGAACCCCTTCAAGGCAGGGCCACATTGGACTCATCCCTGTCAGGTAAACTCCAACCCCACAGCGTGTGTGTTAGTAAATCAAGAACTTACACAATAGCAGTAGGATTGGAACAGGTGATCACCTATGAGTTTACAGTTAGCCCCAGCTCGTCCGCGCTGAGGGCAGAATCTTCTAAGTATAAATTTCAAAATTTTCCCGATTTAATGGGCTTGAGTAATAATGCACCAAACAGATCCTTCAAGTGAAACAGAAACAAGCCCATATTAAACCAGCCTTTTGTTGAAAGGCAAGGGAAAAGATGAAGCCCATGCCATGAACTATAAACAAAAGATGACCCAAAGGAAATCATGTTTGAGCGTTTGTTTTCTCTATACACTATGAAACTCTAATTAATTAGATTTCTTTCTGTTGATGTTGTCTAAGAATGAAAAGTCTTACTTTTCCTTTGTTATTATCAATCCAGGATTGAGTGAGCTCAAGAAAAATCTTCAGATTATTTCAACATTATGATTTGTTGATGATGTATCATTTGACCAATTTGTAAGGTGCTCGTCGAGTCAAGGAAAGGTTGCTAATGTTTTAAGGGAGATTCACAATTATACTAAATATAGGGGACCAAATTATTATTATTAAAAAAAAACCCTATATGAAATGGACTTTAGAAATACACTCAAAGTCTATTTACAACATAACAAAAAGGTTTTTAACTTCTTATAAATTAAAAAATTGTTATCGATTTCTTAAAACAAGCCCAACCCCAAAACCTCATAATAAAAAAAATCCAAAACACTCAATAAGACATTAAAGTAATTTAATAATTAAAATTAAATTCAATAGGGCCAGCAATCATTTTTTGAATTTTTTTTTGTTTGTTTATAGAAATTAAATAGTGTAGAATTTATCTATATCATTAGTGCTAAGAATAAATATATGACTAAATATATCATGTTTTTAATATCTAGTGTTCTAAAGTCAAGCCGCCCAAATAAAAAGCGATTGCGACATTCATACTTCCAGGAAAAGAGTGACCATACATTATTATTGCAATGCCAACCCACCATTCCAAATTCACCGGTTACATATTGAGCTTAATATTCTTCCAAACAAAAATAAATCATAGTCTGATTCGACAAACTAACGAGGCTGCCGATAATTATCCACCTTCATTATCAGATGATGGAGTGGCTTGGGCTTCAAAATCGTCCTTGTATTCTTCGTAGGTAAAACCAACCCTGTAATTTGGTGTCGGTGACTTGGGCACTGGTAAGCTCGATCTTTTGGAGTCGTCAAGTACTACACCATGAACCTCCTCATGGTGATCACTTGGCCATGTGTGGTGATGAGGAGGATGCTGCAGGCTCATAGTTTGGCTTCGTTGCATCCACATCTCTCTTTCAGCTTCGCCATTGATATTGAAGGTTTTGAATTGCGCCTGTTTCTGCATTGGCTTCAATTGCCTCCCTTCAATGCACATAATTTCATTGCAAACTGCCATCGCTGCAAGAACCATAATAAATAAGGCAATTCGATGAACTTCTGCCATGTAAAATTAACTTCAACTCCCTGTAGAGGCAAACCACTGAGGACAAAGATGTGTCCTGCTACTTATATATACTACCATCAAGCTGTTATTTTCATCCCTGTCAGGTAATCAATCACTTCACTCGGGTCCAAACTCCCATGCATTATAATTAGTTTATATAGACATGAGGTTGCCATGGTCCCTCTCCAACCTACATAAAACTTCTTTGTCATTTGACATCTATTATAATTTTGACAGATTTTACGATGAACTCACTGAACTTTAAAAAGCGACCTGGCATAAATAATTTTTTATTATCTATATATATCAAGCAAAAGGCAGAATGATAAAACATTCAAAATACAGAAAATGTTATTAGTTAATTCAAATATTAAGAATTAAAATTATTAATTAAATAAGAGTAATATGATAAATGCATATTTTTATTCATATTAAAAAAATTAAAGTTAAAAATAAAATAAGATAATATATCATACTTTTACAGAACATAACTACTTATATTATCTTTTCTTCATTTTAAAAATAAAATAAATAAATAACAAGTGGCACATGTTCAGGGGGCTAGTAAAAAGAATAGAAAAAGACATACGAATTTATCAAGAACCTGCTGCTTGCATGCACATCTTTTTAAATGGTTCTTTTTAAATGGTCCAAAAGGTTTTCATGTGAAAGAAAACTTTTGCAGGGTAGGCCGGCAACAACATCTTTCAAGATCGCCATCCATATTGGGTTGACTTTGACTTTAATCTTTGTTGCCGTCCTCTCACTCTCACTCTCACATGACATACGTTGGACAAAAAAGTGTTGGCGGGAGCGGAGGGACCCATTATATTTATACTTTTGCCTTTTTCTCTCAAGACAAACAATGATGTCGTATGTAAGGGATATCTGAATCTGAAATCAACATCAAATTTTGAATTTGAAGCCTGGCCCATGTATTATTCAACCAGCCCCTTCATTTGCTTGCATTTTCTTTTGGGCTGAGTTCAAAAGTTTCAACCGTGCATGACGCGTAATATATTTTTCTTCTTAGGTACGGTTCTACTTACCTTTCTAACGTTGAAAGAGATTCCAAAATTCGAATTCCTCGTCCTCATAAATTATTTTATCAAACAAATGATTTTGGTAAGTATTGTGAAAAAAGAAAAGTAAAGTTTATGTGAATACGCGAATTGTCACGAGATGTATTTAAACTTTCGTCTTATTCTTTTTTTACTTTTATTCTTCCAAAAGACAATTACGTTAAAAACCATTTCCTCTTTAATTCCTTCAGAAGACGAAGGTCATGTGGAAAATTTATCATCCCCTACATTTAATTAAAAATCTTATGACCCATAAACTAAATACTTGTATAACATGAAAATGGTTGGTCCAATGGGCTTAACCCACAACATCTAAACTCATTCTTACCCATCTAGTTGTTTGTATCTTGTTAGATAAGGATAGACAAGAAGAACAACTAAAAACAAGCTTATCCTAGTATGGATTTTAGTGCATGGCTTTGATTTTACTATCACACCCCGGGCTCGGGTGGAGTAAAATCCTCAATAAATAAAAGAAGATTAAAGGATCAACGTTTTATTTATTTATGGAATATCAGAAATATCAGAAAATATCTATAAGAAAATTGATCATTTAGTATTCTTTTGTTTATTTACTTTATCATCACGCACCGAGTTTGGAACTTTACTCTATTCCTGAGTTTGAGATGTGACATTTATTGATTCTGTAGATGAGATGACCAAATTGACAATAGATCACTTGATAAACTAGCTGAAATGTTCTACATATTGACAAGTTGGGAAGGGCCCTTGACAGGGAAAAGAGAAACATCACGGTACATACATAAGACACTCACTAAAGTTTGTTTAGTGTCTATTTGGGACTTCTTAGGACACAGTTAAAAGTACTTTATGACAAATGAAAATGCTTTTAAAAGCGTTTGACAGAAAAGAGAAAAAAAAGTACTTCTAAATAATAAAAGTGATTTATAGTGAAGCACGAAGCACTTTCAAGTGTCTTTTCTTAAAGCATTTAGATTTTCTTGTAAACTTCAAGGTACTTCTAGTAAAAACGCTTATGAATATGAATGCTTTTCATTGAAGCAGTTCAACACGAGCCTGTACTAAATAAAGTAAGTGTTACATTTATTCAAATATAGAAGAATTAATTAATATATTTATGTTGCAATAAAAATTACTATTTGGGCAAAGTTTGGCTCCTTAAAACTAAGGAGTAGCTCCTCTTCAAAGTAAGTGTCAAATTCCAAAATAAAGAAAGTTAAAAGAATTTCAGAAAAAATTAAATGAAATTGATAAGTATCAAAATCTCATTCCTTACAAGGAGGAGTTCCTGAACCAAGCTTTTTTCCTTCAAATTAAGGAGGAGTGCCTCCTTACAACCAATGGGTTTTTGACACTTATTAAGTTCAAGCAACATTGACAAAGTTTCAACAGAAAGAAAAAAGAATATTAAAAAAACTTACATGTGTCGAAACCACATTGGTTGTAAGGAGAAGTTGCTCCTCAATTTTAACTTTTAATGAGCCAAGCTTTTTCCTTGGATAAATATCTTCAATATTTCAATCTATGGACCCAATTGCAATGAATGATGTGTAAGACAAAGATCCCCCATTAATAAAATAGATATGTAGTCATATACACATTCTCAGTACTAATGATATAAATAAACCATATATTATTTAATTTCTATAAAAAAAAAGAACCCAAAAAATGACAGATGACCCTATTAAGAAGTTAAAAGCTTCTTTGTTATATTGTAAATAGGTTTTAGGTGTGTTTCTAAAATCCACTTAATATAGAGTTTTTTTAATGTAATTTTAGCCTCTATATTGGGTATAGTAGTGAATTTCCTTTAATAAAATCGAAAAGGAAAAATATCCCCCGAAAGACAGTGTCATGACTGCACCATAACAAAACAACATCACTCACATCATATGGAAAGGCTGTGGTGTATGGGTCCCACCCTGCAATGCCAATCTATGGACCTAATTCAGCCTCAATATTCCAAATCCTCCCATTCATTCTGAGCCGTCCACATCCAGGTCTGATCACCAGCGCAATGACAAAGCCCATTTGGCCCACAGGCTTCATCATAGGCTACGTGGATTAAACGGTTGCAAAACGCCAATGCTCAAACAACGGTACAGATTTCGTAACAGTTAAAAGGAATTCGGGGTAACTGTGATACTACCGCCAAGCTGTCGTCTGTTGTTTGACCTTTTCTCCTGGATGGCATCGTATGAGTATTAGGAATAGGCGTGACTATCACTTGCGCCTTGCTTCTTTTCCCTATATGGAAATACTGGCAGAATCAGTCAATGCTCTTAGAGCGTGGGGTACACTAAATCGGAAAGGGCATGAGGTAGACTTCAAAGAAAACAACGTGCCTCTGTGCTACACGCATACACCTAATATACGTGGTGAGTATTATTTTTATCTCTAGAAAATACAATTGATTATCTAAGAAACAAGATTCTCAGCATATAAAAAAAAAAGAAAAAAAGATTCCAATATTTAATTTTTTAAGAGATATTTAGTTATATACCCATTTTTAGTCCTATTGAATTTATTTTTTATTATTAAATTACTTTGAAGCCATATTGAGTGTTTTGTGTTTTTTTTTATGAAGTTTTGGGGTTGGGCTTATTTTAAGAAATCGATGACAGTTTTGTAATTTATAGGAAGTTTGAAGCATATTTTTTATGTTATAAATGAGCTTTAGGTGTGTTTCTAAAGTTTGTTTCATGTAAATAAACCCAATCCTAGACATGTATTTATAAAAAAACCCAAGCACTATTTAAACATAGAAACACACCCAAAATCAACTCCAAAATCAACAATTGTATATTTTTTGGGTGTGTTTATAAATGAGTTTTGAGTGTGTGTAATGATGGGTTTTGGGTGTGTTTATAAAGTGTTTTGGGTGTTGGGTTTTTTTTATAATTTCAGCCCCCATTTTTGGTGTTTTAGTGAAACTCCCTTTTATTTATTTATATAATTGGGGGTCCTATAGTGGGTATAATAGTGAATCTCCCTTTTTTTTAATAGTAAAATATTTTCCTTATTCCTTATGTTCAACACAACATTTTTCTATATTAGACATGTTTTTATTTTTATTTTTATTTTTTTATACGGATTATATTAGATAAGTTGAAAATCATTAAGATATCTAATTGTGACCAACAAATTTAATAAACACGATGCTTTTCAAGAAAAATACTAAATGACAAAATTGATTGTGTAGTCAAATAGTTTCATATTCAAGTGATTTTTTGCAGAAATAATCTTTGAAGGAACACCTAAAATATACATGGTTCGGGTCATTGAAATCGCAAAGGTGTACTTCAAATAAGTTTATTTAAGAGATGTATCAATTGAAAATAGTTCATCTACAAATAACTATCTTGATTTATTTTATGAACATTTTAGACAAAAATTTATTTCATAAATATAAACTACAAAAGCGCAGTATGGACTTGAAAAAAAACTGAATATATTGAGACAAAATAGGTATGAAGGATTGAAGTATCAAATTGGGCTTTGAAGATTAATATTTAAAGAGCTTACCGGATGCACCATCTACCTTACACAACTCGTCTTGATACATTGTATACACGTAGTGTGAGTGTGCAATATTATTAAATTTCAAAACTAGATACATCCACGTGATATGCATACATTAGTTTAAAATTTTAAAACTACCTAAATATGTGAGACGCTCAAAATATTGCAAATATAACAATAAAAATGAATGAAAATTACATAAAAACGATGATAACAAGTAGAGTAAAAGGGATGAAAGTGTATAGGTTAAAACATGGTAGTACAACTACCACATTACCTATAATCTTAAACTTACTATTCAAATTAAGGAAATGACAAATATACGGTAGATATTTTAGGATTGTCAATATGAATCACAAATTTAAATAATTAACTTAATCAACAATTCAAATTAAAAGTCAAATCATAACATGCGTTATAACTGAAAAATAACATGTGAGACTGTGTGACAAAAGTATCAACATATCATTTGTAAAAATAAAAAAAACAATTTACACATCATTTTAAGTAAATGACACCCTATCCTAAAATTACCATTTTGTCAGGGTTTATATATCAATTGCAAAAAGTACAAATGGTGTCGTACATGAGGACAAGCTCGGGTGTGCAGCCTGACAATCCTAAAAGGACGAGCCCTGCGGTGCGGCACGGCTCGGACCACAAAGCGCCAAGGTGTTTCCTTTTCGCGCTCTCAGATTCTAGCTGGCAGATATTCCCAGGCCCATGTAAACAGTGTAAAGGGCAAAACTGTCATTCCACCACCTATATTTTCTTAAATTAAACACTTGGGGAGCACCAAATGCCATTTACCAAAAAATACGAAAAAACGAAAAATACAAAAACCAGCCCCCATTTTAAATTACATGGCCCTCATCCCCACCCCACACAGTCTTCCAACTTCCATTCAACCCCATATCTGAATTTTCCATTAATGCCCTTCAGGCCTCCGGTTATTCACGCAGGTCCTACGTGGGTATTTTGGTCATTCAGTCATTGTCCAGTGCCTTTTTCTTTTGTGTGCTCTGTGTATCTGCGGTCTTGTTGGTTCTCTGCGGCCATTCATTCGCTGTTATCAGGTGGTCTGGTGCCCTGTGTGCTTCTGCTCGAAGCATATACACACACATACATACATACATACATACATACTGTGCTCAAAATCAAACCCCAAAAAAACCCAACAAAAAAAAAGGTTCTGTGACCTCACATGGTCTTCTCTCTTGCTCGGCCATGGTGGTGATAGAGTTCAAAACCCTAACAATCAGAGCTCAAAAGCAGCAGCAGCTCTCCATGTTCAGCCTCAGGTGCCTCCTCAACACTCTCTCCCCTTTTTTTCGTCTCTCTTCCACCATTGTTTTGCTTTCGATGTTTACAATAACATGTTTCCAAAAATATTTTTCTTTTTGCTTCACTTTCTCATCATTGGCTCTGTCTTTTCCTTCTCTATCTTTTGATTGTTCAAAAAATTTCAGCTTTTTGCCATTTCTGGAGCTCTGATTACTTTCTCGTTTCCATTTCAGACGGTGTTTGGTTCCCCCTTTTTTTTTCATTCTTGTTTGTGTTAGATGATTCGATGAAGTTATTTTGTTTTTGTATTCTGAGTTTAGGTGTAGTCTGGGATGAGTTTGATTAAAAAAATTATCTGAGTGATTTTAGAGCCAGAATAGTTTACATTTTTTCCCATGCGTTTTGTTATTATGGTAGTTTTAGCTATTAATGGTGGAGATAATAATTTCCAAGCTTGTTGGAACTAATAAGTTTGCTGCTAAATGTACTAACCCCATGCTTTTGTTCATTCAATGTATATCACTAGCGCAAGGCATGACTAATGATTGTTTGGAGCTTTAAAAGGATGAATTTTGGTTTTATTATCTACAAAATTGGACGTAATTTTTATTTATTTAAAAAAGGAATTTCTGTTCTTGTTTTGGTATTTTGTTTTGAGAAAGAGAGTAATTTGGCCCAACATATTTGTATGACTTTGACTCTGTTTGGCTGCTCGGAAAATGTTTGTAATGAATGAAAAGAAAGAAGAAAGAAATTAAACTATGATTGCTTGGCCCAACCACTTTTCCTAATTTTCTTGTTGTCTTAGTTATCTCGTTTTATTTTCTGCAATCAATGTCTAAGCAGTTAATGGTCTTGTTGCATACCAATGTATCAAGTTTAGTAAACCTTTCTGACATGTTAAAATGTAGTGTTGTAATGTTATTTTCCTTGCGCAATTTGTTCAGGGGATTGTCACATCCAATCAAAGCACTCCATGTTCTTATGGTTTTAGCATGTACTCTTTTCTATCTCGCTACATGTGGACAATGCTCTGGGAATGGGATGCAAATATTATCAGAATATGATGCTTGTGGATCATATGGAGATAATTTTGATGTGGCTTTTGCGGATAATTTTCTTGGTGACAGCACTTTGGGCTGTGGAATTCCAAGAACCCCCTTCAATATTGATAAGATTTGTACTAGCTCTCGTTTGTTCTGCTTTCCCTCTACATTACCGGGTTTTTTGGAGCATAAACTCAAAGTGGCTGATTTAGAAGTTTCTGGGAGTCAGTCTGATGATCTATCATCTATAGGATCAACTGAAAATAGCAAGTTGGCAAATAACAAAAGTTGGTCATCAGACAATGGTATGTTTAAGTTATTTAATGGAGGGATTGTTTCTTGTTCTTTGAACTCCAAAGCGGCTACTAATGAGTTTTCATCCATTCAAACTGATAGCGCTAATCAAAATGATCTTTCTTCCTGTAGAGGACCTTTACTTTATCAGAAAAGCACAAGTTTTAGGCCGAACAAGAACACTGAGATGACCAAATCTAATTCTTTCAGTAGTTCTTCCTCTCCCCATGTAGAAATTAGCCCTGCTGTATTGGATTGGGAACAAAAGAACATGTATTTTCCATCATTAGCTTTCTTAACTGTGACAAATACATGCAATGACAGCATTTTACATGTTTATGAGCCATTCAGTACTGACATACAGTTCTATCCTTGCAATTTTAGTGAGGTTTTGTTAGGACCTGGTGAAACAGCTTCAATTTGTTTTGTATTTTTACCTAGATGGCTGGGCTTTTCCTCTGCTCACCTCATTTTGCAGACAAGCTCTGGTGGTTTCTTGATTCAGGCGAAAGCTGTTGCCGTTGAGTCTCCTTATGGAATTCGTCCTTTATTAGGCCTGGATGTTTCCTCCAGGGGAAGGTGGAGTAAGAATTTGTCTTTGTTTAATTCCTTTGATCAAAATTTTCATGTGGAGGAAGTAACTGCATGGATGTCAGTGACTCTGGGGCATGCTTCCCATTATGCAGAGGCAATATGTAGTACTGAAAAACTTCAACCTTCCAATGAACTTCAGTTTCTGAGTGTGAAAGATCGTTTGGTTGTGAGTACTGGTCAAGTTGGTTTGCCTCTGCTGGCCGTGAGGCCTCTCAGGAAATGGGAGATTGATCCACACAGCAGTGAAACTATCATAGAAATAGACTTCTCAATGGAATCGAAAGGAAAAATATTTGGTGCAATTTGTATGCAGTTGCTAAGGTCGTCAGAGGACAAGTCTGATACTGTTATGCTTCCTTTTGAGGCTGAATTGGATGGAACAGCAATGGATGATGATCGTGGAGGACCTTTATTAGCATCTCTTGAGGTTTTGGAGTATTCTTCCAATGAAACTGCCATTGCTATATCTCTGAAGAATTGTGCTCCTTACCTTTTGAGAGTTCTTGAGATTACTGAGGTTGCAGATAGTAAAACCTTCCAGATAAAGTACAGTCAAGACTTGTTACTTTTCCCAGGCAGTGACACATATGTTTCTGTGGTTTCTTGTACTGAAAGAAATGTCAAATTATATGGACACTGTACATTACTTATATCGACAAATTACTCAACAAGCCCACAGATTGAAATTCCTTGCCAGGATGTTATTCATTTATGTTCAAGACATTGGAAGGGTTCTACCACTGAATTTGAACATCAGTCTGAAAGGAGTGAATCAGGTGATATGAACAGAGTGTCCTTTGACAGTGGCTTGCAGTGGCCATCACAGAGGGTAAGCAGATTCTTCCCCTATATATATATCTATATTGTATGTATATATTTTATACTCTGTGTATGTGTGTGTATTCATTGTGAATTGTGTTTGAATTGGATTGGCCTTTTGAAATTTAAAAAAATTCAAACGATAGTCTAAATTACAAGGGGGAGGGGGTTTCTCACACACACACACACACACACACATACAACCAATGTGCCATGGGGGTTCGGACCTGAGACCACTTGTCTGCAAGCCAAGGCCCTTTTCCACTGGGCTAGATCCCGTCGGCTGGCCTTTTGATACTTCATATGGTTATTCATCGGTTTCCAAGAAAGTGATCAAGTATTTTCCTCTCATTTATTAGTATGAAACATATTCTTAGTTATTTGTAAAAGTATCATGTTGTCAAGGTTCCTCATCTTCAGGGCGTTGGAGTCGGCAGGTGTTCATTGCTGAAATCCATTAAAAATATGTGTTTGTCTGTAACAATTTTATTGACTACTAAGGTAGAGCATGCGTTTATCTGTGGCTGCAATTGTGGTATTTTTATAGAATTTTTTAGATTTTTTTGTTGTGTGTTCAAGGTTATTTACTCATGAACTATCTATGACCAATCATGCTCTGTGATATTCTTCTATCTATAAACATCAACATCCACTATAACCAAAATATTTTTTTGTGCTTGCACATGAAGGCAACAGAGACAGCAGAAGCAGATGAATTGGTGCTACAGAGCTGGAAATCTCAAGATACCAGAAGTGGCATGTCTGTGCTTGATGATCATGAGGTATTCTTCCCAATGCTTCAGGTAGGAAGTCATTACTCAAAGTGGATCACTGTAAAGAATCCTAGCCAAGAGCCTGTAGTGATGCAGCTTATACTGAACTCGGGGGAGATTATTGATCAATGCAAGACCCCAGGTGGTCTTATACAGCCTCCTTCATCTGGTAGTTTGGTTCGTAATGAATCCACTTCTCCCAGTAGGTATGGGTTCTCAATAGCAGAAAATGCACTAACAGAGGCTTATGTTCAACCAAATGGTAGAGCATCTCTTGGACCAGTATTGTTTCACCCTTCCAGTCGATGCAAGTGGAGAAGTTCAGCCCTCATAAGAAACAATCTTTCTGGCGTGGAGTGGTTATCTCTGAGGGGATTTGGAGGATCACTTTCCTTGCTTCTGCTTGAAGAGTCTGAGGCTGTTCAGAGTGTAGAATTCAACCTCAGCTTACCACTTCCTCTCAACATTTCTCCTCCAGACATGTTATTTCACATGGAAGATGCCACTCATTCTTGTTTACGCCCATTAGCAAAACAGCTCTATGCTAAGAATACAGGAGACTTGCCACTGGAGGTTAGAAGAATCAAAGTGTCCGGAAAAGAGTGCGGGATGGATGGGTTTATGGTACAAACTTGCAAAGGTTTTGCTCTTGAACCTGGAGAGTCAGCAAAGCTTCTGATATCATACCAGACTGATTTTTCTGCAGCCTTGGTACAACGGGATCTTGAGCTGGCCTTTGAAACTGGTATTCTGGTGATACCCATGAAGGCAAGCATCCCTTTGCAGATGATCAATATATGTAAGAAATCAGTGTTCTGGATGCGCGCTAAAAAGTACTCTGCAGCAGTACTACTTCTTATATCCTTGATGTTTCTAGTATTTTGGTATATATTCCCCCAGGTGCTGGCCTTTTTTCCCCATGATTGTTTCTGGGTGAGCGGAAAAAGTTCCTTGGCTACTTCCACAAGTAGTTCAGAGAGAGTTTCTCATGTGCATAACTATAGAGACAGTAATTTTTCTGTGTCTGGTGAGATAAACAGTTTGCTAAGATCAGTTCGGGAAGATAGAACCTTAATGCAGGCATCATCTGTGGGTAGATATCCTGTTGACCAGGCTGGGGCCTCAGAGCAGGAAAAATTTGCTCAACATGCAAAGCAAATTCTACAAGGTCATAGACAAACAAACTATTTGTCAGATACACCAAAGAACAAAGCCACGGCCTTCTCACTGATGTCTGAATCGGTATCAGTTGAGAATTCTGACGACCTAGAAGCATCCCAACCCGGTAACCTCACAGTCAAAACTGGAAATGAAAAGGGAAGAAGGCGTAAGAAGAGAAAGGGTGCCGGTTCTAAGTTGACAGGACTTCTTGAAGTTTCAAGCAGTCAAAGTGGAAATTCTACACCTTCATCACCCTTGTCTCCAGTCACATCTGTAACACCAAAACACATGTGGCCGCTATCTCCCGATCTGGGTCAAGCTGTTGAGGCCAGGAATCCATTTACTCGAGTAGCTCACCAACGCTGCCAGAAGAGTCATGTTTTTAAATCTGCTTCCAAGGCAAACTTATCATCAGGGCCTGAGGTTTCTTTGAAGAATTTCAGCAACCACCAAACTTTTCCTTCTCAAGAGCATCCTTCACCAAGAAAAGCTGCTGACAGACCTGTTTTGTTGCCGTCTGCCACCTTTCCTTGCGCTGGAAGGCCTGCTCCTAATGCGGTCTGCACTTCCCCTTTTCCGGCTTCAACATCAGCTATTTCTCCACATGCTAGAGCCCCTGGGTCCAAACTCTATGAGCAGAAAAGTGTTGGAGAAGAACGAAAGTCTCGGTTTGGGGATGAATATACATATGATATATGGGGTGACCATTTTCCTAGGCTTAAGTTGACTAGGACAAACAATGTTACTTCAATGATCTCCAGCACTTCAGAGAGCGACTCTAATAGCTTCTTTGTAAAGGGTCCGCAAACCCTCATGACAAGGTCTCCACCAAGATCTGTAAGTTTTTTCCATCAAGATGGTTAATGATAAAAAAAAGAAAAAACTAAATAATTTATCATCTTTCTCTGCTGCCAGCCATCATCATTGTCATCTGTAAATAAGAAACTGAAAAAAGTAGCGTCTGCTGTAAATTGTGAATAGCTTAATATCAAAAAGAAAAAAAGGAAAAAAGTTCAGGGAAAATAAACACCAACAATGAGGTAAAGATCAAAAGGGATCATCAAGTTATTCTATGAACTTCCTTTTCTTAAAAAATATATATATTTTTTACTTAATGGGCTTCACTTTATTGAAGTGGATGCCTTTGATTTTCCGCTGCTAACTTCCTTTTGCGAAAAGGCTACAGTGAGGAGTTTAGAGTGAGGGCTTATTTCGGGGTTCAATTCCACCATCAATATAAGAAAATTAATGGACTTAAATATTTTAAATGATTTGATGGCGGGATTGAATTCCTCAAATAAGCTTCTCGCTCTAAACTCCTCATTCCCTTCGGGCCTTGGATTTCTATATAAATTGAAAAGGCCTAGCCCAATATAATAATTTCCTGGATCATATTTGTGGAACTTAGTCGACAATCTGAGCTCTGATATTGCACATTTGGCACCAACCCAACAAAAATTGTTTTGTTTTGTTTTTTTATTTAAACAAAGATTGGTATATGGACAAAGATGAAAATACAATATGAACACTCCCAATAAATCTAAGCAGCACATTTTCTGCTGGCCGTTACTTTTTATTCCCCCGTCTTCAACCAGTCTTGTGAAATTGACCAAAAGTTGAATCCCCCTCTGGATCAATTTGTCCATTCATTTGTCCTGGAGCGAACAGTCTAGTCACTTGTCCATGCATGCCCCATTTACACACACGCATGCAACAAGCACAGTTTTGGCAGCCATTTTGGGTATGAAGATTGCAACTTTACAGTCAGTGTTGTCATGGCGGCCTGAGTCCACTGTACTTCATGCAGTTGCTATTATTCTTAATAAAAATGAGACGACAGGTATTAGATTAGACGGACTTTTAGTGCATGGATAGCCGTGATGGCGACGGTAGAGACGATCGCTCATGCGTCTTCTGGTAAATGCCAGCAATTGAGGAAGATAGAGCCATAAAAGAAAAGATGATCGTATTGCAAAATCTGATTCATATGGATAGAGACTTTCTGGGACCATTATTTGATCCACCCTTATGTATGGAGAACGTTTTCATCATCACAACCCCCACCCCACCAAAAAAAAGCCTCTCTCTTTCAAGCTAATTGATAAAAGGGTTAGGGGATCAGATGCTCTACCATAAAGCTTTGCTCTTTCATTCAATCCATTAGTTGGTCTTGGCAGAAGGGTAGTGCATAAAAGTGGTCCAATAAATGGACCACAGCTACAGTAGAGAAAAACTTAATTACGTAATGAGACCTCCTAATGATATGTACGTAATGAGATTGAGATAGCTAACCTTCTGTAATAACTTCATGCAAATGTAATCTTAATTAAGTTGACTTTTAATGGTCTCTAATATATGCTTAAGCTAAATATATGAAGCTTAGTGAACTGCAACAATCCAAAAGACATTTAATCAATCGGAGATTTGTAGTTTTTCCTACCTAGATCACGTATGTAAACCTAGTGAAAGTTGATTGGACTTCCCAACTTGAATTAGGGCTAAATTTACACAAGTAGAATTCTATAATTTTGCTTATTTAATAATCTAGTAATGTTATGTTGCTAGATTGTCAATGTGCGTAACAGGAAAATTGTATGAATTTTCACTCGAAATAGAATAAATCCTTTCAATTCTTAAGATTTATACTCTATATCAATAATGTAAGTCTCGAGGTGATCTTTTAAATATTATGAATTATTTTATGTTAAAATTTTCTTCTAAGAACAATTGAGCAAGATGAAGAAACTTTGTTTACCAAAGACTGAAAAGTACAGCTAGAATGAATCATATGAAATCAAACATGCCACACAGAAGCAACTTCATATTTGTTTCGGTAAAATGATTATTTAGTTCTCGAAGCCCTTTCTAAAACCAAACATTCAAATTCAAATGCCCTGAAATTGTAATATTTAAAACTTGTATCAAATATTAAATTAAAAAAGAAAGAAAGAAGTGGAAAATGTCCAGTGAGAAGTGAGAACTGGTGTGAGTGGCTGTCCCCCACCAGAAAGAGTGGTTGAGCCACTGAGCTCACATTAGATGGTGTATCCTCGTCGATCAGCCATGAGCCCTAGTCCCCAAAAATCTACAGCAAAGCCATTTGCGTTTGCATAAAGAAACAAAGGCCCCAAAACCAATCAAGCCAAGACTAACAAATGTTGCCAAGGAAAAAGAGAGATTAATATATGACAAAAAACTTTTTGTTTTTTTGGTTAAATAGTTTTCAAATGTTCATAACCATATTCGATATAATATTGTACCCAATGAGGACAAGGACCACTACTATACCCGATCGATAACAAAATTTGGTTCCAATTTTTTATTTTTTTTTATTTTTTGTCATATGGTTTTAGTACTACAAAATCAAAGCTTTCCTAACTAAGCCCCACAAGAAAGAAGTTGTTAGTTGCCACAAAAATGGATGTTGGTTTAGATGAGCTTTCTCGAATAGTCAATTTCTGATTTGGATCTGTCTTTTTATGATTTTTGTTGTTGTTGTTGAGATTTTCGCTCTATCTTTGAATAAAAATTCAATTGAAAAGTTACATGATAGTCAAATACAAATAATCAAATATACACATCAACTTATTAATCCACTCATATTATAACACGTGCGTATATTCGTTATGACGACAGAGAAAAGTTTCTCGTGAAATACATATGATAGATGACATTCGTTTTCATCATGTATCTTCTTAAGTTGTGTTCTTTCTTAAAATAAATAAATAAATAGAATCAATTATCTACATATATACCATGGCAGTCGGTGAGTCCCAAGATGAAATCTAGAATTGAAATCTCACCAGTGAGTGGAGGAGAAGGGATTAGAGAAAGCTTATCTGCATGTGATGCTGCTTTTGCCTCTTTTTCCTCAGTCTGCATCAGTGTCTTCAGCATTGTTTCCACTTTCTTTTTTGGCTTTCCGCGACCTCATCTCTATCTTTCACAATTACACTACGATGACTACATACACACTGATGAGCCCAAAATTTTATGGTGGGTCTTGGCCTCCCCTATATTTGGGACCGCTAAAAGAAGGGCCACCTAATTAGGACCATCACTTGAAAATCTTAATTTGTGCTACTACTTTAAGGTATAGAATTGTACCATATGTCGATCAATTTTCAACCCTAATATCATAAAGCTGCACACCATGTCATATACATACCATCCTGCTATCTGTTTGTGTGAGTTTTCCTCCTCTCTTTTTTTATTTTGGCGAAAATAATAATAATATTGTATTATAATATGTATCACATGTTACACCACCCTAAATAACAATCTAATTAATCATTCCTAGATGTTTAATTTAGACCCATTTTCCAAAATAAAAATAAAAATTTCTTTTCCTCTTGTTAGAGTGTAGGAATGAAAAAGAAAAAAGAGGAATTAAATTATTGAAGTAAATAATCTACCGTTTGGTAGATTCTAATTAAAACTAGCTGCATGCACATTAGTAAACGTGGGGCAATCATCATTGCGTTTTAATGAATGATTTGGCAGATGTTTAGACATTCCCACCTTAATTGAACATGACATGCCACCATATATGTGCTAAGGTGCGGTAAAAGCGAATGCCTATTGGGTCTCTTGCTAAATTATATATACAAGATAATTATGGGGCCCTACGGCCCCTACCTATATTACCAAATATTTTGGGAATAATATTAATGAAGAGATCATGGCCAATTTCTAGGGGTTTTTCTTTTCGTTTACATTTATTATAGTTGTCCACAGTTGACATATACACTTAAGAATTAGACTCTGTCTACACACAAAAAATCAAAGGAGATAAGGTTGGTGATGGTGAGGACTGATGATTAGGAAGGTACAACTATTTCAGTGACATAGACTTACCATTCAACATGTCCTCCTGTTAAAATAGACGGACAAATAGTCATAACTTCTTGTTGACTATGATTATAAATGAGTGACGATTTTCACGCTCGCATTTTGTTTACCCAATTACCAAAATACAAAAATAACAGGGATGGAATTGCAATATTGCAAATCTTTCGCCCTAATAAAATAAACTAAGAACAGCGAAGGTTCCACCGCAGATATCAAAATTAGAATGGTTAGGGAGGCTTGATCTATTTGTAAGTTATAAAAATGTGGGTTACATTACATGCATGAAAAATAAAACATATTTAATGCTTTGATTAAGAAAATGATTCGTTAAATTGTGAGAAATTTCTTGAGACAAGTTTTGCTTTTCGCCCGACAAAAAAAGTTTACAGAATGATGCTGAATGAGTAGGTAGGTGGATCGATCGAGCTCAGCGCATGAGACTGAGAGAGACTCAGAGGCATGCTTGCTCGAACAGCCATGCACATGTATAAATGTAGATGAACTATGAAGTGCACGCTCACGTGCCTCTGCTAATAAAAAATGCAAATGAATCATTGAGGCCATGTACCTAATCTTGATTTTTCGATCATGTCCTATTATATATATCATGCATGTTTATAATATTATATATTTATAAAACTATATAGTCTTTATAATATATGTCACAGTGCATCGGGAATGTCTCTCAAAGTCTACTTTTGATGCTATTCTTATGATGCCTTCAAAGAATGGATGGCTACTTTTGTGTTGTCTTTAATTTCTTGCTGTCCATCCGGTGAGAATGAATGGTTTATTGGTGGGTTCTGATTTTTTTTAAAAGGCTTTTTACTGTTTTCCTTTTATGCTTGGGTTAGAATCTCAAATTTTCTTTTGAATTTGTAATTCGGTTAATGCATTCATGTCACGTGAGCAAATTAACATTTTTTCTTTGAAATTTGATGAAATAAGAGAACGTAGAACATGAAATAAAAGTATAAGGGGCACATTGATCAAATTGCAAGTTCATAAGGGGAAGTTGAGATTTGAAGCAAAGCACAAAGGGGAAAACAATAAATAAACCTTTTGTTTATTTAGTTATTTCTAAACAAATGTTGTGATGCAATATGTTTTGAAGTGACTAATTGTTCTTATCAGTACTTATTAGCTAGATGTGGACTTAATTGTAAATAATTAGTATAAAGTTTGATTGATGCATTTCTATATTAGTAGGCACCCACCATTTTAGTTCATGATATGGTCATTTTCTTCCTATTTTTTTTTTTTTTTTTTTTTTTTTTGTTGGAGGATGAAAGGGGGTGGTGGATTTTTTTTTCTTTATTCTATTAGAAGGAGGAATAATAGGAAATAGTAAAGTGTGGCCTCGTTAAAACCTTCCCGGAGAAAACCAGAAGGGAAAAACTCCGGGGTAGGAAAGAGTACCACATATACCAATAACGTACAGAGGGAGGAAATTACATAACATCAGAGAACAAAACATCCCCCAAGAATTGACTTATTATTCATAAAAATGTCCATCAATCACAATATGTTCCTTGTGCACATTGAATTAAATACTTGCTTGAATTTGAAGCGAGGAACATTAATTTCATAAATTATTTGGACTAATCACGTATTTCTACTTGATTTTAGCAATTAATAAATTCATCATTGAAGTAGTTTGCGGAGTACGTTGATGGTTTTATTTGGTCTCTTGTCTCTATGTTCCCGATGCCTCTAACAATCATTTGGATTTAACCACATTGGATATATATTACAATAAGATGAAAAAGAGAGAGAAGAGTCATTAAATGAGAGTATTTTTTCTCACTATCTGTGGAGAGGATTATCACATTGTTATTTGTTGCTGGATATGCTGTACGAATTCAAAAATTAAACTCATCCAACGACAATAAACACAGTGATAATGTTCAAAACTAACTGAAAGGTGGTGAACAAAAATATTCTTACAATTAAAATGACTTGCGTGAATAAATATGTAAAAAAGAACTCATTAAAATCTAAGTACTTCGCGCACATTAATTTTTAAGCATTTTTTTTTGGGACAAATTAAAGTCATGAATGTGAATATCATGCGAAGTAGTTGTTATAAAAGTGCGACTATGTCGATGACAGCCAAACTATCGCACTCTCAAACATTACAATTCACAGTGTATATACGATTATTTGAATAAAATAAAATATCTGTGATGACAAAGTAAATGAATTTTCTGCAAAATGAGGTGTGAAGATGTACTTTGTCTAGTATGATGGGGAAGTTAACAACTGGCTTTCTCCATCATTAATTACCACGTTTGCTTTTGCTTACTTCAAAAGGCATTTAGCTAAAGTCCATTTATTGTGCAATCAATAAATCTTTCAGTACATTAACAGATAAATAAATCTTTCGGTACCTAATGATCTGCTTCTCATTATGAGTATTTTGGATTAAGAAATTGATGTTTATGGTCCCCCATACTTGGTAACTTGGCACTTACATTTGCAGATGAGGTTAAGTACTTTTTAGTTGTCATCACAAGTGCAGGACAACTTTCTCAAGTTATTCTGTCTAAGATTTACATGGAGGGCTCTCTTGTGTATGAAAATCGATTGTGAGATTGTCAATTTGGACCATACATTTGTTGAGACTTATTGTCATTAACTTGATGAACTCACTCGATAGTAAATATGTGTATGGAAATCGGTTGCGAGACTCTCGATTTAGATCAAACATCATTTAGTATTATACTATTACCTTGTTGAACCTACCCATTATTGTAATTACCTTGTTGAATTTACATAACAGTAAATACGCGTGTATGAAAATTGGTTGCGAGACTGTGAATTTGAACCATACATCATTAAAAATCATTAGTTTTACCTTGTTGAACCTACACAATATTGTAAATATCATATTTTTATGTTTAAAAATGTTTGCTCCCATATATTCTACCTCCAAATTGCAATATGCCCTTTTATAATCATAATTATTCTAAAATGATATGGTAAATGAAAGGAAATATCATTCATAAACATCCTAATAGGAGACAGGTTTTGAAAGACAACAGGACTGCATTGGGAGATTCATTCATACAATTAGTTGTAAATTGTAAATTAATTAAATAAAACCAATGTTAAAGAATTAAGTGCAGAAAGGAATCCAAAGAGAGAAGATGCAAAAGGAACCGCCAATAATAAAAGAGAAAAAAAAAAGTAAAAAGAAGATTGGTTGGTCTTGAATTATGATAAGTAGTAGAAGGAATCAAAAGAGGGAATGTGAGTGCTGTGTGTGTGCATGTTAATTCATAATGAGAGAATTGGGTTGTCACACACAAAAGGGCTAAAAGTTGCAACTTGCACCACTCAATCACATTCCTGTTTCTCTTGCCAGGTCACTCTCTCTCTCTCTCTCTCTCTCTCTCTCTCTAGGGTTGGAGCACAGTCACACCAAGTAGTAAGTACAAGAAGAAGAAGCACTAAAGTTTTGAAGGAGTGGGAGAGAGAGGGTGTGTGTTTTTAGTGCATGTCTCTATCTCTCTCTAACTTTCATGTTTGTTAGTTTAAAGAAAGATTGAACAAATAATAATTAGTAGCTAATAATATATGCATTGTTGCAATTAAAACTTTGGCTTGGCCTTGGCCTTGATTGTTGTTTGCAATATAATAATAGCAGAAACACACTGCACAGTTGGGTTCTTTGTCCATCTGCTACGCTTTTCTTGGATGACGCTTCAAGCTCGAAACCTCGTCGTTTTCTGCTTCCTTCTGAGCTCCTGTAGGACTTTTGCTGCTTTCTTTCACTTCACTCTGTTTGAGATATAAACAACAACAACAACAAAGCCAGCCATTTCTCTTTCTGGGTCTTCCACATTACAACTTTCCCGCTCTCTAAACTATATGAAATAGAATCTCTCTCTCTCTCTCTCTCTCTCTCTCTGAAGGGTGGGTTGGCTTGGTCTCGTCTTTTTACTTCTTTGACCATTGATTTTTTTTTTTAAATTCTTTTTCCAAGGCCTTGTTTTCTTGAGCTCATTCTCATATGCAACTATGGTATTGATTTGTTCTCTGTTCTTCTTTTCAGGATGCATTAAATTTGCATCAAAGTGAAAAGAGATGAATAGCAGAGTACGCACTAATCTTCAGAGCATGAAAGCTGCTCTAAATAATGATAAAGTGAGTTGTTTCTTTCTTTCTTTTTTGCAAGTCCTGCTCTTTCTTTAAAGCTGAGAGGTCTTATCAGTGACAAATTCCGAGATGAGTGTGTTGGTTTTTCAAGAAAAAGAAGAAGAAAAAAAAGAGATTAAGGTTCTATCTTCTAGAGCTTGAAAATGGACTTTTGTCAATGGGCAAATAGGCAATCTGAAATGGGTTTTCAAATTTACTTGTAAAAGAAAGGCTTTTAATTTATGAACCATGCCATTTTGCATTTATTTTCATACGTATAGGACATTAAATATTCTTTACTTCCAAACTATATTCTTTCCAATTATGTTAATCTCCTACTGGAAGTGTGAAAAGTGAGGCACTTTTGATCCAAATCCAAATTGGGTTCTTTCTTTAACTTCTCTCAAGAAAAGAATAGTTTTTGTTTCTTTTTTCTCAGACACAATGATCCCTTTTTAGTTTGTAACATTGTTATTTTGATGTTGAATTTACAAAGAGGGAGAAGAAGATGGAGACTCAGAAGAACAGAATAATGGGTACAGAGAGAACGTCAATCAATCGGCGTAGATCAAACAGAGAAAGAAAAATGGCCTTGCTACAAGATGTACTCTTCCACTTGCCACTGCACATGTCAAGTAGTTTTAGATTTTTGGAAAAAAAAATAGATTTTTTGTTGTTGTTTTCTATAATTCGTTGACTTATTGGTGTCCTTTGAAATTTACAGGTTGATAAACTGAAGAAGAAGCTCAGACATGAAGAAAATGTCCACAGAGCATTGGAAAGGGCTTTTACAAGACCATTAGGAGCTTTACCTCGTCTTCCTCCTTATCTCCCTCCACATGTCAGTACAATTTATCATTTTTGTTTAATTCTCTCTCTCTCTCTCTCTCTCTCTCTCTCTCTCTCTCTCTCACACACACACATTGAATAGAAGAGAAACCCCAGATGAAGCCTTTGCCAAACATTAAAAATTGATGAATAATGTACTTCAGTTTGTTGTGATATAGAGTGATGTGAACTGGGATACTATTTGTTTCAGACATTAGAACTTCTGGCTGAAGTAGCTGTTTTAGAAGAGGAGGTTGTTCGGCTTGAAGAACAGGTTGTTAATTTTAGACAAGGTCTTTATCAGCAAGCTGTCTATCTATCCACCAAGAGGAATGTGGAAACTTTGAATGATTCAAGTGAGCAGACCCCAATTAGAAGTGCTAAACATCAGAGATCAAAATCTTTGTCACATAATGAGTTCATATCAGCAACATCAGCCTCCAGGCTTCAACCTTCTCTTTCTCGAAGTGTTTCTAGCAGAAGGCTACTGTCTACTGATATTGTCTCTGATCGAACGACCGGGAATTGTTCTAGTAGGCAAGTCAGTGGAAAACAAATTCCCAGGAAACCCAATTGTTTGTCACCTCTTTCAGAAGATGGGAAAGGAAAAGAAAATCGATTGTGTTCTAATGCGGCTAGGGATAAGCAATCTCCCGACAAGAAAACTACCAAAGCTGTAACCCCAGTGAAAAAGCTTCCCAGCAAACATGAATCCATGGTCAAGTGTTTGGACCCTTTGAAGTTAGAGGTATGCCAATGCCACTGAAAGTTTTCACTTAGATTCAATTTGTGACATTTTGTGGTTGTTATTTATTTGTGCCTTTGAATTTGTTCAGCTAGAGTGCAGATTAGTAGACCAGGAAAGAGCACATGAGAGTTCATCTGGTTCTTCAGATGATAAGGTATCGGAAGCCGATAACACTCCTAATAAGTGTCAGAGGATATTGTAAAGTGTTTGTCTAGCATTTTTGTGAGGATGAGCAGTTTGAAGGACAAAATAGAGGAATTGGAGACTTCCAGATCAACATTATCTGCTCATGCAGCAAATGGAGAGACAGGGTTTCGAGATCCTTATGGCATTTGCTTAGAATTCAGAAACATAGACGTTGGTCCCTATAAAAATCTCCGGTCAATTGATATTGGTTCAATTGATCTCAACAGAACAACAAGCGCATTGATTCTGATGCACAGATTAAAGTGAGTTTTTAGTCTATCTGTTCTTGGTCTTCTCTTGATAATTCTGCTTGAGATTGGATTCAATTTCTCCTTTTGAAAATATCCAGGTTCCTACTTGGAAAGCTTTCCTCTGTGAACCTAGAGGGTCTTAACCATCAGCAGAAGCTTGCATTTTGGATTAACACTTATAATTCCTGCATGATGAAGGTAATAAGATGTCTCTCTATCAAGAAATTGAAAACCAAAGAATAAAGAAGTAGAATGTCCCAACTGCAAGTTTATAAAAAAAAAATTCCAAGACTTTGGGACATCGTATTTTTGAAAATCAGAGTTTTGCCTTTACCTGGTATAGCTAAATCAAATTCAACATTCTCAAAACAGTTTTTATAATGTTGCAGGCATTTTTAGAGCATGGCATACCTGAGACTCCTGAAATGGTTGTAGCACTAATGCAAAGGGTAAGATCAACCCATCATTTATGTCTGCCGAGCACATTGGCATGCATCACATGAACACATATTACAGATGAAATTTTTGTACTCCATTATGTAATGTTCTGTTTCTGTTATTAATGTCAACTCACAGAAATTCATTTTGTATATTGAATTTTGCTCTCTTTGCATCAGGCAACGATAGATGTCGGGGGACACTCCCTGAACGCAATTACAATTGAGCATTTCATTTTGAGATTGCCTTATCACTTAAAATTTGTAAGTATGTTCACCCTAAACTTGATTATGCTCTTAGGCAAGAGTTCACTGACGTTTTCTTGAGTGACTTGAGTTATTGTGTATGGCATGCCAATTAAGTTTCGCATTTGCTTCTTCTGTGTTACACAGACGTGTCCAAAGGCTGCAAAGAATGATGAGATGAAAGCTCGCAGTATATTTGGATTGGAGTGGTCTGAACCCTTGGTAACCTTTGCACTTTCCTGCGGAAGCTGGTCCTCCCCCGCTGTAAGATAGTTTCAAATTTCTCTTGTAGTCTAAATTATTAAGCCACAGTTCGAATCTTGGTCATCATGAAAAAACATTAAATCCAAGGATGACAATCTAATATCCCAAATTTTCAATTATATATGTATTTCTATGGATTTGCTGGTACTGATTTGACATTTTTTTGTCAAACAAAGGTGAGAGTGTACTCTGCAGCTCATGTTGAAGAAGAGTTGGAAGCAGCAAAAAGGGACTATATACAGGCAGCTGTTGGGATTTCAAGGACAAACAAGTTGATAATCCCCAAGCTGTTGGATTGGTATCTGCTTGACTTTGCAAAGGATATAGAATCATTGGTTGATTGGATTTGCATGCAGCTACCCAATGAGCTCAGGAATGAGGCTGTTAAAAGCCTTGAAAGAAGGGGAAGAGAGCCCTTTTCACAGTTGGTGCAAATAATGCCATACAATTTCAGCTTCAGACTGCTCTTACAGTGATGACACATTTTTATTTCAATTTATTTTACTTTTGCGCCATTCTTTAGTATGCATAGTTTTTTTGGAACATTGGTTTTGGTGGTGGGTTTGTATATTGATATAGTAAACAAGATGAAAGTGCATATAACCTAAGCACATGGTTTTTGTGCTTGTTCATTAAAATTGGGCTTGGGGAAGAGAGCAATTTTTTATGTTATGTGCCTTTTCTTTCAAGATAGTGAGGTGAAACTATCGATTAATTCATGATCAAGCTTAGAAAATTTGAAGATGAGAAATTGGTGCTAACAAGGTTAGTTTGATTTTAGATGATCCCACATAACCAACAAGCGATAGTTTAAATTACAGGAGAGGGTACACACACAACTATGATGTTGTGGGAATTCGAATATAAGGCCTTTGGTATGCAAGTCAATACCCTTTCTCACTAGGCTAAACCTTGTTGGCGCCAAAATGTGTCTTTTTGCTTCCTCCTCAGTACAATCATTTTTGCATCTCTAATGTAATTTGTGGGTGAAAATAATCCCAGCAGACAAAGGCCCTGGATTCTTTGGCAGTGTCGAGCAACAAAATATTAGCAAACCATGACCACTGACAAAGAGGCCATCTTGGCTCTGACTTTGATCGTGGCATACAAAAAAGTACTTGCGCGACAACGCATTTCACCTTCCAAAGGAGTAAAGAAAAGTAGGAAGACAACGGGATTAACTAGGCAGAGATTTCTTAGGTTGACTGCTTTTGGGTTTACCCCTTGGGCTTTGGGAAACATGAAACGGGCGGTTGGGTAACGAATTTGGCCCATCAAATCAAAATTTAACGGACCCTCTAACATTATGTAATCTAGCCGAAAAAGAAAAAGCGTTGCTAGCGTAAGTCACTCAAGCATTCGCGAGCGACTGTGATCTGTTGATATAAATAGATCTCACAAAGCATCTACAATTCATAATTATCCATGCGTGTGCCAATGACTGATAGTGCGTAGCATAACTCTTAGGCGGCATTAGCATGTTGGGGGATTGCTCAAGGTAAAATGATGAATCGTTTTTGAGAGAGAGGATGAGATACATTTGGGAAGTCTAATGCATGGACAAGGCGGAACAGTTGGAATCTACTTTGTCCCTGAGTAAAGGAAAAATCTAGAGACGACTGAGACTGAGTATACAGCATTTGGGCAAGGCTGTATATTAAAGCAAAGCAACGAAACTGCTTTGAAATGCAGGAAAAGAAGAGGGGCCCTCTTGCTGCTTTTGGGGCTTCTAAGCCTTCTATTATTTACTTTCAAACCGAATAGAACCAAAGTGACAAAAAAATGCTTGTCACTTCTGAAAACTTGTATTATTTTGCTGAAGTCATTTGCATTTGTGGGCCGTCACTCGTCAGGTAACTTAAAACATACGTTGGAACACTAAACATTGGAGGCTTCACGTGAACCCTATAAGACATGTTCTATCTCATAGCTCCCTACAAATATGGATACAGCTACACTGATACAGTAAAATAAGTCAAAATAAATAGTGATGTAATCTGTATGAAATTCATGGTATACGGCCATAACAATGCACTAGCAGAAAACACTGATCAACTAAAATTTTGATTCCATAGCATCCAGGTTTTTACAAAGTCAGCAGGATAGTATCACAAAAATGGGATTATCAATGATGTCCTATGACAGGGTGTGTATAATGACAATAAAAAATGGGGGTAAATACATAAAAGATGAAATAATGATTAGGGCATGACAACAACTCAAACTCAAACTCAAACACACAAAAATAGCATGATACATTATATACCTAATGGGATGTGGTACAATCTCTTCTTTGTCTGAGGGAAACCTCCTCTGAATGATATTCCACAGCAGCAACTACTACATCGGGGTGAAAGGTACTCTACAATGTTTGGGGCTAATTTTCTCAAAGTTGTCCCGTAAGCTGCATGTTGCTGAAGTTTAAACCTCAACCAAATGGGGAAGGAACAGGCCCTGGCCCTGTGAGTGCATCTGATCTCTTTATGCTTCCCATCCCACATATAATGCAACCCGGCGTTGCGAGAGCAGAAAATTTGGCCCCGCAAAGATCACAGACATCATATCCAATCGTTGACAGACGACTAAGTGTGGCGGCACAGAACTGGGAAGGATCTTCAAGTGGATCAATGGACTTGTTGGAGAGACCCCTTTGAACACACATATCAACCAAGCTCCTCAACTCATCCTGCTTACTTGGAGGTGCTTTGGACAGCAGGAGTTCAAGCATCTGCTTTGAATAAGCATAATTCTGGACCTCCATGTTCCGCTTAATCGCAGTTCGGATACAATTTATCCTGTGTTTTGCCAGAAGAGGCAAAGAACCCAGGTGGCGTGAGAGTCTTGCCATCTCATCTTTTGCACTGATTGCACTAGGACCTTGAACTCTTTGCAGCCGCCCAATTTCCTGTAAAATGAAAACCCCAATTAGAGCAAAGTTATATGCCGCTAATTCCAAACCGAAGATTTCAAATCAGTTATGGGATCTTTGCTGACCAGTTCTAATATTAAATATGATATTCCAACCCCCACATGTGGTTCTTTTGGTCCCATGGTGTTACTATAATTATTCTTAGAAAACAATAAATGTATGCAAGAGTGTCAATCTATTGGTAAAGGGTTGTATTGTAATCCTCAAGACATTTTGCCTCAAGAAGTTAGGACATATTCTTATTTGAGAGCTTGAATGAGAATTTTAATACCCCAAGAAGAGTAACTGCTATCTTGTATTGAGCACAGATGGTCCCTTGCGCTTTAATATCAGCTCCACGAGAGTGATCCTTAGCCAGTGCAAGAAAAGCTTCATCAAAGCAAGACAACGCATCTGAAAGTTGATTCTGCTCAAGGTGAGCAACTCCAGTCTTAAAACATACAGAAGCAGCAGCCCCACGGGGTACCTGTTATGAGGAAAGCCATGAAATGAACATGGATTGAGATTGCGGAGAATTAGATAGTTATGCATGACATGTACATGAATGTGTTACCTGTCCAGGACGCACAGAAGATGGTGGAGAAGGAGGTTGCACAGCAGGCTTTCCAGAATCTGCAGTATTTGGAACCCCAAGGGCACTGAGATCTAGAGGTTGCGTGGAAACTGGGAACTGAGTTGATTGAACCTGAGACTGTTGCTGCACAGCAACCTGGCTTGAGGATGGTGGGACACCACCATCAGGAAGTCCATACGACTCGAGTGGAACCGCAGCCTGTTGACTAGCTTGAGGTGGAATACCGCTATCAGGAAGACCAACATTGGCATTGGATGCATTGACCTGGTTAAGAGTTTCCTTGTTGCTTTCAACCCCTTGAGAAGCTTGATCCAATTTTGAAAGATAGGTCCCAGGAGGGGGCAGTGCGGCTGCAACTTGGAGGGATGGTATGGTATTCTGGAAAAAGTCCTCTGGAATAGGTCCAGTTGCAACTCCCTTACCAGTTGTGATAGGAGCTTGCTGTGATACAGTTGCAGGTTGTGTAAACGAGTCCATACCAAACAAATCACCAGGGGCGGAGCCTACACGAGGAGCCATTGATCCACTGTTAGCTGGAGGAGGCGGTTGGGATAACATCTGGCTAAGGTCCTGGGATCCAATAGTCAATGACTTGGTCCTGGTCATCGGTGGACCCAACCCTTCACCAAGTTTGAGCTGCTTCGTGGCTTCTTTGATTTTATTCACATCCACTGCAGTAGAAGCAATTGGCTTGTCTCTTATTCTAATGTGCAACTTTTTAGCTTTTGAAGTTCCCTCTTCATCACTGCTGCTACCATCAGCTGCACCATACATTGTTTTCTTGAATTCTTCTTCAGCTTTAGCCTGTTCATCTGCTGCAGTGGAACTGGCAAACTGTTTGTTAAGTGTTTCCAGACCCATCAATGAATCACCACCAGGAACTCCCTTGGACATATTAGATGTGGATTTAACTGAAGACAACTGAGGACCGTTAGGCTTATTGCTACCACCTGCGGGTGTAAAAGATTTGACCAAGCTATCTTCCCTTACTTCTACGATGTTACCTCTTCCCTTGATTGAACCCAAGTAAACACCAATATGATCAGCTATAATGGATGGGATGGTGCCATCATCAGTCTTCATGTATGGCATCACCTCTGCAGCCAGTTCCCACTGAGGTATAGCCTTCATGTTTGTTGGGGTTTTGATTTCCCAGTTCCCACCACCCCATTCAGGACCTTTAGGAACCATACTCTCAGCAGCAAAGTTAGCAAAAATTCCTTGAGTCCATCCAGTAGAGCGGACCCTTAAAATCCTTTCACAGTATCGTCTTAGTTCTGAATCAGTGCCATCTTCTTCCAATTTTTGAGCAAGGCGGCGCATGGCACTGGGGTTAAGGTGGCATATAAAGAGGTCGAGCATACTTTCATAATCCGCTATAACTTCAAAGGTTTCTTTTGCACTATCAAACTGACCAAACCTGCAATTTCATCTTATGTTATAAACAAAAGTTGCTTCAATGCAAAAACAAGTTACATGAGAGCCTTTTTTTTCACAGAAAATAACAAGAGAATCATCAATTCATCAGTTCTTCAGCAATAAGCTGGAACCTGGATAGAGCAATTTGAAGAAATAATAATAATAAAGCCTTAAATGCCATTTGAAAGTAGCATAAGGGATGTCGACTTTAAGCTCAAGATAATTTTAAGTACATAGGCATTCACTTGCAATAGAAATCTTATCCATCGTCTTTAGGACTGTAAATTGTGTAGTTACCATAAACTATTCCCTTTCTAGTTTCTCGCAGAATTAATAACAAAATAAAATGTATGACAAAGCATGAATAAAAGAGAGAACTCAGAGAACCAACAACTCCTGCCAAGCAACTCCTGCCAAGCATATCAGAGGTTCAACACTTCCTCCAAGCATAGGCACACCTACTATCCCTAATTGGCAAGGTAGGATACTAAGGATTCCTATTTTAACCAACAAAACTATTTTAGGGCAATTAGGCATCTTGTACTTGGGTATGCTTTAAGTTTTTGATATCTAATACCACCATAACTCCACATTGGAAGGAGGGCGAAAGTAACACTAGGAACTTTTCTTATATATAACCCATCTATCAACCTTTCATGCATATTTATTTTCATAATTTATCCCTGGTGCCACATATTCATTTCTTAATCTTGTGCAACATGCCGAAACTCAAAAAACTCTCAAAAGTTCAGTTCTGATTTTTCCATACCACTCCCTTTACTCATTAAACTTACAACACTTTTTAAATTATGAACAGTCTAGGCTAGGGAAGGGTCTGAGGTTGATTTCTCTAAGGAACTGAGAAAGTGCTGGTTGATGCAATCCCTGGAACAGATGTTTCATTCAAAATGTTTTATTCAAGTACTTCCCAAATTGCAACCCAAGTACCTCCCAACTTCCAAATGTTTTTTGAATCATTTACTTCATTCATCAAATCTTACTGATGTGATGATAATCGACTAAGATATGTGAAGGTGTCTCATATCAGACACCTCGTTATGCATATTGCTTTTTTCTTTTTAATGAGACCTCCATTAACACCTTACATGTTTTATACAACAATCAACAACAATAACCATCAGATATAAGCACCATATAAGCATACTAGCTCGAATTCTTAACAATGTATATGCAAATATGTCTCAAGATCCTAAAGTATGTCTTACATACTATTGGATATGTCAGGGTACAATATCAGACAATTTAATTGAGAAGCAATCATTAAAGTAAAAGATACAGAATAAGTTTGTTGAAAACTGTTAGAAATATATAGTATTTAAAATAAACAGAATAAAATAAAATAAAATGAACGTTTTCTCTTATCTGCGTACTTGATACATGCATAACCCAGTTGGCGGAACCGGTGGAACAAATGAGAGGTTGGAGGACATCTTGGATAATCTCTAGAGCGCAGAAATTCATCTTTTAAGACAGATAAAGCAGTAGAGAAACGCAGAGCTTTGATAGCATAGGCACCCCTCAACACCTAAGTTATTTCACATGTTTAGTAACCAAAATAGACAACTAACAAAATTTGTTAAAACACCACACTGTTTCCACTCACCTGAGTGAACTGTGGTCCTGCTTGAGATAGTGACACAGAAAGATCTCCACAAACAGGAGAGCCTCTAGCAAGAATATCTAGAGACCTTGGAGTGATACGCAGGCTGTCAAACCTTCATTGAGAAAGTAACGACAGATATCAAATGTCATCAGCATTTATTCAAGGACCCATATTTATTAAGGTGCAGAAAAGAAGAAAATGCTTTATGATGCAAAAAGCACAACAGAGAGCATGTGCATAGGATGAGATCATGGGGAAAAAAAATAACCTTGATGTTATTTGATACAATATCTCTGGAAGGTCAAGCTTCTGCTCAAATCTCTCTTGCATTGTGGCAAATCCAATAAGAAGAGGTTCAAGGAGCCCAACAAGACAGCTCTTAATCTCAACTGCCTTCTTTTGTCTGGGATTTATTTCTGTTGGGTTAGCAAGCAACAACCGATCATTCAGCGCACCAACCAAAACTGCACATTTACATCATAATGAGTCAGAAGGATAAAAAGAGTGAGATGCATACCCACATCAGCATCATTAGCCACACAAGGTCATACCTGCATAAGGCATACTGATGGAAAGAATAGTCCTTACTTTCCCATCCCAGCCAAGCACGCTAATTGCAGTAGTAGTAGAAAAGAGAAGTGCAGGCCCAACCCATAAAAGTGATCTAAAGTGAACAGAGGTCAAGTGCTCAAACAAGTTGATATAACCTTGATAACTCAGTTAGATGAATGATTACGAAAAAAAAGTAAAAGCTTTTACACCAAGATGTTGTAAAGGATATTGAAGGAAGTCCTTTATCAAATTTTGCAGAACTGCCTGCCAGTATATCTAGATCTGCCGAAACTATAAGCACCCTTTGCGTCGTTAATATTCCAGCAACATATCCCCTAAGAGTTTCTTGCCAATGAACCTGTCAAATTTCAACAGCTGGAGCTTTGAAGGGGCAGATTGGCACTTCAATAAATACATCCACACCAGTACAGTCTAAGAATAACAGTTACACAACAATATAGTTGCATGCCTTGTGATGTGTGTGAATGATGTCTCTCATTTTAATGAGTAGTTAACCATGCATGAAGAGCTATACATATAAAAGAAATCTGGGAGGCTGTCTGTCAGATGCAGCCATAACGAAAAACAACAAAGAACTCTACTGGTCTTATCATGACAACGCCCAATATACAAGGTTTTAGGAACTTGAAGAAAATTTGCTCTATCTTTCTACAGAAAAGTTAGAGTCTGCTCGTAAAATGCAATGTGAGAGAGGCAAAGGGGTTGGAAAGATTTTACCCTCACCATCACGTCCTAAAATATAAGTCTTCTTGAATGGGTGGTTTCAACTGAAGAAGTGTAAGGGGGCATATAAGTTTTACCCTCACCAGCACACCGTAACTACTTTCTAATGTGCAACAATAAGTACCATGCCAGAATGGTTATATGAGCACCTGAAGTACAATCTCATTTAGTTTCAACTTAATTGACTTTTTTCCTTCACTTTTTGTTGCTATGTAATGACCATCAGCATTAGAAAGGCGGTATCCTTGAACCAGCTTTGCCAAGCCAATCTGACTCCCATGAGAAGCAAACATCAATGTTGACTCTGAAATCACAGAATACTATGATTAGCACATACTTTTGATGAAAACTTTTTTACAAATTAAACATAATAGTTATTCTTCCCTCAAGTACCTATAGGAGTGGAAAAGATTCGATCAACCTCACTTTCAAACATAAATTGCATTGGACCCTTGGGACCAACATCAGTATCCACAGGTTGGCTCTCTTCAGACAGTAGAATCTTTTCATTTGCTTCAGGAGAAGCCTTTTTAGGCAGAATATATAAAACCAGTCCAGTCTTATCATCATCAAGAACTGCAAACTGATTTTCATTGGGTCCAATAAATGCTGCATCTCGACCTACAAAACTCAAAGATGCAATTTGTGAATAATTATTAGATCTCCTACATGCATATGTAGACATTTTAAGGGAATAAAGACATCCAATAGACAGACAAACCTTTTACTGTACTACATTTACTGTTTGCTGCCTGAGAATCGGTATTTTCAAAATAAAGCACCACTTCATTTGTAGCACCACTAAATTCATAGACAACAAGAAATAGGCTCTGCTTTTTACTGTAGCTCAAGTACTTTGGATGGTATTCCACATTTCCGGGAACCTATGAAAGAGGGGTGGAAAGGATTATTCCACTACCACTGGCACCACCAAAAGGGAATCCTCATAAAAGCTAAAAGGAAAATACAAGACATCACACTGATACACTTTTGTTTTTTTAAAGGATCACACTGATCATGTGAAGACATTACCGTTGTATAAAGTTTCTTGTAGATACTATCTGCTCCAGAACAGATGTTATATGCCATAAGGTGTATGCCATCCACAATAAAGGCCCTGACAGGATAATGAAGAACCCGATTCTCTTTATTGAAGAAATTTAGCTCCAGGTGAAACGGCTGCAAGTGAACCAGAGTTTTCATGCACAAATTAAGCAAAAGCAACTTAACTTACAGAAGAAACAATCACTCTATAATATCAGAAACAACTTACCTGACATACAGGAGCGTCCTTCAGATGATGCTTGGCATCTACAACAGTAATGAGAGGCAGCCGAGATATTGGGGCACTTTTGGCATGACCTTCCATAAAATGCTATAACAATAATGCAAAGAAGAGTCAACAAAACTCAACAATAAACTGAATTATAACAAGAAACTTAGGAAGTCTGATTAGATCAAACAGGAAGTTCCCAAAAAGTGCTTTAATACAAAGGTGATGGGATGGGACAAAATAAGCTAAGATTATGGCTTGTGCATAAGCTGCAATAAAGCCCCTTACAGCCGCCTGGTAAGGTACAAATTTATCCATCCTCATAGCATAACAATCCATATTCAATGGAAACAATTTCTAATTCACATATTAAAAATAAGAAAGTGACATACACTCTGGAGAAAAGCCTTTCGGGCAATGTCTGATATTGTAAGGTGACCATGCCTGACAGAAATGACATATTATTATTGACAATAAACGATACTAATAAAGTTCAACATAGTATAAAAAGCAGCAAAACAGATCCAATGAATTCAACTGAACAAAGCCTCTAATTCAAAGGAATACCTTAAGAGTGCAAGTCTAAGACTTGAGCCAAGAAAAGCAGAAAAATGACATACACATACATACACAACAGAATTCAACTTGACAAAGCCTTCAATCCCAGGGAAAATTTATGAGTTAAAGCCCAAGACTTGAATCATAAAGCAGTAAAATGACAACCAACAATTAATTCAACATATGCAGCCTGTGTCATCACTAATAACCCAAAGGAAGAAAAGGGTTAAAGTCAAAATACAGTAATACAACTAAGCTTAGTATAGGTATCTCAACTTCGGCATCTGTTAGTTTTTTGAATGCGAAAGAAACTAAAAACTGTAATAGGGAAATTCTTTACAAAGTGACAAGGGTCCTGATACAACTTAACGAAATTATATAAATAATCACACGTATAATTATTGTGTTCTCTAAAGTTAAAATCCAACTTCCACTAATGGTCAGGACAACAAATCTGGTTTACACAAGTTCTCATCTCACCCTTTCAGATGATGTTCTTGCAGTTGAGCTTGAAGTTGATGTTCAGCTAATATTCCAGATGAACCCAAAGCTGAAAGCTTTTCTTTCAAAACAGATGCTGCAAAATACCTCTACTATTAGCATATCTGATTAAAAAGCAAGGCAGCAACAGAAAGAACTATATGAAGGTTTAGAAGTTTAAAAAATGGGTTTAAAAAATGTCTGCCATTTTTTTAAAACAACAATATTCAAGGGGAAAAAAGGCATGATATTAATGTAAAAGTTAGCAAAAATTATTCAGGAGAACAGAAATCATGACATGCTACTTAAATAATGTTTCTCATCAGAAATAAAAACGATACATATACAGAGTTAGAGAACATGTAGAGTTGATGACCAGCAAAGATACGTATACAGAGTTACAGAACATGTATCATGTATAAAAAATCCATGACTACCAAGCTTGCATCCTAAAGATGCCTACAGAGTTACCAAGAATATGTTCTATCATTAGCATTTAAAGGAAATGAATGTTGCCCTAGTATTCTAAGAAGTATATAATAAATATGAAAATTCAAGGTTTTTCCCCATTTTCCCCGTTACATCCTAGTTAGAATTTTTCAATGAAACTGGAGAGGAGAAAAGATAAGAAAGAAGGGCAGCACCTATTGAATCATGCAACAGAAAAGTAAGGTGCCAGTAATGATTAATGAACTCATTGATCTTTGATGTACATATATGTTTATCAACAAGCACTTGATTAGTAAACCCTCCACTCCCATGATTAGATGGATCTGAATCCGTTGCTTGTCTTGTTTCACTCTCAAGCAATGCCAAGACAAGTATAGAATCCATTACAATTTAAATGACCATAACTAAGAAGTATAGTAGAAAAATAGAAAAATAGTCAGACCACGATAACTTCTCCATGGTAGTTGAAGACCACCTATTGAGACATCTCATGTACACCCAACATAAAGTGCATTATCTACCACCAGAACCCTTAATGAATCCTTTATTCCCGGTAACTACCGAAAAAATTCTAGTGAATGATGAGAAAATTCACATATGAATATGACATACATCTTTGCTATTATTATCTTGAGGTCAAGTTATTAGAAGATTCCTAAATCATAGCCATTAGAAAGTAGCATTTCCTCAGAATGCTGTGCAATTCAACTGGGAAAAAAACACAAGGACAAGAGCTCCTGAGGAATATAATGATGCCTACATCCGCATGTATTTTCAATTAAAAAGGTCACAACTCTAAAAAAACAGTACACATAAATACAGAAATATTGTGTAACTCTTATTTTCACCTGAAGATCCTCTTGCACCTTGCAAAACTGCAAACAGTTGTTTCCTTCCTTCCCTAGTGTATGCAGCCCTATTTTTCACATTGTCTCCACCTGTCATATTCTATAACAAAAAAGTAATATTCAAAATATGCACTTTTTGATGCAGTTGCAGTAAAACGTGTGTTATTTAAGTGGTTGCACTTAACTGCAAACAGAAGTGCTGCTAAATTTAATTTTGAGTGAACTTCTAGAGTTTTGATTCGTGGTAAAGGGTAAGCTGCTTCTCCACCCTGCTGAGAAAGGATGCGAGGGATATCAAGAGATTCAATTGCTGTAGAACAAAAGGAAAACACTGAAGTTAGTACAGACTTCATTTTGAAACAATAATCCTCTAGTCCTTTATTAACATAAAACTAGAGTGTCTGAGACCTAATATATACAATTGCTTATGTTTTTTCATACTGATTCACAAGAACTGTCAATTTTAGTATCAGAAGCATTAGCAAAAGGTAAAAGGAGAAGGAATATAAAATTGTGTTTGTGTATGTTGGGAGGGGGGTCGGAGAGAGTATTCTTTAAAAGTTAAAATAAAATCTAACAAAAAATTACTTGTAAAATCACAACAAAAAAGAAAAGAAAACAAAAGGTTGCCAACTAACCAGCAGGCTCAAAGAAATTTGCTTGCATTGGAGGTCTATTAGGATTAATTATAACCCGTGTTTTCCACACTTGAAGAGTTCCATCCTTGGACACAGTTACAAGTAACCGCAACATTGGGAGCCAAGAAACTGAAGCTATTGGTTGGGAACCCACTTGTGTACTGAATTACAGCAAAAAGTCAAACTTAGAATATTGATGAATGCCAGAAAGAGATTGACAAAACAAGCAAATTTCAAACAGGAGTGGATCATATAGGCAGTAAACATGGCATGCCTCTGAAGATATGAAAAATAATCCATTTCAAGCAATCCTATTCTATACTCCATCTTATCAATAACAATAATAATGACTATGGAAAAGCATGCATTAACAAAAACTGTAAACCTAAAAAGCTTCTAAAGCCCTTATCATTTGTCTAACTGATTAACTTAATGATATCACATACTCTTTAGCTTAGTGGAGGAGATTGCAGATACTTTCATGCAATTCAAGGTCAACTGGACCTTACATAAGTTTTCAAGGCAAATAATATAATGTTTATAACTGCAAGCTGGTTCTGATAAGATTGTCCAGTAAGCAGTTTTTAAAATTTGCTAAAATATTTAATCCATTCTTCTAAAGAAAAATAAATAAATTCGCAAAACCTAAATCAAGTAAATGAAACAGGAGCGTTAAATGAATGAATACCGCAGAAATATATATAAGTGATTAATTCATAATTTCAACGGGGTGGTGTAATCACTATTAGTTTCTTCTGTGAACGAAAATTTTTGGTTCCTATCTTCAGTTTTTACTTTTTGTGGCCTTTATGGCACTTTATGTGTTCTATTTTAGAATCTTTCTAGTATTGCTACCATAAATTACTTACATTCCAATCATATTAGGTCTCTCAGTTGACACATCCCATGCGAGCAGCGTACCCCGTCGATCACCAACAAAGATCCACTCCAATGTTGGGTGGAAACCAAATGCACCAGCACCCATGAGCTTTATAGTGTTGTCAACTGAAGAACAAGAACAAAAGATGTAGAAACACATGAACTACTTAAAGGACACTAATTTATAACTCTCAAGTCTCAACAACTCAACAATAAATAATCAGGCTCATCTTTTGCTCAAAAACAAGGAATCACTCTCATCTTACTTTGTAAGGTGTAATGAACAGCATAGGAGTGAATGTTGTAGGCTCGAATCAAACCATCTGCATAAGCCACATACTGAAATTGGGAAAAAGAAAAAGATTATTCCAATAGCACAGAACAAAAATATGAAGCATATTATATTTACATATTTATCCAACAGACACACAATTTATACTGGCTCAACCATACAACTATATACCAGGACAGGGTGGCGAGGGTGGCATGCAAGATTGACAATAGGTTTTTTCAAGTCTGTCTTTATTTTTGTTGGCGCTCTTCCTCCTTCAACAGTTCCAACAACTTCATGCATATTGAAGCAGTATCAAGAATTAGAGATAACCAGTAGGCAAAACTGAACATGTAATAGCATTAGACTGTCATGTCACTGCATTTTCTGTGTGCATTTGTGAGGGGAGTTAACAACTGAAACAAAAACACAGAGGAAAACCTGTGACACTCATTCTTTTGTGGAAACCGAAAAACACTACGGGTTGGAGAGGTGTCAAAGCCAAATGGACTTCTGTATCAGAAGAAATTTGCTCTGTCTTTTTCTCAGGTGAATGCAAGACACAAGTTTGCTCAGCATCAAAATCACAAGAGCGAATGGTACAGTCCTACAAAATGGGGGCACAAGGAAATCCATATTTAGGCAAGCAAACAAGTAAATCCATAGAACATGAAATATCTGACTAAGGAAGACGATTGAAATTTTAAACCAAGTACTAATGATTCTTAAACACCAAATAAAATGTAATCCTACAAAAAACAACAAAGGACTAAGACAAAATGAATGAAGTAGTAAGCAAACCCACAAAATACATTAACCAAACAAAGAAACAACAAAATGGTTCGTATTATATATTGTGCTTTGACTAATCTATTCAAGACTCACTCACCTATTGAAATCAAATGAAAATGGATCAATTTCTCCTAAAGCATGCATCTTTGAAGAACTGGCCATTTTCATATACACGTGTTTCTAAAAAGATAGTCAAGTGGATATTCCAACCACATACATAAGCATAATATTTGGCCCATTGATCAAGATACTGAGTCACATATCCTCCATTTGTCTCCCAATCATTGAACATAATCCATTATAGTGGTGAACAACTGTAGTCAACATATTATATGCACAATTCAACAAAGAAAAGGTCACAAATTCATGAAGCTTCTAAAAGTGTATCACTGGAATAGAGCCAATGCTGAAATATTGAAATTAGATTCCATAGTACTCTTATTAGAGCACTTGACTGGAAACGTAGATGATGCAAGAAAAAAAAAATTAGTATTTTAATAAAGTCTGTTGGTTTGCCACTGTTCCCCAAAAGACTTAAGCTATTATTGTACCAACCTACAATTATTAGCCCAACATGTGGAATGAAACATATAATAGAAGGTCGTAGTTACAAGGATTTGAACTCAAGATCTCTTGCTATGACAGAATGATTTACTTCATTAATTTATCATTGTTCCCAAATGCTTAAGCTGTTAGGATGTGGATAACCAATTATTTATAAACATGTTCTAAAACTAAAACTCACATATTAACTTTAAGAAGTGATCCAAGAAGAAATTCTCTATATCTAAAACATCCTAAACAGAGAAGGGTTTATAGGGCACCAACCTCAAGGATCGCTACAACAGAATGCCCACTTGTGGGACTATAAGACATGCGGACAACAGGTGTACCAATATCAATAGATGAAATCTTGCATCCTGTCAATGCATCCATTTCTGTGCATACAAACATAAGACAATATAAATTAAAAACAACCAAAGTAAAATGCATATATATCATATAAATTAGAGCACTTTCGACCTCTAAAAGTTCATTCAGTCTTTCGATTTCATGGAGTCATCCATGTGGCCATTCCTAAAACAAGGTTTTCTGACAAAAATAACCCGGTCTCATGAACATCACATAAAACCTCAGGATTAGTCCAAGTTCAGAACTTTAAACTGATAATAGAAGCTCTCAACAATACTCACACCATAAAGTTTCACACCAAAAATGAGTATGTTGGATATTTACACTAGTTGCATCACATCAAGGCACTTTACTACTCCAACGTCACACACACCCACATGCACAAACCTAGCCTGGGGCAACTGAATTCCCCAAGAACAAGACTAAAACATAAGTTTCAAAAATTAAATTAAATTAAATTCCAGTCAACGTCTCTGTAATAACTAGAATGATACACACACACACACACACACACATATATATATAACAATGTTTAAAGCAGAAATTTGAAATTCACTTATAATTAATATATAAAATGGGAGGAGTGAATCTGTTACCGATGATGTAGTTGCCGATGGCGACGGCTACGAGGGCCTGATGGGGGTGAAATGCGGCAGCATGAGGCTGCAATGGTTTTGAACTACGTCCGACATGTCGTAGATCCAGATGCTGCACCGTCGTCCACTCCATCTTAGACTTTCACCTGTAAGTAACTACAGCATCAGAAACCTGAACGCCTATAATGCCCCAAAATCTTAAACTTTTGTTGCAAATTTGAAACGAACAGATCGAGAAAGAAAGAATATGCAGAGGAGTTGGATCTTACTTTACTTGAAAGTGAAAATTGTGGGATTGCCTGGGCCAGAGACTCGGAATTAAGTGAAATGGGAGCTCATTTGAAGAAGAAGACGTTGATCAACGACTGAACCGAAATGAGAAAATTACAGAGAGAGGAGAGGGAGAGCTTTCAAGAACCGAACGACTGGGCCCAACTTAATATGGGCAAAAAGCCCAGTGTGCCATTTATTGGGTTTAGATGGGCCCAATTTTCTAACTTTATTGCAAGTACGGTCCATGGACCCAACAATTCAATTAGGAAGAATTTGTAATTGGCCCAATTTATTTGAGCCCACTTTCAAATTGCTACCTAGTTTAGGCAAATTCACAAACTCATTTTTCGCTTTTTTGTTTTCCTACCAACATTCATACTACAATGTCACAATTGTGACTTTCTTGAGTTGAATTCCAAATTCTAACCACTAAGTGATCTTTAGGGCTAGCATTTGGTTTACCGGAACAGTGTTCGCCTTATTTGAAGAAAAACAAGGAAATCACAAGTATTATATTAACCGGTTGAAAACTCCGATTTAAAATTGTGACCAGATTAGCAAGAGGAACATATGAATAGTTTACATCAAGCCTCATTCCATCTATGAATTAAATGTGATAAGAACATTGGCAAGACTTTCAAGTGATTGCATTGTTCGAAAATATTATGGCATTTAAATCCTAGTAGATTGTACCAATGCTGCCATTTAAATCCTAGCCATATAGTTTTCCATGACTGGCTTTTATTCATCCACTTCAAAATCAATGCTTTTGTCATCATGTATTCAGAAATTTGCAGGTGGTCCTTCCTTGGATCAGTTGACGAAGAAAAATGCATAAAGAGAGAAGTTCATAAAGAAGAGGAAGATAATATAAGGAGGAGAAGGCAGGGCGTGCCACACAATAAATGGGAAAGGATTTCATGGGGTCTTGATGGATCATGTAGGCCCAAGTGGTTAAAGAATGGCATTGATTTTGCCTAATCTAATGCAAGGCCTGCTTTCGACCAAGCCTTTCATAAAGAGAATGAAAATGACACAAATACTCTTTCTTTTTGACAGATGAAATAAAAAGTACTATTCTTTTGGTTTTTGTCTCTTCTCTTGGTCCCTTAGAATAGAAAAGCTGCAGATGGGTTCCCACTACTGTAGTGGTGGATTCCCCCTTCCTCCTATGGCAACCAGAATCGAACTTAAGTGGAATTTCTTTCTTCAAATGTAATAGAAAAAAAAAAATTTGAATAGAAAATCTATATATTTGTTTTTTTTATTTAAAGAATTGGGTAATATTATTTAATTAAAATAGAAAATAAAAAACTACAGTTCAGTGCCTTAGGTCCTCACCTATCTCATATGTTTTCTCTCTTCCATCTCTTCTTTAATAAAATTAACAAGAAAAACACACCAAATAGATATTAGTTAGTCGCAATTTTGCCCCCATAAAGGGTTAACTGTCGATTTACTCCGTGAACTTATATGCTACTTTCAATTTGCACCCTCAACTTCTTCTTTTTAAAAAATATTAAGTATGCGAACTAATTTTTACTGCCAATTTCCCCCCTTTGTTGTAATTAGGAAAGGGGGGAGAGATGGGTCTGAAATGAAATGTTGAGATTTAGACGATAAGGGGGAATTGACAATAAAAATTAGTCGGGTGTATTCAATTAAGATTTTAAAAGAGTTTAAAAGTTTGGGTGTATTCAATTCAGATTTCAATTGATATTAAAAAAATACATCGAAATCTAGGTGTATTCAATTATGACTTTTTAAAAGTCAAACAAAATTTAGGTGTATTCAAAAAGTAATTTATTTTGAAGGAATTAATAAGTTGCCCGATTTTGTTAGAAAATAAAGTGGTAAGTATAAATAAAAAAGGCTTTGACAAATCTTATGTGAACCCTAGAAACTTTGAACGTGCTCTACGCTTTCCAGTCCTTAAACGTGTGTGCTTGTCAAGTGGAGGTAAAAAATCTCTTCTCTTTTTCTACGCTTTGTACGCTTTCCAGTGCTTGAATAATTGTTGTTGCTATACATCATCATATATCCAAGCAATTGTTGTTGCTTGTATTCGATGCACATCATGTATGAATAGTTGAATAGTTATTATTGCAGTCATATATCCAAGCAATTGTTGTTTCTACTTTTCCATCATATATCCAAGCAATTGCACATCTTGTATTCGATGCACATCATATAACGTGTGTGCTTGTCAAGGTTTGCTGTTATTTATTTATTTATTTATTTATTTATGTTGCTGTTATTATTAATTTTTTTTTTTAGTTGCTGTTTCTTTTTTTTTCTATGCATCATATCATATAGATGATAGCCCTCTTCATCGATCTATGTTCATTCTTTTTTTCTTTTTTTTTGGTACAATATCTATGTATATCTAGTCTATGCCAAAACAAAAAGGAAAAAATTGTCTTCATATATAATTTTTTTTCTTGTGAACTAATTAAAGATTGCATGCAAAACTTGGATGCCTAAAAACTTATCATCAATATCAAAGCCGTCTGAAATAGTTTAAGACAAGATATCACAGTTTTACTCAGCTTATGCGTCATAATTCTGGATTTGGGTGGGACTCCATCTCAAAGAAATTCATAGCTACTGAAGAAGTATGGCAAGATTACTTTGGTTTAGAATTAATTATTTGGGTAATGTTTATGTGTGTTAGTTGTGAGTATTGCTTGTGTTTTTATGTGCCTTTATGCTTTTTCAGTTTTGTCTTTTCATTAATGGTATTTTATTTTAATCTATATAGTTATTTACAATTTTAGATATGCACTTCAGATTTTTTTTGTTATTAATGGAGATGGAAGAAGTAGGAAGAAGTAGATGCGGTACTATGGAATGAAGAAATCGAGGAAGAAAAACGATAAACAGCCCCAAAAGAAAAAGAAAAAAAAGAAAAGAAAAATTAGAACTCTAATAAACTCTTTTAAAATCTATGATAAAACTCTAACAAACATCATTAAAATCAATTTAGGAATTCAATCAAACTCTATGTGGAGTTTATAGAAATCAATTGAAATATGTTTAACTCTATAAACTTTATAACTCCATTTAAGTCTTTTAAAATCTTAATTGAATACACCCTCCTTAATTCGTGTACTTAATTTTCCAAAACATAAGTTGAGGGCGCAAATTGAAAGTAGCATACAAATTTAGGGGTAATCGACAGTTAACCCCCCGATAAATTAAACCAATAGAAGTCGCCAAAGAAAGTAGTGAATTTGACTTGAGTATCATTCTACACAACTCAATGTGAGTACAAATAAACCGCTTATATGTTTTTCATGGAAATAAACGGGTTATATTAGTGTCAAATGCTAATAACTCAATTTTGACACCGTAAACGGGTTCCTTCAATTTGCATTTAAAACAAAACAAAAATCAGAATTAAAAAAACATATCCGAGTCATTCAAAACCTGAAACTGATAGCTACTTATGAATTTCCATGGTGGTTTTTAATTTCAACTTTGCAATATCTCTTCAAACAAATCCTCACGATTGCCACCACCACCATCTGTGACAAAAAACACGTGAAGTCATTTAAGATAACAGCTCCCTTTTCTTTGCCTCCAAATTCCAATCCCTTTTCTTTGCCTCCAAATTCCAATCCCTTTTCTTTACCCACAACCCCAAGTGTTTGACAGACAAGGGAAGGGGCCATACAACTTAAATTCTTAATTGGATTGGAGCTACATCAAAACTCTGCTTGTCTTCATCTCTATACACTCCCCTCCATACATATCATTGGAGGTTTTTCTTAGCATGCTGCTAAGAGAATATTGATGCTTTGATAGAATATGAGGAAAATGACAACACTCTGATATTTTGCATGTAAGGATTATTATGAAAATGACTATTCCTATGCATGATGCGCGCGCGCACATATATATATATATATATATATATGAAATTATTATATATCAAACAAACATATATATCTATATTTTGGGGTTGGAGGACTAGTTGATGAATTCATATTGTAAAAGGCCGAAAAGGAAGATCATCAAAAACTGAATCAAATCAGCGAAGGAGAATCCATGGACGAAAGATTGTACAACTGGGAAAGTGGGCCATCGATCCATCATTCACAGGCACTGAGGCTTACAGATTCTAAAAGCTAAGTAGGGTCTCCCCTCGTACGGTCCCCATGTTAATGATTGAATTTAAGAGAGTATCCTCATGTATGATGTCTCTTCTTCGGTTTTTTTTGTTTTTCTTTTCTTTTTTTCTTCTCTTTTTTTGGGTTTGAGTACGTGGTATCTTGCGCATCTTCCTCCTCCTTTCTCCCCTCCAAAAGGAAAAAAAAGAGAGTAGCTGGAGTCCTTATCTGAAAGGCAAGTTCTTTTTTTTCTTCTTCTTCTTCTTTCTTTTCTTCTCTAGTTGCATAATTAGTAAAGAATTAATAAGCCTGCATTTGTTTAATAAAAGGCGGTGTGATTAACATGGACGTCTAATTTAATGATTGGGAAGATACATTTTAGTTTAGGTACAATTAGATGAGGTGCATGCAAATAAGTATCTAGGTATTCAAGCTCTTCTAGAATCAAATTTCTCAAGCTTGAGTTTGCTTAACTCAAACTTTGACTCGAATGTGTTTTTCCCAATTGAACTTCATGGTTTGAACTCGTTTTTTTTTAAGGGATCTTTAAACATAGGTCCAATTTTGAGTCTGCACTAATTTCGAGGATTAAACCCAACTCAAGTTTGAGCTTAAACGGTTTTAATAGTCTAATATATAGTTTTGAATTTAATTGGTAACTGAACATATATATTCCACATTAACTTCAATTGCATAAGTAAAAAGTTTAAACTTTTTATGAGAAAGATCAACTAAGGATCAAACCAAACTCAAATTGTTTCAGGATAAAATACGAAGTTTTTCTTCAAACAGAAACCCGTACCAGCCCAAAATGAGTGGACATATTATGAACACGAATGCAGAGATTAACAAGGGACAGACAGATGTAAAATTGCTGCAAGCTTTTTGTACAGCCAGCAGGCTCAGTCTCGTAAAACACCATAAACCTACATGCCAAACACTAACACAAGTTCTTACAATTAATCATGCCCTAAAATCTCATAAACTTTTTTCTTGCATATAATTTTTTTCGTTAATCTTGTATATTCGTACTTTGAACGTACTAATTAAGCTTTATAGGCACAGAACCATAATTGGAGAGACTTGGGCTATAAAAGACGGGGCCAACAATACTATGCCTCAGAAAAGAGGCAAGGACTGAGGCGTCACGTAGCAGATCCTAGCCCTTTCCAAGCCACGCTACTCTTACATATCCCACCACCATATTTCCACTTCCTTCTCCTACCCTAAAGCTATAGTGATGATGAGAAGCATAGCAAACTCAGCTCCTCAGCGAGGTATAGCCGCCATCGTGGGCGTTGGGCCGAAGCTGGGCCGCTCCATCGCCCGAAAGTTCGCTCACGAAGGCTATACCGTCGCTATTCTAGCCCGCGATCTTGGGAGACTCTCGAAATTCGCGGACGAGATCGCGAGGGAAGAAAAAGCCCAAGTTTTCGCCATACGGATCGACTGCTCCGAGTCTAGAAGTGTGAGGGAGGCATTTGAAGGGGTTTTGTCTTTGGGTTTTGTGGAGGTGCTGGTCTACAATGTCTGCCAGCAGCCCCCCAATTGGCACCCCACCCACTTCACCGACATCCGCCTCGACTCTTTCGAGAAGTCCCTTGCCGTGTCTTCTGTCGGAGCCTTTCACTGTGCTCAACAGGTACGAACATAGTGACGTAATCAATAGTTCAGATTCACAGGCGAGCAATATAAACTGATCTGAAAATTTATATTAGTCCATAAAAGTGAGAACTAACTTAATTTAACGGTTCATATTCATAGTCTGACAAAATTGTCTGGTAATAAAATTAACATCTATGTTAAACATATGGGATTAATTAATTGAAGGTTCTTCCGGGAATGGTGGAAAGAGGAAAAGGGACGATTTTGTTTACAGGGTGTTCAGCTTCACTCAATGGCATTGCTGGCTACTCTGAGCTCTGTAAGTACAACTACTTCAACATTGATTTTCAAAGTTTAATTTCTTACCGTGGCCGAAGAAATTTATGCCTGATGGTAACAACACGTTACATGCGAGGTTATCAGGCTGTGGAAAATTTGCGTTGAGAGCACTGTCACAGTGCCTGTCCATGGAGTTTCAACCGCTGGGTGTACACATAGCGCATGTTATCATCGGCGGGGTGATTGGCCAACCTAGAGGGGGTCAATCGTCGTCGTCGACCGCTTCGCTGAGGACGACGTCGTTCGGGGACGGGTCAATGGACCCGGACGCGGTGGCTCAAACCTACTGGCAGTTGCACGTCCAAGACCGGAGTGCTTGGACCCAAGAGATCGACCTCCGTCCCTCTCACCCACCCAGATTCTGCTAGAAGCCAATTAATAATATCAATAATATGCAATTGGCTCCACATAATCATGGTGATCATCATTTATGTATATGTTTAAAATTCTTTATATTTCCTCTTTGCTTTACTTACTTTAGAAAATGAAGCCAGTTTGCGAGGGCCACTTGCCCTTGAGCTAGGGACAACTCGGGGAGGAGCCAGCTCTTGCCGGCAGAGGTTCCAATCTATCTCCCAAGTGGTGTGGAACTGAGGGCCCAGATTAAAAGATGGGGGTGGTGGGGCCACCATTTCTCTGCTGCATTTATAATTTACACTACTGCCACTTTTCTGTTTACTTCCCCAACAAAACCCAAAATAAGAAGGTAATGTTATACTTCCTATATTTTTATAACACAATGTGTGCCACCCTTCTAATAAAGGTGGAGTTCACCAATACAACGGGGATATGATTAGTTTTTACTGTGTAAATTGTGTGATTTTTTTTATATTTTTTTTGGTGTAATAGTTATTTTGAGTTAATGTGATTTTATAAAGATGAGGTTTGTGTGACTCTAATAATTTAATTAAATGATGTTTTTAATTGATTGTGAATCTGATGTCGGCTCGATGCAACATTTTCCATTATGTGTGGCAAAGATGAAGGATCTAGTTTCCTCTGTTTTGGACTGAGGGATCAAAAAATTATCTAGTTGAAAAGGCCTGGAATAGAAAAGAGTAGCAGGAGGAGGCCTATAAGGTTGGGGACAGTGTTTGCATGGATAATATTAGGACTTCGTGTTTTGATTCAGGACACACAAAGTTTTGGAATATTGCAGAAGAAAGAAAAAAGAGTACTGTACTATTGACTAACTTTTTGCTAAAGTTTCTCATCACAAACTTAAAGAATAAGATTTGATGATAGCGTTAACTCACAATCTTGTATAATCATACAAAACATGCAGAGATGATTTCTTACCGTTGATGCATGCAAACTCACAATCCACCATACAGTGGCCACTGAATTTAGCGTTCTTTGTGAGTAATGTAATGTACTATAGTGTTTTCAAAAAGAGCCGTCATTCAACGGACCCGCAAGCGATTAAAGTAACTTGGATGATGCAACCAAGGTTCCCTCCCTGCCCAACTAGTAGCTGTAGTGAGTGGGGACAAGGGACGTCTAGGGATATGACAGAAATGAAATGAGAGCAAGACGCATACAACTGTGTAAGTCCCATCCTAAAAGTTCGTTACAGCAACCTGCCTTCACTCTCTTGATACTCGAGACTCCACGACACCTTATCAGAAGTGACCTTTCCTTCTATTTCTCCCCTCCCCGCAGTTCCAATTTTTTCTTTTGTCATCATATTCTATTAAGACGAAAGCAAACTATTAGCCGTTCATTTCATCGACGGTTGATAGTCACATTAAAGTGTAGGTGACTGTTACTAGCACAACTACTACATTTATACCAAAGTACGGACTTTTACTATTTTTTTCAAGGAAGGACTTTACTAAATCCAACTACAACTGCCCTTGGCAAGGGGGATAAGAGACCTAAACCCTAACTGACCAATAGCTTCGGAGGCATTTATATTGGAGCCACCTGCAATGTGAGGCTAAATTATATCAAAGCTACAATTCTCAACAATTAATACCATCACCACCTCCGTCAGAAAAGACATCAAAGCAAGTCCGCAACGCAACCACTCAAGCTGGTCTAGATGCCATCTCTAGCAACCACAATGAAAAAGAACAACAATTTCAATCTAGCAATAGTAATTCTCACAACTATGATTAAGAAACCATTTTCATTCAAATTCATCGAGCAGTTTTTTTCCAAATTTTGAAAAACAAGATGAGCATAAAACTAAATCAACTTATAGATACAATGTGATTGTGACCTAGGTGTTAACTTTATCCTTGAAATTGCCTCCTTATGACCACACAACAGTCGCACATATGATATCATATGCCGTGGTTTTTTGGTTTTTTGGTTTAACATTAGAATTTGAACGGGTTCAAACTGGGGTGCCATGTGGGGGAGGGGGAAGCCACCACCACTATGGTAGGAACCCATTGGCACGTGCCGTGGTTTTCACCCAGCAAACTTTAGAATGTTGAGTTTAAGAACCCACAACATGAACTGAAACAGGAGGAATAACTCGCTTAAAGTAATATGGAATACCAGAGGAAATTACGGACAATATATGATTTGCAACTGAGAGGAAGGCAAGGAAAACAACAGAGTACTCATTTCTTTTGCCTGAAAGCTTTTAACAAGGAAAGGCTTTGCAGCTTGAGCATGATGGCAAAGCCAGAACTTCTGGTCAATTTAAAAAACTGAGCACAGATAGATAGGTACATATATACATCAATGAAATAACTGTACCAGTTATTTATTGAATTTTGACAAACATTCTTCACATATATACATAGGGAATCCCTAACGATTATGTCCACAAAAGGATGTAGTTGTAGTTTCAAACTTCAAACTAGCAGTGTGGGTATGATCAACAGATCATCATCAAAAGGAAAAGGAGATACCGAATGAAATGCTGCGAGTTGAAACTTATTCCATAAATTGGGAATGGAATAGGTGCACACGTCATCTCTGTCTCATCCTGTAGTATCCCAATGAGAAGAAATAAGTCAGCATACAGAGGTCCAGTAATAACATACTATACTACAGAACAGAGCAATCTCTATAACCTCATCTGTCCATTTGTGTCAGCTCCTGAAATATAGGGATGAAATCGCCTGCCAAAATTCACACCTGGTAAATGATCCCAATTTTCAAGATTGTAGCCAGGAACTACATAACCATTGTGGCTATAATTGCTGTTAATGAACCTCTGAAATTGTGAGGCAGGAGCAATAAGTGTATCAACATTAGTTGTTACAGGATATCTTAACATGGTTGAATTCGAATTCATGGCATGACTAAAAGACTGGAAAGGTACACTCCTGTGTTGAAATTCTAGTTGAGATTGGAGAGGTATTTGAGGGACAGGCTGTGAATGAAGAGCTGGAACTCTATCAATATTAAAGCAAGCGGGATTCTGATGCCTACTAAAACATTGAGATGATTTACTCATTGCACTTTGTCGCGAAGTCAGCTGTTTTGATGGTAGGGCTGCTCGATGTTGACAGAAACTGTTATAGTTTGCAGATCCACGGGATGTCCTTTTTTGGAGTCTATCCAAATGCTTTCCCTTTTCTGATTCATTGTTTTTCCTAATTTGATTTGGTCTGGTAAAATGTGATTGTTTCTGACGTTTCACACCTGATCATATAATAGATAATCAAGATGGTAAACTCTTCATCTAAAAGAATGAAATACACAAACAATCTCTCTTGCATCTGGAGCAAAAGTAAGAATGATATTGTAAAAGAAGTAACATGCAAGTAAATGGCTTCGTTCCCTCCAAATACCTCCATTTGCAGCTGATTTCTTTGATTTTTTCATTGCTCTGACACGTCTTGCTGCTTCACCTCGTCTGTGCTTCTCAGCAAGCACTTTTGATCTTTCAGCTTCATTACTCCAACGCTAAATGGTGGAAAAGAAAACACGCAAACAAACCAATATCTTAATAGTGCGTACCAGTTAATTTTTTTCTTTTAAAAAAACAAAAAAACATGACATGCACAGCTACCTGTCTAAAGGTTCTCAATCTATAGAGATTACGACCCTTCACAAGCAAAGGAAATAGAGGACACAGCTTCTTTATTCCCCTGCTCCACAGCACTTCAACCTTGCACATCGGGAACATGGATCAGTTAGAAGAATCACTAAATAGCTACTAACAACAGGTTATGTAAATGTAAATTATCATCTCTCTATCGTGATTCTCTTAAACTTTCATATATGAACCTAAAATATTGGCAACTGCCAACATATATAGCCCACAACAAGTTAAACTTACTGCCAGAAGAACACATAAATCCTCAGGCTTACCGTAAAAGTATGTTGTTGTTTGGCTGCACCATAGCTTTCTTTGACAACCCTGCCAGCAACAGTTCTCTTCCCTAGAATCCTTCCGTGCCTTGTCACTTTATCAAATCTGTTTGAAATCAAACACTCTCACAACAACGAAAGAATTGAGGGTGCCACACAGAACATCACATAATAAAACTATGAAATAAAAAGAAATGGATATGTCTGGATACTTCTCATAAACTTTCTGGGTGAAGAGCACGACATCTCCCTTGCAGACATCACCTGCAATGAACTGTAAACTTTAAGCACAAATTGATACAACACCGGTGAGTGAACACATGCATACGAAGTAAAGAAAGACATTAACCTGTACAATTAACTACAAAGGATGATTTAGGGTAAAGTGCTTCACCATTTCCATCTTTCAATCTAATATGAGAGTAAGCAAATCATTCAATCAAAATAAATATATATATAAATTAAGTCAGTGTCTACAAACAACAGAGAAAAATGAACAAGGACTCAAAATTCAGAGAACAACTCACCTCTGGTGCTCTTCGATTCTTTGTATACAAACAGATTTGGTTCCAAATATTCTGAGGCCGTTCCTCCGCAAATATGCTTTGCACTCTTTGAGATTTAAAGAATCCAAATCACTCCCTTCTGCCAAACACAATAAACAACGACAACATAAAACCTCGCTGTTTGCTTTACGTTAATCAGGGTTTAAGGTCCTTAATCAAGACCTAATCAAAGAAAACTCAACTCTGATACTCAACTTACGAAATCTAAAGCATCATTTCGAATTATCGGCAATTGAAAGAAGCATCGACATTGGAGACAGAGAAATGCGAGTGGAAATAGAAAAATCCAAAAAATTTGTCAACGAAGAAAGAAAAAAAGAAGAACCTTTGAGAGAGCGGATCACTTTGTTGCAGAGGGCCTCGTCATCGCCCTCCTCAATTTGCTCATCAGCATCGTCGTCCTCCTGCTCATCATTATAATCGTCGTTGTCACCTTCGTCGCCATCATCTTCTTCTTCTTCAGTGCCGCTGTCTTCTACTTGGTCGTTGTCGTCGTCTTCTTCTTCTTCTTCAGAAGACGAAGAGATACAAATAAAAGCGCGCTTACCTTCCTTGCAGGCCATGTCATCCAACACAACGCCAAAAACCAAATCTACATTCGGTTTAGATACAAAATTTTACTTCAAAAAAATTAAAAAATCTCTCTGTTTCAGGTTAGGGTAAAATGGGGATTTTGATATAATAACCGCTGGACCCACAAGAAGGCCTTTTGCTACATTGGAAACCATGCTGTCGCTTTTTAGGCAATTCAACACGTTGTGGGCCTTGCGGCCCAATCATTGACTGCATCCTTTCCTTTATCCCAATCCGTTCATAGAAATTTAGCGGGAAGTCCCTCGGGGTAAGCCAAACGACAACTTGATATTTATAAAAAATAAAAAAGCCAAACGACATTGTTCTTCTACTAGTCAAATTCAGACAGGTCTTTTCCTCGTTTAAGCTGTTTCATTTCCATGGTTCAGATTTCAATTGGAGTTCCATGGGTGGGCAGTCGTTATCTGTTAAAGCATTGTGAGACCCACTTGCATTACCGGTTGATAGCTGCCCATCTTAGCGGGGATTGCTAACTATAACACTTATTTTATATTTCTATTGGTGTTACTAAATTTTTGGTTACGATAATCATAGGCGACAATGTGCCATTTGGAGGAGCCTCGACTGACACAAGTTAAAGAAAGTACAGTGCTGATCTGTATAAAAACAAGAAGATATAATGCTGCGCAAATAGTATTAAGAAGAAAGGAATGCTACAACATAATTGTGGGCATGTCCCACCAGTCTAATGTCAGAAACATGAAGTGTAATCGTCTAGTAAACCAGTTGAGGGCTATTCTAATCTGCAACTAAACACACTATACTAAAACTACAGATTTACAGTGGAAAAAAACACGACTGAGCTTCCGCTCACGCACATACCGGGATGTTACTCCAGTCCCGAGTGTTTACAAGCCTGAGCTTAATCAAATGATTCATATTGGTCATATTGGGTCCGGGAAATTCTCAACCAGCTCTAGAGCATGGTTTTATGCGGGCAGCCTATACTTCTTGAATCTTATCAAACCTTTCATTGAGCTTTTGGTACAGTTCGGCTAGAAACCCCATGCAACAATTTGACAAATCCAAGGAAACTAAGCTTTCCATCAGTGTGCCTAATCCAATCGTGGAGAACTGCATGAACTGGGACGGAAGGGCTGAGGCCAAGTTCCTGCAACATTGTTAAGGATCAGTGTAAATTCATGCCTATGAACATTTTGACTTCTAGCTTCACTTATATTCTATAACCAATCTGGACAGAAAACTTTGCACTAAGATGGAAAATTTAATGTTCCTTTAAAGCTCAACACTATTTACTACGAGGGCAGGGGCAAAAAGAAAAGCGCTAATTATTAATGCATGCACTCATACCGATGCCAGTTCCTCAATAACAATAGCCCTGTTGCCATCCTTCTCAAACAGCTCATAGGCACAACGAGCATGTTGCTCCCATCGATCAAGTGCCTCAAGTTGGTGGACACTTAGTGAAGCTGTACAAAATTCCTCAAAATCCATCCTTCTGTATTGCAATGCATTAAGCTGCAAAAGAGAAGAAACATAATGTTCCAGTAAGAATTAGGAAAATATAAAATGTAATAAACTGCAACATCCATTACAATAGTCAAAGCCCCTACCGATGCTAGAAAATCAGCAATTCGTGCCTCCTTCATTGCATCAGTTGCATTTTTCATCAACGCCTGACAACATGGAGGAGTTCAGAAGCATGAATAACTAGAGATTGAGTTTAAATAAGTAAATACATTATGAAGGAAACCAACCGTTTTAATATTTTCTAAGCTTATTGTGCCATTTTTATTTGGTTCCAATAGTGCAAACTGCTCCTTCAAATAAGAAAGCTCGTCCACAGTCAACGTTTTGGAAAGCGACTGCAAAATGCCAATGTTGAGAGAAGTAAATAAGCCACTAGAAATAACCAAAAATGAGGATATAAAAATAAGCAAGCAAAACTGATGGAGAATAGGACGGCAAGAAAAATTGAAGGAATGTTAACCTCTAAAAGTCAACAGAACAATATTAGTTTATAATATCAATTGAAAATGGCATCATATACACACCCTTAAAGCAGCTTTTCGGAGAGCTGATGAACGCATATAAACCTTCATGAGTTTGAATATTAATATATCCAGAGGAACTTTAACCTCATTAGAGTTTTTAAGCCAGGGATGACCTGTAATAGAAAGTAGTGAGTAACAGTTCGAAAATAGTCATGCCAAAGCATTTTTTAGAGTGGATAAGGCACTCACTTAGGGCTTGAGCAGCAGTCATTCTTTTCCGTGGATCCTTATTTAATAGGCGCTTGACAAAATCTCTTGCCTCTGCAGACAGAGATGGCCAAGGTGGTTCATCAAAACTTGGATCAGCTTTTAGAACAGCCCGAAAGATGCCGGACTCAGTTCGAGCCCAAAATGGACGGCTGCCACACAAAAGAATGTATGCAATCACACCTACACTCCAGACATCAGCCTCAGTAGCATAAGATCTATGTAGAACTTCAGGGGCTACGTAGTACGCACTACCAACAATGTCATTAAGCCTTTCATCTGCAAATATAATTAAACCATAAGAAACCATTGCCAAATTTTTATAGCTACTAAAAGAGCATGCACTGATTGAAGAACTGTCAACCAACCTGGTTTGACAAAATCTGACAAGCCAAAGTCTATAGCCTTCAACTGTGAATCCTCATCCTTCGACGAAAACAGAAAATTCTGAACAAGATACACTTAGATGAGTATACATGAATGTGAAATGAATGCAAGTTACAAACAACAACTAAATGCTTTAAGAAAAAATGCAGTTACGAAATGAATGCAAGTTACAACTCCAGAGGACATATATCCTACCTCAGGTTTAAGATCCCGATGCACCACGCCTTGAAGGTGGCAAAACGCAACAACATTTAATATTTGTATCATGACGGTCCTTGCATCATCCTCCGTGTATTTCCCACCCCTGAAGAAAGGAATTAGAATATCCTTAATATGATAGGGCACCAGTTGCTGTTAAATTACCAACATTTTTTCCCATGACTTTCTTATTTCCCAGTCCATCAAGAACAACCAAAACATAAAAATTTCAAGACACGTGCATTCAAATCAAAAAGGCACCAGAAGAAATACCTTGCAAGTATCCTATCTAAGAGCTCCCCTCCTTCACATAATCTGAAAAGTACAACAATTGAAGTTAAGAAATCAATAAGAAAGAAGGTCAAGACAAGTTTACAGAAACACATGAGTCCAAAAAAATGCAGTGATCAGGACTTACTCCATTACTATGTAGACATTATCATGGTCTTCAAAAGCATCATGGAATTTTACTAGATTGTTATGTCCGGTCAAAGCTTTCAATATCTTCACCTCCCTTCTCACATCCTCAATGGCAATAGCAGTAGTCATCTAACGTCAAAAACATAAAACAAAATCACCAAATAAGACAACACCAATACAATACGAATTTTAAAAACCCAGACAAATAGCAGAAAACAAAGCGTAGAAAGGTACTAGAATAAAGCCAACTGTCAAAACAACAAAATGAGACAGGCCGCAGCAATCTGACTAGAACATAACCTGTTTCCAGAAGAAGATAAAACTAGCAAATCTACAGACAAACTAAATCGTATCACCACTTCATAGTTAGACCGCCAAGGAAATTATCAGGACTAAATGTCAACTTAGCCCATATCACAAAAACCATTTTTGCAGATAAAATATGCATCTCTTCTTTCTGGAAAGTATAACAATTACAAAAACCAAAATCGTTTCTGTGTTTCCCGTAAATCATGCGTCCGCCGACAGATCCAATTCAAACAATGCCAACGAAACGTTTTAAGGATCCATATAAATCACATAGACGACTGATCATCCTCAGAATCCGCAAAACCCACTAATTCACAAGTCAATTGATTAGTAAACTCAGTCAAACTGAGAAATTGCAAACCTTGGCTTTGGGGATGACTTTGACAGCGGCCTGTTGGCCCTTGAGCTCGCCCTTCTTAAACGTAGCTTTGCAAGTGTACCCAAAATGCCCTCTCCCAACCTCTTCGCCAAGCTCATACTTGTTCCCAAAATGCTTGGAGAACCCAAAGCTCTTATCGAGCCCCGTCGCAGCCTCAGCCTCGCTCCCCTCCGGTATCGCCGCCTCATTCGGCTTCACGGACCCATGCCTCCTCAACAGAACCGCCCTTATATGCTTCGCCGGCGACGGCGGCGGGAATGGCCGCCTGAAGAACCGCTTGGGCGTCGAGTTGGAGCTCACATTCGCCGGAGATCTCGCCGGAGACTTCTTGGAGAAGAAGTAGTGCGCCGGGCTCGGACTGTAGAACGGGAAAAACGGCGACTTCTTTACGTTCTCCGCTTCATGCTTGTCATCTCGAGGGTTTTCGCCATTGGCGGAGGCGTCCGGTTGCTTAACAGAGCTTGCCTTGGTCTGTGGAGAATCGGATTTGGGAGATGAAGTGTGAGAGTTTGGGGAGGGTTTGGAGGTGCAAATACCCATTTGGGAAATCGATCAATCCTCCCCAAACAGACCCAGTCTGGGGATTTTATTTCCCAATTCCGGGGTCAGAACATGGTTTTTATCTCAAAATTTTCAAATTCTCAAGGATTTAAAATTCCAATTTTTCTCTCCTTTTTTTTTCTTTCTAGCTGCGGATTTAAATTTGAACTCCTCGGAATTGGGCTTTGTTTGTCTCCGGGAATTAAGACTGGTGGTAAGAAGAGAGGTGGATAGGGGGGTCCAAATAGAAAGCGATAAAAAGGGCAAACGACGATGCGTTCGCTTAATTAATTAATTTATTAGTTAAGTGGTTAAATAACTAATTTAATTAATTACGGATTAAGCTTCGTATCTCAATTTAATTATGGGAGTGGTCCAGCCTGTACGTATGAACAATCCACGTGGCGTGCGCTGGGTGGGTTGTTTTGATCAGTGATTAAAATAATGCTTAATTTAATTACTTAATTAATTCTGGTTTGCGGTGCCGTTAATTGGCCAATGAGCAACGTGATTGGACGGGCAATGAGTGCGAAATTCCTTGTTATCGTTTGTAATTTCGCCTGTGGAAAACAAAAGATCCGAAATGAAAATTTTGATCCGGTTAAAGCTTTTTGATGTGCGAAACAAAAAAAACGCGCTGAAAAGTCAAAACAGCGTCGTTTTCTTGCCTTTCTTCGTGGACAAGATACCTTTTGCAAAGTTATATATATATATATATTTTTTATATTTAATAATGTCAAATATTCACATGAGTAATTTCTTTTTCTTTTTTTTTCATCTCAACTGAGTAAGCATAGACGCATTTGAATTTCTATTTTCATTTTAATAAATAATAAGCATAGACTTTTAAATCAGAGTGTGCATAAATTATAGTACACAAAATAATCTAGGGAATAATCCATGTGTTATGCATGAATATTTCTTTGTCAAATAGTTTGGTATTTTATGATGCACATGGTAATAAATGCTTCCCCAACAACTTCCATACAAATTGGTTTGATTGCTATCGAAGAATTATTAAAATTACTATTTGTGTCTGCTATCGACTTAAATGTTTGTTTGTTTTTTTTTCCCCCAAAGTTAGAAAGAGAAAGAAGAGTATTCTCATACTCACTGTTAAGGTGCTATGGGATTTGAATCAAAGACCAGTGATATGTCAATTAAAGTCATTTACCATTGAACTAGACCCCATTGGTGACTCAAATGTTTGTCAACATGCACAAGCTTATATCTATTGATTGTTCATCACCAAATTGGTTGCTTAGTGATAATAAGCATAGTATAAAATATCGATAATATTGACGAAATATCGAAGATATTATCGTTTTTTTGGATTACAGATATTTTGGAACATATCCATACACATATCGTATAAATATCAAAAATATTGACGATAATATAGGAAAATATCTATGTCGATAATTTCGCCCATACTTCAGCAATATTTTGTCAAAATATCGCTATAATATAGAAAATATCAAAAATATCGATGTAATGAAAAAAAAGGGAAATAAAAAACACAAAGCACACACTCAAAGGGGATTCAAACCCTTGCTATTTCACTCATCCAACGCCTTAACCACTATGTTGTTTATGTTTTTGTGATAATATGCTAATATGTATATTTATATTGTTTTGTTTTAAACTGTTTTTGCAAGAATTAGATTTTCACATGAGAATGTGAGTCTTTGACCTTTCCTTTTGGGAAGGAATCGAGCGGCTCATGGAAAAAATTTGATAGATAATCTTCAAATGATTTTGATTATGGACAATGTCAACCAATCTCGAATCCATATGGGTGGCATGTTAACAATTACATGTAAAACTATTTTGGGGATTTATCATTTGATGACTACTCTTCACAATACCCTTTCTCTACACATAGAGATGATGAAGATAGTGAAAATTTTGAACCTCATATGGACTCTATGTGGTACTAGATCACTCATATATCTTACCATGATATGTATAAAGTGTAAAATATTGTAGTAAATCATTATATATAAATAATTAGGATGTGTTTAATCTTCTTTCATTAATTACTACATATTTCTACACTCACAGTGTTTGTTAGCTCGCTATATAATCAATTTAAATCAGTTAAACCCATCATGCAATGCATTTCCCTCCAATTTTTTTGTGATAAACTAATAGATAATTGACTGAATAAACTTCCTCCACAGTTTCAATAAAAAATTTCAAGTTTTTCTCGCAATTTCCATGGTTTTTATTCAAAATTTTATTTATATTGATAATATCCAATATCCGTATTTTTAGATTACCGATACCATCGATATTTTAGACCTTAATAATAAGGGAAAATGAAAACTTTTGTAGGATGGTCATAATATGTTACTATCTTTTTAGTTTCAATAAACCCCTTGTATTATAAATGGTTAGAATGTATAATAAGGTGACATGATAATCCTACAAAATAATAATAAATCGATATGGGAAAAAAAAAATTCATGAAATTAGTAGTACAAGACCTTAATAATTTTTATTTTTATTTTTTATGAGGCACTTGCGATTATAAATATAAATGCACGAGGTTTATGAGAAACTATATTTATATTAATTAAGAAAAAAAAAACCCATCCCTTTCACAACTAATGAGGATAGTAAAGCAATAAACTTGCTAACCAAGAAAGGGATATTAGTGGACGCGTGGCTTTTTTATAAAAAAAACTTTAGAAAAGGGATATGAATTTGGACTTTAGGGAGCTTCCAATTCACATGAAATCGGCAGCAATAAATGAATAAGAAGGAAGCTTCAATTTGTTGTCTCCACCGAATTCTGCAATTTAATTTTCGGTTGATCCAGTCAAATTATTTTCGTACTAATTTCTTAAGAGTTTTAAAATTTCTTTTTCTTATGGATGTATTAAGATTTTTGCCTACAAAATTTGATACCATACAACAAATTAAAATTTCTTTTTGTCATCTCGTGTATTGTCTCATGTTTAAGTCATATAATGGGAGGGAAAATTCAAACGCATATCACTTAAGTTACAAAATCCTAACGACTTAGTAATATCGTTAACTCTATTTGTTTATTAATCCTGAAACGCACAACTCGTAAGTTATAAACATGAAACAATCCTTTTATTACTCGTACAACCCCATCAAAACAAAATCCACTTAATTACTTAAGATACTAACAAAACCACAAAAAGAAAAGGTATATGATGATTATCTTCTTTGCATTTGATGAAGATAAATATGTATATGTATTTGACCTAATATTCACAACATGCATGTGACACGAGTTATACATAACTAACAATAAATTTTTCAGTTCTTCAACATTGATAAGAAGAAAAAAAAACCCGCTAAACCAAGAATAAATTGGTTAACTTCAAATCATGATGCTCCATGAAAATGAAATCAGATAAATATATTCATGTATAAATAAATCAGAGGCCTGAGAAAACCCAAAGCCAATTGTCCCCCACTAAATGGTAAACTCACGTTCCAAACTCAAACAACATTCATTATGCATTATCTTGCTGCGCACCAAACACTATGGTCATGATTCAGCCCCCCACCAAAATCCAAACCACTTCATCTTAACAGCATCCAAAATTTTGATACATATTGTCCAGATATGATTGCATTTTTTCCCGCAATTGAGCCTCCTTCGTATATATTATAGTTTTATTTAATTTACCATTTTTGGTTTACTAATCTTTCCAACACGGTCGAAATTTACATTTCTCATCGCATTTAATGACGATAAAAAAATGTGAACTTTTATCCTAAACTAACCATAGCAAACGACCTATATGAGATATAACAAAATCACGAAACAATAAAACAAAACTTTAGGTGCTATTTTGTCAAAATCTGAACATTACATATTAAACTAGTGAGGTGGTACACCATATGATACATAAATGTGATATGTCTGGTATTGTTCGAGAGACAATGACCCTTATAATAACGATAATAAACATTTTGATTATAATAATGGACTACAACAACAGTTTCATTGGATCGGCGCCAAATTTTTGGCCGATGCATCTAAAATGGCATATACATTGCACCATGTTCGAGCCTGCCAATGAAATCGAATGGGTTAAAAGAGAAAACCCAAACATGATGCAACTTAAAATTATTTTATGGTTGACCCATCAAAAGACATCATCATTATACCAAATATATAATCAAGATGTTGGCAGAGAATAATTCCATTTTTTTAAATTTTTTTAAATTTTTTTTGTCAAGTCAAAAAAGGATCTTTGAGATGCAGAAGTCAAAAAGATCTCTCAATGGAAAGTGAGAGAGAAAACACAAAAGGAACATGAAAATCCCAAATATAAATTATTAGAGTTGTCCACGTTTGGATAACTACCTGAGTGTTTGTGATTTAATATGAGGAAGCCCCACGCAACGCATGACGCGCATGCTTACATAATTACATTGCCCATGAGATTAATAAGAAAATTTTATCATTGCTATTGAATCATTCTCTCCTTCCATCTTTTTTTTTTTAGGGTCAATGTGTTTTATGATGATGCTTTCAGAGTTCGGATGCTGTGCTTTTATATTTCTACACTTGAGATTTTGTTTGTGGTCAAAATCATGTGTTTTTTTTGGGTATCTCTTTAATATTTTTCTAACGGAAGTCATAAGTCTAATAAGTGCTCAATGTTGAATTCCAAAATTGCGACTACAAATACAATATCAATGTGGAAAGTATATTACAAAGTATAGGTGACCTAAAGCTCAGGTTTGAATCCTTGTGGTCTCCCGTAAGTATACTAATTTGTAGGTGATTACATGTATTTCGATTTTATGAATGCGGTAATGAAACTCTAAGTTTTAGTGATTAGAATCGACTTAAATTGAGTACCCATTATAAGCTATATTCTATCCCCATCCCAGCCTCATTAAAGCGGGGTCCCATGGGGATAGCTCGGACCGGGAAAAATTGTCATCCCTAGCTGAACTCAGCACCCTTACCTGGGTCCTGAATATTTTGAACACTGGAGCTCATGGGGGTTTGAAGACTCTTCTCAACAGTCATTCAGAAATCATTGTAACCATCTACTTGACAACCACTGTATACCAAATGATAATGAGAGCTACAACCGATTCTAATAAGCATATGCATCCAAAATAATTTTTCATTTCAGAACAAAACTGCATTCCAATAAGAGAAAAAAAACTCCAGCTCACATGATAGTTGCCCAAGTGATTTTGGGATACATAAGACGGCATTTGTTCTATGATCTCAGAGTCATATCTTATGCTTGAACTTCTTCCAACCCAAGAAATGTGGTGCAGGTGGGTGGGTAGGTAAGAGGTCACTGGGTCAGAATTGTGCAACTTTATTTTTATTTTTTTGGGTGCATGTGGTAGGTCAAGCAATACAACTTGCATTTTGGTTGTGGAAGTTGGCAACTTAAATGAAGATGCAAGCAATTTGCAATCCCAAAAATCATATCAATAAATTCAACTTATTGCTAAAATTGAGAAGTTGATGTCGATTGAACAATCATGTGGCTTTAGTCTTGGCCAATGAGATAACAAAACAAATTTCGGCATCAGCCGATCTAGGCCATACATATTGAAGGAAATTCTGACTGAATACTGATTAGTCAATTCCAGCATTCCATTGATTACTACAAATTATGAGAGCATCCCAATCACGAACTAACCAGATTTTTCGTCCCCGCCGAAACCTGATTGCAGATAACCTGTTGGGTTGAGGTGACTAACATCACCCCAGGATTTTATGGTCCATTTGCCGTCATCATACACGTGAATTATGTTGACGGATGTATTGAGTACTTTTGCAACAGACCTGCCATCCGGGGAAGCCTGTTTGTAGAGTGTTCTGATAAACCCTCCATGACTGACCAGAACTACTCGCTCTCCTGCAATTGAAACCAGCCAGGATATAAACATTCAGATTGCAACTTTGTGTCACCCTTACTCTACATTTGCATTTTTTGTCGTGGCCGAGTTAAACTTTAAGAGGCAAGCAACGTCTTAATAACATTGGAATAGTTTCTACAGGCATAGCATCAACAACAGCAAATGAACTAAAAGTGCTCATTGGGAGTTCAAACCATTCTATGACATGTGTTACATGTGACAAGGAAATAGTTGAACTGCAGTTTACCTAAGTACACCTCAAAATGGAAAGGGTATGGGATCATTCTGTTCGCAAACTAACTAAAACTTGAATGAAGAAAGATTTAGCAAATTCCCCAGCAGTAAAGATACAAAAGAGATATCCCTAACCATACCTTTGTGCTTATTGCCAATTCTCTGCACTGAAGATGTGCAACGTTGATGAAGTTGATCACGACTTTCTCCACCACCCTGCATGTGTAGAACAGTGGAATACACATAAATTTGTATTGCAATCTCCAAAGCTAAAATTCATGCCCCCAATGAATTTAGGGCATCCATTATTGTAATTACATATTGGTAGATTTTCACCCTTTCTGACCACGATATGACAGCCAGGTGACACTAGTCCTCCTTACCACGAATAAAACAGAAAAGTCCATAAGGAATAGGTCATCAACCAGACATTTATCACATGATTAGACAACATAGATCAATATTAGTACTACTACTATAGTACCATCCAAGCTTTTATGACAATCTCAAATCTTATATGTTCTGAGTCCTCTCTCTCCAAGGCGTAGAGACTGGAGAATCAACCTTAGTCAGGTGCAAAGACAGGCAGTTCTAAGATTACAGAAAGACAGTAAAAAATGTATACTACCTCCAGCTCTAATAGGCTAGCTGTCATGGGCAGAAAAATTCCATAATATTTCTCCATGGAGTACTTTTCTGATGTGGCTGTTAAACTCAGTTACAAAATTCAAACTACTAACTTTGATAAAGCCTCAGGCCCAAAATACAAAAAGATTGCTTACTGGAATCTCTTGGCATGAATCACGAGATACAAAGGCCTGGTGAACCTTAGGATTAAGTTTGGCAGTGTCACGAAATACAAGGCCTTGAAGATCCCCTAAATGCCTTTCTCGTAAATCAACATCTGTTACAACCTGAAATTTAACCTAAGACTTTTATTTACATATAATGAATAGAAACATTCTCCCTTTTCCAAATTATGCATTGGCTTCATGTTAAAAAAAAATTTTATTTTATCCAATTCCCATTGTCAGTAACATTCATACAGATGAGTTGATTACCAAGACATTGACTCCAAGTTTTTACTTAACTTATTACCAAAAGACAGTAATGTATGCATACCATGCAGCTTTCATTTTCATGTCCGTCTGTTATATGGTTTCGAGCATCAAAGCACTTGCTGTAATATATACATTATTCATTACTCCAATGAAAACTGGTACTATCAATTATGCAATCAGCTTTACTACATGCAACAAGGAGCAACTTGAACAAAGTTACCTACCTTTATCCCCCCACACCTGGCTGCAATTATCTGTGCAGTTTCATAAGCTCGTGCTAAGTCAGAAGAATATACAACGGAGATCTTGGGCTCCTTGGATAACCTATCACCCACCTTCGAGAGTAAAAGCCAAATTTTCAGACATTATTGACCAAAGGATAAGACTCAAAACCTTCATGTGTCCCTCAAACAGCAAGTATATATAAAATTTATAACTTACTACAGCTGCTTGCTGCCTCCCGGCATCATTTAACTCAACATCCAGATGCCCCTGTCCAAAATAAATGCATTGACTCAATATTCAAATTTAGTTGTTTCAAAAAACAAGGATAAATTGCACTGATGATCCAGGAACTTTACTCGTGCCTCATCCTGGGCATAAAGCAGCCGAAATGAAAGCATACCAAGAACCTAGCCTTCGTTAAGGGGCACTTTTGTAGTGTATAGGAACCACGAAAAAAGAAAGAAGAAAGAAGGAGTGCTTAAGATGGCTGGAAACTTTTTCAGGGGAATTTTTTACTGCTATGGCAACCAAGCTTGGTGGCTCCTGTGGCAGCCACCCCCAAACTAGGCATTGCACCAATGGTTGCATTGTTTTGTCTTTTGAACAAGAAAAAGGCAGTGTCTGCCATGGGCACCAAAAACATATTAACTGTTGATATAATGACGTGGTCACGTAGTAGTGGCAAATGTTGATTGGGGGTAAAGAACAACATTATGTTCCCACAAAAAAAATTCTGATAAAATATGCAGAGTGTATACATGGAATTAGTTGCAGTCTTACAAACCATTTTTTTAATGATTACTTACATTTGCATAACATGTTCGATGTAATCACAGAGTAAATAAGCTGTGAAATATAGACTTCGAACATAACATTTGAGATTGTGATATCAGCTAACTTCGAAATTTTGGCATCTCTACTCATCAAACAACTAACAAAAACCAGGTTCGCAAGGACGGGTAATCGCATAAAATGCATAACACTAGGAAACTTACCAAAAGATGCATAAATTTAAACAAAAAGATCAAACTTTTTAAAGGTTGAAGTGAGAAAAAGGACCTGGATTCTTCCATCAGCGTTCCAGGCCGTTTCACCGTGACGCAGTACTATGATCTCTGCGTAATCCGAGCCAACACAGCTGCATTGAATTCACCAGAAAAAATTTAAAAAGTCGAATAAAAAAATTTAAAAAGTCGAATAAAAAGCTTCTTCATTTTTTTTCTTCTCAATTTATTACTTTCCAGCAATCTTGGCATTTGATAATTGATATACAAACCCTAATCGAGGAACTATGCGATTGGAACGAAACGGAGGATTTAGGTGCAAGTAGAATGAGAGTGAGATCGGACCTGGAATCGGACTCCGACTCGGGCACTGATGACGTTGCCATGGATGACTCGGCCGCACTGCGTCCACGTTAAGCTGTGCGCTCTGTGACGCCTGAGGAGGTTTAGTGAGAGGCAGAGGACTTGTGGCGCTGAGCATTTCAATAATATTCAGGATCCAAAATAGAAGAATCTGAAAAATTTCTTCGGCACAACAAAATGGAATCTAAATTCTCGGTCAAAATTGTGGAACCTGATTCTCTCTTGCCGGCAGTAGGCCTACAGTTTACTTTCCCACCAATGCATGCACGCCAGCTAAGCCCAAATACTATGGGGAATTTTATCTTTTTGGGCAAAACCCAATTCAGTGGATGAGAGGCTTTGCTGTCAATCTTGGTGTAGGACAAGTCTTGGAAGCTGAGTTATGGGGCATCTATCTTGGACTGAAACTTGCTTGGGATATAGGTTGCAGTGCAGTTGTGCTTGAGTCTGATTCAGCGACCGCGGTACACCTGCTTAACAAAAATGTGGAAGACCTTCACCCTCTTGCTATTATGTTGTGGGGATGCAAGGACTATATAAACAAAAACTGGGTTTGTTCTATTCATCATGTATATCGTGAGCGCAACATGGTAGCCGATAAACTAACTGAATTGGGTTCATGTCTTGAGTTGGGTCTGTCAACTTTCTAGGACCCTCCTGATAGTATTAGGTCCTTTCTGAGTGAAGATCTACTTGGAGTCTGTAGGCCTCAAGCCATTGTTTAATTTCTTTGTTGGGCGTTAGCCCCGTTTCTTCACCCAAAAAAAAAAGATGGATTCTTAATAGGTTAGTTCCCTATAAAATAGAATACCCTCCCACCCAATAGTCTAATTCCTCCAAAATCTAGAATTCATCTCTTGATTTTGGGTGGCCTCACTTGCATTTTCATTCCTTGATCCTTAATGAGATAATGAAACAAATTTCGGCATCAGCCGATCTAGGCCATACATATTGAATGAAATTCTGAATGAATAGTGATTAGTAAATTCCATCATTCTATGGATTACTACAGATTACGAGAGCATCCTAAGAACGAGCTGACCAGATTGTTCGTCCCTGCCGAAATCGGATTGCAGAGAACCTGTATGGTTGAGGTGACTAACATCACCCCAGGATTTTATGGTCCATTTGCCGTCATCATACACGTGAAATATGTTGACGGATGCATTGAGTACATATCTGACAGACCTGCCATCCGGTGAAGCCTGTTTGTCGAGTGTTTCAATAACCGCTCCATGACTGACCACAACTACTCGCTCTCCTGCAATTGAAACAAGCCAGGATATAAACATTCAGATTGCAACTTTGTGTCACCCTTACTCTAAATTTGCATTTTGTTGTTGTGGCGGAGTTAAACTTTAAGAGGCAAGCGACAACAGCAAATGAACTAAAAGTGCTCATTGGGAGTTCAAACCATTCTATGACGTGTTAAATGTGTGACGAGGAAATAGTTGAACTGCAGTTTACTTAAGTACACCTCAAAATGGAAAGGGTATTGGATCATTCCGTTCGCAAACTAAGTAATACTAGATTGAAGAAAGATTTTGCAAATTCCCCAACAAAAGAGACATCCCTAACCATACCTTTGTGCTTATTGCCAATTCTCTGCAATGAAGATGTGCAACGTTGATGAAGTTGATCGCGACTTTCTCCACCACCCTGCATGTGTAGAACAGTAGAATAACATTAAATTGTATTGCAATCTACTAGTATAGTACCATCCAAGCTTTTGTGACAATGTCAAATCTTATATGTTCTGAGTCCTCTCTCTCCAAGGCCAAACTAGGGACTGGAGCATCAACCTTAGTCAGGTGCAAAGACAGGCAGTTCCAACATTACAGAAATACAGTCCAAAATGTAGACCTCGACCTCTAATAGGCTAGCTGTCATGGACAGACAATTCCATAATATTTCTCCATGGAGTACTTTTATGATGTGGCTGTTAAACTTAGTTACAAAATTCATAGTACTAACTTTGATAAAGCCTCAGGCCCAAAATACAAAAAGATTGCTTACTGGAATCTCTTGGCATGTCTCATGAGATACAAAGGCCTGGTGAGCCTTAGGATTAAGTTTGGCAGTGTCACGAAATACAAGGCCTTGAAGATCCCCTAAATGCCTTTCTCGTAAATCAACATCTGTTACAACCTGAAATTTAACCCAAGACTTTTATTTACATATAATGAATAGAAACATTCTCCTTTTCCAAATTATGCATTGGCTTCATGTTATAAAAAAATAAAATAAAATAAAAATCTTTTATCCAATTCCCATCGTCAGTAACATTTATACAGATGAGTTGATTACGAAGACATTGACTCCAAGTTTTTACTTAACTTATTACCAAAACACAGTAATGTATGCATACTATGCAGCTTTCATTTTCACGTTTGTCTGTTATATGATTTTGAGTATCAAAGCAGTTGCTGTAATATATACATTATTCATTAATTCAATGAAAACTGGTGTTATCAATTATGCAATCAGCTTTACTACATGCAACAGGGAGCAATAAAGTTACCAACCTTTAGCCCGCCGCACCTGGCTGCGATTATCTGCGCAGTTTCATAAGCTCTTGCTAAGTCAGAAGAATATACAAGGGAGATCTTGGGCTCCTTGGATAACCTATCACCCAACTTCGGGAGTAAATGCCAAATTTTCAGACATTATTGACCAAAGGACATAAGAATCAAAACCTTCATGTGTCCCTCAAACAGGAAGTATATATACAATTTGTAACTTACTAGAGCTGCCTGCTGCCTCCCAGCATCATTTAATTCAACATCCAGTTGCCCCTGTTCAAAATAAATGCATTGACTCAACTTTTAAATTTAGTTGTTTCGAAAAACAAGGATAAATTGCACTGATGATCCAGGAACTTTACTCGTATGTCATCCTGGGCATAACGCATCAGAAATGAACACATACCAGGAACCTAGCCTTTTCTAAGGGGCACTTTGGTAGCATATTGGAACCACGAAAAAAAAATAAGAAAAAAGGAGTGCTTAAGATGGCTTTTTATGGGAAATATTTTTGACTGCTATGGCAACCCAAGCTTGGTGGCTCCTGTGGCAGCCACCCCAAAACTGGGCATCGCACCAATGGGTGCATTGTTTGTCTTTTAAACAAGAAAAATGTGTCTGCCATGGGCACCAAAAACATATTTAAACGATGAACAAAAACATATGTTGATATAATGACATTGATGTAGAACAAATGGCAGAATGGATTGAAGAAGAAATGGACCGAAGAATGGAAAAAGGTCACAGCTGGAATTTACAGATTTGGTGTCAGAGCTCCGAATGGATCATATGATGCCTTTCCGGAAAAGAAACAACGTCACGAGTCAAACTCATAGCTATAGCTATGACTTAAGGTGAATTTTGGGCATTCGAGGACATTTGAGCTTTGAAAACAGCATTTAATTATTTTAGTTAATTTTAGACTTTTCGTTTATTTCCATTTTGCTGATGTTTGGTTTTCAATAACCTCCCAGGGGTAATCCTAGGATCGAGCTAATGTATTGAAGCAACCTTTATGTGTTGCCTAAGATTATTATGCTTTTAATCAAAACTCTTGAGACTTTTCTTATTCGCTGGTGGATTCCAGACTCTGGTTTCTTCTAGGCTTACGTTTGTAAACATTGATCGCTTGTGCTGCGTCAGACATGGTCACGTAGTGTGGCGAATGTTCATTGGGGGTAAAGAACAACATTATGTTCCCACAAAAACATTTCTGATGGAATTAGTTGCAGTCTTACAAACCCTTTTTTTCAAATGATTACTTGCATTTGCATAACATGTTCGATATAATCACAGACAAAATAGGCTGTGGAATATAGACTTAGAACATAACATTTGAGATTGTGATATCAGCTAACTTCAAAAATATTAGCATCTCTACTCATCAAACAACTAACAAAAACCAAGTTCGCCAACACGGGTAATCGCATAAGATGCATAACATTAGAAAATTTACCAAAAGCTGCCTAAATTTAAACAAAAACATTAAACTTTTTAAAGGTTGAAGTGAGAAAAAGACCTGGATTCTTCTATCAGCGTTCCAGGCCGTTTCACCGTGACGCAGTACTATGATCTCCGCGTAATCCGAGCCAATACAGCTGCATTGAGTTCACCGGAAAAAAAAAGAATAAAAATTATATTTTCAATTTTATTACTTTCCAGGAATCGTGGGATTCGATCATTGATATACAAACACTAATCGAGGAACTATGCGATTGGAACGAAACGGAGAATTTACGTGCAAGGAGAATGAGGGTGAGATCGGACCTGGAATCGAACTCCGCCATGGACGACTCGGGCACTGATGACGTTGCCATGGATGACTCGGCCGCAGTGCGTCAACGTTAGCCTGGCGCTATGTGACGACTGAGGAGGCTTAGTGAGAGACTGAGCATTTCACTAAATTTCAGGATCCAATTCCAAATAGAATAATCTGAATTTCTTCAGCAAAATAATGGAATCTGATTCTCTCTTGAATTGTAGGCCTACAGTTTACTTTCCCACCAATGCATGCCCCCCACTTGATGCATATTATTGGGCTCCAAATACTTTGGAAAGTCTTTTTAATTTTTTGGCCCAAAAAGCCCAAAATTTTATGACGATGAACAACTCAAAGTTTTCCGAGATAAAAACGGACTTATAGCTTAACAAAGAAATGAATTTGAGGTTTTGCATTTGCCTCCTGCCTCACACAATATTGCTTGTATTAACAAAGAGATGAATTTCGAAGCTTAAAACTGATGGGACTATATTGAAAGTATACGTTTAAGGTTAGCAAATGAATTGTAGATATGGATTAAGTATCAAGGTAATGTATCAGCGGCCTTGAATCCAAGTTAGATCCCCTCCATGTATATTAGAATAGTTTATAATATCGTTTTATAAAAATAAATAAATAAATGTTAGCAAATGAACTGTTATTCTTATCTGGACCAGCGTAAAGAACAAAATGAACCTATTGCTATTTTGAAGCCCCACTGTTGAGGTTGATTTTCATTTAGACAGTAGTGGCCCAATGCATATGACTATCGGCATCAGGCTAACTGTGACATGAAGGATTTTGGAGTCATTCTATAATGAAGGCTATAGCCTTTTTAAGTTGAGGTCTTATCTCTTAATCGTCGGATTATGCTAATTAATTTGATTCAATAGCTAATCAATTTGATCAAACGATTAAGAGATATGACCTTACCTAAATACCATATATAAGACTTTCGCTATAGAATTCTTGTACCGAAGGTTTCATTGCTTATATGGCGAGGCACGATGGAGATGAAGATGAAGTCCAAGTCCAACAACCCATGAACGATGAAACTTCCTTTTTGCCTTTTGGCAAAGATGAAATGGAAATTTTGTGATCTAGAAACGTGGAACATGCATGCTTCACCTATAAAAGTAAAAGTGAAACATTTGTAATGAATATTAATGATTAAATTTTTTTATTTATCAAGAAGGTGAAAAACTTCATTCAATAATCAATCTATTAGTTGTGGAAGCACACGCATAAATAGGTCGTTGTACCAGCATTATCAGGCTATTAGTCTTCCATCAATCATTAAGAAACTGAAACTTTATAGATAATGGAATTTATTCGTAATGGATTAGGCACAGCTTTCCGAGAAAAGAGAAGGGAATTTATTCGTAATTTTAAATGCGGTTACTTCCTAATTCACGTGCTGCTTCTGGCATCTTTCAACAAAAGGCATCAATGCAAATCATCCATGGAGCCCGAAGACTTGAAAAGCGATTAAAGTAAGTCTTCATGAATGTTATGACATGATGTTCAATACCCGCATCAACTTGTACAAAAAAGACCAAAACTAGAAGCATACAACAAGGACCAACTTGCACAATAATAGGTTAATATAAGGCCAAGTTAGACCATGGCTTTTGGAAGCTAACGTAGCATCTTTGCTTCGAAGGTCATGAGGTAGACAACAAAATACATAAACAACAATCAATGCTTCTCCGGTAGGTAGCGGAGCTAAAACTGTAGTTGGGGGTTGAAATATAAAATAAAAGTATTTCTAAAATTGTAGCGGAGCTAAATATTTCTAACTTAATCATGTCTAATTTGTTTTATAGGCATAAAATATCCGAGGGGTTAGAGCCACTCCTGAGGAAAAAAAAACCTTTGACCAAACGGTCCAAACCAGTTCTAGCCGCCTAGGATTACCTAGTTAAGTCAGTCAGTCAGTATGGACGCCATGGCTGCTAGATATATCAATAATTAAAATACTATTTGGGTTATTGCTATAAATAGCATGATTGATCTGGGTATGCTTCACAAACAGCCTTCACAAATCTCAACTATATTCATCTATCTAAGCGACCAAGTTGATATACTGATATTACCATAAGAAATATCAATTTCAACAAGGTTTTATCTTTAATTTGAACCAGAAGAATGTCGACTGGTTTGACAAAGAGAAGGATGGTGACAGTGCTAAGCATTGATGGAGGTGGCATTAGAGGCATAATTCCCAGCACCCTCTTGGCCTTCCTTGAATCCAAGCTTCAGGTACCTACTAAATGCACCAATTATATCATACATTAATATATATATATATATATACTTGCTTCATCTTTTATATTTGCTTATAATTCAGTGTTAATTATGATCTGTGCATGGGATAGGAATTGGATGGGCCAAATGCAAGAATTGCAGATTATTTCGACATAATTGCCGGAACAAGCACCGGTGGTCTTGTCACCACCATGCTTACAGCTCCCAACAAGGACAACCGACCCATGTACGAAGCCAAGGACATCAACAAATTCTATCTAGATAACACCCCTAAGATTTTCCCTCAACATAGGTCAGTGATCTAAAACAACTTATTAAATTAAGAGAAAACGATTGTTTGGTATCGAGCATCAATCTACAGAACGTACTTTCAATATTGAAAAAAAAATTCACAACAATGTTTCTTATGTTAATTTGTGTGGAACATGCAGTCGAAACAACTTCTTGGCATCAATAACAAGTATGGTTGATGCGGTTATGGGCCCTAAATATGATGGGAAGTACTTGCGTACATTGGTAAATGGGTTGCTTGGTGATCTCACTCTCAAGCAGACTTTAACCACTGTGATTATTCCAACTTTTGATATCAAGCTCCTTCAGCCTGTGATCTTCTCAACCACCGATGTAAGCTAACGCCAAGGAATTTTACTGTTTCGTATACAATTTGGCATTGTTAGTACTTATAATGTGTAGCTATAGTTAATTATGTAATATTCTAAGATTGTAAATTTATGGTACAGGCGAAAGAAAGTGCTCTGAAAAATGCCAAGCTTTCGGATGTCTGCATAAGCACCTCTGCTGCTCCTACTTTTCTCCCAGCACACTACTTCGAGGTCAATAGTGAGGGAAGGACCCGAACTTTTGATCTCATTGATGGCGGGGTTGCTGCAAACAATCCTGTAAGTAGTCTGTAACGTTTTCTTGCCCCATATCTAACATGTTTGACTCAATAAACTGTTATGCAATATAATATGTCTGACTGTTTGACAAAGCGATGAAGAATTAATTATGTCTACAACTGTGTACAGACAATGATGGCCATAAGCCACATAAACAGAGAGATATTGAAGCACGATTCGGAGCCGATGGATGCGAGTAGATTGCTAGTGCTGTCATTGGGCACAGGTGCAGCCAAGTTTGAAGAGAAGTACAATGCAGCCATGGCCTCCAAATGGGGTTTGTTCAGTTGGATGTTTGACAATGGGAGCACACCTTTGGTGGACGTTTTTAATGATGCAAGTTCTGATATGGTTGACATTCATGTGTCCACCCTCTTCCAATCCACCCACGCCAAGGACAACTACTTACGCATTCAGGTACTTTTTTTTTAACACGATTCACATGTATAAAATATGTAATTAGTAAATATGGTCCAAATAACAACATTATGTAAGCAATGCTAATAGTTATCTAATGCTGCAAAAATTATAGGATGACTCATTAAGCGGTGATGAGGTATCGGTGGATATAGCGACGGAGAAGAATCTAAATAGGCTTGTGGAGATTGGGAAGGAGCTATTGAAGAAGCGAGTGTCACGGGTGAATTTGGATATGGGGAGGTATGAGGAAGTTGAGGGAGAGGGTACTTACGAAGAGGCACTGGTCGAGTTTGCCAAAAGGCTCTCGGATGCAAAGAAGCTTGGACAAAACAATTGAAAGTCCAATAGATTGCAATATCCTCTAACTTATTGTTGTTATTTTGTCTATCGTGTTCTTGAACTCAATTATGAGTTGTAATAGAAAAATAAAGAATAATTACTTGTACTAGGTTATGTAAGATTACCAAAGTCCCCATGTTGAATAAAAATGATTTTGAGTTTGATGTTTTATCTTGTTTTGAACACCCGACCACATGCAAATAAAAAAGGGCATTGCATCCAAATAAATTTTGGGTGAGGTGACCTTACCCCATATCATCATAGAATCTCTTTTGCCGACCAGGTATGACCTACCTAAAGGTGCAATAATATTTTGGTGTAATCGTGATACTGTTAGGTAAGATGATATTAGTGTAACATTGAGCAGAAATATCTAACCTTTTTTTTTGGTCGAAGAAAATATCTAACTTAAGTTGGAGATAATAAAAGATAATGCAATAGTTACCCAATATGCGAAATTCTATAACGAAGATGCCGAATATATAAACAAGTGTTAGTTCATTTTTGAGCCAAAAACTCCCAAGATATCATATGATGAGCAACCCAAAGTTTTTCAGAGGCTTAAAACTGCAAAGCTATCATACGAACTGTCTGGACCAGCAGAAGCCCAACCCAACAGTTGGAGTTCATGCATGCATGAGCCTCAGAATGACTTGGAGGATATAAAAGATTTTTATTGATTAGGAACTACGAAGAGTACGTAGCTCATCACAGAAAAACAAATAATGAGGATGAGTTGAAAGTAACGAGCAAGCCATTAGATGTTTTAATGTAAAGAAAAATTCAAGGTAAGCTGGCAACAAACAATGGATTGAAAAGTTTGGAAGCGTGGAACACACTTACAAGTAAAATAATTGGTAGCGGATCATATGATTAGATTCATTCAATTATCATATTCGGTCAGTTTGAATTGTATAGGCCTTATGAAAATGAAAAACTAAAAATATTTCGGTATTTTTCGTATGCAATCCTAAGGTTTAATATTTTCATTCTCTCCCTCGTTTTTCTTCAAATGCGATAAGAAAAAGAGACAAACTCTTCTATTTCTCTATGCTCTTAGAACTAGAATAGATTTCGGGGGACTTCTATGAGAGCGGCACAA